CTACAAGACCTTTCCGCTGGGAGACTTCAAGCTCGTTTCAGGCGAGACCATTCCAAATGCATTCATCGCCTACAAGACTTTTGGTCATTCATCATCCCCCGCCATCATTTACCCCTCTTGGTTCAGCGGCCTAATCTCTGACAACGAATGGCTTATTGGCGAAGACAAAGCCCTCGATCCCCGTCGGTACTTCATCATCATCCCAGCCGTTTTTGGGAATGGACAGTCCAGTAGTCCATCCAATATTCCTCGAGAATCTCCACTAAAGCCGTTTCCCAATATCACTGTCAAGGATAATGTTACGGCACAATACCGACTTGTAACCGAGGGCCTGGGCATCAAGCACGCACGGATGGTTCTGGGCTGGAGCTTGGGTGCTGGACAAACCTACCAATGGCTGACCCAATATCCCGACTTTATGGATCTGGGCGTTCCCTTCTGCGGAAGTGCTCGCACCTCGCTGCACAACCAAGTCTTCCTCGAAGGCGTCAAGAGCGCACTACTTGCTGCTAAAGGGACCTCATCGGCTGGTAGCGCAGCTGGTGAGTTGGCTAAGACGTACCGGGTGTGGACTGAAGAAGAGAAAGTCTCCGGGCTGAAGGCGTTTGGTCGAGTATATGCAGGGTGGGGATTCAGCCAAGCCTTTTATCGTTCTGCCGTGTATGAGACAGAACTGGGATACAAGAACCTTGAGGATTTTATGGTCAATTTCTGGGAGTCATGGGCTCTTTCCAAAGGTTTGTCCGAGGGTCAATTGCTGCAAATGTTATACTTGCTAACTCCTATGTAGACCCCGAGAACTTGCTCACTATGCTTCACACATGGCAGGCTGCTGATTGCTCAGATCAAGAACCGTATAATAAAGACTTTGAGCTAGCTATGAAGAGTATCAAGGCCAAAACGCTAGTCCTACCTGGCAAGACAGACCTGTACTTTCCTCCTGAGGACTCGGAATATGAGGTACAAAACATGACTAAAGGCATTGGGGCGTGTATTCCATTCCCATCCATTTGGGGTCACTGGTACGTTTTCGATAGTCGAATAGCTCGGTATGAGATTTACAAGAGAAACTAATTGAGACTTCTTTCTAGGGCGGGCGGTCCAGGCGTGAGCAAACAGGACTTGAAGTGGCTGGATGGCCGTCTAAAGGCTTTTTTGGAAGATGAAAAGTGGCAACTGGACGCCAGTAATTTATCGTAGCATAGCACTATGACACATCCAACGAACACGAACTCTGTTGGTATATCCCAGTGCACCCTGAAGAGTACAACACGCCTCTTGCCGTGTACATGCTGATAGCAGCACTCAAATAAATCTCCAAGCAACAGTTTTGAGCTATTGATCTGGCGATTTCCTTTAAAGGCATCGGCTCATCTAAAAATGTCCCGTCAAACTGCAATGACTCTCTTAAGCCGGACGGCATTTGCACTACTCTCCATCATTTCTTCTCAGCGACAGCCATTAGCCTACAAAGAGCGACAGTAGTGCGGATCGTCTAATTGTCGTCTGATGCTCAACTCTTCCAAGAGCCTGATTCCATCAGACGAAACTGGCCAACCAAGCTTCTTAGGCCAGCCACATTCCCATTCCCCGGAATAGCAGTACCCGCAGCCCCCATAAGCCCATAAACTCAACAGGCAGCAGTATAAAACTCTGATCTTACACTGGGTCGCTCGCACTTAACAAGCGGCAGTCCTCGGCAAACTAGGACACTGTTCCGGCAGACCGGTCACTCTACATCTGACAAAGTCTAGGTAGGCTGCTAATTTAGCTATCCTCTAAGCTCTCCACAAGTTGACTAGAGAACTTCCGGGAGCGTTCCCGTTGGATCACCGTTTGGGACAGCCACGTTTTCTCCATGGAGATCACCCCTGATTCTTCGGGTTGAATAGGGATGGGGAGTGAAGTTGGCCTTGTGAAAAAACACTAGAATATAGCCAAAAAGAGACGGCTGTGTTTTGAGTGGTAGCCGACAGACGCTTAACTAGTAGAAGCTGCAGACTGATTCGTACACGCGAGTCAGGCCCTTCCATTTTGCGCGCAAAGGGAGCCATGCCGTAGTATTTATGAGTAAGATTGTGGGCCTGGAGAAAGGTTTGCTTGGAGCTGATCAGCTTTGTCTCAGCTGTTGCCACCCGTCGATCAATGGAGGCAATGGAGAGAAGAGTAAGGCTGCCGTTGTGCATGGAAATATGGGGATGTAGGCCTTGACTTTTCAAGAGCCGAAATGGCTAGTAGCCGGGTGAAGTGAAGAAACGCAGACTTCAATTCTGTGTTGTAATGACTACCGAGGGAAAGAGTCATGGCAATTCATAGAGCTGATGGGGGATAGGGGTATGAGTGATTTCGGCAGGCTTGGAGGCTCAGCTCATTTGAAGTGTCCCATAATATTACGTTACACTGGTATTATACGAGCATCCTTTTGCACGCAAGTCGCGATGGTAGCCGAGCACTCGTCGGTATGGCCATCTTTCTTTCACGGTTTCTAGAATGTTTGGGATCTCTGCATTAGCTCATCTTGATCCGACATTTCCGAGGCTCGTAAATTTTCCGACACTTACCATATTCAGTCAGCATGGTATTTCGGCATCTTCCTTCTCCACTCGTGTTTAATGACCTTGTCGTGGTTGATCGGCAAAACGCTGACAGTAATTACAGGGCACCACTGGAATATTCTCTTGTAAAAGGAGAAACGAGATCGATCAACAGATATTCGCTATCCCTATCTCAGAGTATCACTATTCATAGTAAGCCTGTGGCTATTAGCTTGTAATACATGGTGAAGATCAGCTCATCCCCTACATAACGTTTCTCTTCAGGAACTAGGAAGCGGATATAGATGGCCTATGAGTAAACAAGCGTTTACCACCTCGATACCATTGGGGAATGTGAATTATCCGGCTAGCTCTAAGCCCCTTCCGCCACGGCTCTTAAACACCATTAATATGATTAAATAGATGTCAACATAAGCAACGAAGCAATAGAGAAGCTAGGGTTATCTGTTATCCCGAAGACTTGAGACGTGGTACATTCTTATAGCTGGGATATTCTGATCAAACTTTGGCGAACTAATTGGTACTGGACCGTATAGCCTACGCAACCTGTTTCTTTGTACCATCATCACTCTCTTCCCAGATGGTCCCATCCTCCGACTGATAGTAAATTTTGAGAATCTTCCCATCGTGCCAGTTCACCGCAACCATGTGAGTGCCAACCGGCACAGAGCTACTAAACCCCGTTTTCTCCCATGAGCCAGACCATTTATAACCTCTAAGTAGCCCATAGCTATCTTGCGAATAAATACGGAGCTGCACTCCAGAGTCATTCCACGCAGTGGCAGCTATGGCAGTGTTCTTCAGTGCCACACCTGGGTTGAAGCCGCCTAAGAAATCCCACTATTAATATGCGACCACGAAAGCGATACAGTGCTTAAACTTACCCTTGCTCCAGCCATTGTCATAGCAATGCTCCTGAACGGAAAGATCTTCAGTTTGGTAATAAACTCGTAGATGGGGTTTACCCTTCTGTGTCCAGGACACAGCTGCCAGGTTGGATCCTACATCAGCGACTGGGAGCGTTGCACCCTTCTTCCAAGGATCTCCGACGCAGTATTCTTGGATAGCGTTGGAAGATTCTTTTACTCAAGTGTTAGAAAGAGGCTGCCTTTCAAACTTTGCCAATTGAGCGTTCTGTTGTATCCTTACCTTGGCAGTACACACGAATATTCGTCCCATCCCAGTTGACAGCAGCAACAGAAGAGTTTGGAGCAGTTTGAACCTTGAGTTTTGTAAGATAGCCTGGAACCCATTGCCCTCCACTGCCGTTGCACCACTCTTCAAGCAATCCATCCTCGGATATGCTGTAGATACGAATCTTCATCTGATTGTCAATGATTGAGTTCATGTAAGAGGACAGAGTATCATCTCACCTGGCTTCCCCCGTCCCAGCTGACAGCGGAAAGAGGACTAAGTCGTCTAGCTTGAAATATGGCCTTGCCAGAAACAGTCCACTTTCCATCATTGTAGACTCCTTCACGGATACCATTTTTTGTATCTTGGAAGTAAATCCTGAAAGATTTAGAAGATGCAGCTACAGCAGCAACGGCACTTCTAGCGTTGATGGTATATTCCGAAGCCATGGTTTGCTTGGTGGAGTATTATCTTTGGCAAGATGTATAGGAAGATGGTTTTCAAGAATGCTGATTGTAGATGATTGTCTTGAGTGTTTGTTGAGAAAGAAAAAGAAACGGAAGGAGAGGGCATTCCACGCCCTTTTATGTCTGTTCACATTGCGAGGTCTTGTAGCATCGCAACATGTTTGCCTCATGAGCTTCCGTGGCCAACGTCACGCAACTCGTCATAAACCGGATTGTTCAAGATTCTCTATTGTTCATTGGAAGTTTGGGGAATACCAAACGAAAACGAGTTGCGGGGTATGTGTTTTGAGTATATACATGTACAACGGACGGGGTAGCACTTCGGGATGCCGCAGACTTGCTCGGAGGAGCGTCAACATTTCATTGCACAAATTGCTATTTTATTAGATAATTGAATCACCTGTGGCTCAAGAGAGAAAACCCGGCATATTGTAATACTGATTTTATATTAAAAAGTCGGGAAGACATATTAGCATTGCGCGTCCCCGCGAGCCGCTGTTTGCATCTCATTGGACGTCTCCATTGCTTTTCTTCGTCAATTACATAAAACATTCATGATGATTGGTATGAAGAATTGCTATCATGCTCAGAGTCAATAGGGAATACGAAAAACAGCATTGATGCTGCCTTTGATGTACTATTTGATGATATATTAATGCGATTATATGTCTTGCCTATACTGTTGGTTTCAATGGCATTATAAGCCAATCTTCAATAATGTACGGATTTGCGATCGGCATCTCCCGTTTCGCCCACTCTAATTGCGTCATCGCGACTCTTTGATCTCTAATTAATTGTTCAGGGTGGGCAACAAGAATTGCATCCCGCATTGAAACAGAGTTGGTTACTCTGACGTCGTGTCGAGTCTCTCTGAATGCTCGTGCTCTATGGTTCGTCAGTGCCTCTTGATACGCAGCCAAAAAAACGATCCTTGCTCGCTCTAATCATAAAAAGGAGTTTTTTTTTCCTTAAAAATAGGAAGCACGACTTACCTCTTTTAATTTGAAATCCACCTTTAGGCAGTGGCTGCTCGTCCTGGACTTCTATTGAAGCTGCAAGTCTCGCTGCTTTCTCTATCCTGAGATACTCGACCGGTGTCACTCCAAAACACTTTTTAAATTCGCGGTGAAAATGCCACTTGGATAGCCCAACCTGGCGAGCCATCTGACTTAGACTCAGCATTGTGATTGTACCGTCCTTCTCCATCATCGCCGCAAGGGGCCGTGCCTTCATGAATGCACGAATCTTGGCCACCCCAATATCTTCCGGCATGGGAGCACTATCTTCAGGATGACAGCGCTTACACGGTCGGTATCCCGCACTTTGGGCTTCGATACTTGATTTGAAGAAGGCGGTATTGAATCGATGGGCGAGGCGTGCTTTGCAGGTAGGGCGGGAATATACACCAGTACTTCGCACAGCGTAGACGAAGAGACCATCTGCTTTTGGATTGCGCGATTTTACAGCCTCCCAGCGACTGTCATCATCGGCAAACGCGGAATCAGGTTGCTGAGGAGTGTAATGTGTTGAAATCGTCTCCTTCATTATGTATTATGATACTATGTTTGAGCCTCGCACAGCAAGAAGCTCGAATGGCTGGTCATAGAGTGTGCCTTTATGTAAGTTGCGAGGATGGCCAAGCCAAATAGCGTTGCTTTTAATGTAGCCAATAACTCAGTACGTCAAATTTGTATACAAAGCAATATGGCACTTGACAAGGATGGTCAATCAGGACGAAAGGATCTATGCATTCCTTTTACACAAGTCCTACATGGAAAGCACCATTTTCTACATCCGACACTCCTAGAGATATAAAATCGCCAGTTGTAAAATAATGACTTGACACCATTGTAAAATTCATGCATCACTGACTCGTAGATTGCTATCTTATCGTAAGGGACAGACAACAGCAGCTTCCATGACGCAGATAACATGGTTGTATCTCCGGACCAGGCAGCTCGCATTTCCATTCGCGTAGATACCTGTCTACGCCATACATTGCGAGCGTAAGAGAAGCTAGCTTACGTGTGCGTCTGAAAAGCAGGACAAACTTTCCATTCAAGGCAAAAGTGATCGAATAGCTTTTCGCTAGTCCAAATTCCAGGCCGTATTGGCAATCGTTGCTGGTCTTTATTGGCCACATTGATAGCAACAAGTGCCAAGTGCGGGCAGCAGTGGGGATCACCCGATACCATCAAATGACTTTGGATATACACACATGTGCCTATATAGTGCTATATATAGATTTACCTCGAACTTAATTACCGCCACTGTCAAAAGCTATGGAAAATTTCCGTCGGAATCCTAGCTTCCTCCTCATTTGAACTTGCAAGTTGGATGATGGCATGGAACCTGTAGTTCGAGAAGCCGAAGAATGAATGGTTGGTTTCAGCATTCAATGGATAGGTCTTGAGAAGATAAATCTGTTAGATTAATTCTAGCTTACTAACAATAAATATGTCGTATTCTCATACAATCAATTCTTCTCATATGTTAAATACTCTATGTAACAACCTTGATATTAATCCAAGCCGACGCATCTTGCTGTTGTTCTCATGATATCCAGGGTAGCTGCTATAGTGGCCACCCTCCCTAGAATCCAGCAACCACCCACTAAATCCCCTAAACGCACCGCTAATTCGGCAGCCCGCAAGGCACGGGCCAGCTCAACCTCGAAAAGCTCCACGTGTGATATTCAAGCTCAGTCTCAGCATCAGCATCACTTCAATCTTCACATCACGCATCCATGAGCTCATGATGGCGCCTCCCAAGGACGAGGGTGCTCAAACCCCTATAGCCGAGCCCAAAGCCAAAACCAGCACCGCCAACAGCCCTCCCACTCAGCCCAAAAAGTCCAGCCCGTCCGTCATCAAAGGCGCCTCCCTGCTCATCATCCTCCAAGTCGCATCTCGTCTCGTCACCTTTGTCGCCAACCAGCTGCTGCTCCGCTTCCTCACAGCTCCTCTTCTCGCCCTCTCTACGCAGCTCGAAGTCTTCTATCTCTCGGTTCTGTTCTTCGCCCGCGAGAGCTTGCGTGTGGCCATCCAGCGCCAGGGCATTGCTGGAGCAGCAAACACCAAGGAAGATGAGACTGACGATGATGCTGCTGCTGCTGAGCGGCAAGAGGGACAAGCGGTGGTGAATCTGGGGTATCTCGCCGTTGGCCTGGGCAGCATCGTCAGCGTGGCTTTGGGATGGATGTATCTCGCATCTGCCTCGGCCGACACGCTTCAGACGCCCTGGCTGGTTGAGTCTCTCTGGCTATATGGAATTGCTGCCATGGTTGAGCTCATGTCTGAGCCTTGCTTCGTCTTGATGCAGACGCGTCTTCAGTTCGGCACTCGCGCAACTGCAGAGTCCATCGCCACGTTCCTTCGCTGCACCGTCGTCTTTGGATCCGCCGTTTGGGCGTCCCGAAAGGGCCTGGATATCGGCGTTCTTCCCTTTGCGCTTGGCCAGCTCTCATACGGCATCTCCCTTCTTGTGGTGTATCTCGCCTCAGGATATCGCCTTGCGCTCAACACTGGATTCTCACTCCTGCCCAAGCAACTTGCCTCCAACCAAAATGTAGTCTTTCTCCTATCGTATTTCTATAAACCGACAGTCAATCTGGCGGGAAGCATGATGGCCCAAAGTGTGGTGAAGCATCTTCTCACGCAGGGCGACACCTTTCTGATTTCGCTCTTCTCTAACCCCGAAGCACAAGGAGTGTATGCTTTGGCAAACAACTACGGCAGTCTTCTCGCTCGCCTTCTCTTCCAGCCCGTGGAAGAGAGTAGTCGCAGTTACTTCTCTCGCCTGTTATCTTCGCCTTCTTCCAGCAATGGCCAGTCTTCGTCGCAGCCCTCTTCATCTGTCAAGGAGGCGAAACAGAACCTACACACGATATTGCGTCTGTACATTCTCTTATCGGCCATCATTGTCAGCATTGGACCTTTTGCGGCTCCGGCGCTTCTGTCCATCGTAGCAGGTAAACTCTGGACTGGATCAGGGGCTGGCCAAGTCCTTAGTACTTACTGCTTCTACATCCCGTTCATGGGACTCAACGGAATCACAGAGGCTTTTGTTGCTTCCGTCGCATCAGAGGCTCAGGTGCACCGCCAATCATTTTGGATGGGCCTCTTCTCAGCCGCCTTTGCCGCATCTGCTTTCCTCTTTATGCGCGTCTTTCCGCTTGGTGCCATAGGCCTCGTCTACGCCAACATTATCAACATGCTATGCCGAATCATCTGGAGTAGCGTTTTCATCAACAAGTTCTTTAAATCTCACGGTCTAGACTTTGCGCCCGCGTCGCTATATCCCACAACTCCAATCGCAGTATCGCTGTCAACACTGGTCCTCCTACGGCAGCTGAAATTTCACGAAGTTGGCCAAGAACGGCCATTCGAAACACTGATCAAGATTATTGGCTTTGCCATTCCATTACTGCTTTTAATGTATGTCAACATCTCTACATGCTATGCCTCTATCTGCTTTTATTATACACGATTGTCTAACATGGTGCTGTAGTGTATCTCTAGAGCGAAAGTTTCTTTTCGAATGCTTCCAGTCTATCCGAGGTCGCAGAGCAAGTAAGCGCGAGTAGTAACGAAATAAGTCGAAAAAAGAACAGACGAGAGTAAAACAAAAAAGACCCATTTTCCTATACCGATATACCCATGCTTTAATCTAATCAAAAGTAATCTTTGTCGCCTTCTGGTTCGGATCCACGTCCTTGAAGAAGCCGCCATACATATCGTGAGTCTTCTTCTTGACGACAGTGCCAAACTTCATTAGCTCGTCAGGAACAGGCTGGTTGGCACCCTTCAGGATGTTGATGAGACTATTTCACACTTGTTAGCTTTTTCTGCTCTCAAAACACACCAAGTTGCGTTTGAGAGGACTACTTACGATCCAGAGTGCGCCTTGTCTTGGATGGTGAACATGGTGATTGCCTCGCCAGTCTTGCCGGCTCTGCCAGTTCGTCCAATACGGTGAACATAATCCTCAATGGTGAGAGGGAACTGCGGGGAGCAAGTTAGAAAAGGACTCTATAGATCTCTGATTAGACCCATCACTTACTGTAACATTGATGACAAGCTTAACCTCGGGAATATCCAATCCTCGAGCAGCCACATCTGTGGCGACCAAAACCGGTGTCTTGCCAGACTTGAAAGCCTCCAAGCTTCTAGTTCGCTGCTCCTGCTTCAAGTCTCCGTGAATACCGCCCACGCGGACGCCCTTGCGGCCAAGGAAGCCCTCGACGCGAGTTGCCTCCTTCTTGTACAGGCAAAAGACCAGGATTCGGTCATCCTTTTGCTTGCCCTGCTGATGCTGCTTGATGATTTGCAAAAGTCTGAATTCCTTATCCCTGCCGTCCACAACTTCGACCTTTTGTGTAATACGGGTGTTGGCTTGCAGCTCAACTGAGCCGTTTTCTGTCTCCTTGCCGCGAGATCCAATGGTGATCTTGACTGGGTCAACCATGAAAGAGGATGCCAAGCTCTGGACGGAGAATGGCCAGGTAGCAGTGAACATGAGCGTTTGACGCTCCTCCCGAGGAGGGCAAGCACCGAGAATCAGCTTGATATCCTCTTCGAAACCCTTGTCCAGCATACGATCGGCCTCGTCCAGGACGGCGAATTGGCAGCCGCTCAAATCGACAGTTCCGTCAGACATGAAGTCCTTCAATCGGCCGGGAGTGGCGACAATGATGTCAGCACCCCTCTGGAGAAGCGCTCGCTGGTCGTCCTTTGAGGCGCCTCCATAGAGACAGACGCACTTGAGCCTCAGAAGAGCAGCTACTCCATTCATCTGCTCATAAGTCTGCATAGCCAACTCGCGGGTAGGTGACACAACAACCGCCTTGACGACCTTCTTTCCAATGGTGGAAATGGCCTCCACACAAGGAAGAGTGAAAGCCATGGTCTTGCCGGAACCTGTCTCAGCCACACCAACCACATCACGGCCGGAAAGAGTTGATGGCCATGAGGCAGCCTGAATGGGAGTGGGAGTTTTGTAGTTGGCAAAGGGAGAAGGCTTCTTCTCGAGGAGGTTGGTCGAGGGGAGGTGGTGGAATTCGGTAATGGGTCGGAGCTTGTCGGTGACGTTCTTGGGGTCTGTAATGACAATCTCGTTCTTGGACAAGTATTCGTCGATTTCGGACTGGGCAACGTTGGAAAGACTCATGGTCTGGACGTAATCGCGGCCGTTGGAGGCTTGCTCAGATGCATTGCCGTTGGTATCCTTCTTGGCTTTGCGATCCTTCTTAGACTGTTTCTTATCTTCGACGGGCTTCTCGTTAACGTCCATGCTTTCGGGCTGTTCTTCAGTAGCGTCTTCATCTTGAGACTTCTTTGCCTTTTTCTCTTTCTTGTCCTTCTTCGACTTCTTCTTCTCTACAGGCTCCTCGGTCTTTTCGTCTTCTTCCTCTGACTTCTTCTTCTTCTCTTTCTTCTCCTTCTTGTCCTTCTTCTTGTCCTTCTTCTCCTTCTTCAAGCGGGCCTTCTCAGCATCGTCGCTGGAGTCGACCTTGGACTTTTTGATCGGGCGGTTCTCGGCAACGCTGTCGTCGCCCTCGGCGAGGAGATGCTTTGTCGCGGCCATTGTGTATGATTGATTCAATCAGATCGCAATTGAAAGCGTAGGATCAATCGTGTCTCTTGGCTGTTGCGACGAGAAAGACTGATCGCTGCTGCGCAAATGGAAAATGGTGGGTCTCGGGTCGCAATGAAAAACGAAAAAAGGCGAGACGCAAGGAAAAAAATCTTTATCGATAGAGATGTGGCGCCCTACCAATCAACATCGGGCTGTGGCGGTTCCACTGAGAAATCTTAGCGCCGATTTGTCACAGTGGGTTTGCGTCCCAAACGGGTAGAGCAGTCTGTAAGATGCGGACAAGACACTATCAAAGCGCATTATTGGGCGTTTTGGAAGACTACGAGCAGTTATCAATTGATCATATCTAGGAAATTTAGAATACAACTTGGCATCAGCTAAAAATAAGATAACGAGTGAAAGAAATGCCACTATAAACCATGCACTTGGCCTCGAATTAGGGATGGTGGCTCTTGATACCTGTAACAGAAGGTCAGGTCTTCAGACCATCTACAGACTGTTCAATACGAAGCATGTTTCATTAAATATAGACTAGATCATGGAAAACAATTAGACAGCATACATATATCTATACTGCTCGTTGTCGCCTACCCACTTAGGTGGTACTTGTCATAAGTTGGTTTTACGGCTCTCTTATCTGGTGTAGGCGGGGTCACCGCTTCGACTGAGTCTTGAGACCTCGCGACAAATTATATGATGCGTCATATGCAACGCCTGTCCATATATGTAGCCAATAGAGAGCTGTGAAATGTAATGACACAAGCAATCTACATTGAACACATGAACGAACAAGCCAAGTTCCGCCAGGACGCAGAGAGTAGGCGGGGTTAAGTAAAGGCCGCGAACTTTTGTCGGTGAGAGTTATGACTCACTTATAAACCTCTACAAGCCCGGCAACTTGATTCCGAGCAAATATTTAAAAAGAAGCAAAACTGCGTTATGAAAACCTCTAGAAACAATTAATAGTAATCATGAGTGTCGAAAGTGTCATTTTGATCGGCCCAGAGGGGTCCGGCAAGTCCACAATCGGCAAAATCATCGCCACGACGCTCTCAAAAGAGCTGTATAGCATTGACCGCCACCGCGATGAACTCTACCCACCATTTGGCTACGATAAAGCCTTTGCGGAAAAGATATATGAAGAGCAGGGTCTATGGCCGTTTTACCAACATTGGAAAATCTTCGAGTACCAAGCTGTTTCACACATCTTGCAAAACGCCAGTAGAGAGGGCGAAGAGTTTTACGGCAAGATTATCGACTTCGGAGCTGGACATTCGGTATATGAGAATCCAGAAGAATTGGAAAAGATTGAGGCTTTGATGAAACCCTATCCGAACGTTATCTTGTTGGTGCCCTGTGAAGATGTGGAAGAAGCCTTGAAGATTACAGAGGCTCGCAGAAACCGCAAACTGGGCCTCAACAAACACTTTCTGGAGCATCCAAGCAATAAACGACTTGCAAAATACACCATTTACACCAAAGACAAGACGGCAGAGGAATGTGCTGAGAGTGTATTGCAAATCATAAGAGGGAATATTCAGCAGGTGGCAAGGCCAAATTAGAAGATGCTTTTGCAGGCAATGCACAGAGAGAGGCCGTAGGAAGAGGACAATACAAAAAAAGAAAACAAAATTTTGTGAAACAAAAAGAATTGATCACAATTGTGAGACTGTTGCTCTCGGCAGGGCTTGAACCTGCGGCCTCCGCATTACCAAGATTTCAGTTGAAGCTGAAGTATTAGTACGAAGCTCTAACCAACTGAGCTACGAGAGCCGTCTAGATCCACTCAAAGTGTGGAACTCTAGATGTTGCTGCTCGGAGGGGTCAGTTTCAATTAAGAATGCATGCTGTAAATCGTAAATTGGCCGAAGCCATCAGATTTGTATAGTAGAAGCTGTCAATGTTAAATTCGGCGAATGTTTAACGTAGTGACAATTGCTCCTTGGGCATAACTTTATTTGCGTGATGTTTTGAAGAAACATGAGGTAATGCGACTCGATTAGTCCGCATATAGGTAACCTTTGGTCAATCTATTCTGATTCGGCAAGTGGGTGCATTGTATCTAATGTCGAACAGACAGAAGACGAGAGCTTGTTTGTCTAGATAGGCGGAATCTCATTATACAAAGTGTGGTGGCCAGAGTCATGAGCTATTATAAGACAGACGTTTAATCAGCATATCGTTGACCTGTTCATATGAACATTGGAAGCAATAGAGACGATAACTGAGGGCACAGGAGTGTCGCAACTCCGAGAAAAAGGTTTTTGGGAAACAATAGCAGTCTTTTTGGTAGGCGCCGGGATGGGTATAAGGTTCCGCAAAATCTTAGTGGCAATCACTCTGCTGGGGAAGGATTGAGCTCCAACATATCAATGATGAGAATAGGCTATCTGATACTAACTATAGAATTAGTCAAAGCCAATGACAAAAGTTTTAGACTGAATTGCAAATAGGACGGTCATCGAACAGGCTCTTGATAACCTGGGATCTGAACTTTATGTGCCCTATGTACGCACCGGAGTATCCGGCATAAGGAAGTACTAGGTATTTAGATTGCCTTGTATATTCGCGACATGTCCTCTGAACATTTGCTTAAATGCTTTGTTTTACATCTGGGTCAAGATGAGTGCGCGACCATGGAGACTTGAGTGACAAATTAGAGACGAGAAATAACACAGAAGCCATCCTGACTTACCTATGTTTATAGCATGCTTGTCAATCAGAACTGGAAGAAGGATGCAAACGCCCGCAGACGCGGACGATCTCTCAACTAAAATCCTGACACACTTGCCGAATTTGGCGATTCTGTTCCTGGAAACAAATCGGCCGCCAAAATCGTGTATTTGATCCGCTTTTCGTCTGCTCATTGCACCGCGCTCAGTACTTATAATCTTTTCTAATTGCTTCGCGCTATCAATCCGATTATATATGGTAGTAGGTAGCATTCAATGCACGTACTTTTTACATGTAACCTTGCGGTTCAATTTATAATACGTTACTAATCGCACAATTGCGCAACTCTGCCCTGCATGTCCTCACATCAAGGTGACGACTGCGAAAAGTAGCGAATGCTTACCGGTATGCCTATTTTCCAACTTTAAACAAACAGCGGGCGGCCTGATTCGTGGCCGACCACTATTCCTATAGTGGAACTTTACATATTCTACCCTTGTCTATTTATACATATACCTACCACCTTCTGTATTCGACATTCAAAAGATCGGAGTAGTGCCTCCATAGCGACGCTCTTATGCCGGAAACTTGGAAAATGTCCTATCAAACTGCGCCGATCGGATTGACCCATCACGGCACTTTTGATCCATGAACTGATTCTATCTAGGCAAATGCCTTATCGAGCAAGCTCGATATTAGTGATCATGGCTTGCCCAAGTGAATAGCAGCGCCGGCCAGGTTGTATAAAACCAGACCGTGTCCCCGGGCAGCTCGCCGATCCTGCGTGAGAGTAGATCCGAGCTTTTGCTTTGGTTAAATTGGAGTTTGTGCATTGAAAGATGCGGTCCTTGGCAGCTTTATGGACCGGCGCGGCCGTGGTGTTGGCAGCTTCCACTCCAACCACAAAAGATGCTTCAAAGGTTGACGCGGTCGAGCCATGCGCTCAAGTCAGCAGTTTATGGGCTGCTCAGATTGAAAGCACCGGTGAGTCTTTGAAGCACATTAGATGAAGATACCAAGCTCAACTGACATAATCTAGCTACACCCACTGTGGCCGCCTCCCTCGCTTATGCCTGCCTGAACACAATTCCCCTCCACAAAGAACCGGGCATCGAGTTGATTGACGCTTTGGAGCCGTATCTCGAGTGGCAGTCAGACTCGGCATATCTGGCAGACCCGCCTGCCGATTACTTCTACCCGCCTCACGACATCTTCAAGGCATTGGCCGGCGTCAGGGCGGATCTCGTGGCGGACAAGTATACCAACGAATACGAGTTCCAGGAGGATCTCTATGCTCGAGTTTGGGGCCCGGCGCATGATGGACATTTTGTCTTTTATCCGGATGCGTTGACCATTGCGTTTGAGTGGACACGCCCGAAGCCGATTGTGTCAATCAGCGAAAATGGAAAAGACCTGCCCGTGATTAAACTCTATGGTGAGTGTAATGTCGTTAACATGTTTTCCCTATACAAACTCATCGGCAGTGGCTGATTCGACCAAAAGAGGATGTCGTTAGGGACCCAAAGACAGCGCCTGTAATCACAAAGATCAACGGGGTCGAAGCCTCCAAGTTCGTCCTCGATACCGTCACAACGGCATCTTTCAACCAGGATGCAGATGCCGCCTACAACTCCATGTTTTACTCGAAAGGATTCACAGCGGCTTCTGGGGGCAGTGAAGGCTACTTTTCGAGCGGCGGCCGCGTCCGATACATCTACCAGGGCCCAAACACGACATTTACCTTTGACAATGGCACCAGCGCAACCTTTGAGAACACCGCGTCGGTCAAGGCGAACTTCACAGGCATCGTGGACGGCCAGTCCTACTTTGATACCCTTTGTGTTCTCACTATTGATGGCGGGCCCAGAGAGGAACCTGCTGCTACTATCAGCGCGAGAGCCCAGTCAGGTCAAGTCCCCGGATACCCAGCACCGGTTCTGGCAACTGACGACGGTATCGTGTCTGGTTACTTTCTCGAAGGCGAGGGCTTTGACGATGTCGCAGTCCTCTCTCTCCTCACCTTTGAACCCAGCTCCCCGCGCCAATTCCAGGCCGTTATCCAAAACTTCTTTGCGGAAGCAGTGACCGCCGGGAAAACGAAGCTCGTTATCGACTTCCAGGGCAACGGCGGAGGTCTCATAGGACTAGGCTACGACCTTTACGGCCAACTCTTCCCTCAAATCCGAGCGGATGGCTTCTCCCGATGGAAGCTCAGCCCGGAGTTTGAGACCATGGCCCATGTCTACAGCAACGCCTCCAAGAACGTGGATCCCTTCCACGAAGCCTCGTTTCTAAAGGTTGAGGCATATCTAACGGAACTGAATTGGCGCTTCGACTTGAACGAGGAAGAAAAGGCCTTTACTAGCTTTGCGGACAAGTTTGCGCCAAGAGTGTTCAAGGACACGCCCTACACGGCTCTCACGCGGTGGAACTGGAGCGATCCCCTCATCTCGACAAACACCTCGTTTGGTTTTGGCCTTGAGATTTCGGGTTATGGAACCCGCGCAAATCTCTCTCAGCCATTCCTGCCGGAGAACATTGTCCTTCTCTACGACGGCGCCTGCGCCTCGACTTGCACCATTGCATCCGAATCGCTCCGACTCAACGGAGGCGTCAAGTCTGTTGCGTTTGGCGGGCGGCCACAAAAGGGCCCGATCCAGGGCGTCGGCGGCGTCAAGGGCTCGCAAATCTATCAGCTCACCGACATCTTTGTGCTCGCTGAAGACGGAACGTTCCTTGGAACGAGCGCAGCCAATGAAGCGGTGCTGCAGAACGTTTCGAGTCTGCCGATTGCGCGGAGCACGGCGGGATCGATGAATGTGCGAGACCAGATCCTGCGAACGAACACGAAGGATGGCCTTCCGGCGCAGTTTATCGTCGAAAATGCCGACTGTCGGCTCTATTGGACGGCGCCCATGGTTACGGACATCACCGAGGTGTGGAAGGCTGCTGCCGGAGCAGCCTTTAACAATGCCGAGTGTGCAAATGGTGGCATTAAGTATAAAGCCCCGAAAGCTCATATTCGGCCTGCTGCCAACCCGAAGCTGCCCATGGGTAGTGCAATCGCCGAGACTGAGGATTCACGACCCTCGTCGGGGTTGTGGAATGCAAAGTTTCGTCTCCGGACAATAGCCTAGAGGTTGGGATTCTGAGGAAGCCAAGTTTTACATCCGCCCACATTTCATATATGTTTAAGATGGGAGAAGATGATAGAGGTAGAATCAGAAGTAAAATAGCAAAGATGAATGATTGTAGAAAGTTACTGAGGTTGGGTGAGTGCCCTCTTATGTGTAATGATATGTTTATGGATGCGTCACAGTGATTCTCCTATCCAGGACATCTTTACTTCTCATAAACTACCACCTTGTCATATGCTTATATCGGCTTGACTACTTTGTGAAAGATCTAAGTGGTGGCGCGCCGTGGTTTGTCCAGATTAAAATACGCAGTCGTGATATGCAAAGTTTATTGACTGTGTATATTCTCGGTGCCAAATATGTGTTATGAAGAATTAATATTAACTGAACAACAATAAGAGGACGAAGAAGAGTTTTGTGCTGGCGAAACCGATAGCCTCTGCAAGAGTGAGCCACACACAGACTGTCGTATAGTGTGTAATTCGAACCGCTCGTTTCGCTTGGGACATGGACGAATCGATGAGCACGACATGAACACAGCTTGCATCTGTCGACACATCGTTTAGTCATTGCAACTCGACCAATCACTAGAATCTTCAACGTCATCTTGTTGGCCATGTTCGATCAACTGAATCTCCATCAACTCTCCATATCCAGCAGGCACAGGATCGACATCCCACAGGCCGACGCACCGAAGAACGTCTTTACTTGCGCCTACTTCGTTGGCCAGATACGCGGCTGTATCCTTCCAGCGCTCAACTTTTTGCTGATTTCTAAACATTCGCTCACCGGGATGCCTACCCTGGCGAAGGATATTGATCGCACACTCCACTCCAACACGGTCAACCATGGCCCTGAGGAAGTCCAATTGTCCATAGAAGGCCGCAGCCGCCAATGCGCTTCCATGCTCGCCTCGATTAAACAACGCTGTGGGTTCCGCACCAGCTTCGAGCAACATGTTCTGTACTTTACAAACAAGTTCTTCTGATTCTTCGTGTATAAAATATAAAATCCGTGCCGATGCCTCGAGCGCGCTGCCAAAGTTGCCGCCTCTCAAAGGCAAATTTGGATCTGCGCCGCTGTTAAGGAGCAGCCTCGCAATTTCCACGTGGCCTTCAGCCATACAAAGCGCTGCCACTGCGACAAGGGCGCTCCCGTATGTGCCATTTTGCACAGTGGCGTTAACATTTGCTCCGGCCCCGAGCAATATTCGAATCGATTCGACGTTTCCCCTCCCCGCAGCTGCGATTAAAACGTTGCCCATCCAATTGCCGCTCTCATTCTCTTTCTCTAGGTCAGCGAGGCTATGGTCCACCATCCATTGCAGCATCTCAGGGTGAACTTGGGCCGCATACTGTGCAGCAGAATTATCTTTACCGTCTGGAAAATTGACATCTGCATTCGCCTCCATGACAAGCATTTTAAATACGTCGTCATTGCCATTTTTAAGTGCTGCGACCAGCGCTCCGGCATGTCTTTCTGCATCGGGATGCATCGCATCAATCGAGCCCATCAAATGCCTGCAGATGGGCATGCAGCCATTCTCAGCTGCGAGCGCAAGTGAGTTCTGGCCGTCTTCATTTTTTAAAAGAGCCATCTCCTCGGTGATTTTGCCGTCCTGCCACCAGTTGCGCAAGGTGTAGTAAAATCCATATCTGCACATGGCAAACAAAGCCATGTTGGTTGGTCTCATCTGACTGTCGCGTTCAGCCCATTTCCGATAGCTGTCGCTGCCCTCATTTGGCGATCCAAGAAAGCGCTTCAAAGCCGCTGCAACGCTTGGATCCGCTTCTTCTTCTTTCTTCGATCCCAGCCATTTGTCGTATCGTCCCACGTGCTTGTGCCAATTGTAATTGGCGTAATATGCAAAAAAGCCCTCTTGGATCTCTTTTGGCTGGAAGTACTCAAGGAACCCAAGGCAAGTTTTTGCGGCGAATGCATCGCACTTCCTACCAGTCCAGCCTTTGGACTCAAAATACTCAGCCACAGAGGCATGCGGCAGCATCCATACGTCTCGTTCTTCATCAATCGTTAGAAGATCCTGGCAAAGTGATAAAATCTCTTGCTGCAATTGTTTTCCTTTGTCAACCACCGTAGACCCTTCAATTGTGTATTGGATGGCTTCCAGGAGCGATTTTGACTCGAGCGGCTCGATAGAACACAGCACCCATTGAATAGCACGCTCAGCTAAAGCGACAACAGACTCATGTTGCCGTTGAATGTTCTTCCATAAGTCATTATACGCTTCTGTTAAGTCATCTGGCAGATTTTGGGACCAGTCATGGACTACTTCGTCCATAAGAACAGGGTTTGTGTTGAGGCTTTTGACTTGTAAATAAACCCAACGAAACCTTTTTTCTCATCTCTCACATTAGTCTTCAATATTATTATGATATAGGAAGTGAGTCGAGATATTAACTTACATCCCGCACGCCTTCTTGTTAAAAATATCCTTTATCTCGCCTTGTATCTCTGGTTTTAGCCGTTTAAATTTCTTAGTTGAATAGAGCTCATGTTCCAGATATTTCTGAATGTCCTCGTGTTGATTGCTGGCGTCCACAGTGATCAAAAGGTTGTCCTTGTATTCTTCTTCCAATTCTTCCCGGTCTGGTCGGCTTGATATGAAGATTTTTACTGGCCTTTTAGATTTTTCAGTCATTTGGATAAGAGACTTTGCTAGGTTGTACGTCCCGATATCGGTTTCATCCAGCGCATCGAGGATAATTGTTGTCTTCGAATAGAAGTTAAAAGATTCTAGGATTAGTTCTTCGCAATCCTTATCGCTCAATTCTCGCATTTCCTTTTTTGCCTTTGAACATCTTTGGAGAAGACTGCTTTGTATCTTACCAGAGTCGTCAAAGGCTTTACCGGATAGCTGGCGGACAAAGCTTCTCAGGACAATAATTGGCTGCTGCATTGAAGATCCAGATCGATTACAATAAAAATATGCAAACCCTTCATCATGTGGTAGTCTCTCCAAATTACCTTTTACATAATCAATCACTCTAGAAGTGAGATATGTTTTGCCCGTACCGCCTATAAAATGTCAAAAGATTGGTCCATGTTAAATAGAAAAGCTTCAACAGCCACTTACCGGCACCTTTAAGTACAAAAACGGTTGAAGAAGAAGGTATATCTTGCCAAGCACGAAAATAATCGTTACTCAAAAGCCAATCTCCAGTTTTTTCTACTCTTGCATTTGTAACTGTAGCGTGACCTTTACCAAACATCTCCGAGCTGATATAATCCATCAACTCTTCTAACTCTTTGTCCTTGACTTTTTCCAAGAGGCTGGACACCGCGACATCTATTCGTGGTAGTGGCAAAGTTAACTGAGCCAACTGTTTTTGAAAAGCTTCTGTTTGAACCTTCATGTCTTCAGATGACTTAGCGGAGCGAGATGCTTCGCAACTTTGGGCCTCTCTGTCAAGGATTTCTTCTTTTTTGTTCAAATTGGCGACAAGATCTGTAGCGTATTTGGGGCTTAAGACAGCTGTTAAAAGTTCTTTAAAGGCGCCACCTTTAGCCATGGTATCAAATTTTGCGAGCAACTCAATAGCAGCGGTATATAGCTCGACAAGGGCATTGTGTAGGTTCGATAAAGCTCCCTCATCCGTCGTCTCCGTCGTGTATAGAGATTCGTAAATTTGGCCTCTGCGCGTAATGCGTAAAAACCACTCGATTGTCCCGACAAGAGCAGCTTTCTGCTCAATACTATTGACCGGGATCTAGTGCTAGGCAGTTAGCTATCCGGTTTATCATCTGGGTCAAAGTAGATAGACTAGATCCAGATAGCGGACCCAGATATGAATCATTGAGCTGCTGAATCGAGATAGATAAACTATATCCAAATAGATGACATTCATCCAGACCATCTTTGGAGAAAAAAATCAACGTACTTTCATGACGGCTTTTGCAACAGTCCACGGCACACTGGCTTGGGGTGGCGCGAAAACAATAGCTGCGTCGCCAACCATGGTAATAAAGGCAACGGCATCCGCGAGATATTCTCGGACGATGATTTTGCGATTCGCGATTGTGATTGCCAACGGTTCGCTGACATTTTCTGAGACCTCTTTGCTTTTCATGAGGCTAATCACTTCTTTGATTTGAGTTTTGATCTGCGTTCCGTCTGAAGACTGGAAGTCCAATCCTTGTTCTTTGAGCCACTTCTGGGTTGTGTCATTTGCATTGCGAAAAGCTTGGCCCCAGAGATCTGACAATTGAGACGGGGGCGATTTAGGTGCGTCAGGCACGGTTTGTGACTCAGGTCTCGTAATTGTGGGATGCGATGAGAACTGGGAATCAATATATGGCGATGACGACTGAGATTTTGATCGTCGATGGCTTGTATGTCTCAGAGGCACCTTGAGACGCAAAGTATTATTTGCTTGCAAAGTCGTAGAGAGACCTTTTCTTGCCGCTGAAGATGATGACCGAGATCGATTCATCATAGTCAAGGGCTTTAGCAGCCAGTCTCTTTTTCTACCTCTTTCATCAGAGGCCATGTTATTCACTAGCTTTCTTTTTCATGAACTTTGAGATGACTAAGTGTGGTCATTACAAGATGAAGTTGTGATGCGCAAAATTCAGCACGGCGGTATCGAAATTGGCCACGTTGCATCGGCGACATCTATTGGACGCACGTACTAGGTATTGCAGCTGCATGTAAGATATATTTTGAGGTATCTGCATTATAGCATTAAATAGACAAACTACCAACTCGCCTAAGACGGAAAGAGGGGTAAGTACGAAGCACAGCCTGCTCAGCCTTGGGAGAGATTGCTGATAATAATAGAATGGGAGGAATCTGAAGGGACGGAGAGATGCGAAACGACGTTTTCATATAATGATGACTTACATGTACAAAAGCTTATATGAACTTGAAAACAATCTTTATCTGCTCAGCGCTGACGCGAAAAGCAGATATTAATATACAATAAGCAGCACTACCAGCACATCGTTTCCTATTAAGGATTTTAAGAATGCCATGGTAGCGATGTACGTAGCGATATAGTCATCTGCTGGCTGCTCTAGGACTATTATTCTACTTTCTATCTAACAAGCCAGTGTTTTATGCCTCCATCCCAAAAAAACCCACAAGAACATGCTTCCAATCCTCAAGCAGTTACTATGGGAATGGTAAGATCCTGCTGGCCAATGAAAATACTATTACGGAGCCTTGAGATAGTCATTACTACTTTAGAGTGTGAACAACAACAGTGCCACTCTAGCCCAATCAATGTTGTACAAAGAGCTCTCCCTTTTGGTTGCTCTAGGTAGTCTTTCCATACTCTTTCAGTACATGAATTGTAGACAGTCCCATCGTGTTCGTTTGTCAAACTTTTCGCCGCTTCGTATTATGCCATGCTTACTTCATTTCTTTCGTCCTTCACCCCTAATATTTTCTCACTATTGCCAGAAATTTCAGCACTATGATGACGTACAATATGTACCTTTGTCTCTTGACTAATAACACCTTCCCTGCTTGGAACCAACAGCTCAATTGCACCATACCGAACGAATTTTTAATGGGTCTCGCCCAAGGCTGAATCTTGGTTATACCCACTTTTTATTGCAGTTGAAATCAAGATTGTAAAGATCTCATCTCAAAGAAGAGCCGAGGGTGGTAGGATCTACATCGTATTACTTGGATTTGGAACTTCGGAACTTGGATGATATACAATTCTCAGCCTGGTTGCCAGATTTCGATGGCTGTGTAACGCTTATCAATTTTGCCTCCAGACACGTTACATTCATACTGAAAACTGAGAATGACTTGGCAATGCAAATTTTCACGACAAGGCAGTGATGTTTAGTATAAATATCGAGTAACTGGAATGCAATAGTTGATCAATCGATTCATCTTTAGCCAAAGACCTAAAACCGAAGACTCATAGCGGAGTTAAACTTCCTTTTGATCTTCCACTCAAACTATCGTTGCCACCTTGAACTTTGACTATTGTTTTATCCAATACCTCACCAAAAATATCTTCATCTAAAAACAAAATGCACGTCAAGAATTCATGGTCTTTAAACCATCTATTCTTTTCCATGTCTTTACATATACAGCGCGAATTCGAAATCACTGTCAGGCTGATACAGTCCAATCTCATGGGCTTCTCATTCATCTTTATTGGCGCCCTTCTCCTCAGGGTTGTCCGCTCACCCATGTTGCTGGCGCAGTCTGCAGCGCCGACCATTGATACCGTTATCATTGGCCTTCTCTGCAACTATGTTTTTGACATTGCAAACCAAGCCTCTTCACCTGAAGAAGACTATTTGAATAAACCGAGCCGCCCAATTCCTGCTGGCCTAATCAGCATTGGCCAGGCCAAGGTTCGGTGGGTGCTAGCATGGACTCTCGGACCGCTATATATATACTATTGTTTCGGTATCTGGGCCACTTTACATCTTTTGCATTTTCAAGCGCTCACATTTGCATGCTATGTGTGGCCGCGGTGGTATCCATGGTTCATGCGCAATTATTTCGCCTCGTTTAGTTATCTTATCCTAACGCGACTTTTGAATCAAGTGCTTGAAAGCCATGGGCTCGGTTGGGATATCGGTGTCTTCATTGATCTCATTGTTACTATCTGGTTCTTTGGATCAATGCAGATACAGGAATTCTACGACATCGATGGAGATCGAAAGAGCGGCAGAACAACTCTTCCGATGCTGCTCTCTGATCGCGGCCTGACGATGTTGCGAGCCGGCACGTCAACGTTCATAGTTGCATCCAGTTCAGGATTGAGTCTTATTCCCTTTTACACAAAGACGTACGGTGTATTGGCCGTGTCGCTGTGCGCTTTGCAACAAATTCTATCTTGTGTTCTTGCATATAGAATACTGTTGTCAAATTCGGTTCGCATGGATAGGGCTACGTATCATGTTTACTATTATCCAACTGCTCTGTCACTTTTGTTATTCTTGGGTGTAATAATCTAGACATAGATGAAAATGGATTTCTGATTGCCTGAGAATTTTAAACTCAGCGTACATGTACATAGAAACCATCGGTGCATTTTTACCCTTGTAATAACCACGATATATTATTTCCTCTTGAAAGAATTAGCTCTTATATCCCTTTACCCATGTTGCACTTTTATTGGCCACGGTATGCTAACTGCTGGCTTCTAGTAACAGATGTAGATGAGTGGAAGTCAAATTATTTTTGCCTATTTAGGAAGACTGATACGTCACAAACGAAAGAAAAACGAGAACACTCAAACTAATACGCCATTAACGGGATCCGCTCTTCCGCAGGGCTCGACTATTGTGGAGGTGGCTTTCGTCGGGAAACGGGTGTGCACAGCCTTGATGGAAAAATGGATACATAAGAAAGGGAAATATAATCCGTGTGACATTCAAGACAGTTTCTCTCTACAGCCGCTATCTTGTAATTCATGGTAGGGCCACCTGGGACTTTTACTACTACGTCTTGCTAAATCAGCCAGTGTCTTCACGAGCCTGCTTTTATTGAAAGACGGCATTGATACAAACGTTTGAACGATTTTTTATTCTCTTCCCATTTATACAAAGACATAGTTCAGGCATAAGCAGCTCTAACAACAGAATTTGGTCTCCCACCCCCTATAAATTTCCCTGGTTAAAGCAGTACAGAGCACCATCTGCATTCCCAATCACATTATCTTCAACAATGTTAATAAATACAATCATTTGTTATGCTGCGATCAACTTACTCGTATCTATCGATGTGTTGACATTGGCACCCCCTGTGTTGCGACAGCTGGCACTGAGTACCGTGCCTGTGAGTATTATATTCGTACAAGACGAGTGAAAAGAGCCACTATACATATGCACGTGAGCGACTGTGTTGAAGGGATCGACATTGAAAGGTAATGCTTACTTTAGCTGAGCAACAAGGGCTCCGTTTGAGTTGCTAAAACATGAGTCGATGTTGATCTTGGTATTAAGATTGGTCTGCCCCGCATTGTTTTTGCAATCCGCAGCAATCTTCCAGTAGTTGGTATTGCCGTCGGGAGGATATATCTGTATATTTGTGCAACTGCCTGCGTAGCCCGAGTTGGCGGATGCTCCCGCTATGAACTGGCCCAAGGCAACAATTGCCAGCGCAGCGAAACTCTTTGTCTGCATGGTGTGCGATTACAAAAGCGATTCGCAGTTACTACACACTAAACCAGCGTAGAGATCGTGGGGATGGCTTTTTCTTAATATACTGGAGCACTGCCAGATCAGGAAGCCAACCGGCTTCGCAAGCAGTGGTCTGCACTTTCTACTAGCCCTCTCAGCTGGTTCAAGCAGCAGGGATAATATCAAATCAATATCTCTTCTTTTCATAACCCATCTAAAGAGACATGCCAAATAAATTCGATAGCCTGTCCCCTCAGTTGGAACCAGGGGCTTGGTGAAATGATTCAGGTACCAAAACTATCGCTTTCGAAGCTCCCGGATGCGTATTCGAAACCCCGGGTTTCGGTAGCATTAGGCAGCCATAATAGCCCTGTAAAGTGTTGCGAGAGAAAATTTGGCGAATAGAAGGATTCAGAATTGCAGTGTTGAGCCTAGCTTCTAGCAACTATGTGGGACGAAGGAATATAGACACACAACCACTTGTCAACACCTTCCACCTTGAGCTGGCCCAAAAAAGGAACTGCCTGTATCTTTTAATGCTGATATTAACTGTTGATATTTGCTGAGTCAGTTGGCCCCGTAAGGAGGTAAGAAGCCGCCACTTCTTAATTGTAGTGGTGTAGACGAGATGATGTTGAGGGCGCCATTCTGGTTTCCGTCCCTATTTTTTTGTAGCCGTATTACATTCGCCCGTTATGACATGCAGATGATACATAATGGCATCAAATGTAAAGCCAAGAGAGCTTGGGCTTCCTCATAGCACTATTCTCCGAGCCCACAGCTCACAGCTCTCCACAAATTCGCGAAATGGAGTTTGTAAAATGGTCCAACTGCTGGGGTCTCCCCCGCAAATTGACATGGAAGATGAGAAAAACTCCCGCGCCAATGAGAACATGCAAATACTTCAATGGCCAGGACAGGAGCAAGTTGAAATCGGATGCATGATTGCTACTTGTCCGCACTAGGAAGGACAATCCATATGGCTATATTCTGCGCGAATAGATGACTTTTAGCGCTTAACGTTGCCATGGATGCATCTGCCGATATTCGCTGTCTGTGTGTCGGCTCTTCGGTAGGTGTTGATACCTTTCTCAATGCACTCGAATCGCCTGCCGCCATTTTTCTGGCTCTACTGGAATATGGTATCAATTTCCATGCAGCTCATGACCGCTGTCTATCGACAAGTTCAGGCTTCATGTACGCGCAAAGTTTGTCGTGACGGTGTTGATGGCCGAAGCTGAGAAGATGAATCGGAGTCAGCTGCAGGGGCTTATAAGTGATTGTACCCTTCGGAGATAAAGCGTGTTTATCATCGGCTCTGGCGATCAATTCTTAGTGGGATCTTAGCCTTGCCATGAGTGCCTCAAGGTGGGCTGACAACTTCACCATCGCATCAACATCGGGCCTTCACAAACAGGCTGAATCAATACTAGTGCCAGCCATGGGAGGATTGTAAAGGAATGGGATACATGCTCTTCGCCTTGTTAACCTGCCGGCTCCCCTGTCTCGTATATGATCTACACTACAGGGAGTTGCTGCCTGGGAGCCTCGTGACTACGGCATACCGGGATGGGAGACTTCTTGACAAATGCACCCTCACATGCATGGATTGCCCTGATGCATAGAGTATTCCATCTTCAATCCAAGGAGTATTATATGCGTATTGAGGTGGCTATGAAATTAAAAGGAAAAAAGGACATAGGTGGGCATACATTTAGATGTCGCGACACCCACATCCCTTAACGTGGGAGGCGGTTCTGTGAGACTTGTCGTTGGATCGAGTTATATATTTGGCCATTCTTGACAGACACCATGGCAAGAAAGACGCTTCTTGCTTTGACCGCCTTGGTAGCGGCTGGAGCCTATGCCGATAACACGTCCTACGATGTCAATGCTGGCTGCTCCAAGTACGCTCCTTCATAATTCCGAGCTTCCTTCATTGAGCTTCCGCCCAATGGCTTTTATTTGTGGTCTGTACTAACGATTCGCTTCCAAGTGACCAACTCCTCCGATGGTACGACGAAGACATCGGCCTCTTCCTCTATCCCGATGGCGCCTACTACTTCTGGCAAGCCGGTGTCATGATCACAGCAGTTGCCAGCCTGGCTGCGCTCGATAGTGGCGTCAAGAGCAGGACTGCTGGGATGTGGCAAAACACCTATCTCAAGGGAGGTCAGCCTTCTCACGGTGTCATACAATTGGACAGCACCGGCCGTAAGATTGTTGTGCCAAAGGGATCAGCGAACAGCGTTCCGGGCAAGTTCAGGAAGAGAGAACAAGGCTTTCTAGCAAGTCACTAGTAAGTGCTTTGTTTGCCTAGAGAACAAGACCTGATTGAACGGAGGCTGATGGACAATGAAAATTATGTAGCGACGATGAAGGTTGGTGGGGATTGGCATGGCAGGACGTCTACGATATCACCGGAGTTCAGGATTACCTCACGGAATCCATTGCCATTTGGCAGGATATGAACGCCGGCTGGGGCAATCTCAACTGCGGTGGTCTCCCTTGGTTCAAAGGCGAAGCCAAGACCGACAACCCACTGGCCATTCCCAACGGTATGTTCTTTCATCCTATCGCAGGCGACAACGGGAAGATATGAGAGGCTCATGGAATAATAGAGCTGTACCTTGCCATCAGCGCTGGCCTCGCCAATCGAGTCCCCAGCAGCCAGAAGCAGACATACCTGAGTGCCGCCCAGACAATTTGGGCCTGGTTCCAAAAGGTCGGCTTCGTCAACAGCCAAGGCCTTGTCAACGACGCTGTCAACGGCAACACCTGCGTGAATGACAACAACCAGCCGACCTGGACCTACAACCAGGGCGTTGTCATCGGCGGCCTTGCAGACCTCTATATCGCCACGGGGGACTCATCCTACCTCACATCGGCCAGTGTCATTGCCAATGCCACCATGGCTCATCTGGTCGACAGCAACGGCATTCTTGCCGACAGCTGCGATCTGTCGCACAACTGCAGCGGTGACAACCTCCAGTTCAAGGGTGTCTTTGCTAGAAACCTCCAGAAGCTGTACCAAAGCCAGCCTTACCCTGCCTACAAGGCATTCCTGGAGAAGAACGCCCAGTCCATCTGGCAAAACGACCTCGCTGTGGAGGCTGGCGATTGCTTTAATGGTGCTGATTGGGGCGGTCCCTATGTTCTCGGCTCTGCTACAGCCAGCAGCCAAAGCAGCGCCCTTCAGTGTCTCGTTGCTGCCCTCTATGTCTCTCAGAACTAGAGTCAGTGAGTATGCCATAACATGTAGCTAAAAATAATATATATAAATGTATGCTTGGGTTCACCTTTCTCTGAGACGTAGCCAACATGTTATTCTTATTCCTATGCGTTTTTTGTAAATTATTCAAGGCCCCGTTTTTCCTTGTCCAGCCGCCTAGCCGAAGCCAAGCTCACAAATGGCAACTCCCTATACTCTACTGTTTCAGCAAGTCAATGATATATCGTATATTGCCAATATATATGGATACGTCAATCGAGTTTCGCCCTATTAAACTGGGACGCTAGCTAATAAAACCAGAGGGCTAGATGACAATGCCTTCAAGATATCTTATGCATGTGGCATATAACTCAGAGATTTCTTCTCCTACCCTCTACATACTGAGGAACTAGCTGCATCGAATCAGTAACTCCATAAAAACTGTTCAAGTTACAGATATATTCATGAAATCTTACATGCCTATGAAGTAGAGAATGAAATGCTAGCTCAGAGATAAATTAGATCATTCTATTAGATACCAGTTTGCAACATACCCTATGCTTGCTTTGCGACTGTCAGGAACGTCGCCTTACTTCAAACTGTGGAGATCAAGGCCTGGAGTCACAAGCAGTGAAGAACGACGTAATGTTGACCTTGTTTTAATTTTGAAATGTTACTTTACTACTTGGTCGTATCAATCTCACCCGCACCTCTTTCACAGCATCTTTCCTTTCTCCCATGGCAGTCAAGGCACTAATAAAGCACAAGTTAATCGCAAGTAATCGCCCCGGCTGAGGTGTTCCTATGACTGTTGCCAATTCACAATTAATTTTTCGAGTACAATAATAAAAATCTAGTGCCAATGTAGCTTCATTGTTATTCCAAGAGGGTTAATTCTACTTCGAACCTCGTCGATGAGGTGCTGGAGAATGTCCCAGAAGTCAGCCTTGGGCTAGATAGGATAGCTGTAGCACCGTCTAAAAAAAGCTTTTAACATAGACAGACCAAGTAGAGAAATGTTCAAGCCGTGGTAGTCGAAAGGAGAGCGTCTTTCGGAGTCGTATGCTGTGAAACAGATTCCTTCGGAATGATATGCTCGGGAAGAATCGGGAAACAGGGCCTGAGAAATACAAAGTAGCTAAATATAGATTATTTGTCATATTTTGGCTTTTAGGGAGTGAATTACTTTCTAAGGAGCGGTGAGTACGAGTACCTGGGTTACAATACACAAAGCGAAGCAACACAAAGTGGGCAGCTAATGCATGCAGCAAGCAACACGGCTTCCGCTGAGTCTCGCCCAAAACTCTGCTCGGCCCATTTCCCAAGGGTTGTGTCACCAAAGTCCGTTTCAAGTATATGTATGTATTGGGGGCGGATTACCTCTACAAAGGTAAGAAAAACAGGTTTTTAAAGTCGTACAAATAGATGTGTGACGCCTTGTAGTGCAGTCGGTGAAGGATATATATACTTTGGTAAAATACAAAAGATACAAGTCTAAAATCCTGGCAGTATACGAGGTTTCCGTACGAAGATTCTTAGAAATATCACTGGTCTTTGGCCTACTTCGAAAGATTTATATCAAGCACGCAAAATTAACAACGATGGAAGCTAAGCCCACGTACCATCTCCCTCCAAACTTCTCAACCCCGCCTCCTCCTGATGGGCCATTCCATCTTGGAACGGTACTACGGGATTTCGAGAAGAAAGAACAGATGCGACCACTTAATCAGGAAGACTCGCAACGAATTCCGATTCCCAAGAAACATGAAGACGTCAAAAAAGGTTTTACAGCAACACGGAAGAGGATGAAATCCGGTGAATTTGGCTTGTGGGCCAAGTTCATGGGCCTCAATGGAGTTGGAGGGGAGGCCAAGATTGCTGCAGAGCGACATGATTCTGACAGGTATACACTTTCAATCCATCATAGTTCCTTGAAATATGATTTGCTACTTTTATGTTTCTGCAGCGAAAGTAATACGTGTCTTCACAGGTACTCATTCGAAACCTTCGAAACACAGTTCTTTTATCCTACCCCTGAATACATCTCAGATTGCTTCAAGCTCTCAGATGTGGATGACTACTTGCAAGGTTCGCGATATAAGAAGGCCGTGTATTTGGTCACTGGACTCAAGATTGGCAAGGGAGTGACCGTGGGAATGAATAAAAAGACTAACATGAACGGTAACCTTGAAGGGAGTGTGAGCAACCCTGGAGGGGTCAATGCTGAGGCGGGCATGAAGTTAAGGGGAAACTTGGAGCATGACTCTGTCTTCACTTTCACAGAGTCAAGTGACATCGTTATTGGCATCCAATGTGTCAAAATCTATCATGAGAAGTCGGGATTCTTGGGCCTATTTGGGGAAAGGGAGATCAAAAGTGAATATGTCACTGCCGGTGCTACATTCTATGGCGAGAACTCCAGCAACTCCCCAGAGACAAATGCAAAATTTGTTGTCGTGAAGCCTGAGGATTACGATATACCAGATCTGGCTTGTTATTCGGAGGGTGATGAAATTTGGATGGTACCTAAGATACTAGGAGCTTAGACTTCTTAACGGCGCTCTCTCTCTCTCTCTCTCTCTCCGTGAAGGAGAATTTGGAAATCCGTATTTATTTTATGTTTATTGGATACTCGCTCTTCAAGCAAGAAAATTGATCCCTCATATCTCTGTTTTGTCCTCGCGTAAATCTTGTGTAAACAACACGCCAGGTATCACTAGGTTGTCACAAGGCTAATGGTAATGATAAATTTGTAAGTCATACCAAGTGGAAAGTAAGCTATCCGGTTGGCATTTTAATCAAAACATCTCATGTATAAGCAAGTGGAATTTGTATTCCAACATGCTATTAATCTCCGGCACAATATAATCGTAACCGCCGCGCGGCTGGATACCCTTTCCGGCCATGAGCTGAAGAATTTGACGAACTCCATTGTATTTGCGGAGCATATTCTGCTGATGTTCGCTCAAATCGAACTTACATCTGGCCAATTCAAGCATATTCGCTGCAAGTGATGCGGCAATAGGCGTGGCAAAGGACGTCCCGGAAATAGCAATGGCTTCTTTGCTCCACTTCGACGGCACGGCTATACCTAGCGTCGAAAAGTTGTCGCGGTTCTTCATCGGCGTGGGACTGATCCCACCATCGTTGCCCATGCCATCGCTCGCATGGATTGCCAGGACACCATCACCCCTCTTGGCAGGGTATACACGCAATTCGTTACCACCGCCATTAGCAGCTGCGGCGAAGATGCTGATTTTGTTCTCTATCGCCGTTTCTATCGCCTTATCTATCGCCTCGTCTAGGGCATTGATACCATAGGACATTGAAATTATATCAACCTTTTTTTGGATAGCCCATGTGATAGCCTGGCAAAGACCTGCTAGTCAGCGTTCATATAATCCTTTTTCGCCTCTTTCGTTTATTGTGACTAACCCTTGCTATGCGGTGAAGATTTTGAGGTTCAATGGTACGATCATTAGAAATCTTGGCTATAAATATTTCTGCTGATGGGGCTGCATTCAATATCAACCTGGTGACATGTGTCCCATGGCCGTAGAAGTCTTCGTAATCAAGAGGATCCGGAAGTGAATCAAAGTTGTTTACGAATCCACAACACTCCTTGATGCGGTCGCCTTCTTCGATGGCAGTTTTTATTAAAATGTCATTCGTCGTATCGATACCAGTATCAAGTATCGCAATCCGAATCTTCTGTAGTCGCCAATCATACGATTCAGAGATATTTGAGCTCTCTGTGACGTTTTGAATATAGTCTGCGGATGCTTGAAGCTTGTCCATGAATACTTCTGCGCGTTTCCTTTGTCTAAAAAATCAAGAACCTGTCAGTATCTTTCTCTAAAAGCAGCTGGCGGTGGCTGCTGCTTACTGTAGAGTAGTCGATGTCGGCTCAGAGCCATCAAAGAAAGCCGTATTAGTAGCAGGCCTTGACAATGGAGGCGTATCGTTCTTGAAGGCTGAATAATTCTTAGCAGATGGCGGAAATCCATTCATTCGATGTAGAGAATTGCTGAACTTCTGAGTAACGAGGCGAAAAAGAGGTGCGACGATGTTCTTGTAGATTGCTCCAGTTCGCCTTATTCCTCCGTCAATTAACGGGTCGTAAAAAATCTCCAAACCGTCCGGGAAATGGAGACAGGCATTAGCAATACTCCTGTAGCTGTCTTCAACTTCTCCTACCCATTCTTCCAAGATCTTTTTTAGGATGCTGCGAAGGGAGTGAGCATTATAATGACTGCTTCCGCCTGTTTCTGTCCGTGGTGCGACTCTGCCAGCTTCTGTCTCCATGAGAAGAATACCAAAGGATAAAATTGCCAAATTTTCATCTTCTTCATTGCTTGGCGCTGATAGAGTACAATTGAGGTGCGGCTTCCAGTATTTCGACGCATTGGAGTCCCCCTTTGCCGCTTGCAATGAGATTCTATCGCCATGTAACCCAAATTGAACCCAATGGCTACCATCAAGATATATTAGTGAACAAGCAACGAGGAATTGAAGCTCTGTCTTGTTTTGTGCCTCGAGCCCGGGATATCGAGAGATTTCGCCATCGCCTGGACGAAATGTCAGTTCGCGGAGTGTAGGACCCATAGGTGCGTCATGAGTCTCATTATCTTGATATGTGACGTCTTGTTTCATCTCTATATCGTCATATCTAGTGGTGATCTTGCCCTGGTGTTGAGCGCAGGGCAATTGCTCGGCTTGGTAGTGCTCGGCATTTGTCATGGGAAAGTTCATCCTATTACGCTGTTAAACCTAAACCAAAGCAAAATTGTTGTAGAGAAGTCACCTAACCATCTATAGGCGGCTGAGTCCAAATTTGTGACCCCACAAATAGTACTTATATATACTTCAAAGCTGTTGTTGTCTGTATTTGGAGAAAGGAAACCTGACAGGTGTAGGTAAGCCGAATGGGCTTGTCTACAAAGAAGGTTTCCTGCAAGTAGGCTATATAATTTTCGAGCTAGGCCGTTTACATAGTTCGCTTGCTTGATGAATTGTACTGCATCAATTTTGAGGTACTCAGTGTTCCTCGAATGTTTTTGTAGTGGTTGGACGGGTTGGCCAAAAAGCCTGCTGTATACAGACCAGAACTCATTTATATTCAAAATAAATTTATTCAAATCGCTTTTGCAAAGGTCGAAAAAATTGATCGGGCGAGATAGCTCCAGTATGAGCGTTTGCTGTTTCTTAGAAAATGTGGCGGGCTGTTGAGGGGCGAAGTTGACTTTGTTTAACTCATCTTTCATAGCCATGAGATTCGCAAAATTGAGATTCAGTTGTTCGTACTGAAATAAAATTAGCGGCATATCATATATATATCAGTAGGCATAATACTTACCTCCTTCGGCTCAGCAAAGGAAGTACACTCTGTTCTCTGAACCGAGTGGCCATGAGCAAAGCTAAGTGGGGCTAAGCGTTCAAGTATTTCTAGCAGAGAGTAGAGAGATTGAGAGAAACTAGAGTCATCCAATATTGTGTGATCCAGGCTCCTTTTTGGTAAAGGGAAAAACATTCGTTTAATACCACGACAGGTTGTGGCAACATGGCGCTCCGTATAATGCGTGTAGTTTTCAGCACCATTTTGCTGGAATGCTTTGTAGAAAACAGGACGGGTCGTGATGAAAAGCTCCCACAATATGGAACCGGAGACTTTTTCGGTTTCTTCATGTTTGTAAGAACCCACATGCTTTTCAGAGCTCATGAAGGACTGTGGCTCGGGCAGTTATGTGCCTCTGCGACTAGGGCACCCGTCGTCGACTATAGGGTCAAATCTTTGTCGAAAACGTAACAATTATTGCAATGATTTCCTTTCAAGCAGTATAAGAAAAAAAAAGAGAGAAGTAGGACAGGAGGCACTATGATGGGAATCGCTCCTACGATGGCCAGCTAATACTGTGGTAACGACAGAGTTTCTAGGAGAACGGGGGAACGTCGCTACTAGCGACTAAAAGAAGTCCAGCGAAAGAGGGATTTTTTATTTGTACAACAGGGTACAATGTAAGTTCGGAAAATTGCTTTGTCCTACTAATACTTTCCGAATGACTTCTACGGCACGAGAATCAAGAGGTATAAGAGAGTAGTACACATATAAGCTGTCCTATGCTACCCCCTGTAATATATCTTATAGTAATAGGGACTTTTGTATTTATCTACTTATATTATATATATATAAAATATACCTATATAAAGCTCAGATTTCTTTCACAATCTCTTGTTCAGCCACATTCATCCTTTAATTGGGACTTGAACGCAGGTATAGGACCAATGCTTTCGTAGCGTATTCACTTGTGTATAGTACTATGAACAACGCATTGTTATATTATGAACAAAGCGTTGTTGCACTATGGACAACGCGTTATTGAACTATAGACAACACGTGGTTGAATTATGGACAAATGGACAACGCGTTGTTGAACTATGGACAACGCGTTGTTGAACAATGGACAACGCGTTGTTGAACAATGGACAACGCGTTGTTGAACTATGGACAACGCGCTTCTGTACAACAAGTAACGAACACGCTTTGTATTACGTACATCATTTTTTGGAATATATAATACGTTGCACGACACATCCCGCATTCCGTATCAGATGCGACATTGCTATAGCTCACAGCCAAGACTCCTCAGCACAATTTCGTTGATTATCGCGTCGAGTAACACAAGTTACGAAAACAATTCAGTGTGTAACAGCAAGCCTCGATTTACGTCAGAAAAGCTGGCAAACCCAAGAATCCCACTGCGGCAGGAATGGTCACATGGTCTAACTGCTCCTAAAAAAAGAACGCAAAATTCAGAAGCGCGCTTCCTTTCTTCGTCAACAACAACAACTTGCAAATTCTACATTTCATTGGTCTCGTAACGATCTCGCAATGGAAGAAGCCAGCAGACAGGATGATACCTCCTCTTACGGCGATGATGACGTGGCAAGCTCGGATCAGGGCCACGTACTAAGCTTAGAGAGCGAAGATGACCTCGAGTTTGAAGCAGATGACTACGATAAGATATATAATAGGCACGTCTCTCATTTAGTTGTGGAGTGCGTCGGGCTGTTTACTCGCCAAATGAGTCAGAAGAATTCACCATCTGCTTCCGACAAGCCGGACACCACCGTTAAAAGTCAGAAAGAGATCGCCGACTTCATAATACATATGAACGATACTTTCAGATGTTGGATGGCAGAGACTGCTGATCTAGCTGATAGCATTATTCATGGCCTGGACTCACTCTTTAACGAGTACAGAGATGTGAAAGTCATGCTCATAGGTACTCTTGAAGTGCTTATAGAAGATTTAAAATACGGTATGCCTCTCCCCTACGGATATCTATCAGTCATATTTCTGGCTTATAGACTAATTATGATCAGTGAGCTCAGGCGAAACGGAGCGCTTATACACAGGGTATGGGGTACTTGAAGGCATTCAAGTTGGCATTAAACAACTATACAGCCTGACAAACATGATTCGAGAAGCATCTAGACAGAATGATGACCTCAACTTCGACATGTTACTCCCATTTGACAAAACCGCGGACGTTAAAGATCGCATGTTTTCCATTATTAGGCAAATGTTCCCCCATGCTCGGCGTTCGCTCTGCGATCAACTCGCCTTATCCGTTGCGATTCGCCGACGACGCTTACGTCGCACGTTTAAAGATGCCGACAGGTTGAAGGCCAGAATAGCTCGAAGAGCATGGAGCCAAGCCAATACCAATCAAGCATATCCAGGCCGCATCTTTCCGCCACAGCTATCTGAAACTCTGCCTTTTTACACGCTTGCTCCTTTGCCACATAATATTAAAGGTAGTACTGCTTCCACAGAATTAGTCGATACGAGCAAAATGCTGAACGTTGGTATAGCCTACAGCGGCGTAAGTATTGAATCAGCTTTTCCAACTATAAGTATGGAGTCTTCCGTGCGCCTTCCTACGTGTAATTACCCTCCTACACTTCATCTTCCACCAGATGCCACGGACGGTATATGCTCGTATTGTGCACAGCGGACGACTCCCTCATTTTTGAGCCGCCACCCTAAGGCCTGGGAGTAAGTATCCCCTTCTCGCCCCTACAATCTTAGCCTATATTCTAACGAGTCTATTTCAGACTTCATGTAAATAGAGACGTGAAGCCTTTCGTCTGCCTTTCGGAGCAATGTCGCTCTCCGGTGCTCTTCTTCGCTAGTATGGAGCGATGGATCGAGCACATGAATAAAATGCACTCATATGAGTGGACTAGGAGAATTCACCCAGCCTCCTGGATCTGCGATACTGACCATGATGCCATCCAATTCAAAGACGTTGAAAGCTTTCGAGAGCACATGAATGACAAAGACAGCCATCTAATTACTCCGGATGGGCATGAACTGGGTGTTCTCGAAATTGAGCAATGGAGATATCTTCCTCACGATGAGTATTTGTGTCCTTTATGCGATTTTACTCTAGATATGCCTAAGCGGACTATCTCGACCGATGTCGCAGAGGATGATCCATATCGGCCGCTGCACGAGCATATTGCTGGTCACCTCAAAGATCTCGCTGTCCTGTCTCTTCCAATTCTGGATACAACCGAAGGGCCTGAAAATCTGCCAGACAACTATAAAGCCGAAGGAAAACGCAACTGGCTAAAAGAGGGCAAGAAAGAATCTTGCCCAAGAAGATATGACCAAGAAGTCTGCGATACATTCGTCTCTGACGTCCAAAGAAACAGCCGTGTAAGCCACGAACATGGACTCCTGACGCGAAGTAAGAGCGAACCTAAACACTTGGCCTACCCCACGAGAAATAGCTTCGATGAAGAATTCACGGTCTACCCCATGAAGAACAGCTTTGAGGAAGAATTCGGGACCTACTTTAATACGTTGCAAGTATATACTGCGTACGGAACTTGATACGATGAGTCCATCTCTTTTTAAACGCCAAATAAAATAAGGGTGCTAGGAGTCATCGAAGTCGTCTCGTAGAACGGTAGTTTAGGAGTTAGTTGTAGTTGTTAGCTGAAGATTGATAATACATATGCCATTTTGTTTTCTGTTTTACCACTGAGTTCTAAGTGGTCCATATTTGAATCCCCTTTCCATTATTTTACAAGCTGGGAAAGCCAGCTTCTCACCGCGATCTAAAAATATCAACTAGGTATATAAGTCTACTTCCTACGCTTGATGATTCTGACCGCCGGTCGTTAACACGCAATGAATATCGTAGTACGATATACTAAGTCTTTTCAATGGCGGTATTCATTTTTACCATTACCCGTAGATAGTCCTGCAGTCTTTAGTATCTTTACTATACTTTAAATTTAGACATCCAGCTATCTCGTTCAAGTTGAGTTACAATGACAACCTTGTAGATACAATTACTCTGTTGGCATGCTCAGAATCAACTGGAGGAGTTTCTGAAAGTACAATATTCCTGTCCGCCAGACACTGTCAAACTCTATGTCTCGTGCAACTTGAGAACATAAATACAAAGCTGGCCCGAACATCGAAGGGCGACGCGAAGAAAAACAATCGGCTACCTTGCTTCGACTAACCGCAACTAACTTGCTATTACACGGTCTGTACGCCATCTAGAGCTTTCTGCTCTCTCCAAATCTGCTGCAGCGAGATCGGCCTAACGGCCTGGCTTGAAAGCTTTAGGTAACGAATGGCATCACCGTGAGATTTGATATCAGCTTCATTCAGCCGTTCTTGAACCAAAATGAGTCTCCAACACTGTACCGATGATGTATTACGGCTTCCCAAGCCTGGATTGTAGATGATTCCAAGGTGAAATCCCATGTGTCTCTCCAAGTAATTGTAGCATGTTGTGTGCTGCGAGACGCCTGACACTTGAAGAGCGCCGCCAGCTCTCTTGTTCCATTCCCAATTCTCTATTGTTTCCAGCCGTGGCATCTTCATGGCCTTTTTCGCCATTGTCTGAAGCATAGCTCCAATCTCGATCGGATTCTCGTCGGGTGCAAGTAGTTTTGAAGTAAGCAGAAGCTAGATGAGCTTCGACCACACCGGAAGGGGCTCAATCTCGAAAATTGGTCTGGCATCTATGATGAAGGATGCCGCGACATGTTCAAGCCTGAGGCTGGTGACTGCGATCATCCGGCCAACAGCTGGGTCTGGAATGCGTATGCTACCGCATCCAGTCAAATCAACTGCTTGAAAGCCAGGTAGTGTTGATCAAAGTTCTTTCAAGTTCTCGAAGATGACAAGCCTCTTGAGGTTAAAGTTGGATTGTTGGATAGACCTAAAAGGATATTCATACCATACGTAACAGATGCAAAGTATTAGCAATAGGGCATCTGGACATTGGCGCAAGTATAAAACAATACTCACTTCTATCTGTGTCTCTTCTGATATAGCTCCATCCCCTCCACGGCTCGTAATGAAGCTCCTCAAGTCTGGGAAAACGAGCAAACATGTGTGCAAGCGTGTCAGGCCTCCATCTCCGACGGTTCTGTTGCCGGAGAAGCAAGTTGGTCACCACGGGCACCGATGGAAGCTGATCCCACCATTATGGAGCTCCAACTTTTCACTCTCAAACGGCTCCTCGTCCATAATTGCATGGAATGTTCTGTGGAGAGCCTTGTCATGCGGAGCAGAGTATCCATAAACACCAATCCAGCCATGTTGAGGATCATTTTGGACTTAGTCTAATGTCGTCTGCTCTATAACATCATCAACTAGCTCATCTAAAGAGATGCTAGGCATAAAAGTAAGATATTTGAACCAATGTCTTGAGCCGTTGGGCGAGTAGATACTGATATCGAGCGCCAAATGGCCGTGAGGATCCCATGTACTGAGGATCGAGAACATTCTCGAATGCTGTGGTGATAAGACAGCGGGTTGTATCTATGATGGCATCCATTTCTACCATTTCGTCTTCCGTGAGCCTTCCGGTAGGCGCACACTTGGTGCAATCATAGTCCTGGAAGTCCAAGCAGAACCAGATATACTTGACGAGATCCCGGTTGTGATAAACCATCAAACCAAAGCGTCAATTTGATTCGAGTAAAATTATATCGCTCGACCTCTGCTTGCCAATCTCGAGATACTGTAGGCAAATGACTCAACGTGTGGCCGTCTTTTACCAGGGCTTTTAAGATATGAAGCCGGATTTCTGTTGGCAAGCAATCTAGTGTTGTAACACACTACTTTTGCCTTAATAGTGAAGACATTGTGTGATAAACTGAAGTAGTGATGCGCTTGGCAGTAGTGTAATGCAGAAATATACGTTGGCAGATGTAAATTTGACCATGTACAAGCGTTGTGATTGGAGAGAGATTTTTATAAAAGGAGAGACGAGAGATTTATACGTTTCTAGGTCTCTAATTATCAATTGTGGGCATGTCTCTTCGGTTAGGTCCGGTGGCTTGTTGGCCGGAGAAAAATTGTGGCTCCTATCTCTCATATGGTCGATTGTTCCAAAGTTAATCTGCAAGCTAATTCGCCTCGTATATTGAATTTGAACATTGAATGACTGATGTGCGCCGAGGCGAATAATTAGAAGAAAAAGGCATACGATTTTTGTATGAATAGCGTTTGAATACAGTGAATGCGTCAGGTTTACAACTAGACTGCATTGTACAAATGGAGGCTTCCTTCAGAGTGGGAGCGATGATAATGCAAACGATTGACTGCCCTGTGATGATACATACGGTACTATATACGCTGTTATAGCATCACCATATATGTGAGAAATTTGTACTAGTGTGTTTGCACAGTAGTCGGGTAGCTCTATGCCAAGTTTTTCCTTTTTGTTCTTCCATTGCAAAGAATAACTTATTAGCATCTCCTCTCATGTTGATATCAACCCCTTCCTTGCCTCGACTTGGCGGACCTAGCAATATTCTCAAGCCTGTCATTTCTCGCATCATCTTCAGGCAACAAACTTACATGTGCTATAATGCACATTTCTTTTGCAGCTCAATAATAATAGCTTCACCATCCACAGTTGCACAATGAATGCCCAATATGCTGACCAGATGGTTGCACCTGGATCACCTTGACAAACACCGGCCGCATGTTTCATGTTCCATGTTTGAGCTGTCTAATTGCTCCGAAAGACGCCAACGTACGATCAACACAAATAGACAGCTCTTCACTCTTTGCCATGCCGAATGTTACCTCGTCCAACAGCGATGGCGTGTCCGCATTTACACCACGCACCAGCTCGCCTCGCTTGCCTCATCCGCTGCCTGGTTCAATGCTGAGCTATCAAGCAATGCTCTGGAGATGTAACATATAACTGCGCTACTCACGGGCACCCGAGGCAAATTGCTCTCGTTTGCCCAACCGGAGATGGAGCCTGTCTGTTAAGGTTAAAGGCAGCGCGAATCCATTCTGCAGCAAGGCGAGTTGCAGCGAATGACCACGCTTGTGGTAGCATGAAATTGTTGACTCTTCCGCCGTCTTTTAAAGGCGATCATTCAGCTGGTTCTCCAGGGTTGTTTTGGACCTCTTAGAGGAGGCCGTAGACATGTCTGCTGCAGTCACGACTCGTCAAGATGGCCTCATGCGGACATCAGGGGCGTCCTGACATGTACGGCTTGGGCATTCGACTGGGGATTTACATCCAGTGGCTCGGCGAGATATTGGTCGAATTCTTTGACGACGCAGATGTCTCTGATATCCGGCTCCTGGGCCTTCTTCTGTCCGGAGGCATCATTCTCGGATTACTCGTCGCAATTGCCAGCCAGGACGTCCAACCCGCCGGCGTTTACATCGTGCTTCAGCTCGCTGCCGGATGCTACATCTTTCTGATACCGATATATATCTGGAACACGCTCTCTTGCTGTGACCCCAAGTGGGATCCGCTGAAGTGGACGGGGGAAATCAAGATGCCGGTATATGGTATCTCGAATGTGATCCTTCTCACAGTCATCTCGGCCATTGGGATATGGTTCTTTGTGACCTATATACCGACCCAAGGGCGCCAGTGCGAGCAGTTCGGCTTCTTCTTCGCCAAAATCAAGCTTGACAATGCTGCCTTTGTAGTGGTCAACATCGTCATCTACGTGGCCATTATCCTCATCTGCGTAGCCATTGCGCTCTCTTGGACGGGATTCTGGGATGGCCAGTTCCTGGTACATCGGCGGCACCGCCGAAGGAGAAGCCATCGAACACAGTCAGCCTCACCTTCATCTCTCTCAAGACAATCTGGTATCTGACATGGAGCCATCAGGCAGGAGCGAGACGACCAAGAACGCATCGCAAGACGGAAACGCGCCAGGCAAGAACAAAAGGATCTGCTGCGGACCATGCGCGGCATATCGAACCTGGTCGTCTACGGGCTTCACATCGCAGCCATTGAGCTGACGCTGCAATGGAACCAGTTCGACAATACCAACGGGGTAAACACCAGCTCGCAGACGATTCCGCTTCTTGTCAGTCTCGGCATCTTGTTGCGCCTGATTGTATCGCACTACGCAACGAGAGTTGGCGGAAGCTCCGATGGACAATCTGCAAGTGCTGGAGATGAGCCTCAGCCTGTCGATCCAGAAGATCCTGGAGGCTGCACATGTCCGCGGATTCTAGCTCCAGCCCCAGCTCCAAATAGAGCTCCATGCAGAGCTCGTCAAGCCCGAGCAACACCTGCCGTAGCTCCTATCCCAGAGCTAGAGGTCCTCAACGAATACGTCGCTGGAATGGACATGGACGACGTGAGCGAGTACTTTGCTCATGGCTCAGACCCTTATTGGCTGGCCCGGATGGCGATCCAGAATCGTCAGATGGCAGAGCGGGCTGCAGCGATGGAGAGGCAGCGAGCGCGAGGGACGATACCGCGACCATCAAGGGTGCATTCTCGTGGCGTGACGGTGCTGTAGGTGAGAGTTGTAGGGACAAAGTTGGAAAAGCTGGTGGTGAGGATGGCATCAGAGCAGCAAGATGGCGGAGCTGCCTGAGGCATTATTACAAGAACACATTGCCCGAACCATGTTTTCAATATGCAATTGGAACTTTCAACCTCGTAATAATCAAGAATTACCTCTGTTTCCCGCTCTCCTCCTCTTTCCATCCCATTAATCCACGCAGCAATTAAATTCATCGAGACCATCAAGGTCGATCAAGGCCACTAGAGCCGCCACTAAAGCACCAGAGCACTAGAGCACTAGAGCACTAAGCCTTCCACTAAAGCCCCTGCCAACCCCGCAGCCTCGCATAGCACCCAAGCAACGCCAAAAGTAAACAGAGGAGAATCGGGCTGAACCACTTTTTTTTCTTAATACATCATCATCACCATCCCTACACCAACAACCTCTTTTCTCTCTCTCTCTCTCTTTCTCCATTTCCCCCAAACCAGCACCCACAGTCATGGAGACAGACATAAGAAAGGCGTCCTCAAAGACATCGGTACCCAAAGAGAAGCGGCCCACGGACAAGGAAAAGTCAAAGGACAAATCAAAGAGCAAGGGCAAGGACGAGTCCAAGGTGCACAAGCTGTCGCTCAAGGGCAGCTCAAGGCTAGTAGCTGAATTTGTAAGTCTTCCCTACAGAAATCTCCTTTGCCCAACTGTTTCAAATGCGCAGCTGCTGATTGAACCGTTTCTCTGCCTTTCAACAGTTCCAATACTCGATACATACGATCCTGTACGAAGACCTCCCAGAAATCGATAGCAAGCCCAAGACAAAGAACTGATCGCGTCATGCCAGATTCCAACGAGGCGTCTACCCAGCCGAAGACTTTACAGCGTACGATACCATCCTTCCTCTCGTTTCGGCTCAATTGATAGTCGCCACCAGCTAACACCCAACCTCGATCACAGCGTCAAGAAATATGGCCTCAATATGCTAGGTACACCATACGCCTCCCTTGCTTCCACCACTACTACTTTCAGACCCACTGACTCTCTCCTGTGTACGCGCCTCTAGTCTCGGCCGACGACCAAGTCAAAGCCTACATCAAGAAAATCATGAGCCAGCTCGACAAATGGATGGTTGGCGGCAAAATCTCCAAGCTCGTCATCGTCATCACTGACAAGGACACCGGCGAGCACGTTGAGCGATGGCAATTCGACGTACGTCATGCAATATCTCCTTTCCATTGTCCTCCTTCTCGATAACATCTGACAAAGAAACACAACAATAGGTCCAAATCTCAGCGCCAACCAAATCAAAATCCAAACCATCCACAACAGACCCCTCCCACGAACAAGACCAACAAGAAAACTCCTCCTCCGCCAACACCCCCTTCGCCGACAAAGAAAAGCCCGAATCCGAAATCCAGGCCGAAATCGCCGCCATCTTCCGTCAAATCACCGCCTCCGTCACATTCCTCCCCCAACTCAGTGGCGACTGCACATTCAACGTCCTCGTCTACGCCGACGCCGACAGCGATGTCCCCGTCGAGTGGGGAGACTCCGACGCCAAGGAGATTGAGAACGGCGAGAGGGTGCAGCTGAGGGGCTTCAGCACGGCGAACCACCGTGTCGATACGATTGTCAGCTACAGACTAGGGGAGTAATGGGATCTTTTTTTTCGATGGGAGTATAACAGGATAGAAAGGGGGAGGAGTCAAAGGTAAAGGGACTTATAACATTACAAAGATGAGGCTTCATGTCAGTTGGGTCGCCTGCTAGGCGTGACTTTGGGCTTCATACGGCGTTGAACGGGAATGGAATATATCGGTGCATCATAAAACTTCACAAATCTCTCGACACATTTAGATGTGCGGCTGAAGTTACGGGTCAAACATTTGATGAATATTCTCTTGGTATCGGACTCCCTTTGTGTGATATTTCATCTATTGGGTTACATTTCCCACTCATTCATGACTCCTCTGAACAAACAATCAACAAGCACTGCCAAGTCCTGGTAGCGCACTAAACGCCGCGTCTCCCATGCACCATCTACTCCAGAGAAGAGAGTTTTCATCTCCTCTTACGCTCTCTTGAAAAAGTACACATACGCAAACTTGCGCATCTCTTCGACATCGTGAGCCTCCACGACCTTTTCGTCGTTGAAAAGCACCCACGTGGGCGTATCTTTGCCTTCTAGCGACTTTCGAATAAAGGCGACGTAGTGGCTAAAGAACCAGTCAGCTGTTGTTCTCTACACATGTTAAAAGTTGGTATAAAAGGGGGAAACTCACCCGGCGTGGATACTGGTGCCCTTGTGGCACACAATGGACTGCAGTTGGAATTGTGCTGGGAGTGCTGCGCTTCCTGCAAGCTCCTTTTGAGACTTGTCGGCCGCACCGCCTGAGCTCTCGTCTTCCATGATGCCTTGGTCATCAGGGTGGCTGAACAGCCATTCAACAGCTCGTTCGACATCGCCGCCCGTTTCCTTCAGCGCCTTCTTGGCTTGGGGAGCACCAAAGCCCATGGCCCCCAGCATCTCAATCTTTTCGGGGTCAGCTGTGCCTGCGCTTCCCGATCCGGCACCCAGATCAAGAGGCGCATCAATGTCGGCATCATCGAGGTGTGCAAACAACCACTCCATGGCAGCATTAGCATCAGAGTTACCCGTCGCATGCAGTGCTTTCTCGGCGCGATTTCGCGGGAAGCCCATAGCCTCAAGCTGCGCAATACCAGCCGCGTCCGGTACAAACGCTGGGGCTTGGTTTTCAGGCTCCTCTGGTAAAAGTTCTTCGGAAGGCTGAAGTCCCTTGGAGAGATAGCTGTCCAACAAAAACGGCTCGTCTGGAACAATGACGGGGACATCAATCTTGATGGGAACCCAGTTGACCACAGCCATCTTTCGTGCATTGACAGCCAAAACGTTGGGGAAAGTCTTGAAGAGGGATTGCTTAGTGAAGCCTGCTTTGCTACCGCAAGATGAGCAAGTCAATTCGACCTTTTCAGGCGCGGTAAAGTTGTCTAAGCACTCCTTTAGAGTGACGGGCTTGTAGGCATTAGCTGTTTCAGCACCTTCACCTCCAGCATCAAGCTTCACCAATGGCACGTCGAGGAAGATGTTGTCCTGTTCGTTGGAGCTATACCTGACTTTGTGGCATCCAAGACACTGGAGTCGCTGCTCCAGGACAAATCGGAATTCGGCGGTAGGGTCCTTTTGGCCATTGTGCGGTGATCGGCTGATGAGCTTAAAAAGATGCTGGAACAATTCAAAGGCATCTTGCTGCCTCATCGTGGAAAACTCTTCGTGCCCTCTTCCTATCAAATGCTTGAACATTGCTGGCGCCAATCCTCTCTGATAGGCAACTTCTCCCGATGTCACAGAATTATCAGGCTCCGAATATCTTCCAGATAATAAACCATCGGCAATTTTTCTCAGCTGAGTCTCGATGTCGGCTGCGGGCTCCTGCACGATCGGCAAATCTTTATTGGCACCATAGTAGCGCTCCTGGAACGAGGGCATATCAAATAAGCACTGGATAATGCTGGCTAGATAGCAGCTGTTGCCGAGATTCTTCAGTCCAGTGAGGCCAGATCCGAAAACAGGCTTCAGCTCATGGCCATCTTCGGTCGTCATGCTAAAGTCCCATTTGAGATTTTGCTCAATCTGCATCTCCGTCAAGCTCTTTTCCGTCTTTTGTCGCTCGGCAAGAATAATTCCCCAGTGGGCCAGATGCTCGCCAAGCTGCTCGTCGATGCGCTCTTCGTCGCATCTATAACAGTAGATATCGGCGGTGCCTTCCGGAGTGATGGATCCAAGCTTGACAGCTACACCATGTCCAGACTCGTTGGCGTGACCCAGAGCGTGGGAATTGCCGTCGACGCCACCCATCTGCTTTCGGCCACAGCCTAGATTGCCACATTCCAGGCAAAGCCAGAGATTTTCTCTAAGGTCGCAGCCTGAGCAGTGGCCAAGGTCGCCTTGCTCGATCTTGCGGGATGGGTGCTGCTGCATGGTCAAGATGTGTTCGCATGACGTGAGCTCCTGCTCCCACGCCTTAACTTCTTCTTTTCGAGAAAAGGTGTGTGCTTTCAGGATGCCGTCCACTATGGGTGCAATTTTAGGATTTGTCATGTCCAGTTCTTGTTGACATTCGAGGCATTTGACACCCAGAGCCGTGTCGTATCGGTCCTCTTCTGTCTCGGCGGCGATGGCAAGCTTCGTGATCTTAGCCGGAGGTTCATCGCGGTCGATCGTCTTTCGGGTGCGGCGGATGTTTAGGGCAAGCGGGTGGCTCCAGACGGCGTTGTGAAGCAAGGAGTGCTGCCTCTCGGCGGTGCAGCCACCGTTGAAGCACTGGAGGCAGACATCGAGGCCTCCGGGGTTGTCCTATAGAGCCAAGGAAATTGTGAGTTTCGTCAACGGTCTCGCTTGAAGAGGGGGAATCTCCCGGTTTAACGCTACATACAATCGAGTCAAAGCACTGAGTGCAATCTTCCTTGTACACAGACTGTACAGGAGTCGGCGGCTTGAGCTCTATGACGAATAAATATGAGCTCTCGCGGGCTTGACAGGGCTTGGAAACAAGCTGAAAGCTGAAAGCTGGCGGGGTAAGGCATTGACGTACCGACAGAGTCGAGATGGGGGCACGACATGTCGCTGATGGTGGAGAGATACAACAGATGCAACAAAGCAAAACAGCGGCACAATGCACTGGAAGGAGGGCCGTTTCTACGCGGAGGAATCACGAAGCGTGCTTGTGTTGATGCAGCTTTTGGTGGTTGCTGTGACAAGGCGGAAGGCACCTACCGCATGCGCTGGGCGAGCGCTATCGATTAGCGATTAGTGTGGCTGCAGCAGCTTTAGGCGTCTGGGAGCTGTTAGGCTACCCCTCGATGACGGAGTTTTGGATCTGGAGGGGCAGCTTCTTGATGATTTGGGCGCAGACGGGATAGGACTAGCGCTGGGCTGGCACAGGTCTGTAGCAGTGGGACAGTGCTTCAATGCTCTGAATTGCTACCGAATACGTAAAGGAGTAGTACCTGTAGCATCAATAGCAGTAATAGCACCAATAGCAGTAATAGCATCAGCAGCATCAGTAGCATCAGCAGCATCAGTGGCTGCAGTAGCTGCAGTAGCAGCCGTAGCAGCCGTAGCAGCCGTAGCAGCAACACACATCATCAGCAGAGTTAGTAGCATCGGTAGCAATAGCCCATGCTGTATCCGTACCTAAAGAGTTGGATGATATAATTCACGTTAGGGTGCTGGATAACTTTCCCTGGACATGGATTAGATGACTCATGTCTGAATCTAAGAGATGGGCATATACATCTCTCAGTCTTGTTGCATTCAGATCCAGAACCACAAGAGCTCATCATCTCTGTAACATAAGACGGCCACTACGATTCATTTCACCCATTCCACCCATCATAAAGACCACGGCAGCATCTGGCAGCATCGCACCGGCGTAAATGTTGGACCGCGTCGCCACCAAAAAAGCAGCGGCTCTCCAGCTCCTCGGAGACGTGTCGAAATCCGAGCCGCTGCCCCAATTTCGCGTCCTCTGTCGCCAGGCCACGTGACAATTCCCCGTCTCACGTGCATCTTATCAGATTGATTTCCAATCGCTTTGCGGAGCGTTGACGACCTCTTTACGTACGGCAAACCAATCAGATAGCTGACTAAGGTCAGTGCCACGCTCCGATTGGCCGCAGGCTCCGACAAGGTCCGAGCTCCACGGCGCCGCACAGACGTAATGGCCGAGAGGGGCGCGCGCGCTGATTGGCCCGCCCGGCCATCGCTGATGAGATGCGCTGCACTGAGCCGAAATCGCCATCCCTGCTTTTTTGCGCTGCTGCTTTAAGCGGCGCTTTCTTTCGCCTCTGGCACTTTTTCGTCACTCCAACCTCGAATCTTGCCTCCGCAACCTAAACTTGCCAAACCTCTGCTCGACTTCAATCTGCTTGACGCCGATTCCATCAATTCGCCCCAAGCACACAAAGCCCAACTCCATCTGTCTCAGTACCGAGTTATCGCATCTGAGCAGGCTCTCGATATCTCTGTCGCTTTTTTTCATCTTCTCCGCACCAACACACACCTGCGGACCCTCTTGATATATATTCATATTCCTCCATTCCACAGCTCCAAATCCGCAAAATGTTCTCCAGAGGACTCCGCGTCGTCTCAAGGCGAGCCGCCATGGCCGCTCCCATCGCCAGACCAACTCTCGCCCCCCGCCAGCTCGCCCCCATCGCATCCATCGAGGCCCGGCGATCATATCACGAAAAGGTCCTGGACCACTACGCGCGACCGCGCAACGTCGGCTCCATGAACAAGGGCGATGCTGACGTCGGCACCGGCCTCGTGGGAGCTCCTGCTTGCGGCGATGTCATGAAGCTGCAGATCCGCGTCGACCCGGAGACACAGAAGATCTCCGAGGTCAAGTTCAAGACTTTTGGCTGCGGCTCAGCCATTGCTTCCAGCAGCTACCTGACCGAGCTTGTCCGCGGCATGAGCCTGGACGACGCTGGCAAGGTCAAGAACACTGAAATTGCCAAGGAGCTGTGCCTGCCTCCCGTGAAGCGTACGTATTAATAATGCGACATCAGCCATGACATAATACCCTGATCTTCACCTCCAGCCCCATATATGATATACATGACATATATTTATCCAGCCAATGCTAATTTTTGCTTACAGTGCACTGCTCCATGCTTGCTGAGGATGCCATCAAGTCGGCGATTTCCGACTACTACACCAAGAACCCCTCACGGAAACCCACCGACCTGAGCGGCACCAGCATGAAAATGCCCACTGCCGAGGCTATCGCGGCCTAGAGTGCGCCTGCCACCGGTGAAGACTGAAGATGGGGAAAATTAAAACGCAATGAATATTTTCTTATGTCTACGTTTGGGCATATTCTCTTTTTTTTTTAATGCCAGCAATGGTTCGGGGTGGGATTTGGGGAAGCGAGACAATCACTGAAACTGGGCGTGGGGGTCAACCGACCAAGAGAGAGAAAAAGAGAAAGGTGCAGATTGAAATGCTTCTGATGTCAGGACGCAGTTCCAGCTTTACTTTCCTTTTTTTTTTATTTGCTTGTTTGTACGGTCTCGGAGATGAAGACTGGATCGTGTCCACTGCTTGAACGAAAAGACCGAGGGCACACTCCGGCTTTGAAATGAGCCGCTGAGGAGAAACTACGGTCGCGAGGGCGAATAGCTGTAAAATAAGCGGAAACAACAAAAATACAACTCTTCAAAAACATTTGATAACTTTTATTGCTCTCATCTCTCACTCATCTTCTGCTCGTAGGTGCATCTAGTCACAACTTCATCCGAGTTGACTCAATCCTTCGGTCAACTGCCTGCATGCCCCAGAGCAATTGATAATGCGCTACTGCTCCTGCCAGCCCCCCAATTCGCCGTGCCGCGCCACGCGCAAAATGCCGGCGGGGAGAGAAGGCAGAATCTAGCAAAAATCTCGCAGCGAGTTCCCCGAGATGTCCGACCCCGATGCCGGGAACTCCCCGAATGTCCAGATTATTGGGAGTGGCATCAACTTGCGGCGTCGAATGCCGCATCATGCCGAAGATATAACTCTCTTTTCTTCATGATTGTCTGATGGTTTAATATTTGCTGGAAAGCAAAGGGTATGACTCGTAAAATGTAATTTTCAGAGTGGAATTATTGTGGTGATGGTGTACATGTAGCAATGGTGATGCATCACGACAACTTACACGTAAAGAATTAATCCCATTTTGCTTCAACTGTTACAGGCGATATGTACTCAATTTGACTACAAGTACTAATATTATTTGGAATAAAAAAAAAGAAGACATTGAAAAATACTAGTAGGATACAGTCTTCTCGTCAAAGACGTCCCCTCTGATGCGCCCCATGCAACCCCATCGGAATCGCAAAATCCGCCTCTGCCCTGCCCAGCTCCTCCATCGTCCTCGCATCCAAACACAGCAGATACGACCTCTCCAGTGTCCCGTCCACCACCACCGACAGCAGCACCCCGTCGTCTTCCTCCGTGCCTCCCGGGCGAGGCACGAAAATGGGCTCTCCCGGCGAATGGCCCCTGGGTCCGCTCCAGATCAGGACGTTGCTTGTGGTGACGTCTGTCTTGGCGAGGGAGTCGGCGAAGATGTAGAGGCCTCTGTTGTTGGTGGTGTAGACGAATCGATAGGGCTTGCCGTTGCGGGCTGGGTGGATGGTGGGCAGCTCGCCGATGTGAGGGCCTGGGATGGTCAAGACTTCTTTGGCCGCGGCAGATGCCTTTTCTTCTTTTGATTGCTTGTTTGAAGGGATTCGGAATCGATATCGCGACAGGCGCTGCTGCATTGATTTATACAGCTGGTTGTCGAGCATGGCCTTCTTCGTCGCATCGTTTCGGTCCAGGAGAACGTCATAGTAAAACACGTGCATGATATCCGCGTTGTGATACGAGATGGCATCCATGCAGACTTCCGTATGGCTATTCCCCTTTTCATCCTTGGCCTGCTCCTCAAAGGCATTCACCGAGTGGAAGAAGAAGCCAGCCGGAGTAGAAAACTCAGCCACTACGCCCTTTCCCTGCCGTCGATCAATCACTGCCCACTTACACGGAACGGTCTTGTCAAAGGGCTTTATGGCGTCGAGAATATTCCTCTCCCATAGGATTTTCAAGCCAGACCATGCGTAATGCGTTGATTGGACGCAAAGGACTACATGGTTCTCTGTGATGAAGAAGCTGTGCATGTATGCTGCTGGGTAGTCCTTGCCGGAGATGGTGGCAAGAATGTCGACACTCCCATCTTTGGCATTGACGCGAAAGACACGGTACGTTGGAAATCGACCACCCAGGTCCAAGTTGTAATTGAACAAGTCTCCAGTTTCGGGGTCGCGTTGTGAATGCGCGCAGGAGATTGGGCCTTTTAAACTCGGATGAAGTGACTGTTGTCTGGCTTCTCCAATGGGCTCAAGGGTATTGGGATCGAGTTTACTGAGACCGGCACTGTCGGTAAGGACATACAACGCCTTGTCTTTTGACGACTCTCCTCCTTTCACAGTGTCACCGCCAGGCATGTCCGGGACGACAGCAACGTTGTTGTTGGAGTTGCCGCTGGCAAAGACAGTCATGACTTTTCCAAAGATGCCCACGCAGGGATCAGCCCGTTGAGCAAATGAGATGCTCGTCTGCCAGCCCTTTTCTTTAATCTCGGCGACGAGAGCATCCGCATGACGACGAGAAGTGTACACAACTGAGGTGCTGCCTTCAGCTGTTTCAGGCGGGATGATGTCGAATCGATGGCTGTGGGCGATGCCATCGAACCAATGTGAGATCATATGAGTGCCTCTGGATGTGTCTTCTACTCTGTCCAGGCCAGGCCCGGTTCTGAACAGGGAACCAGCAGCCCAGGCAGGGATGGAGCCTTTGACTGTCAGTTGAATTGGGCCACGATGCTCTTCAAGGCCTTCAAACTGACATGTTGTTAGTATTTGCCAGGTTATTCATCTGATGGACATGTTCAAACCTGAGCCTTTGCCGGCCACTGCTTCCATGCTTGATCTTCAAAGTTGCCTAGCCTCTCTTTGATATCATTCTCTTGGTCCTCTGCTGTGCGAGAAAAGATTCCTTCTCTGTTTAGAGCCATGTTGGATGAATACTTCTGAAGGAGTAATGGTTTAATCAAGTAGTGTGGTGTTTGTCCAGAACAAGTCGAGCGTATAAGAGATCGACGACAGCATCAAGTCAGGCTAGCACGACTGTACGTAGCCGGAACTGTTATGCTTGAAGAGTTGACGTAAATGGCCAACTAGCGAATACTTGAATGATACAAACATCGTCAGCGTTTAAACAGCATGCTCTCTCTCATTATATACCCATCCTCAGAGGCGCATCATTCACAAGCTATTAGACACCAATTACGCAGCCACCATCCCTCCTCCTCCTCATTTCAAGCAAAACCGCATCATCTCATGATCGGAAAGCAGCCTTGCGTTTCTCCTGGCGCCATTGATTTAGCCTGTGGTTGCACTGGCATCCAATCAGAGAGGACGAAACTCAAGTTTTAGGTGGTGGGATAAGCAAATAACGAGCCATGGAAACGCCAATCCGCACGGCCGCCGCAGCTAATCTTGGCTTGCATGACCCGCTCTCTATTAAGCGAATGCGAAATGCGAGGTGAAAACCGCAAAGACGTCAGTGAATCGAGATGGCTGCATAGAAATGTAGTGTAACTTGAATGTTATTCAAATTCTTACTTTGACACTTTTTTAGCAAACCAGAATTGGAATTGCAGCCATAGCAATCCACCATTGCCTCACTAGGCACGTGAATACCCAACACGTAGATGAATAGCACTTGCATGTGATGAGTTGCAAACATTGTAATTAGCAACTTCACGAATCATCTGATGGATTCTGCATTTATAACAGTTACTTTCTAACGGTCCGTATATTCATCTAGAAACTAGCGCGTTCTACCACGCACCTTCTTCAAATTTACATGCCTAGATTTATTTCTTTAACATTCCACACATTGTTTCTATCCGTTCAAACAGATATGCGAACTGCTGCAAGACAAGCCACTGGCTCCCGACGGCAATTGTCCTCTTAAAATCCAGCACAATGATTTGAAGAACCGAGAAGCTCGAGGGCAGCTTGTCAAAGCTTGCCCCGCCCAACACCATCTCAAATGTCAAATCTTATTTTAACCAACTTCCCGTTTTGGGCAATCAATTCGAGATTGGGATGACTAGCCAGGCCCACGCTCATCATGCGGGAACCACGTAATAGGGTCGCAGGGCTGGGCTATCCACCATCAAGGCAGCTCGTATTCCACAGTGGTTTACCATCGGTAGCAGTCAGAGTTGGGGTCTAGTTTGAGATAGTTTGAGATGTCAGCTCTAGAATAGTGTAAAGCTGAAGGGTTGGTTGTGTTGCTCACCAGTCCTTCCCCTTGCTCTTCTTGAAGTCGCTTTTCAACCAGCTTCTGTCCCAGCTTTTGCATGGAATGCTTCCAATAAGCTGAGTGTATGTGAGCGGTAAGCATTTCCACCGACTCCATGGTGATCACACTTGAGCCATCTAAAGCTCAAAGCTACCGGTCGAGAGGGCAACAACAGTGCAAGAGCCTGTAACACCGTTGCTTGTGTAGGGCTTCGCTGTAGTGTCGTATCAACGTCATCTTTTGCTTCGGCCGAGTTCATCTGCATATGCAATTGCTCTGCCTCGAACCTCAAGACGGGAAAACACGACCGTCCGCCAGAAATTTCTCAATATTCTTCTTCCTCGCTTCAGCCAAAGCGCCAAACTCCACGCCATCGTCATCTCGAGTCGCAGGTGCATTCGACAGCTCGCCCACACGGCCGGCAACGCGCGCAAGGAGGAAGCGCATCTTCTCGAGCTCCTTCTCTACGGGACCATCGCGAGTCACGAGATTCTCCTGGACGCCCGCGCCGTCTGTGGTCTGGAAGGATTCGACTGTCCTCTGCAGACCTCGGAGTCGTTCTACCCTCTGGCGTAGATCTTTTCGTTGTTGGTTTAGATCGGCCAACTGGCGAACTGTGTCGGTATAGCGTGTAGCCTCCAGAGGGTAGGCCTCGGCGTCTCTGTCTGACGGCCAGGTAGCAGGCAATGTTTCAATGACTTTTTCGTCCACTATTATCAAGATCGTCAGCCATGATTCGCCCAATCATCCCCCACCATCTTCAAGGCGTATGCCATACCCAGATCGAGTTCTCTTCCAATTCCACCCTCAGCATCGTCGGGATTCTCCATCCTGCGCTCGGCATCCCTCGAGTACACGTGGCTGATCTGCTCGGCCACATGTCTGTTTGCCTGAGGCGCATAGACTCGGCGGGAGTGCTGCTGGATCGTGCGGTTGAGGCTGGCGACGGCATCTTCGACGATGCGATTCGGGAGCGCATGTTCGGACGCGTCGTTGGAGGCGCGCCAGGCCCGAGACGGCGCAACGGGCTGGGACAGGATGTTGGTCTGCGCAGCGACAAATGTCTGCTTAGCCGACGTGATTGTCGGGGCCGGAGGCATCTTTGCGGCCAGTGGCTGAGAGGAAAGGTGTCGGAGGAAAGAAGACGGCTGATGCTGTCATTGGAAACGTGAGATCCAGGATGGAGCTTCTAGAGCTTACATTCACTGGACTGAGCCCGCTGTGCCGCTGCCGATTGCACTAAGACTGCCGACTTACAGGGGTGCGTCGAGCTGGAGGGGCTCTATGGCGGGGTTCTCGTTGGATTGGTCCCAAGCTCTGTTCCCTCGATGACGAGCTTGGCCATGGATATCAATTGGTTGCCAATTTTTCATAAGTCGCTAGTATAGATGATGTTTTCTGAATTATTGTTTTTGTCATCGCTGTAATACAAATTGTCCATCACCCATGATGCTCCTTATAGATGGACCCAATGTGCTGTATACACGTATCAAGTGCCCAGCTTACAGCAATTTGATCATATACTACATACCCAGAAGCAATATACCGCCAATTTCCAATTCTACCTTGGGTAGTTATTCCAAATCTTACATGTAATATTTATTTTATAACGTGTAACACGAAAGTGTTTTTCCAGTACCAAGGGACATATGTATACATGTCTGCTGGTTGATCACTTCTTCCAGCCTCTCTGAATGCATAACCTGGAACTCGATACAGATTAACGTGCATCATCACAGCCGCAGCACTATGCTCTTTAAACTATCCAGTAAAGATAGCTTATTCAAGAGTTAAATAGGTAGCTACACGCTTCATTCAGCCTAGTTTCAACTGTATGTTTATCTCATTGCTCTTATCTTGATTTACGAATAGCTCAATGTAGGTGCCACTAACATGCAATGCGCCAAGACATGCCATGTATCTCTGCGGTATATAGGTATGAGCATACGTCACTATAAAATTGCTGATTACGGGTAATTAGGTATATTGTATTTTTCCTTCTCTATAGTCGACTTAATCAACTAGCTATAACTCCCATGGTTGCTCAGTTATTTGTTTCTGTTACGGACTTATGATATCAGATTTCCTCCATCGGCTCCCATGTTGATTTGACTATTTAATATGAATAGAAGAGTTCCATTATGTACCAATTACTAGTATGAGAGCTTCTACTACAGCATGATGAGTTTCTGAGCTGATATGATGGATGCCGTATTTGGGTAAGGGTAGGTAGGTATTCCATCTGTTCGTGGTGGTGCAGACGCCTGTTTTATTTGCTTGATGGTAGTAACCAAGCGTAGTTTGAGATGGAAGTATATTGGAATACAAGACAAATTCTGCTCTTACGCAGCAAATAAACTTGACGCATCAAATCATGGACAAAAATATGACTAGTGTTAAAGAACTCAAGAGAGTTCCCATCTTCTATTTCACCTTTGTGATGAATGCTCTCCTAGTACCAGAGAAGATTGAATATCTCATTGGCCACTCATAACGGCATAGATTATCCCGAAAAGAGTATCGCATGCTACGTATGAATAGGCAAAGTTGTAACTGAAAGTCGATTTGAACTATGAGAATTTATGCGAAAAGTAGTAACACCACAGCTGCATAGTCGTCATTCAGCGTTAACGTTGCATTGAACTGCAAGACGCAATAGTTTCATGCTGTGCCATGTTGTAAAAGGTCCTTGATTAATATCTCTCGATAAATCCCAACCAATTATTAGTAAATGTCGTTGGATGTACTACATTCCGATACTGGCGGCTGAATGAGAACTGCATACCCACCTTCTCTCGTAACTGCAAAAGCATACAAAGCCCCATCAAGCCGAGATAACAGGTACAATGCAATATTTCCGGGCTCTTCTCAGCGACACAGTACAAAAAGCACATGTGTACACATACGATAGAGGCTGGTATCTTTCTTTCAGAAAAGTGTGCGAAAAAAGGATCAAGAATACGTGTAATAAGCATGCATGCGTGTTGGTGGGTTGGGCCCCCATTGGGTCGAAATGTGCATTAGAGCGCTGCATGCCATGCAGCCCTGCTGTCTGCCTATCCTCTGCATTGCAATTTTCTCTCTCCATCTCTCAAAATCAATTAAACATCAATTGCATCAAGTTCCATCGCTCCTGGTGATACCAGAAGGAGAAAAACCACATTGCGCGCGATAAGGCGAATGTCAGCACAGCTTCAGCTCCGGATTGCGAGACATCACTCACGACCAACTAAATAAACAGCCTCAAGCATTCTTCCAAGCTGAACAACGTTGCTTTTGCCACTCCGCAGCAAGTCTCTCCATTATCGCCGAGACGCTCCAAGCGCATCGCAACCATGGCGCCTAGACAAGAAGTCGCCGCTGCATCACCGAGCACTACACGCCGCCTGAGGCTCCAAGCTGAGCAGCCCTTTCGGCGAAACCGAATTTCCCGCCGGAGGGCCCAGCCGCTCTCGAAAAAGACCATCCAGTACATTACAGCTCTCTCAGAGGGGTGTGTGTCTTCAATGAAAGAAGAGACGGATACAGAGACCGAAACCGAAACTGAGGCTGAGACGCGGTGGGAGCGAAGCACTCGTGGAGATGCAAAGACTCTTTGGGTCGAGCAGCTGTACCGCTATGAGGAGCTGTGAGGCTGAGCAGCTACGATGATTGATTTCTATTTTGATTTGTGCGAGAAATGTTTTAAACGAGTGAAAAAGAGCGTGAAAAGAGCGTGTATCTGGGTACAAATGGGTGCCATGTCAGGTAAGATGAAGGCTGGCTGTCTAAGAGTTTAGCTGATCGAGCAATCGGGCGATGAACGCTGAATGACCAGTACTTGGGTTTTCTTTCTCTACTGTCTTTATTTTTTTAGGAATTTGTATTAAAACTGAATATTAACGAATGATGACTCAAATATAGTTGTTACTGCCACAATGTTGGCCTTGCTGCCGTTTCATCCGAGTGTACATCTGTGTCTTGAGTTTGCATCTATGCGATGCCACCAATGACAATTTCTCCTGATAAAGATGATAAATACGTCTCCTTCAATGGAAAATAAAATCTTCAACTCAACAGTAACAGCTTCATACGACGCTGCCATTTCGCCCATGCCTTTATCATTCAAATTGTCACTATAACAAAAGCCCGTCCATCAGGCGGGGCGGCGGAACCCCTCCCCCACCGAGAGGGGCGGCATTTCAGCTTTCTTGCATTGATATCCGGTTCTTCAGATTCATCTCTGTTTACGAGTCAAGCATACTCGAAATATCTGTCCAATCAAGCTGTGCCAGCCGAACAATTGCCATCATGAAGCCTACTATGGGAGTTGCCATCATTGGCGGAGGCCTGTTCGTCAAGGGGTCTCATCTGGTACTTTGCGATCCCCCTTATCAACAACGTCATCTACACATTTAAACTAACCATTGCTCACAGCCTGCCGTTCTCAAGTGCGAACTTTTCAGCCTCGAGGCCATCTACTCAAGGTCTCTCAAGTCTGCTCAAGAAACCGCAGACCTCATCCCCGAATCCGTCAAGAAGCCAGATCTCTACGCTGAGGATGCCGGTGCTAGCAAATCTTATCAAGACCTCCTCAAGCGAGACGACATCTCAGCCTTCATCATCGCCCTCCCTATCCTCACTCAGCCTTCATTCATAGAGGCAGCCCTCGCCGCTGGCAAGCACGTCCTCGCTGAAAAGCCCATCGCCAAGGACGTTGCCTGTGCCCGCACCCTCATCTCCAATGCTCAGCGTATCTGCGCCACCAGCAAGGCTACCTTTGCCATTGCGGAAAACGTGCGCTTCTACCCGAGCTTTTTCTATGCCGCCGGCGAGGCTGCAAAGTTTGGCAAAGTCCACAACTTTAGCGTCCGTGTCCTATGGCGAGTTGAGCCGGACAATAAGTGGTACAACACTGCGTGGCGTAAAACCCCTGATTATCAGGGAGGATTCTTGCTTGATGCTGGTGTTCACTGGGCTGCGGCCACGAGATTGTTGCTCGCTGGTGAGCAGAACAAGCCGGAGTCGGTGCAGGCATTTACAGCGCAAATGTGCGAGCATTTGCCACCGATTGACACTTTGAATGCCATTGTCAAGACCCAGTCAGGGGGGTCGGGCTCGTTCCAGCACTCAGCTGGATCTCTGCTCCAGGCTTTCGAGTGGAGCTTCTCCTATGAAAAGGGCTCTGTCAAGATTGTTGGTGAGACTGTCACAGTGAAGCCTCTCGATGGAGAAGAGTCTGTCAAGGAATTCTCCAGGACAAACGGCGTCACGGAGGAGGTAGCCGCATGGGCACAGAGCATCATCGACGGCAAGGTCAACCCTCTGCAGACGCCGGAGCAGGCCCTTGCCGATTTGGAATTCATGGAGAAGATGTTTACAAGTGGGGATGAGAATGGATCGACACAGAAGTATGAGTTGCTGTAATGTAAGAAAATAGGCCATGGCGCTAATATCGATATATACATGTACCTTTATAATACGAATCCATATATACAAAGCAACACCCGATTTCTATCGCTATCGAGGTGGATCAGCAAAGGGTGTTGTGAACAGTTGACAACTATGTGACAGCTCATAGCTTGCTAGTCTCCTTGCTAGGAACAACAGGCCCCAGGTTGATCTTGTCTAGTGCCTCTCGCAACTGGGCATTCATCCCATCTTTGGGGGGCTTGCCTGTGGATCTCTCAACAAACACATGCACGAATCCTCCCACAGCTTTGACTTCATCACTGCCCCTCTCAAACAGGGCCACTTCGTACGTGACGCTGGACGTGCCCAGCTTCGTCACACGCACTCCCACCTCCGCCACGGCTGGATAGGCAATCGACGCCAGAAAGTCTGTGTGGGAATGGACTGCCAGGCCGTACTGAGGGGATGAAGGGGGGTGGATGCCACACTTTTCGACAAGATAACTGTTCACCGCGGAGTCGAATCTAGAGGGCCACAGATGGAACAAAGTAACAGTGTTAGCAAAGCTTATAAGATCCCCACGGTGTGATTTAGTTGAGAATAGCTCCTGTCTCGAGTCAGGTCACAGGGAGTGTGCAGAACGGATAAGAAGCAAAGTTGCTGTAGTGCCCCCATTGCGGTTTTGACGTTGCCAAGATGGGATAGGAAGCAAATGCATACGAGTAAGTCTTACAGGAAGTTGTACACCGAGTTGTTCATATGATCGTACATGTCATTGTCGTTCCTGTGGCAATAGAAAGACATCATCAACATTGCCTCTTATATCGTACGGGATCTTCCTCATCCAATAACTATGCATTCTCTTGGTCTCGAGGACATGTAGTTATCATTTTGTGATGGTCACAAACCCAAGGGTTTCAAAGACCCGTCGAGACCAAAGTGGAGGAGGCGTGGAAGAAGCACAAACTCACCATCTTGTCCTGTACTCCAGTAGGTACGGGTAATCCTGGCGACGGCGTGTCTTGAGAGTGGCGTGGCTCATTGTTGCACGCGTCTCCAGTCTCTAGAACCGGGCTAGGAGATGCATAAGCGAGGTTAGGACGAAACGAAGAGACGGGGAGGACAGGCTTTGGGAAGACTGCAGATGAATTACAAAGAATGACCGTCTGCTAAATGGGAGATGCCGCAGGAATGGAACGGCCAGTCGTCGGCTACGCCAAAAGCCGAGGTTTGTCAGACCGGTCCAGGGTAGGTCCTGATATAGTAATCTGGAGAAATCCGACGAGCAGCACCGGAGATTGACCATTCCGGATCGGAGCCACGATTCCCCGTCGGCGTTAATTCTACCAGTGCATTTCTGCCGGCCCTGACCGCCTAATTTATTTTCTGTGCCCCTCGTTCACCTGCAGCGATACGTCACCGCGCAGACGACGCGACATTGAAAACTCTGAGCCTGGACGGAGAAGTCCGCATCGCGCCATCAATCGCTTCCACGGGGGTGTGCGGCCGGAGTCTAGAATTGAGATTCTGTCGCTCCAATCGAAGAGCCCGTCTGCAGTCTTCTGTCTGCTGATGCTCCTGCGAGCCTGTGCGAACACCGTACGCACGCTCGCACGATCCGGAGCCCTCGCCATGACGACCGATTCTGGCGCCCTCGCCACCAGAGCCGCAACTCCCGCAGCGGCCTCAGCCTCAGCAGCAGTAGCAGTAGTATCAGCAGCAGCAGCTTCAGCAGACTCGGCGCAGGCTGAGCAGCCAGCTGTGGCGGAAGCTCCAGCAGCCGTCAACGAGACAGCGGCGACGGGCGAACACGGACAGGATGCGACAGTCGTCGGAAGCAGACCGTGGACGGAGAGCGGCAACAAGCCCAAGAAGAACAAGCAGAAGAAGCCGAGCCCCAGGGGTCGGTCTGCCCTCGCCGACGACAGCGCCGTCCTCATCACGCCCGCGGGCGACATCTGGCCACGGCCCTACGTCTTCGAGGACGACCTGCGCCGCGTCAAGCCCTACCACTTTACGTACAACACGTACTGCAAGGAGCGATGGCGCGGCCGTTCGCTAATCGACATCTTCGAGTCCGAATTCCGAGATCGGCCGGTCGAGTACTACCGCAACTCCATGGTCAGGGGCGACATCTACGTCAACGGCCGAGTCGTCGGCCCAGACTACATTGTGCGCAACGGCGACATGATCTCGCACACGCTGCACCGGCACGAGCCCCCCGTGACGGCGGAGCCTATAGGAATCATCCACGAGGATGCCGACATCATTGTCATCAACAAGCCCTCGGGCGTGCCAGTGCACCCTGCCGGCCGCTACAACTTCAACTCGGTCATCGAAATCATGGTGGCCGAGAGGGGCAGAGACTTCCTGCCACACCCGTGCAACCGATTGGATCGCCTCACTAGCGGCATCATGTTCATTGCCAAGAGCGTCAAGTCTGCCGAAGCAATGGCCATCAAGATCAGGGGGCGTACCGTCAGAAAAGAGTATCTTGCGCGAGTCGTTGGCCACTTCCCCGATGGCGAGGTCGTTTGTGACCAGCCCATCCTCCAGATATCCCCGAAACTAGGCCTTAACCGTGTGCGTGCCAATGGTAAGTCCGCCAGAACGGTCTTCAAGCGCCTTGCATACTACCCACCGCGAGATGGGGATGCAGAGGAGCCGGCTGTCTTAGCGGAAGACGGAAAGCCAGTTGCACCTGCGGATAAGGAGATACTTGATGATGAGAGGAGTAAGCCCTGGCTCCAGAAAAAGGGGTACTCCATCGTACGTTGTCTGCCAGTGACAGGCAGAACACACCAGCTGCGAGTACACCTGCAGTACCTAGGCCACCCAATCCAAAACGACCCAATCTACGCCAACCAGCGTGTATGGGGGTTCAATCTTGGGCAGGCAGACGCCGACGGCTCGCAGAATACAGACGAGGACGTCATCACTCGCCTCAATCGCATGGGAAAGGAAGAGGTGGCCGAAGCCGTCGTCTACTACGACGAAATGGTGGACAGATATGAGAAGCAGCGGGCAGAGAAGATGACGGGCGAGCTGTGCGATATATGTGCCACGCCGCTCTACTCAGACCCCGGCAGCCACGAGCTCTCCCTCTGGCTTCACAGTCTCCGCTACGAAGATGCCGACGGCAGTTGGGCATACACAAGCCCGCTGCCCAAATGGGCTCTTCCGCCAAAGGGCATGAGCGGACCGACTACCGTAGGTGGGATGGAGGAGCTTGTAGAGGCCGTCAGGGACGAGAACCCTGAGATTTCGTCCGAGGTGCAGGCCAAGGTTAGAGCAGAGGCCGAAGCAAGGGCTCACCAGACTGAGCCGGAACAGGTGCCTAATGGAGGTAACGAATCATGAGCGAAGCATGTCATGAATCATGACGCATAGAATCTGAGATGGAAATACCCATAGATGCAGTAGCGAAGGAATACGCGTTTGTATGGTCTTTGGTTGAAACAGGGAAATCTAGAAAGACATAGATATCTAGATGGATTTGTCAATTCAATCTACATCACCACCGCAATCATCACCACCATAGTCACTCGGTTTCTTTTTTAAGCGAAATTTTACTGGAAATAAACATAAAAAGCGTCTTCACGAGCTTGATATTCCAGGCCACCTACAATAGAATTGTTCACTAGCAATTGAGACACTTCAACGAACCAGAAACAATCAACATAAAAAGCACCCTGAAGATCAAACAATGGGCTGAATCTGGCGCGCAGTTAGGACACGCCCCTCCAGTACCTATGTACCTACCTACATGTATGTACCTGACGTACAACAACCAAAGACAGCCCGCCAGACCAGTTTCTTCATTCAGTGGAAAAAAAAGGCACGAAGCGCCGATGATCCTTCTTAACGCTTTCCGGGCGTATCAATGGAGCTCACACACTGCGGGGAGAGAGATGCCGCTGCTCAGGCTCGAAACAAGAAAATGCTACGTAAAAACACCATCCAATGGCTATTTGGAGATGGCCTGAAAATGCTGCAAGGGCAAGAGTGGAGCACCGTGCAAGTATCTGCACGTTACCTCTACGTTACAGGCGAATTGCGTCAGAGAATTACATAGATGGATAGACCCAGAAAGATATTCATACAAGTGAAAAAAAAAATGCATGTGAAAAGTGAGCAGGCAGATCACCTCCAACAAGGATACCGGCATTACGAAATGCGATTTGTGAATATTAACTGACCCCCAACTAACCAACTAGGAGGGGAGTTGGAGAGGGAGTGAGGGGCGTTGATGGGACACGCAGAGACAGAGAGAGACATAAAAAGTGGCCTGTGCAGATCCGAATCTCTTCCCGTCCAACAGCTGGTGACGACACAAAAATCCGATAGATCGACTTCTTCGACCCTTCTAGACAAGAAACCCAGCCGCACTCTATTCGGGGGGCTTGCTTGTGCTGGAGGGGCAGCCAGCCAGGGGGGGGGGGCAGACCCTTGGCTTGGAGAAAAAAAAAAAAAGGGCAATATGCGGGCATGATTTTTGAGTATTGCCCCGAGAGAAGAAATTGGGCTGGGCTGGGGGCAACGTTGATTGGAAGAGAGAAGGGGGAGGCTGCCGTGTTTTGGGTAGGGTTTACCGGAACCGGAACCGGAAAAGAAACGAAAGAATCAAAAGTTAGTTGCAATGGAAGCGAGATGGAAGCATTGGAGCTGAAGAAGAAAGAAGGTTAGTTGCCCGACTATAATGGTTCGTATTAGCTAGGACAGGGTGCCTTATAGTTGCAAGCCACGGAAATGAAGTCAACTTTGAGTAACGGAAAAGAAACAAGGGCCAGAACTGCAAGGAACAAAAAGAAGAACAAGAGAAGGCTTGGATATCCGGGATCTGGATGGATAGCCGGCGGTCTGAAACCCCCAAAAGGGAGCGGCAGCCTCATTGTTCGTTTCCTCCCCCTCCAGCTCCAGCTGCAGCCAACGACCCCGGGCCACTGAAAGGCGGCGAGACGTTCCTTTTTTCTCAGAGAGGAACCCCAGCGGCGGAGGTAAGGCGAGGCGGTAGGGGAGGGTAGCGGCCGCCATGCGGGTCCGTGTAAATTATGTGGTCTAAGCATGTAGACAAGTAGATGCTTGGTATCTGGCGATGTCTCGCAATAGAGGCATGGAATCTTGAAAGGATTCCCCTGTTTGGCCCCTTTGTGGTTAAAGATGGTCGCATAGACGCCTTCTACAGTAGAGGGCAATGACAATGCATATGTATGTGCCAGGGGGCTGGAGAAGAGAGAGAGAAAAGAAGTCACCCACTTACACTCACACACATATCACAGACTATACGAGTCATCGACTGCATCGCGTCTAATAGGGTCTGCTCCGTGGCATGCAGCCCAGCCCGTGTGCCATGCATGACAAGAGATGGAAAAGTAGATGCCTAGAAAAGATGGATACTCGAATCAATGACGATTGAGGTCTTCGGCCTGTTTGCCCGAGAATGTGCGCGTAAAGGGCCGTTGGCGATGTACAATCATGTCTGTGTGCTGGTGCCGTACATGCTTGTATGAGTAGTAGTGAGAAGGCGAATTTCAGCGTATGTGCGTCTGTGTGAGTGCCTCTAGCTGAACCAGGCTCCTGTTTTGTCCAAAATAGTATAAGCAAAGGTCTCAGTTCGGGCAGATGGAAATTTGAAACAAACAATCGCTCCCAGATTCAAGACATCACTTGTCGAGTCTCGCCCTACCAAATGAGGGTGTCGACTCCATGTCCCAAGCCGTGGCCAAACCAATTCATTTCTCCGTCGTCACAGCTTGTCCACCCAACCTCCAATAGCATCCTTCAAGCCTGACAAAGAAAAAAAAAGGAGGCGAAAGAAAAATTTTTCCCGCTGGTTGCTTGTTCCTGCCAAGGGGGCTAACAATCTTTCAGCTTCGGTGTGTTATTTGCTGAGGCTTGGTAACAGAAACGCACGTCCTTGTGCCGTCCTACGAGCAAGCCAGTGTAGGTAGTATGCAACCTCTTTTTTTTTCTCGACCCCTGCTTGCCATGCAGGCAGTCAGTAGTGTTACTCCAACGCTGTTGCGTCAAAGTTGTATACGGCACACGATGTAGTAGTGGTGGTGGTTGCACGACTTACACCCCCCAAGTACCTCGCTGCGTGTAAACGCCTTTATCGGCCTGATGGTGGTTGTGATGTAAGCATAGCTGCCAGCCTGCAGGATGCTGCCGGACAAACAAGTGATAGATCCCTTTCCGGACTCGCCATGTTCCGGGATTAATGCAGGGGGGCACATCTTCCCAGGTTGCATGTCCTAAAACTCCGTACACCTGGAATGTTGCTTGCCAGAGCGTTGGCCCTGGCTACAGTGCCGCAACTCTAATGGTTAGGCATAATACCGTCGGCTGCACGGGTTTCTCTTGTCAGAGTGTTTCTCAAACGGCCAATATGGACGGCGAACAAAGAGCGAATGGACACAGGCACCCTGTTCCAAATGTTAGGAGCCTAGGAGGTCTGCTCAAAACTCCCCGAACGGTGTGGAGTCGAGTCCCAAAACACCTTGAGCCTTGTAACAAGACTTCATCTGGCAACTGCTGTGACAGGAAGCCAGATGACGCTACCACAGATCTCTGGTGAGCAACTTTTTTTTGATAGATTTTGCCACACAAGGCCCTGTAGTGCACTTTTTCTTTTCGAAAAATTTCCTCTTGTCCGAGTTCGCCCGTCACAGTACAGTAGTGTCTCTAAATATGCTTGCCATGCTTGCCATGCGCGCGCAATGGTTGTTTGTTCTAACTAGATTCCATTCCTGGCGTCAGTTTGTAGGGCAACAAAGTGCGGCTGGCAGTTCTGCGCCAAAAGAGCATGGAAGCATCGCATACTGCCTATTCGGGAGCGCCGCGCCTAATGATGACATTTGTTGTTGACGTTGCTGCTGACACCAACATCTGGCTTAGTAGAGCCTTTGGTGCCCAGTAACAAAAGACTGAAAAGGGAAATATTACCAAAGCTCAATTACAAAGACGACTGTTTGTCTCTGTAAACGGGCAACTCTGCATGTGTCTCCGGGCTCGTTTGCCCAGACGAGCACTCTGCCCCTAATCATCTAGGTACCCGGCTACTCTCCAAAAAACCATGCGGTGGGTGGATGTCGACCAGTTGCTAATTACGGACCGGTGATTGTGCAATAGGCAAAAGAGAAACTAGGTAGCTTTCCGTTTTATCCAGGAGCCGGCGCTCCGGTAGTGCAAGAGTAGCGCGAAATGATCTACCGGGTCGCTGCTCAGCTTTCCGTTCAAACCACCGAGCAATCTCCAGTTCGGGATGCAAGCAACGGTACCGTTTTGCGCTTGTGACAAGACACTGTACCGCCTTGATGCCCTGTGCGCTAAGTGGCTTGACAGGTGGTGATGTGAGCGTGTCTGGCGTTGCACTAGACTCTGCTAGGAGAATTTCGACACAGACACGGGGGACACTCAGCGTATACTGCAATCTGTCAGCAAACTAGGTCACTCGGCCGTCATCTACTCCAAGTATATACGTTTACGCGGCAGCAAACGCCGGCACTCCGTACACACCCTGATCGCTCTCTGGCATTGCGTCTCCGCTCTTTGGGCTGCATGCTCCATGCTCTTGCTGAGACCGAGCGTTTGCCAGGAACAGCTTAACAAGTCTGTTCTAACCGGCGGAGCGTGCGTCCGATGAAGAAAGCCACGGACGAATGCTCCAGAAAAACTCGTTTGAACCAAAGGAGCGGCAGCCAGTAAGAGGCCCGCGCACTCACCAGGGGGGCCCCTGTGCTTCCATGCTTCTAGCTGTCTTCTACTGCCTGTACTGTAGCACTTGTGGTAGTAGGTACCACACTCCGGAATGAGCAGCCCAAAGACCAGGAGCTGAAGCTGAGTTGTGATAAGCTGCACGCTAAATGGCTGTATAATGACGATGAAGCAGAATTTCACCAGCCAGGCATCATGCCAGTTGGAAAGCGGAGATGCAGTTAACAAGCGAGCGTGTCGAGCAGGCGAATTCTGTTGTTATCTTTTCCCCCTTTGATGTAGAGGGCAAGCCAATCGTCATGTCTGGGCAAGCAGAATCTCGTGGGGGATAGATGGGGGTTTTGAAGAACTTTGCACGAGGCCTCGCAGATATGATGGGGATGCGTCTTGCAGGTTCTCCGTACTGTAAGTGTCTTGAGCAAGCCCCATGAAGGTCACTCACTCAACCAATCGATCCTCCAGTCTTTGGGTGCAATAGTCATGTTGCAGATGCCAGGGGCTCTTAGTGTACGTCTGGCAGACAATGAACGGCGTTAGCAGGCGCTCTGAGACAGCCTCCTCCAAGCAACGCGGGCTGGCTTGCTGGATTGGAGCCCAAAAGTTATTCGATACGGGGTGGCCATGGAAATAGCGGGAAGTGCCGTATACTGTTGCCGGCGGTCGGCCGTGCGAGAAGCGACGGGGCATGGTGGCTGGCTTCGTCCTTTTTCCCTTGACGCTCCATGGTTGCCCTCGCTCTTCCAAAATGACGTTGCTGTGCAAAACGAGCTACACAAATCTCCCAGGTTGTAGGTAATGCAATAGAAGGTCTCCGTTATAGCCACGGCAATCGAACGGTCCAGCGGACCAAAGATTGGTAAGCCCTTGTGATCGTGGGTTGCGGCAATCGGAATCGCATGCCGCAGCAGCCGCAAAGTTCGGAACAGTCCTTTTCTCTGTCCATGTCCATCGGATTTTCGCACCGACAAAAAAACGGTCTCCGCCATTGGGGTTGGCGTCGTTCGCCTGAGAAATTGCCACGCGCCGCGTGGTGGTCTAGCATGCAGCCTCTTTTGTGTGCAGCACGCACTAGTCGCTCAGGAAGATTGGAGTAGGAAGAAATAGCCCAATGAGGCACCCATCCAAATGGACGGACCGCAAACTCGTGTGTAAAATACTGTAAGGAGGCCAGTGTTTGCTCCTCCGGCTCGCGAGGCCTAGACAGAAGCCCTAGATCGAAGACAGGCTAGAAGCAGCACCTATGATGACAGCACGCGGCCTCTGGGGGGCGTGCGTGACATCTTCACCATGCTAGAGTCTGGTGCCACCCAACCTAATTCTCTGGAGCCCTGCCTGTCAGAGGCTCAGCGGCATCACCAGCGCTGGCAATGCTCGGGCCCTCGGTGAAAGATCGGCTGTGCGCTGCGTGCTGGTTGCTGGATGCTGATGACATATCCGCTTTCTGGAAGGTTTCGAAGCTTCCAAACGTCTGCCGCCCACTCTTGATGTGAGCCGGATGCCGGGATTTGCGGCCGTGCCGGCTGTGCTAGGACGGATAGCAAGGCGCTAGGCCACATGTACGCTGGCCGTTGAGAAACAGACTTGAGATCTCGACTGTTATCGACGATCTGGGAGCGTACTGTAGTTGCAGCATCTTTTCGGAAGGGGCGTGGACGAGGGCTTCTGGAATCTGGACGTGGTGCCGGATGACGGCGGAAACTAGGCGCAACACGATGTGTTTTGGAGAGTTGCAAGTACCGTTGGGAGTTGCAGGTACAACCGCTGACAGAGCGTGGGATTAGGAGCTGTGGCGAAATGCAAATGCAACGATGCTGCAAGTGGGCAATGGAGATGGGCAATGGGGATGATGTGATGTTTGCTAAGGTGTTGCTAACAATGTTGGAAGCAGAATAGTTGACGTTTTACAAGGTACACGGCCGCTGTACTGCATGCACTCAGCCCTTTACTGACTGACTAATCTTATCCGATTACATACCTCCCAATTACTGCTTCGTTCTCGGCAAACAATGCTTTGGGGATTTTCTTGCCCCATCCCAAGATGCTGTTGATTTTGAATTTTTATTTCGTCTTACTTTACTTTGTTCTTTCTATCCAGTGTTTTTTTAGTAGCCTTTGATTTCTGGTGGCGGCAGCTAATAACATCAATTACCGAGGTTATGTAGTATTGGCTGGGCCTAGCACCACGGTGGTATGGCGGTAGTGGGAGACGGCGGGAGGAAGTGTGCTTCCAGTGCTTCTAGCAACTGTTGAGGCATCTGTAATCTCGCTGGCAGTAGCACCAATAGGGCATAAAGCCAGTGGCTACAGCGAGCGTGCTATCGGTACCTCCAAGTACTCGGGCTACCAAGCACCACGATGACATCGATGCCTCTACAGCAGTCCTACGCAATCTCTTCACCGCAATATCGGGCATCCTGTAAATTAATCCAATGTACTCGATACCTGCGCGCTCGCAATTCTCACATTTTTACTCGATTGCAACTGTCGCGAGGCGGTCAGGCATTTGGGCTGCAGCTTTACATGTATCTGCCAATCCATGCGGCGCTAAGGGCTGCAGCTAGAAATGCATGTTATCATGTACCTCGACCTGTAGCCGTCAATCGTCGATGCCCCCAACTCCAAACTTCCTCCATCATCCCGGTCTAGTCCACGGCTAGAGCCTTTTTCTGCTTGCAATAGACGGCGGTCAAGTCAGCCAGCGCGTCGAAATAGTCCTACAGTAAGTAGTACTTGCACACCACTGCCAAAAATGGGGGCGCCAGCCGCAGACGCCAATTTGTTCAGCAGCAGCAACGAGAGAGGCGCACCAAGGCCTGTTTAGCTGCAGCTGCCGCAACGGCCAATGGCTGGGATAGGACGCCGCATACTGTACGCCGACGGAGACGATCCACCGCAAAGCAAGCAAGTCCCTGGCCGCAGGTCTGCCGCTGGGAAGCCCGCACGAGTTCGCAAAAGGAGGGCTGCGCTGGGACGAGCCAGAGCAAGAAACGTTGGGAGGGATGGGATGGCGAGAGAGGAAGAGACGCAGAACGAAGAAAGACATCGCCGGCTTGTCAAGGCGATAAGAGGAGCACAGAACCAGCTTATTGGGGTTCATGCGGTGCAAAGCAGCAGAGACCGCTGCTGTCTCTCGTTTTCCGCACTGCGCCCCTCAACTCTTCGTATCGCCCGCCCAGCAGAGACCGGGGGCCGTCATTTACAACAACTACAGGATACTGTACATGCCAGTACGCACATCCAGCAAGTGGGCGAGGTTTGTCTTCTGGCCCTAACATGCACCGGGTGGAGAGCCGTCGCTCAACTGCACTGTATGGCCATGCCATTCTCCCATCGACGCCTTTGGCGCTATGCCTCGACGAGCCTCCAAGCAGGCCCTCGCCGTCTGGCCGTATATCGAGGTACCGCACATGGCAGGGACCCAATGGCCTAGCCAGCCTAGATCGCGATCCAGTCCGTCTGCGGAATACTGTGCGTCCAGACGCCGCACTGCCGCCATGTCGGCACTACGAGCACCAGAATAGCATGCAAGGCCACCATGCCTTGCTTGTGTCGACAGCCTAGCAGGCGACTTCCGCTGTCAGACACGGCGAGCGAGACGGGCTGCTGAGCTCCATCAAACATCATGTCGAACCGCCGTCGACGCAGATGCAAGAGCCGCTATTCCAGCAGCGTCGCAGCCAGATCGGCTCCGCCTCCAGCCCTTGCAACGAACGGGGAGCTGCTCGCGACTCCGGGCGGCGAGACGGCCACCTCATCAGGCTTGCCATTCGCACGTTGACTGGCGACGTGGTTGATGGCCTCTTGGGGCCTCTTTGGCCTCTGGAGCCTCATGCTGGCTGTCTCGCCGCCGCCGCCGCCGCACAGCGAGTTGTTTCGCCTTTGGTTGCCTGTCTGCTTGCTGCTTGGCTTGCGCCCCCAGCTGAGGCGTTATATTCCGGAGTACATGCTGGTACTTCATGCATGCATTTCTTCGGCTTGGACACTAAGGCAGCGCGGTCCGAGGGACAGGCTCCCTCTCGCCTGCCTCTCGTCTCTCGTCTCTCGTCCGAGTACCAGCAACCTCTGGCGTGGCCTTGATTGGCAGCCAGGGCCTCTCCCCGCGTAGGCCCCGGCCGTACCAATACCAGCTCGGTACGCTCACCTCACCTTATCCGCTTTGCTGCGACGCCTATGCCAGTGCTGCGACTATTACAGTAGCAGACGCCACACCACAGAGCACGCACGCTTCTGGCTGCAAGTCTGAGGAAGCCCGGTCGTCCGCTCGATGGTCTGTCTAGACTCACGCCCGGCCCCCCCTGCTGGCCTCGAAGGATGTACTCATTCTACCGCCACCCCCTTCCCCACCCTCAAAGTATCTGGTCCCTTCAGAGGTACAAGCACTCACTAGAAGACGACTTGTGGATCCGCGCTCATGGGTGGATGGGACTGCCTCGAAGGCAATTGCAGCATATTATTATAATATGGTACCTGACGGCATCATATTCTGGTCCTTTTTTTTTTCTGTCCCACTTAGAAAATCAAGTTTCACATCTTTCATCTTTCAGACTCGACTCGCGGTTTCCAGTCTGCTGGACGCTTGCCTGCTATCTGAACCTGTCCCCGAGTCTTATAGTTGTCTCTTCACAGGCGCTGTTGCCAGCGTTCTTGCTACCACATATTTTCGTATTCCCATTGCTTCTCGTGACGAAGCAATATCCGTGTTCGATTTCAACAAGCTCGAACCGGATCCTCGAATTCACCCTGTTGACGTCGATTCAACAAGAACAAAACGATCCATTTCTTTACGTAACGCGAATCTCGACGAAAAAAAAAATACAACTCTTCAACTTTTTGCGATAGCTCCCCCACTCAATCGCGTTTGCGGCTCTTGACTCTCGCCGCAACCGCCCACCTTCAATTCGACCTACGTTTCGATTGTAACTATAGTTTGCATGTCCCTCTTATACAGAATACAATACGACATGCCGCGATCATCATCCGGAGAGCCTTCTAAACCGTCCAAGCGGAAGGGTAAGTCTCATCTCACTTGTCTGCATCTCATATGACAACACCACCACCGCAAGCCATACTATTCAGCTACCCGGCGTTGATCATGGTCATTCCCCTTCACCGTTTTACCCTTCTTGGACACTGCCTCGAATCATGTCAAGAACTAGTCAGCTAATTGGTCATGTCCAGGCACTCGAAGCGTCTCGACTCTGACTCCAGCTCAGCTGGCTCGCAAGAGGGCCAACGATCGTGAGGCCCAAAGAGCTATCCGGGCCAGGACCAAGGAGCACATTGAGCGTCTGGAGCGTGAACTGGCCGAGCTCAAAGGAGTCCAGAGCCGCGACAGAAAAGTACAGGAGCTTCTCCGCCGGAACAAGATCCTCGAGGAGGAGATTGCAAGGCTCCGGGAACACTTGGGCTACACCGCCACGGAATCGTCCTATTCCTCGAATGCCGCAGGTACGCCAAGTACCATCATCAACAACGCTCGTGACCTTTTCTTCGGACAACTAACCCCAAGCCCATCAGTCTATGACGGCGATCTCAGCTCCAGCAGCGGCGCCGTGCCAAGCCCCAGGGTGTCGCCTCTGCCGTCTGGCGACTTTCACCAGATCCCCGACTATGCACAGCAATCCTATGGACACATCACCAGCGCCGCCAGCGAGCAATGGCCGGCATCTGTCCCTCCTAACCCAGTCCTTGGCAACATTCCCAGCCCCTCATCCCCCGCCCATGGAGACGAATACAACGTGGGATACATCCCGACAAGCGTCCCTACGTCCATGATGCCCTCTTCCCTCAAGGAGATTAAGCAAGACTACGACGAGATTGATCACAACAGTAAGTATATACTTGTTATTCCTCACACGGGGTATTGGCAGCAACTAATATGGCCTCTCTCTTCCAGGTGGACTCAGACTCAGCACCCCAGCCCTGCACAATCTGCCGCCGACTTATATGCAGCAGCAACACCAACACCAGCACCAACACCCGCATTCTCAGCCACACCCGCAACACCAACCTCAACACCAGCCGCAGTCGCAGCAAGCGCCGCCGCCGCCACCACCGCTGCACTCATACGCCCATCAAAGCCAACCGCCAGCTCACCCTGCACACGGCGCGTCGCCTCACACACCGCTGCAGCAGCGAAGTCAGTGGAACAACCCGTATTCATTGTATTAGACGACAGACAGCACCGATAGCCGAGAATCACGCCATCGCCACTGTTTCCAATCGTTTTCGCCGCACGACGACTGCCTAGAAGGCCGTCCAACCAACTCAAATACCTTGCTGCACCTTCATCCGGGCATCCCCGAACGACTCATTTTTTGGCCACGACAATCTCCGAGAGGCACAATCTAACTCAACGAATACGATGCTTACAACACCATATATTGCCACAGTCCTCTGCATGCTTACGGCCGTGCCACCTTGAGTGTTCACCAGCCAATCGGCTAATCGTGAAGGCAAGTTACCAGAGGGCTGAGTGGAGCTGGGCTGTGTACGTGGCATCAATGAAGAAAAGAGTGTGGTGAATGGAAACAAGTTGCGAGATTGGCCGGATGTGCTGGTGCAGCTCGTTGAGTAGGGATGAAAACATTTGGGCAAGCTTTGAAGCGACTTGTCTCTTTTGGCGGATAAAGACAAAATACGGGTATCAAAAGGCATCGGCTTACAGTGGCGAGACCTGTTCTACGACTTACGGAAGGGTGTTTCAGGGCTTTCCCAAGGCATTGGGAGCCTGCACCCATACACTTATGGCATTCATCGGCGTTTTTGGGCTTGTATATTATATCGAACTTTGGCGCATGCACACAACCGGACGGACACATCATGATGCATCAGCGGGGTACAAGGGGTTCAGCAGCGGGCTACAGCTGGAACGATGATGGTTATATCTATATTCTTTTATTTACAACAAAAAAAGACACTCTTGGGACATACCATGAAGGGGTTAACCGGGCTGGCTGATGGGCTGGGCGGATAGATGGATACTTTTCTACTTTTCTCTTTTCCTCTTCTTTTCTTCCTTTACTGGGCGGGGTATTTCTTTTGTTTTTTGGCAAACGGTTTATGAAGTCAGCTGGGTCTTCTTTCTTCTGTTTTTTTTTTTTACTCTTTGGCTTATCATTTTTAGAGCTGCGTTATATGGGTATACATTTCCGATAGAGGAACCATGAGGTTATGAAATTAGATAGTGTTTGGGATTATATAGCATGTGAATTTCACGCCATGTTTTGTTCTTATCAACTTGCGTTCCCTCTTTCATATACTCGCTTGATATTGAGTGTTGCTATATTGCCCGACGTGCATGTTGGATGAATATCAAGACATTTGATAGGTAATCGCCAAGTACAAAACGGGAATGGTGAGAACTCTCCAGCGCCCAGATATTCACAACCAGCTCCTGCTAGTTCTCCTCGCTTAAATAAAGCCACCCCTTGCATTTCCTGGTTGACTTATAGCTTGATCTAGCAGCATGGTGCCCCTACTGGACTGTTTGAGTTGCCAATGTTGAGAGAGACATGCTTGAGAAGAGTCTACAACAGTCGTCTACATTCAAGTCTAAACAAGGATAGGACTCAAGACAGAACAACACGATAGGGGGCGCTACCATGCGTCGTGTTTGCTCTGGACCGCCTTTTAGCTGGGGGGGTTTGACTAAAAAGCGAGACTATTCGATCTCGTCTCTTTCTCTTCTTGGCTTCGACTGCCTGGGCCTAAAAATCTGTGCGTGGGCAATTATTGGATCCTGCGACAATGTTTACTAGCTGCTACAGCTAAAGTAACGCCCGTGGAACTAGTAGCTTTTTGTTGAAGATTACAGCTGCTCTATCTAGTAAACTATGCAGACTAGCTAAACACGGGTAATTTGCTAGTAAGGGAGCTGAGAATGACAGCAACAGGCAAATACAGCTGCTGAAGGGGATGCCGTTCCTAATCTCCCTGTATGCATTATGCGCCTCACCGCATGTATGTATTGCGCTCTCGTAAGTCCCTCAGATCTATTACTAACAAAACGCGATTCTTGAGAGGTGTATATGTCGTCGGGAAGCGGACGCTTAACATTAAACTCTCCAGACCACATGGGGGACGGATGCATTCAGGCTGAAAGCAGATGATCTCCTAGCACCAGCAGTAGTTGGGCGATGGCGGAGAAAGATCTGACTTTTAGTGCCTGGGATGATGGGCGGCGAAGGAAGCTATCTAGTTGGAAGGAAATAAGGAGTGGTTGGTTTGATGGATGCTATGGAGACTTTGCTTTCAGCTCTTTTCAGCCTCACGGGGATTGAACCATCTAGGAGCTATTGGCCATTGTTGAGATCCTTGTCAACGAATTGGTCGCTTCTTGGCATTCCTTCCATGAAATAAAAGTCGGAAAATTTTGCAAACAAGTAGAGTTGAAAAACAGGTACATCAGTATTTTTGGTACAGGTTCAGAGAGGAGAGTGGAGTTTCACCAAGAGGGGGGCCAGAAAAACAGGAGCCAAGAGGGGCAAGTTTGAGAGAGGAGGAGAGGGGGGCGTGTGGCTCCGTAGATGAGAGAATATTGAGACTTGGAGAATGGATCCAGACAATTTCAGCAATCCAAGGTGCTTCGTGCCTGGCCTCATTTTCCCAAATCGACTCTCCTTCTTGGCCCTCATCGAGTGGCGCCCGCTTCCTCTGGTGCTCAACAACGCCCGCCTGTGAGAACGTAGAGCTTATAGCGCTGTCCAGCCTTGGTACGAGCATGGGGCTATAAATCAGGCCAAGCCTCGTTTTACGCGTGGCGGGTATATATGAATACAAAGTATCTGTTACGTGAGTTAGCATACTGGTACTACTCGCAGGTGGAGTGCATGAGATGCGGTCTAGATGACCCCCAAAATAAGTGGACTTTTGCCTTATCTACGGAGCATTCCTGTGTACTATTTGTACACCAAGAGAGCGAGAGAGAGAGAAAGTGAGAGGCAGTGGGAATAAGCATCTTCGGGAGATAATTGCCGAGACACACGAGATGCTGCTTCTGTACATGATCGTAGAAAAAGAAGGAAAAGGGTGTTCTGGATCGACCCAAGGGGGATGGGGCCATGCATCAACCGTCATCACGGCGTGCCCCGTACGAGACACTAGAGCAGCTTGTACTTCGTATGGGGTATGTACCTGTCTGTCTGTCTTATCTTCTCGGAGTAATTGCGTGTATAAATAGAAAACAGTGTAGACTCACCAGGCAAGAGGCTAGGAGAAATATCACGGCGCTAGACGGCGCACGATGAAGAAGAAAAAGGGATCATCACCAACCTTCCAAGCCAACGCTAGCAAGGCTGTCATGTCGATATTCATTCAAGCGCAATGGACAAGGGTTTATAGACCCTTTTCCCCTTCTTTGTCTTGTTTGTTCCCTCGAGAGGCGGAAATGTCACATTCATGCTAACCGCACGGCTGCTCCGACCTCAAGTCTTTGCTGGAGCTTTGTCTACTTCTCCTCTTCCCAACAGAAAACCCCCTTCTCATCGGCCTCACTGCGGCCAGTCTACTTGAGCTCCAACATATACGCCCTGGAAGCGGCGGCGGCGGTAGTTGCCCTTTTTCTCTTTTCTGGGGTATCCAAGCTTGGTTCGGGGATTATGACGGGCGCGCGCGGCAGCGGTAAGGACCCCCCTTTGCGGCTAAAGCTGTGCTTATCATATAAACAACCCGATGGTGTTTACGTCGTCACTCGTGTATCATAGCCCATTGTAGATGCCCAGCACCTTGAAAGGGATAGCCGCACTATCGCCTCGAAACAACCTGGGGAAAGGGGGGCGTACGTGGGATCATTTCAGTTGCGATTGGCTAGCCCGCGTTGCTGTCGTTGTGCTGTGTCAAACAGAGAGATTCGGCAACGCTGTAAACCGAGTCGTTTGAGCCAAGATGGTATCAGAGATCCCAATGCTTCGTCGTGACATAGTTGCCGTGGCAGATAGAACATACCATGCTCATTTACACGAAAGACTGTAAGTACACCACGATGGAGCTGATTTCACCAGCTCAAAGGTCGTATACATTCCTCCATTCTTCATCATCCCTACCCCTGTCAGAGCTGTATGCTACAAGTGATAGAATCACATATCGTACCTGTTTCCCTAGTCTTGGCCGCATCATTGTGATGGCCGATGCAGATGCTGCGGGATCACCAGGCACGGGACGTTGGGCGACGGCAAGCCGCATCTGCATGATGGCCCGTTTGAGCTGAGACAGGGTCTCCATCCAACATGTCACTGTTAATGCCGAACCGATTCCGCGTCGCTTGTCATTACATTTTGTGGCTGGAAGGATGCCGTAATCGTGGCGTATGCAGAAACGTGTCAACCCGTCTGTCTCCAAAGCTTATTACAGTGTTGCCAAAGACGCCGTTTCTAGTCTCTTCTAGCAGAACAAGCGTACAGTATGAGCGCCACCTCGTTGAGATTACTCCTAAAGGGGTAAGAGGTGTCGAAAATCATAAACAGCGGTATGCAGTAGGCGCGAGTTACTGTACATGGCAGTAGTGCATTTTTTGGCCCTTTGTGAGAGGGGTGTATCTCATTTTTCCCTCCCCCTCTCCTATCGTTTTTGACGCGCTCTTTGTTGAGAAAGCCCCTCTTAACACTAGTGTAGTCCACCAAAAAATGCCAGGTCTCCTAGTCCAAATAGCTGTGCATCCGGTGGGAAAACTCCTCCCAAAAGGCTGAGGGCAAGAGCCCACCCAGGCCGTTCCAAGCGCTGGTTGGGCCGTCAGATATCATGCGGTGGGTTCATGACAGCGGAGCAGCAAATAGCGAGTATCAAGTCCTGAAGAATTGGCCGAGCTTGACCGAGCCGTCGGTGGCGGACCAAGGAGGAAGGACGGGAGAAGCACGCTAGAAGGACTATCGAAGCTTTTCATTTCCATCTTCCATCATCAGGCTCCACAGAGCGGCGAGGGGGGGCGTGAACCAATCTCAATTTGTACCAGACCCAGACTCGGATTCCATAACCTTGTCGGTACAGGACAGTAGCGCGGTACATCTTCGAACGGCCACCCCTCCCCCCCTTCCTACAGAAATTTCCACGAGGAGACCCTGTTAGGCTGGTTTTGGCTGAAGTCGACCTATGACATGAAAAGAGAGGCGGAGGAGGAAAGGGATAGTGCCGTGGCGAAACAGCACTGACGATGCAGAGAAAAAAACGGCTGATCAAGCCAACGTTGAGATGGAAGAGTAAACCAGAAATGGCAAATAGATCCCAAAGCATGCAGGCAGAGTAGCCCAAAAGCGGAAAAAAAAGGTCCAAAACATCAGAGGCGAGGAGAACTCTGTGCTCCAAGTCCGATGAAAAAAGGCATCATGCGGATGAACAGACACCGTAAGGATCCCCCAGCACTCAGTAGCTCCGATCACAAATACATTTCGCTACTCCCATGCACCGCTCGCTATGCTCCGTATTCGCCTGAAGGCGGTCCGCAGATGGGGGGCGAGAATGTCGGTGCCTGTTGAGAGCTGAAAAAGATGAGACTCCGTCGAAACCCACCCCATTGGCTCCGTAAAAAGTAGCACGAGCCGGCTGCTCATCTGCGGAGAGAAAAGGAGCGCACTAGACTGCGTGCCGTGGGACACGCATGCTCGAGGAGCAAATCATCGTCATAAACCCGCTCAAAGCCCACTCCCTTCATGCGAGCTCCGTGCTTGCAATTAAGATGAGGTTTCGGTGAGTTCACTAAAAAGACACGCATCGTGGGACTCTGAAAAGCCTCCAGTTGCATCACTGAACGCCTTCCCAGCGTGTGTCTCGAAACGCCACAATAGGGAGGAGCGTCCAGAGTTGGCCTTGTTAACGGAGAGGCGCGAATATAGCGCACAAGTTAAAACAATAATGGTCTGTGTGTGCTTGGCCCTTGACTGGTGAACTGGTCCGCACGTGGTTGGAAATGAAACCCCCGGCTTTGGCTTTGCATATTCTACGCCTTTGTTTGACATCTAGACGAGCTATGCGATCCAAATGAAATGCTTCAGCCGGCTCTGACTCAACACACGATAGCATGTAATCTCCTTGAAAGTTCCTTTGCCCATGATTGGCCGTAAGCAGGTATATGCGTATTGTAACAATGCGTATAGGTAGACTAAGATGTCTTTTGGCGCGGTGCGTCGGCAGTTGTTGAGCAAAGTTGTGGATATGGTGATCCATGGAGAAAGGGAGCGCTGCCAAGCTGCATATAGCGCCGTAACATCGTGCTTCCTTTTAGTGTCTTTCCCATCCATCCACCCACAACATTCTTTAGGAACAAGCGGCGTACAAGTAGTACATGGTAGTACTTGTAAAGCCATCGAGAGCTTGGCGCCTCCCAGGGGCTCCTCCGTCGATCAAGGCCATCATGTCCACCTGTCCAGGGCGAGGATCCTGATGATACCCTGCGGTAACTACCGTATCACTTGTTGAGCGGGACTGAGGTGCGCCAGCTCGGCAATAGGCTTCAATGACAAGGAGATAACAAGCGGCGGTGCAGAAGAGCGAGGACTCTGAGACAGGACGTACTATACACGCGGGTGGTGCTTCGCACTTCGCAACGCACTTCGCAACAGCTCTGCCAGTGGCAGTCCAGTGCCCACATATTGCCGCTGCACTAATATTCAGGTGAGCTGGCGTTGATATGCTTTGGCGAAGAAGCAAGTGTTTCAACATGACCGCTTCCTAGTGCCACGCCTCTCCCACTCAGCGTGCAACTACCAGAAGCAAGAATGCCCCAGTCTTCAGCCGAGCAGTACACGTACCGTAGATACACCACCGGAGGCGTATACCTTGCTCATATGCTTGACTGATTCATGTACTTTGGTGCCATGTAACCCAGCGTGTGCATACCACTAGCAGTATCCATTCCGCTACTATCCACTCGTCACATATGGTATAATAGATCTTGCCGAAATCTAGTTGGTGTGAGAGGACCAGGATTCTCCGCATGCCGCAAGGAGCTCTTGACACGAGAGAGCTGAAAAGCGCCAAGTCTCTATTCAGAATGAATTTTATGAAAGCAATATGCGCGTTGGTTAGAAGGCTTCGATTGGTCAAAGTTGGCCGAAGGCTCGCATGTCGGTATTTCAGCAAAGTTTGTTTCGGCTTTTGTTCGCCTCGCGCAAGTAAAGAGGGTATGACGCGGGGAAAGGCAATGTGATGTTGCTCTTCATTGGTACCTCGTACCCTTGCATGGCCAGGCATCGCAGACCAACTAGGACCGTCTTCTAATTTCGGAGTCCCTGACGATACTCTCAAGAAAGCTGGCAAGTTTCTGATTCACACAACAAAAAAAACCCTCCTCGTCCACTCAGCGCATTGGAGAAGGGTCTCGAGTATTCAGCCATAGGACGCAGAGAAATAGTAGAATGACTCGTGAGACTCTAATCGCAGGACTCGGGTGTCGGATCCGGGTATCGCCCCCGCAGATGCCAATCGATCATTGTGGGACCTGTCATCAGTCATGATGATACTAGCATGCATTACTCGTGCCTGTTTATGATATCCCAAGCAGGTGGTGGTTTCAAAGGGACCAGATTCTTCTCTGCTGTGGCAGTAACGAGTGTCGGACCCCTAAAACCAGAATGTCGCTGTAAGACCAGGGAGATTCAGCTCCTGAAGCCACCTCGCTTGTTTGCATCGTCGTAACTGTTCCTGTAAACAGAATAAGCCAAACAGCCGGCAAGCGCGCAGCAAAGGATTGATAAAAGACCCTGTCTGGCGTCATCAGCGCTGCTGCAACTATTCAGCCGCACCAAGCCAGCGGGAACAGGAATATGTTAGCGGCAGGCGGCTAAGCCCATTCAAATACTCCGGCAGGCAGGTCCCCCAGCTAGGAGACAAAAGTAGGTACAGTAGCATTGGACGCGGGATCTCCAGGATCCCACGTAAGATCACGCATTCTTCCAGCCTTGCTGGACCCTCCATTTGGATGCCACTCCACAGGCCCCTGTCTTGCGCCTCTGTGATAGTCCCACTAGCCATGCAGACAGTCTAATGCCAGGCTACTTAGACTTTATCAGCGACCTATCTTAATTAACAAAGCAAAATAGTAGAAGGAGGCGGCTAGTGGCGGGATGAACAATAACTTGACCAGTTGAATTCCCTTCAGTTCGAGTGCAATCAGGGGAAAAGCGTCAAGCTAGGAACTGAACAGGGAGACTTGTTGACGAGTTGCCTGTTTTGGTCGTTGCGCGCACGCCCAAGCTGAAGATGAATGGCATATTGTTTTTAAACACGAAGAATGCCAATACATGCAGAGAAAGGGCGCGTTGAGTCGAAATGTTTCGCCAAATGCCCGCTGTGCTCTGTAAAACTGGAATTGTCTGCGGTGAATGCAGCCATGTAATAAGCAACGCCAGGGTGAAGTGCCGGTGTGACAACGGCTCATACCAGTAGTCCGAACCGCGAGTTTGGCCACGCCTCTCAGCCGCATACACGTATCCTCTCAGTGCATAGGCGCGGCACGAGCATGGATAACAGCAGAGGCATGTGCTGTCAAGCATCCCAGTCATCCAAGCCGTGCAAAACTGCTGACATGCCATGCGAGAGCCCTGAACGTTGCACTGACGGGGAGTGCGAATTCTGCTGCCATGCACGGCGCAATCCGAAGGAATCACCGCGTTGAGAATCCCGGAATCCAGTCACCAGATCAGATGCTTGATCCTTGTCCAACCCAGCAGCAACCCGCCAGCCGCGGTTCATGAAAATGTCTGCATACACCAACAATCAGCGGCATATCAACAAAGAATCGCATCACAGGGGCGTATACTCATGCTGGCACTAGCATTTGCAGTCATCAATAACCAACACCAACAGACCCGGCTGTGACCAGTGCCCGCCCCGTCGTCTAGCAAAGCCGGATCCAGCCCGTCGGGATCAGATCAGATCCACCAAGATCAAAACTCAGCAGCTTTAGATTGACCGATATCACGGTGGAGTCCCGAGCTCCGTCGATATAAGGGCCTTGTCCGGACTTCGTCGTCGATTACGGCATTTATCCGTGGCCGTTGGACGAGCACCGCAACCTTGGCTTCCGTCGGGGAGTCTCGCTCGACCTCACCGAGGCCGAAGACCGCCAAATCCATGCGTCGCCCCCAAGCCCCAGGTTCATCGTTGCTCTGGCTCTAGCGGATGGGATCCCCAGTTGGTCCCCGATTATTTTGATAGAGGCTGGAGTCTTTGAGTGGAAAGCAAGCATCGATTGGCTGCAGCTCGGGAATAGCTCTGGCGAAACTCCGGGTATTTGGCCATGCTTGACGCTCCTGATTGGCTGCAACTCAGAATTGCCCCGGCAAATCTTCGGCTATCCGGCCATTTCAGGGCAATACCCAGGAAATACCACGGCTGGACCCTGGCTAAACGCCCATAGTGGGGAACAATGGCGGGGAAACTCGTTCAAGAAGGGGCATCCTTTCCCCTCGTGATACCGAGTGCATGTGTACATGTTAGATTTGCGCGCGGTTTTCGGAGAATCCTACCTCTGCTCGATGCCATCAGAGACGAGAGCTGCCAAGATGGGCGAGTAAGCCCGTTAGTGGGAAATGTGCATTGAGGGACGGCCATCTGGCCTGATTTCTTTTACGTTTCTCCGAAGTTGTCACGGCTGGCATGGCTCTGTGTGTCTCTATATTGTGTGGCCGACGGGTATATAAGTTGCCATGTCTGTTCTTTTTGCATTGGAGATTTCTTGTAGACTTGTTCATTCTCGTGTGCCTTGCTCCAATCGCATCGCTTGGTGATTTCTTTGTTATCAGAGTGCTCATATCGTACCCTAAAGTCTGAGAGAACTCGAGTATACTTGAGCTCGTTGAGATTTTGAGATATATTTCTGGTGTAGCATATACACGCCGACATCATTTAATCTCGTCTTGTTAGACATCACTTCATCATCCAGCATGGCTGAGATTGATGTCGAAGCCGTGTTGAAGAAGCTGACTTTGGCAGAAAAGGTCGACTTACTAGCAGGTGAGCTACATGTACTTGAACACCACACCACATCATCTCAACTTCCAACCACCACACTCAACCTTCAACTATTACAGTTGCTCAAACCGAGATATCAGTATACACATGACTAACAGTCCCCAGGCATCGACTTCTGGCACACAAAAGCCCTCCCCCAGCACGGCGTCCCCTCGCTGCGCTTCACAGACGGCCCCAACGGTGTAAGAGGCACAAAGTTCTTCAATGGCGTCCCCGCGGCCTGCTTCCCCTGCGGCACGGCCCTCGGTTCCACCTTCAACACGTCGCTGCTCGAACAGGCAGGTAAGGCCATGGGCACAGAGGCCATCGCCAAGAGCGCCCATGTGATCCTCGGCCCGACTATCAACATGCAGCGCTCGCCCCTCGGCGGGCGAGGCTTCGAGTCCATTGGCGAGGATCCCTTCCTGGCCGGGCTGGGAGCCGCGGCGCTGGTGCGTGGCATCCAGAGCACCGGCGTGCAGGCGACGATCAAGCACTTTCTGTGCAACGACCAGGAGGACCGGCGCATGATGGTGCAGAGCATCGTCACGGAGCGCGCGCTGCGGGAGATTTACGCGCTGCCCTTCCAGCTGGCCGTGCGGGACTCGCAGCCGGGGGCGTTCATGACGGCGTACAACGGCATCAACGGCGTGTCGTGCAGCGAGAATGCCAAGTACCTCGACGCCATGCTGCGCAAGGAATGGGGCTGGGACGGCCTCATCATGAGCGACTGGTACGGCACGTACAGCACCTCCGCCGCCGTCGTGGCCGGGCTCAACCTCGAGATGCCCGGCCCGCCCCGGTTCCGCGGCGAGACGCTCAAGTTCAACGTCTCCAACGGGAAGCCCTTTGTCCACGTCATCGACCAGCGCGCCAGGGAGGTGCTCCAGTTCGTCAAGAAATGCGCGGCCTCGGGCGTCAAGGAGAAGGGCCCCGAGACCACCGCCAACAACACGCCCGAGACGGCGGCGCTGCTCCGCAAAATCGGCAACGAGGGCATCGTGCTCCTCAAAAACGACAACAACGTGCTGCCCCTGAAAAAGGACAGGAAGACGCTCGTCCTCGGCCCCAACGCCAAGCAGGCCACCTACCACGGCGGAGGCTCCGCTGCTCTGAGGGCCTACTACGCAGTCACCCCCTTTGACGGCATCAGCAGCCAGCTCGCTTCACCGCCGTCATACACCGTCGGCGCCTACACGCACCGCTTCCTCCCCGTGCTGGGCGAGCAGTGCACGACGCCAGACGATGGCATCGCCGGCATGCGCTGGAGAGTCTTCAACCAGCCCCCCGGCACCCCTGGCCGGCAGCACATTGACGAGCTCTTCTTCACCAAGACGGAGATGCACCTCGTCGACTACTACCACCCCAAGGCCGCCGACACGTGGTACGCCGACATGGAGGGCACGTACACCGCCGACGAGGACTGTGTATATGAGCTCGGCCTCGTTGTTTGCGGCACGGCAAAGGCCTATGTAGACGGCAAGCTCGTCGTCGACAACGCAACCCACCAAGTCGCCGGCGACGCCTTCTTCGGCTCCGCCACCCGCGAGGAGACCGGCCGCGTCAACCTCGTCAAGGGCAAAACGTACAAATTCAAGGTCGAGTTTGGCTCCGCGCCGACCTACACGCTCAAGGGCGACACCATCGTGCCCGGCCACGGCTCGCTCCGCGTCGGCGGCTGCAAAGTCATCGACGACCAGGCCGAAATCGCAAAGTCCGTCGCCCTGGCCAAGCAGCACGACCAGGTCATCATCTGCGCGGGGCTCAACGCCGACTGGGAGACCGAGGGCGCCGACCGCGCGAGCATGAAGCTGCCCGGCGTGCTGGACCAGCTGATTGCCCAAGTGGCCGCCGCAAATCCGAATACCGTCGTCGTGATGCAGACGGGCACCCCTGAGGAGATGCCCTGGCTGGAACAGACGCCCGCCGTGGTGCAGGCCTGGTACGGCGGCAACGAGACGGGCAACTCCATCGCCGACGTCGTCTTTGGCGGCTACAACCCCTCTGGCAAGCTGTCGCTCAGCTTCCCCAAGCGGCTGCAGGACAACCCGGCCTTTTTGAACTACCGCACCGAGGCTGGCCGCACTCTATACGGCGAGGACGTCTACGTCGGGTACAGATACTACGAGTTCGCCGACCGCGACGTCAACTTCCCCTTTGGCCACGGCCTCTCCTACACAACCTTTTCCTTCTCCGGCCTCAGCGTCGCCCACGCGGACGGCAAGCTGAGCGTGTCGCTCTCCGTGAAGAACACGGGGTCCATTGCCGGCGCACAAGTAGCCCAGCTGTACATCCGCCCCGTACAAGCCGCGAGAATCAACCGCCCCATCAAGGAGCTCAAGGGCTTTGCAAAGGTCGACCTGCAGCCGGGCGAGACGAAGAGCGTGACGATTGAAGAGCAGGAGAAGTACGTTGCTGCGTACTTTGACGAGGAGCGCAATGAGTGGTGCGTTGAGAGGGGCGAGTATGAGGTTATTGTGAGTGATAGCAGTGCTGTCGGGGATGGGGCGCTGAAGGGGAGGTTTTCGGTGGAGGAGACGTATTGGTGGAGTGGGATTTAGGGTTTATTATATATATACCTACCTAGCTGACGAATTTAATGACAATGTAACGATCCGTTATAACCGTTGATTCAAACAAGGCAAAGAATTAGGCCGATAATCGCTACTGTAACGGAATCAGCTGTTTACCAGGAATTCAACTTGTTACGAGGGCACCAAGTCGTAACAGACAGTTTGCAATACTATTTTTGACCAAGTTCATATCAAGTTTTTTTTTTTTTTTTTCTTTCTTTTTTTTCAAAACTATATGCTTTTCGAAGAATCGTACTGCACTACACTAAATAAAGTAACAAGAATCAACAACACACTTTGCCAGCTCAAAATCTCCTCCAATACAAATTATCTCACCACAGATGCAACAGCAAAATCATTCATCCTAGCAATCGTTTCAACGTAAAAAAAAAAGAAATACCCGCTTGCTCATCTTTTCCACCTCTTAATGATCCTCAAATGTTCCATCTTTTGAATACCCAATCAGTGGTTCGCCCATGTCTCTAATGAAAAAAACGTATAAAAAGAGCTCTTCCCCGGCCTCATCCACAAAGGGCAAGAGAAGTCAGCACTCTATCACGCAAAAGGCTGTTTTTTTGTTATTCAAAATCCACATTGTTGCGTCCCGTTTCCCCCTTGTTGCATCGAGCCCCCCCCTGCAGGTTCCCTGGTACATATATGTACGGGGGAGGGGGGGGCTCATGGGTATGCGCGCGTAATCGCTCTGCATTCGTCCAAGCTGGAGGCATACGTGTAAGTCGCCTTGTCGTCTGACATGAAATCTCGCCAAAGCAATCGCATATTTGCAGTTTTGTAGCAGAATGCCGGCTGCAGCAAGTAATACCCGCAAGTATCCGGCATGCTCTGGTCATTTTGAAATCTCTCCTTGAGAAATTCCCTCCACGGTACAGCATCGTACCCCTTGGAGGTGGAAAGCAACTCCATCTACTCAATCAGCTCGTGATCGTCATTGCACCGCACGTTGGCAACCACCTCTGGGATGCTTGCCTCCCGCAGAATAAACCCGTGCTTCTCCACCACATTCTCTCCCCCCGAAGGGCCGTACTGGTAATCCATCCCGTCATCCTGGGGGTAATTGTACTGGTCCCCCCTGAGCCACCGCTGCAGACTCAACGCCGTATTGGCCGCGCTGATGGCGACGTGCCAGTTCTCCAGGCCCATGGTCATCCAGCCAACCACGGACAGCGTCTTGATCATCCGCGCGGGCGGGGACGTGTGGCAGCTTGGCACCGCCGCTGCCATGACCCAGATGAAGACGCCCACGGCAGTCTTCCAGTACGGCACCGAAACCTCCCAGACCAGCTCCCACAACTTGAGGAAATCAGTCTCGTTTAGGATCTGGCTGGTGGGCACGCGGGCAATGATGGCTCGGTAGTAAATCGAGGCCGTTACGCGGATACAGCGGTACATGGCATCATTCTTGGTCCGGGCCAATCGGGCACTGGCAGTTTCGTCTACCGGCGCCGGTGGCGAGCCGCTCATAGACGCACTGTCGTTGCTTCTGGGCGAAGACGACTCGTAATCAGAACTACTTGCCGGGGATGTACCCGCCCCCTCGTAGCCCGTCGTCTCCCACTGGACATCGTCCCCTTCTTCGGCTCCACGCCCCGTGCCGTCGTCCTGGTCATGGAGGGGAATGTTCTCCGGCATCTGATCTAGCTTGTTAAGCGCCCACAATGCAGCTTCCTTGACATGGAGCAGCTCTTGCGCGGTTGGCGAGGGGGGCAGGGATTGTACCATCTGTATGACAGATCTTACGTCGTCCAGGATTTGGGCCGAGCTTCGATGAAGTTTCAGGGCCGATGCCGGGTCGATAAACATTGGCCATCCTGACAAAAAGGGGGAATTGAAAGCGGTTTGATACGGAACCATGAAGTCATCTTGAAATTCAAACCCGGCTTGGCCGTAGATGTCGGGCTCAATGTCGTGAGCAATAGCAATGGCAATGTCGTGACTAAATAGTTGGGTTTGAATAATTAGCAAGCTTCTCCATCAAAACCTAGCAAATGCGCTGGATCATCATGCAGCAGTCCTCGTGGCGGTATGAAAATACTACAACGGTGGAGATGGCGAAAGCGCGTTGGTCCGTAACAATGTGACAGAACTGTTCTTCCATGCCTAAAAGGGGTGGGGAGGGCTTTTTGGATGCAACTCACATGAGCACCGTCTTGGCTAGGAAACCGCCCATTCCTAGATCCTGCAGACCGCCCCTCATCCGCAGCATGGTCTTGAGGCCCGCCATGTGGGCGCGCAGTTCTTCCGTGGTTCCCCAGTACCACGAGTCCATGACCATCTGGGCGGTTCCCATGATTGCCGCATCGCCCGTCTGCGTCCTAGCCGAGCTCAAGTGCTCGTTGAGCATACGGTGGACCACGCCCTTGTAAGCCCAAGCGAGCATCTTGGGCACTCGGCCGGTTTCCTTGAGGAAGCATACCGCGGTATACAGCACTATCTGAAGAAGGAGAGGGTCTTTAATGGACAGCGGGACCCAGTGTTTCATGAATCGACTCTCAGGATCAGGGTTTCCATCTATAGAAGCCTTGAAGCGTGATAAAAGCTGGAGATCTGCAGCAGGGGAAAATTTCATGTTAGTTGGACTCTGTTACCTTGCCTCTATTCGCCCCTTGAGCCATCTTTGATTATACCAGGGACTTTAGGTAGTGACAAGACTGCTACTTGGAAAGAGAATCAAAGATGGCCGTCTATACATGCACACACATGTATGAAAAATGACACAAACAGGAAAAAAAAACGTGGGGAAAAGAACAAAGGGGAGATTGTCACGTACGTATTCGGACGAGCTCAATGTTTAGCCTGGTTGGCTCCATGGGTAGATTCCGCAGTTGATCGTCCAGAGCCCCAAGCATGGGAGGTGGCCGGGTTGCCTGCTGGAAAGCGCGCAGGAGTTGAGGGCCGTCAATGTTCCATTCGTCATTGATGATGTGATTGGTGACCTTGAGGCGGGCCGACAAGATCAACCGCAGCATGGCAAAGACGGACTTTGGCCTAAGCGTGCCCGTTTCGTCCGTGACTACGATGCGAAAGGGGTCTGAAACAGACCCGAGAGAGGACGAGTGCGCATCCTGGTGGTCTGGTATCTCAAAGGCAGCTTCTCTTTCGGCGCCTAGCGGTGGGCTGTCGGCCAGACCGCCGGCAGCGACGGCGCCTTCGACCTGGAGCAGCGCATCTTGAATGTCGGACAGGTTGAGATGGGCGTAGGCATTGCCCTGCAGCACAACCTTGACATTCTTGGAGCTGCTCCTGGGAGATCCGGATGCCGTGGGCCTGGGAGTTTTGGCGGTGATGTCAGCTTATCGTCCAATGCAGACAGGTGCTATTAGCGAGAGGCAGCGTCGACAGGCGCGCATTGAGTTTGCGCCACAACGATATAGGGGTTTGCACGGGGGGGTTTAGCAGCGGCACTATAAAGCACAGCCGTTTCCTTTTTCTCTTCTCTCGCTTTTCCTATTCTTCCACGCCTTTCTCGTCCGACCGCTTGGCCATCCGATTGGGGGACGTGGAATCTGCCGGCATGGCATAAAACGGCACTCCAGTAGCGAGCCAGAAGGGAAGTGGGTTGAAGCTTCGGCCTTGTGGGGGAGCTGAAGTGTAGTCTGTTGATTCCCCACAGGTGCTCCGAAGTCCCTGTCGGCCCCCAAGGACAACGGTTGACCGTGAGTGGAAGAGAGGTGGGAGGGATGTGCAGCAAGTGGAGGGCGGCTGTTTCTTTTGACAACTAACCTCTTGACGTTTCGTTTGGTGTTGTACTCGCACGTCGGCTGCGGGAATCGACGGGTACAGTTGCTACACGGTCTGCCTTGGTCGCACTACACAAGGCACGAGTCAGCTTGGAACTTGCTATTTCTTCTTTTCTTCCTTCTCTTCTTCTTCTTCTCTTGTTTGTTTTTTTCCTGCAACTCGCCCTTGGACGCTACTGGCTGGCCACGGGTCCGGACGATGCCCGCCCATGCCAGCCTAAACCGCCAGGGGGTTCGGACATGATGATACTCGTCCACATCTAGGGCTACCGACATGGGAAACGCCCCCAGAAAAAAAAAAGGGCTCTGGGTAGCAGCAGCGGCACTCTCAGTTCAGACTGACCTTTTGCTTGCGACGGCGACACTCGGTGCACGAATTGCCCCTAGCCTTGATGGTCGTGTTCGTGCCTAGGCGGCGCTGATGGGGTGGAAGCCCCTGCACCTGCATTGTGTCGGACATTTAAAAGCTGGGCGGCGCGACCGATGGCGTAGCGAAGAGAGGGAAAAAAGTGGTCAATAATCAGAAATGACGCCGGCGGCGATGATGCGGTGAGCCGCCTGAGGCGAATCAAAAAAGAAAGGAAAAAACAAGGAACAAGGCAGACAATGTTCTTTAATAAGGCGCACGCTTCCCTTTTTCTCCTTGCCAAGTTTTCGGATTATTTTTCTCTTTGGATTTTTTTTTTCTTTGGTCCAGTCTCTTTTTCTATCTTCTTTGTCGAAGCTGGCCAATATGCTGCGACCCCCAAAGAGATGACGGCTTTTTGACAGTTCGCGCCGCGCCTTCAGCCGCAGATGTGTCGAGCTCCGGCAGCCAGTCAGTTGTCCTGTGCCGGCAAAAAAAAAAAAAGAAAAGGGTGTGGACGTCGCTTTGCATAAATTGAAACCTTTGTGGGCTCTAGCGTGTAGGAGCTGCAGCTCAAAGTCGGACAGCAAAGGAAAGTAAGCCGTCGGTCGGCAGATGCGGTGACCTTTGCAGGAAGCTAAGCTTGGCAGCTGAGGCTCTGCGCAGAAACACCTGAAGCGAGAGTTTTTGTTGTCTTGTCTTGTCGCAACGCTGGATGCTGAGTGAGGGGAGAGTTGGAGGAGGGGAGCAGACGAGCTGCTCGAGGCAGTGAGGCCGGAGAAGAGGAGAAGGACAAAGTTAACGGCAGCGGGTTACACAGGAACGGCAACGGATGGAACAATGCCTTGTGTAGCGCTCACGGTGTCTGGCGCACAGACAATGCAGAGGACAAGAGGATCTGTCCGTGTCGCGAAGACAAGGCCAGGCCGACGAGGTCAAAGAAGAAAGAATGAAAGAATGGTGAGAAAAAAAAAGGGGGGGCGGGTGTTGACAGTCGAATGGATGTTTGTCTGTCTCGAGTCCAGCTTCTGCGTCTCTCGTCCCGTCTCTTTTCGCTTCTCTCTCAATCCAGCTGTCGGCACGCTCCGTGCATCTCCTGGCCGGCTCAACGATGGGACGCAACGCAATCAATCAACCAATGGCCGCTGCGAGTCGAAATCGACGACGAATGGCGGAAAGGCGGACAGCGATATCCAGCCTCAGCGACTCGGATGAGGGCTCCAGACGTCGGGTGTAACGCCAGCAGGGCCCAACGACGAGCGAGGCCCGGCAGCGCTGCGCGAATCTCGATGGCCCGGCCTGATGATTGGGTGGCTCGACGGCATTCCAGGGAGATGAGATGTGCGGCTTTCGAACAGGGCCCTGTCTTGTCGTGTCTAGAATGTCGCTGCCTCGGGGGCTTTTGGCGGTCCCGGCGGCGCTGCTCGCTTCTCCGGATTTGCGACAGGCGATGCGACCTGGCGGAGAATTGTTCCGCCTTTTTCCTTTTAACCCTTCAATCTCTTTTTCTCGATCCTTGGCCTGGATGGAACCTGGAGCCCCCTTTTTTTTTTCGGTGTCTTTTCGTGTCTCTTTCTTCTTTTCTATTTTTGAGACAGAGAGAAACAGATACAGGCGGGATTTGCAGTGTTTCAAAGAGAGAGAAAAAAAAAGGGCAGTCAGACGAGGCGCAAACGACGAGTCAGAAGCCAGACGGTTCAAAAAAGAATAAAGGAAAAAAAAGAGACTAAAAGGAATGGTCTGATCTGGCCCGTGAACCGGTCGGTGGCTGACGGGCCGTTAAATAAGTGCTGAATGGAACTGGGGACCGGATTACTGGAGCAAGTTGAGCAAACGGCATCCGATCCTGCTGCTTGTTTGCTAAGGAAGAGGAGATTGGTGAGCTTGAGCGTTGCTCTTGTGCCTGTCATGACTTCTTTTTTAGCGCCCCAGGGCAAAAAGAGGGGTCCCGAGTCTCTTGTGCTGCCAGAAGAGCCTCATCAGCGGCCACGCAGCGCCATCGATTCTCGTCTCCCTTTGCGCTGCCCTTTTGGCGCCGCTGACGTTTTTTGCTGGGCGCACAAGACTCGGCGCATGTACACGCAGTCACGAAAAGAGAAGAAGAAACCCGAAAGGCAGCGTTGCAGTGCATTGCAGCGCATTGCAGCGCAACTTGCAGCGCTGCACTTCCACGCTCCCTGCATGATCTTCTTCGTCGACACCCGCATTCGGCGCTTTTAGCACCGCGGCAGAGGCCACCACTGCTTTAACCCGCTCCCGTTCCTGGGCCTTTAGTGGCGTCTAGTGGCCTTTAGTGGCCCCCTCGGTGCTGGAGCTCTTACCTTGCTGTGCTGCGTGTGGGGTTGATGCGGAGTTGGCCGGCTTTCAGCTGAGAGCGTATCTGGACATGAAGAAGCAGCAAGACAAGTCCAGTCTGTGTGCTGCACGTGTCTGTGCCTCTGTCTGTGCAGTTATTTTGCACATTCCATACCTGGATTTTTGTAGAGGCCGTCACTGCCTCGTTGACGCTCGCAAACTGGCCTCTCTTTGTGAGCCGCCGGCCGCCAACCAACATTGCGCCGAGCATCACCGACCAACAACATTCCGAGTGGAGAAGGCCTTTTGTCCAAGGGCCCAGGCCGGTCAGACAGAATGCCGTAGAAACTCTGAGACCAGGTGCTGCGTGTGCCGACTCTGATACGTGTGCCTACTTTGAATCTTGGTACTCTACTCGGCATGGTAAATGCAAACACTGCCAACTCATGTAATCTTGAGCCTAATCGGACGACACTCCATGTAGGTCCAAGTATTGTAGAGCGCAACATACAGTCTAGATTGTCAGATTTCCACATGTACGGCACGTAAGCAGAGATGGCCGCTAATCCGCCGCACCGCATCTCTATCTGCCTTTATGCATCCGACACGGCTCTCCTCTCGTCAGCTCTACCTACAAGTACTCGCTGTACGTAAACGATGCAACCCCCCATCGTCCCATCATCCCTCTCCGGCTGTCCAACTACAATTCCCCGTTGGCTTTTTTTGGCTTTTTGGATGCTTGGCCAATGAGAAGCGGCAGACACTCTGATGTTTTACCCTGCCAAGGCCCATCTTGCCTCTCATAGGTCCAGCCCTACCAAAAGGATGCCATCCTCGAGATCGGGCTGGCCGTATCACTTGCTTCGAGGTAGGTATGTCGCGCATAGTCTTGGACGCAAGCCGCCACTCCGCATCGAGAAAGGATCGATAGAAAACCCTTGTAGAGTTGAGATTTGCATCATCATCATCGCTGGTAGCCTGCCTACTAGTATGTACACCAGCTCGCACCTCATCTCGCCCAACTGAGAAAAAGTAGCAAATGGTGGCATCAACACAGCAATTAGTAGCCAGGGTCTTATCGAGTACATCACGTCCATCATCATATGTCAGATACACAGGCAGCAGTACATATATACGCAGGTTTGCTCTGTCAGTTTATCGAATATTTTGCTTCCAAATTCCAAAAGGTATATATGGTGTATTTCATTTTTCCCTATTTAAAAGTGCCGCCACCGCCGCCCATGGTATCAAAGCGAGACATTGTCATAACAATTCAAAGATCCAATCCCTCCCTCATTCCCTCTTTCTTTAGGTAACAAAAGTATAAAAAAAATATAGACAAAGAAAAATAAACAGCAATAAAAAAGCATTCAATCATGCCCTCGTCACATCACCAATTTGGTATCCGAAACGCCGTTATTCCAACTCTTTTTCACTTATTTCCCACTCGTTAATACTGCAGATACTCTGGCTTCCGCGCCATGTTGATGGGAGGCGGCCCCTCGTCATCGTCCAGTGGGTAAGGCGGGATCGACGTCTCCGAGTCTCGGGGCCGGTGGCCATATTCGTGGATGGGCGTCTTTGGTGGCAAAGGGGGCGCCATCTTGGCCGGCACAGCTGGCGGCGACGGCTGCGTTGGCGACTTGAGTGACAGCGGCGCCGGATACTTTGGCTCCTCGTCGGGGCTCATAATGGCAATCTTGTCATCGGCAAATGGAGGAATCCGGTACTGGTTCGGAGACGACATGTCAACCACATTGCTGTCGAGGACAGGGGCGGGTTTTCCATAACGAGAGTGCCCGGTGCCCGGTCGAATGTGGTCGCCAGAGACTCGGGGCGAAGACAGGGTATTTGCCTGTAGATGTAGACTGTCCGGTGCAGAATCAAAGGATGAACGGCTCCGGGGGGTTTGCGGGCTGTGCGCAAAAGTTGTTGGCATGTCGCCGGGCAGTTCGATCGCAAACGGTTGCTCATAGTTGGTGTCCGAAGTCGACTTGACCAACTCGGGCACGTTGGCAGAGCTGCGCTCCCAGCGGATCTTTGCCCGGTGGATCTTGGCAAGCCTTGTCGATATTCCGTGAATCATCGTCTGCTCGTCTGCCCTGGACATGTATCGTCGGGTGCCGGTGCTGATTTCGCTGAGTCGATTCCACTCGTTCATGCCAAACTCACCAACGCCCACTTCGACGTTGAGGCGGTAGTAGTTTTCGACGTTGACGCCGCGCTTCGAAAGATGCTCGTGGATCATATACTCGTGAATCTTTTCGCAGCCTTCAATCTTGGAAATCATCTTTCTTCGCGCCTCGGCGAATTCACCCAGGAATCCCTCGTACCACACTTGCTGGTTTCCGTCGCTCCCACGAGGCCGCCTTCCAGTGCCAACGCTGACAAAGACGCCCACTTCTCGTCCTGGCCATTCGTTAATCACTGCCTCGTCCAAAGCCTCGGGTGCAGGGTTAAAAGTGCCGGCGCCATCGTCGTGGAATATCGACTGGCCAATCTGAACAGGCTTAAAGGCCAGCCCGATGGAGCAAGTCGCGCGTCCGGCCTCCCAGATCTTGCAGTCAAACTCTGGCGGAGGCTCTTTGCGAGAGTCGTATGAACGCAGCAGCACGGGGGGCGACCCTCGCTGGGATCCCTTGTACATTGCTGTTACGGCACTACATTATCATGTTAGCCTTGGTCTTTAAAACTATGTACATAAAAGATAAAATACAGGGCGATTGTTTTTGTAACTTACGTCTTGGTTCTATTCTCTCGAGCATCGTATAATCTTGCATTCCCGTTGCCATATCTCATATTCATCACCGGCCGAGTAGATACCTGGCCGGAAGGGTGGCGTGCACTGAAACTAAGAGTACTGGCATTGCTAGAGTGTCGCTTGACGGATCCTGAGCTTGAGCGACTTGATGAACGGAGGGGGTTGGCGACTTCTACCTCGTGGTCGTTGCCTTCTTTTCCGTTGACCGTATGTTCCCAGACTCCCTGCTTGATGGCCTCCTCCAGCTTGCTCGCCTTGAAAAGCGTGGATCGGTATGGGATACCGGCAATCGTCTTGTCCGTCTCAAACACCATCTTCGTCATCCGGACGTACAGCTCCTTGCAAGTCTCCAAGTCCAGGCGCAGCCTGCCCAGCATGATTGCGATCAGGCCGCCGGTGCCGGTGCCGATGATGAGGTCAAAGTGTTCGCATGGCTTCGGGATTTCGTGTCGCTTGGGTGCGCGGCCCTCGGTTTCCACAAAGGTCCGGTGCATGAGCTCTTGGATGATGATGAGCATGGAATAGCCTCGCACGCCTCCTCCGTCTGTGACAGGCCAAGTGTTAGCAGCCATCGTCGCTAGGTGTTAAGTCAAAGAAACAAGTAAATAGTAGTTTCATGTCATACCAAGAGACAGGATGCGCAGAGGCGGCCCTTTGGTGGTGTCCGACCTCCGGACTCCATACGAGTCCATTGACATGGCTTTGTTCGCTGCGAAGCTGTTGTCGATGTGCGCGCAATACCAGGATCCGCCGGATTACGAGATGGAGGTTCAAAAAGGTTCGAGAACAAGAGTCGCGTCGAGAATGTAGCGCGAATAGACCCAGCCGAAGCGCAGTCGCCCAGGTGTAACTTGTTGTTTCGAATCCAAGTCGAGAAAGCCGCTTGTCGTTTTGGTGTGCCCGATTATCGACCCCCGCCAAGTTCGGATGCGCTGGTGTTTTCGCTGTATCGCCGTCGCAATGCGGATAAATCTGGGGTCCGCAGAAAATGAGAAAATCACGAGGCTTGACCAAGATTGTGTCGCGAGGCGCAGTGGATTATGTGTCACCCAAAGCAGGTACCAAACGTAAAAATGGAAATATGGGAAGAAAAAAAGATTTAAACAAAGAAGATCAAAAAAAAATACCCTCGATGATTCATTTATTATATTCAACCCAACGTGCCGTGACGCAATCGCCCGGGTATACGAAAGTAGCGCTGCTGCTTTGCTTTTCGGGGAGGGACCAGCAGCGAAGCGAGGGGCGCAGCGCCGAAGAAGCACTAGGGCACCCACTAGGCAAACGTCACAGGGTCCTTTAGGCTCGTCCGCCCAGCGGGTTGGCGGGTTTCTGGCGCCTGTGGGCCCTTCCAGACGCCTAGGGCGTAAGACGAACGGCTGTGCGTGTCAGCGAAGATCAGGAACGGGCTTGCCGGGCCATGCGAAGCTGCAAGTACCGAAGCTGCCGCAGAGAAGCTTCAAAGAGATCAGGTTTTGTTTTTATGATGTGATGTTGAGATTTGCTATTTGCTTCGCTTCTCCCGTTAATCTTATTTCTCGAAGCCGAAGTGCCGCGGAACAGTGCCGGATGGGACTGGAGATGGAAACAGAAGCGGAGAGAAGCCGGCTCCGAGTGGGTGTTGATACATGGAGTAATGTTCAATAATAGGCACCAGACTATGGGCAGCCAAGAGCCCAAGAGCCCACGAGCAAGAGGCCACTGATGCCAAGTCTTACCTGCTGCCGTCACGAGGGAAGTCTAATGTGACGGCTTGGGCAATGGTATTTTCTCTTTTCCTCCGCATCTTTCACCTCTCCATTACATCCATGGCAGATGGAATATTCTCAGTATGATTGTACCGGCAGAAAGCCTTCATCCGGCGCCTTCTGTGGATCGACCAGCATCCAGGCTAGCTAGGCAGAGCCAGCTTCCGGAGATGGAAAAGCGAACCCCGTGTTTGTGTTTCTCGCGCTTTGTTTCGTGGGGGGAGCTTTTTGAGGCTGTGCAGATTGGGCGGATACAGCAAGACAATCTATGGAGTGCGCCACGTGAGGCCGGCAGCTTTCCATGAGATGCCAAATCGCATTTTCCCCATGCGGAATAACTGTGCCTATTTAAAACACTTTTTTCTCATAAAATGCCCAAATAGCTGATGCTGGTTGAACACAATGACTGTATATCTGCATCTCTGTTCGTACCTCGACGAATACTAGAAGCAGTACATGTACAGTAAGCTGATGAAAGGGCCTTCTATGGCATGTCATGATTACAACGTATTCAAACTGCGCCTCTTATGCGCGCTCTCTTCGAGATTCCAGCAGGCAACGGCCATAGATGTGCAAGAGGTGCCATATATTTAGATTAATTGTGACATGCTGCCCTTTCTCACCTCCCATACACGTAGCGAGGCAGCCGGCATCATCACACTGTGCATCTATATGCGTACAGAGCACACGCACACAGTACTAATGTCGCAATGCAACATTCGCCTACGAGCGCTTTACGTCAAGATTCCGTGCTCAAAGGAATGGATGCAAATAGTAGGAGTATTTCCCGTCGCCAAAAAGTTAATTCCAGACTGGAGGCGAAAAGCCGGTGAGCGTGAGCAAGGATGACTTCCTTTGTCTAGCGCTGGCGTTACGAGGAGGCGCAGATATGCTGCCCTTGGCATGTGTAATCATGAGGCGCCTGTGTCTTGCGCTGGCATCTATGTAGACGGACATTTATTGAATTGCTCTTCTACGACGGTGGCAGAAATAATTCTATACATGTACATACACACACATGCATGCAGCCTTGTGGTCTTGCAATCTACTGGGTGGGATTCAAGGGAGAGCAGCGGCAAGGATAAAAATAGAAATGTGGCTGGAGATGATTGGCACTTGTCCATCTCTTTCCAGCTGTGGCTGACCAAGTCAATTACGCGTAGGCGCCACATTTCTCTGGCATTTCAACCGCGGTGGCGAGCTTGAACAGCTCAACTTGCAATTCCCGTGACGGAGAAGCAAGTAGCTGTGGGTGCTGCATCGTCTGATTCGGCGGCATTTGACACGCCAGCGTTTCATGCATCGCCACTGCGAGTTTTTGTGGGAATTCCGAGTCCCGTCCCGAGTCAGTGGCTCAGCCTCGCCGTGCGACCCAGCTTTACGGCCAGACAGCCTTTGTATTGAATGGCTAATATAATGAGGGCACAATGTTGCAGTTGACGGTGCTTTATCGAGCATATACTCTCTCTTATCACGTGGCTACCAAGTAGATGGAAGAAATGCTGAGACGTACTAGTAGTTGCAGCATATCATTGATGATAATCATGCCATGGTCAATTGCCGATGCCAGTCGATTACAAATTCTTCAACGTCCTATTACTGCTGGTAAGAGAATGCCGAACCAATAGGCCAATTGGCTAATGTACGAATTAGCACCACCACCTAGGTGGTAATAGTCGCTGGTATTACCGGACTATGGAATCCGGAATGAGACGCTGAAGCCGTACGAATGGCAACACACCGTCAAGTGCTCCACATACAGACCTGTTACATGGCCCCACCGCAGAGGACACGAGACGCACCTATCAATTCATTCAAGGCTGAAAAGAAATCGTACTATTACTCGCAGATACAAGGCTACAGGCACAGGTACTCTCTTCTGTGCGTGTGTGTGTGTGTGTGTGTGGCCGTGTTATTTTAGCCCCATGAATGGCCCCCCTCCCCTACAGCCATAAGTATGCCCATACGAATTCGTGTAAGTGGAATAGCTGCAACGTCAAAAGTGGCGTACCTGTCTGATGCCAGCTGCATACGAGAATGGAGAGCGATTGCAAGTTCGATAACAAGCTGCTCTTTTGGAATTGATTACGAGACAACAATGGCATCGCCCAGGCCAGGCGCAAATGCAACGCTGTGGCGCTCCAGAGGTCGAGCTGAAAAGTCGCCGCAGGGATCTGAGGAAGCTTGTCTCCCATTGCTTCCGCATTTGCAGTGTTGCTTCCAGCTAGGGGATACTGGAAGCTTGTCCCGTCCCGCTCTTTCTGCAGCATTGAGTGCAAGCCTCTTTTTTTTTTTTTTTTTTGTATCTCTTTTGATGTATTCGGGTTCTTTGTCTCAGTTGAGCTGTGGGTATTTCGCTGGCACATTGACTATCATGTACATTGACCGCCAGACCCACGGCAGCGCGGCGAATTATACGGCTCGGTGCGGCTGTGATGGCATAATCACCTCATTAAGACATACAAGTAGTATGTTCTCCTGTGGTTTTAGCTCAGCTGCCAAGAAAGATTCAATGGCGTGCAATAAACCCAAGGTACGAGTAAATAGAGGCCGCAACATGCTGGCACTAGATACCGGATAGCCTTGCAATAATGACATGGGACTATTGATGTCGGTGGGCAGGTATCATTGACATCAATGCAGGGTGTCAGTAGTGCATGCGGTTGATGCAAAGCCCAGCGACACAATCAAAGGGCTACACGCACTTACACATGCTAGATGCAATGGCTTCACGTCCACATCGCCACTGGTTGCAGGCACGGGACGGCGCGGCGTTGCGACAGCTGGACTGGCCGTGGTATCCGTCATGTCCGCTCTTCCCCTCTCGCTTTTCCAATCGACTGTCGCCGTATACGAAATCACGGTGAGCCGCTCCATTCAACTATGCCCAGCGCAGTCTAGAAAAAGGCCCCGACGTCAAATAGCAGCAGACCTGCAGTACATGTAGTCTGGCTTCGGCATCCTCGCCTGCCGCTGAAAAGAAAAGGCGGCACCAAAGGGTCGCACTTTGGGCGGTGGACGCCCCTCGCCTTTCACAACCCTGGGCGAGGCTGCGAAATGATTCGCCGGGCTGATGTCGAGGCTAGAAGATACATGTAAAGGCCGGCCGCGCTGGCTACGGACTGGATCAAGCAACGCGCGGCCGGTCCATGCAGGCCGGAGACGGCTTCGCTGCGCGACGACATGTACATGGACCTAGTAGTACAGTAGTACAATACATGTAGTTTGGGGGCGGTGTCTCTATGTGGTGTCTCTATTTCCCTCTTCAGCTTTGCCTTCCGTGGCTGTAGCAGCTGGGCGTGTGTTGAGGGCTGCGGTCCTGGAAATTGTGGCTTTATGTTTGCTGCTGAAGAAACTTGAACGTTGGATCGACCAAGAAGGCTGCATGTAGAGGTACATGTACACACAACATACAACATACATGTAGCTTCAATGTCGTATCAAGCGAGGCACTGCAAGACGGGTTACACCAGCACATGAATTACGTATTGACGGTCTCGGGGCTGGCTGTCAGTGCGCCAGACGAAATTGAGATTGTCCACGGCCGAGTTCGCCAGACGCAGAGTCGGTGGCCCTACTTGTACTTGCAAGTTCTTACACGCGCGGCGTCTACGGAGCATTCCCAGTTGCTGGAACTAGACCTGCATGCTGTCGTTGCTAAATATATCAACGGATACTTGTACATGTATGGTGAGCATACTATCAAGGCGATAAGCTGAGTACATATTACCGCGCCGCAAATAAGACTATCGGTTGTTGGGCAGGGACGCTTGGGCGTCTCATCCAGATTCCTCACGGGCACATGGACGCTATTGCGAGAGGTGCATATGGCCCATGGTACATACCTATTCAAGATGACATTGAGCTTGGAAGAGTACAGACAGCTTGATGTGTGCTGCGATTAGCACATGTAGGACCTGCTTTAGCATATGGGCTAATGCCTGTGCTGCGAGTTGAGCACCCGTCCATGCCAGGATGGAGGTGACGAGGCTAGAGCAGATTACACGGAGCACCTTGGTGAATACTACTTGAGTAGGCATAGTATAGCACCAGTTGACTGGCTGTGATGGGAATGGGTTGGACATTTGGGGGCAGAAAGAGACGAATTCCTACTTGTGTACATCAATAGCTCGATATTTGCAGTGTCACCGGCGAGTACTGCTCCTTGTCATCCAGAGTCCCACTTTCAACAGCGGATTCTACATGAGATGAGAGGATCAAAAAAAAGGAATAAAAGGAATAAAAAGAAAAGAAAGAGAAAAGTCACAGCTCGCCAAGGCCCTCAGCACCCTTGCCTTGCGCTGTTTCATCCAAATGGCGCCGGCCGCCCCTCGACGGCCTTGTGTGCCAATCCTTCAGCAGCACAGGCGTGGCGGAGGTACAGGCACAGGTACAGGTACAGGCTGCTCGCGGGCATATGCCGGGCCCGGGGGCAGGTTTCCCGGCGATTCGCTTGCCGCGTAGGTACCGAGTACGAGCTGTTACAGCCGACGCCAGTCCAGTCAATCGACGGCCTTGCACTCGTTTCGAGCCTCTGTCGTCTCGTCTCCATGGCATGTCGGTGCAGCCAGGCCCTGCCGCCAGACGACAGCGACAGGATAGTGGACGCTGCCGTGTCATTTGATGTCATGCTACGCTGGAGCGGCACTTGCATGCCGCCACCAGCCAGCTCCGACTGTCGATTCGTGTCGACCTCGAGCCGGCATCCCATCCAATCCCCTCCAATCCACCCAATAATGCGGCGGCTGCAGCTCCAGCGCCAGCCATAGGCCGTGCACTGCTCAGCCAGCCCACGACTGGACCACTCAAGACGCGAAAGGCCCAAGTCGCCAGCCAGCAATCCGATCCAATCCCATCCTATCCAATCCTATCCTATCCAATCCAGCCCACTGCAGTCTCTAGCCCAGCCCGCCCAGTCCAGCCCAGCCCAGCCGGGCCTTGCGCTTCTGCCTCTCTCGTCTCTCGTCTCTCGTCTATACTGCATGTCCAGTCCAGCCCAGTCTGTCTCAGCCGGGCTTGCGCTGCGCTGTCCCCGTCAAAACCACCTCGGCTACCGGCCAATGGGCGCCGCTGCTCAGGCCCTGCACAGCCAGGCGGCCCGCCAACTAAAATATAGCGGCGTGGTCCTTCCCTGGAACGCCCCCAGCCCCAGCGCCCCAGCGCCCAAAAGCCCCTACCGACTGACTTCATCCGTCTGGTAACACTGCACTACGCTGGGCTGGCAAATACTGACAGCCTCGCCAGAGCCTTGAGCCACTCCCTCGCAGCTCCCCTCTTCCCACCCCCAAAAAAAAAGGCCCAGCCTTACTCCCTCGTCCTCTTTTGCTGTCTCACCTCATCTCTGCCTCCTCCCAGCCGGCCGTCGTCTTGCTCCCGCTGCCTCGCTCCCAACGCCCGAAGCCCCCAATTGCCGCCTGCTGCCTCGCTGTCGCTGCCGCTGCCGCTGCCGCTGCTCTCGAGGCTGTCGTGTCTGCATTCAATTCAGCGTTCCAGCAATCCAGGCCCCTCCGACAGTCTCCAAGGGCCTCCTCCAGCTGTCTCGTCTCCCTCGTCTCGCCGTGCCTCCTCACCGAGCCTGTCCATGGAACCGTCCAGTAAAAAGCGGAAGCTGGCTCCCAAAGTCAACACTTCTGCAGCTCCCAATCCTCAGCCTGCTGCGCAGTATTCTCACGAGACGGTTAGCCTTGCATCTCTCTCCGACTGCCTCGCCAGTCTCGCTCGCTCGCCATCTCTGTCCATCTCCCTTTTACTTCTTTTACTTTTCCTGTCTTCCACTTACCTTTTCCTTTTCCTTTACTGCCCCTTCTGCTGCTGCCATCGTTTGCTGACCTGTGCCGTCGTCCATGTCTAGCCACAACAACAGCCTTACCCCGTACACGATGTCCCGGTTGCCGAGCGACAAGACTTCGAGGCCTTTGCGCGCCATCTACAGGATGCCGCCATGCTGATACAGCGCCAGACAGAGCGGCCGCCTCACAGCGACGTCTCTGTCCTGCTTCTGAACTGGGAGGAAGATCGCACCGTCGATGAGGATGTCGTTGCCATGGAGCAGGTCATGCAGAAGCAGTATGGCTTCAACACGCAGCGCTGGCAGATTCCCACCGTACCCAATCCCAGCATCAAGCTCGGCGTCCAGATGGCCTCTTTTCTCGAAAACGCAAGACCCAACCATCTCCTCATCATATACTATGCCGGCTACGGCTACGCCGGCCCCGACGGACAGCTATACTGGGCCTGGTGAGTTCTCTGTCATTTGGGGCCTTCTTCTCTCATTCTCCTTCTCCTTGTCCTCTTCTCCACCACCCTCGTATCATGTCCACTGCAATCCGCCATCGTCTCTAATATCGCCTGCCCGTTTAGCAATGCTCGCGAAGATGCCGCCAAGCTTAAATGGGATGGTGTAAAGTGTCTGTTCGAAGATGCCCAGTCCGACATCCTCTTGCTTCTTGATACGTGTGCCAAGCCAGACCCCACAGCTGCCGGCAGCCATGGTGTGAAGCAGGCAATTGCAGCTTGCTCGCCAGAGCACAAGCTCCGTGATGACCCCGGCCAACGCTCCTTCACCTCCTATCTCGTCGAATCGCTCCACAAGCTGAGTAGCGCGCAGCAGCCCTTTAGCTCCCAGAGACTTTGGGAAGAGATTTGCGTCCTAAAACAGCAGCAGCAGCAGCAGCAGCAACAGCAACAGCAACAGCAACAGCAACAGCAACAACAACAACATGCAAACAGCCCCGCCACAGCTCCGTCTACGCCGCCCGTATTGCCCATCTTCTTCACCCTCACTCCCGCAAAGGGGCACGGCCTGATGCTGGCATCAATGGTAGGCAGGGCGCCTGCACCCCCTCTGAATGGCGTAGATGTGCCAGACGGCCAGAGCGGTCGTGCTCGTGAAGACAATCTCATCGACGCAGACTCCGTCGCCGATCTCAGATTCGACGAGGCCCGGATCCTGGTCTGCACAACGTTTGTCGGCGATGCGAGCCCAGATATGTCTTACTTTCACCAGTGGCTGCAGAACAAGCCGACGCTCGGCGCTGCCATTGCCGTCGAGGGCATGTTCCTTGGCCCCCCCACCATGCTGCTGATCTCAATGCCCCACTCCATATGGAATGTCGTCCAGCACGATAAAGTCTGCTGCTTCCTGGGCTACATTAGTTCCCATAACATGATTCATCTGTACGAAAAGCTCGTGGGACCTGGCGGCATCCGGCCGTCTGCCAAGGAAGTAGAGGATGGCCGCATTTTGTTGGAGGCCAGGGAGTTGGCGGCGGGGACACCTTCGCGCACTCGCCGGGAGCCAGACCCGTATCTTCATGCAGCGGCCCGAGATGGTCTTGAATACAGGTCACAAAGCAGCCCCTCTGGAGCGCCATATACCCCGGCCACCCCCCGGAACGTTGCGCCGATAAAGCCAAAGGACGAGGTCGAGGATTCCGCCGAGATGCAGGAAGCCGCAGAACAGCTCAAGGCCCTGAGCCATGTCCGGCCGAGAGGCGACGATGGTCCTCCTCCTCCTCCTCCTTCTTCTTCTCACCCACCTATTCCTATACCGGCTGCTCCTACGACGCTCCCTGCCCTCCCTCCTCTTCCCCCCATTTCTGCGCTTCCGCCATCTCCAGTGCTTCCTGCAGTACGACAACACCGGACAACGCTTCCAGATGGCATCCCTGAATCGAGACAGTGTGAGCCAAGCTCATCCCGCGACATTGTCGAATCTGGAGCCGCCGATGGCTTGTCCGCGGACTCGGCTGCACATTTGCGGATAAAGGCGCCGCGGCGGTCTCTTCCCAAGCAGGAGACGCGTTGCAACCACTGCAGCCACGCACCTTTCAAGGATACGTCGTCTCTCCGCAAGCACATCGCCGCCGCCCATACACGGCCTTTCCCCTGCGCCTTCTCCTTTGCTGGTTGTGCTAGTACATTTGGATCAAAGAATGAGTGGAAGCGCCACATCGCCTCGCAGCATCTCTGTCTGACATACTACTGCTGCTCCGCATGCCCGCAGAGCGCGGTGGAGGGCAAAGGTAACGAGTTCAACCGCAAAGATCTCTTTACGCAGCATCTCCGCCGGATGCACGCTCCCTTCCAGATCAAAAGAACCATTGCCAAGGGCGACAGCAAGCTGATGGCCGAGTGGGATGCTCACGTCAAGGAAATGCAGCAGTCCTGCCTGGTCACTCGGCGGCACCCCCCTCAAAAGTCAGCTTGCCCCAGGAAAGAATGCAATGCCGTTTTCGAGGGGCCCACGTCGTGGGACGAGTGGACTGAGCATGTGGGGCGGCACATGGAGAAGGGCGAGGCCCAACGGCTGGGCATCGACAAGCTGCTGGCCGAATGGGCTCTTGACGAAGGCATCATTGAGCTGAGAAGCGATGGCGAGTACCGCCTGTGCGCCACAAACGGCGTTTTCCCCAGCAGCAGCAACGGTGGCATGAATAATGGAATTGCCCTTCATGCTCAGCCAGCGCTAGAGCACAAGGAATCCTCCCTCTCCCTCGCGGAACATGCGTCTTCTGCAGAAGAGACTCCGGCAATGGAGGCTAAGCCGGCTGAGGATACGATAATGGCGGAGGGATGATGCTTTCAAAAGTCGTTATCCTTTTAGGAGCAAGAATTTGGGGCCATTTATCATCCATCGGAACTGACTAGCTTACAAACTCCTGGCCGCCACTCATAGTCGCTGTTTCATCAGATCTCTTTTGTGAATGCATACATGATTCCATGTTGCCTGTACAAATCCGAGAATGACCAACGAAAGTTACGAAAAGGGGAGTCTGCCATGTTGCATCTCATTTTATTATTCTTTTTTCTTCTCTCAATCTGTCTGTCACTCCCGTGCATAACACAATCATCAACTTTTGAAGCCTAGGTTTGCGATTCGCGGCGTTTACATATATTGTTTTGGCTCCCACCGGTTTTTCTCTCCTTTTCTATTCCTCTTTCTATTTTTTTCATTTCCATTTTTTCCCTCTTCATTTCCATCATTCTTGTCTTATTTTCCTTTGTTTATTTCTCATGGGCGGCGTTGGTAAGGTTGAAATCCATCGGAAAGGCATCAAACAGTGATACAGCGGCGTCTCGTTTCTCATACTATTGTTTTCCAACCTTTTGCCCTCCGGAAGCGGTGTATTTTCGGAAGATTTTTCACAGACACACGGGAGCGATACTCATTTTTTCCAAAGAATCCTAGGGTCAAAACACACAAAAGTGATGGCCGAGTGGGAAAGAAGGAAGGATACAAGCACACACACAATCTTTTGAACAAAGAAATTGTTTGGACGGAGCTCGAAAGAAAGAAAAAAACAGCCATCTATGGGGCCGGCTTGTAGACTTCTGTTCCTTTTCAATAGAATGGTAGACGTAGGAATATTACAATGTCACAGTCCATTAGCTCAAGAGTATCATTGCTTCTTTTTGCATCATGTTTCGTGTTTATGTAAGACTTTGGTTACGTGTATTTGTAAAGAGTCTTCAATTACGTGTATTTGTAAGATGTTGGAAACAGTAGAATCACTCGCTCAAGAAGAATGGCTGAGAAAATACTCGTTATTCATATGCCAAGAAACCATAATCTTGCTATGCTTTAGTAAAACAAAAGAGTAGTATATATACATGAGATGCCCCTTGGGCTTGGGGCATAGCAGCGCCACAACTATGTATCCATAAGTTGACCAAGCGAATGACAAGAATCCCAAAGTGTTTTAAATCTACATTGTAAAACGACTGTTGTAACCATAAACAAAAAACGAAAAAACAACATCTTTAACCAATTCTAATAGAAGTAGGTCCATTCAGCGCCAGGTTAACATTGAATGACTTGCTATTGCTGCTGGCCCCAGTGTTGGGCTTGAGAACAGCCGACGAGCCGCCCAGAATAGTCACCTTGGAGATGACAAACGGCACTCGGAGATCGAATGTGCCGCCCAGAATGAAGAGACCCTTCTTGTACGTAAAAGTAACATGAGTAATGGCCTTTTGGTTGATGGACTCGCCGTCGTCGAGGTAGAGCTCTCCCGTAGCAGAGCCAGAGGCGTCAAGCGGGATGAGGAGCTCAAAGTTTTGCTTGCGGAGCTCGGTGGTGGTGTTTGTAGACTTGATGCGGAGGGGCATAATGACACCACCGCGAATGAAGAGCGGGATAGACGTGGTGTCGACGCCAGTGATGAGGTGGTTTGTCGCGCCGCCGGCAATCTGGGCGTGGGTGTACCAGTCGTAGAAGATGTCGTCGGGGAGATAGACGCTGACGCTAGTGGAGCCCTGCGCGGTGACGGGAGCGACAATCAGGCCCGGGCCGAAGAAGTATTGGAGCTCCAGGGCCCAGGTGGCCGGGTCGTTGGGGTACTTGAAGAACATTGGGGTGACTGCCGGCTCGCCGTTGGTGGAATGGCGGTACATGGCAGTGTAGATGTAGTCGAGCAGACGGTAGCGGATGTCAATGGCCTTGCGGGCGCTGTTGGCCACCGATGTCCACCGGTAAAACTCCTGGCCAATGTTGCCCAAGTCGTTGTGGTTGCGGTAAAAGGTGCTGAAGGCGCCGAGGGAGGCCCATCGAGCGCAGAGCTCCTCGTTTGTGTTGCCGCCGAAGCCACAGACATCGGAACCGACCATGCCGAACTGGAAGAGGGAGGTGAATGCCAACATGGTGCGGATGGAGATGGTGTAGAAGCTCCATTGCGACTGGTTGTCGCCGAGCCAGTGGCCGACCTTGGAGCCGGCGCCGGCAAAGGTGCTGCGGGTGATGACCATGGGCCGCAGACCTGGTCGACGAGCCTCCATGGCATCGCGCGAGGCCGACGACATCATGGTGCCGTAGAGGTTGTGCGTGTCGTACATGGCGAGGCCATTCTGGTGGATGACATCGGTGTTGACGGTGTGGTTGGAGATGCCGCCCTTGTCAGAGTTCCACGAGACTTGGTAGGCGGCCTTGTTGTGGATGGGGTACTTGGGATAGAGCAAGTCACGGCCGGGCAGGCCCTTTTGGTTGCCCGATTTGTTGTCCGTGGTGGTTGTGGAAACAGAGGCGCTGCTCTTCACGTCAACGGGTAGACCGCCGCTACCTGCATTGATCTGCAGCTTCTGAGACTGGTCATCGCGTTTGCTGGGGCATCCACCGGGCTGGAAGTCGCACGGCCAGCCGGGCAGCGGACGAGGTGGTGACCGGACCGCCGGTGGGGCCGGAGGATAGCCTATGGCGGCCTTGTACGGGTCGTCACAGGGGAAGTTGCACGGGAAGTTGCTGGGCTCGTTCATGTCGATCCACAGGGCATCAATGTCCAGGCCGGTGTCGGCATCGAAAAAGGTCTGGAACTGGCCGTTCCAGTACGACGTGACGTTGGCAGAGAACCAATCGGGGAAGACGGTGACGCCGGGCCAGACGACGCCGATCCAGACAGAGCCGTTTTGGCGCAGCAGGAAGATGTTATCATCCAGGCCTTGGTTGGCCGGCGGGTAGTCTTGGTAGGCCACAGCAGGGTCAACCATGACGATGTAGTGCTGGTCATTAGCATGGAGGTGGTCGACAAGCTCGCGCATCATGGGCATGGGGAACCGCTGTGGGTCGACGGTGAAGACTCGTCGAAGGTCCATGTAGTCAATGTCGGTCCACATGGTCTCAAGGGGGATGTTGGCCAAGCTGTAGTTTTGGACAACTTCGGCGACGTTGTAGGCATCTTGGTATCCGTATCTATAAGCAGGCACACGCGTGTTAGTTGTTGTGTCCCAATTGTCACGTATTGGGAAATCTCTGCTTGTAATTCGTACCTGCATTGGTGGAAGCCTAGGCCCCAGTACGGCTGCATGGTTGGGAAACCGGCAAATTCACCATACTGCTGCACAGCGGCCACAGGGGTAGGTCCGGCAACAAAGTAGAAATCAAACACACCACCGATGGTGTTGTACTCGAGATATTGGTTGCCAGAAGCGTCCTTGTTGATCATGATGTCCATTCCATTGGAGTTGAGGAACAGGACACCATGAGAGCCCGTAGTACGGTGCTCAAGATAGAAGGGGTGAGTTCCGTAGAGATTCGAGTTGGCAGGAATGCCGTAGCTGTCCTGGTTCCACATCGTGCGGATGTAGTTGGTCGTCTGCAGGCGGAGAGAGTCGGAATGCTCGCCCAAACCGTAGAGATTTGGGTTTGCAGGCAGGCTGGTGCGCAGGCGGAGATACTGTGACTCGAAGACAAGCGATGCCGGGGAGGTGTTGAAGATGACCTCGCCGGTTCTGGCGCGGGTGATGTTGAAGGAGAAGGGGCTCGCGGTGTAGCTGAATTTGAGGTTGCTCAATTGCGACGGAATTGCGCCTCCAGGCCGCGGGAAGACGGATTCGGGGACTTGGTAGACCTGATTGCCCTTGTCCTGGATGAGGACGTGAACGCGGTCCGCTGGGAACATGTCAGTTGAATGAAGCTTGGGTCAATTGCAACATATCACGCCAATGGCAGCCTCTCCCTCAAGATGAGTGCCTCTACAACATCAGGGTCGAATCTCAGCAGCTCCGACTTACCGGTCTGGTAGGTGACCTGGAGAATGAGGTCCGGCAGGTCTGTTCCGTACACATTGCACGCAGCTCCGGCCAGCGTCAGATCGGCCGTGACGCCGGTGGGCGTGACGCGAACATTGGAGGCATTGTAGCCCGGGCAAGCAGCCAGAGCATCGGTGGCAGCCCCATCGCGGTGGAAGATGGCGGCGGCGGAGGTGAGCCCCGCGAAGAGGGCGGCCTTCCAGTGAACCATCATGGCGACGGTGACGACGGCGAGGGTGATGGCGAGAGTAGGGCTGAGTCTCGACATGGCGGCGGTGATGCTGGCGATGCCATATATATACCTGTCTATGCCTGTATATGCCTGTATGTGCCTGTGCCTGGATCGTATCCCTGGTCGCAAAGGAGAGACAGCGTTGAATGCCGGAGGACGATGTCTCTGGCTCCCCTGTCAGATGCTCCTGCCCACCCGCAAGCTTAGCTCGTCAGCTGTCACCGGCCAAGAAGAGTTGCGTGCGACATGCTCTATTCTGTTAGTGGTACTAGAGAGTGGCCAATTCGAGGCGGCGCAGCGGTGGATACAGACGAGCGCGAGGAGGGGCAGACAAAGTGCATGCAAGTCCTGTAATGCTTGTCCAGGCATGGTATCATCGTGCATCTCTCCACGACACGGGACCCCGGCAGATGGGGCTCGCGCCGAGTTGGGGTTGATTGCTGGGCCAAGTGCGAGGAGATTCCTCACAGAATCACAACGGCCGAAGAAGCTGGTGCCTTTTTGGCCCGCTAGAGGCATCTAGCGTGCGACGGCGGGCAAACGGGATCTCCTCTTTTGATGTTTCCTTGACAAAGGTCTCAGCAAAGTGAGACAAGTCGTGCTGTCCAAGACATTTTTTGATCCGGTTGCCAGGGGAAGAGCAGGGAGCCGCATGTTTTTCCGTCTTTCCGCCTTGTTTGGTGGGCTATCCATGCTCATGCCCATGTCAAGCATGTCCGTTGGCGGGAATTCGATAAAGAAGCAGCTCATGATTCATTATCCGGGCTGAAGGGCAAAGAGACAAGATGCAGTTGCACGTGCCGGATTCTTATTTTTCCTTGGAGAGCAGCATCATCAGCATCATTGGAGCACAATATAAGTTGAACGTTAATGATCTCATGCAGCGACAAGAGCCTTCAGCGCTCTCCGCAGCTCCAGCGGCCATCTCCCTCTAAGCGCCCTGTACCTGCGCAACCCGCAACCCGCATCCCCAACTCCCCCGCACCAAGCCTCTCGTGCCATTTTATTTTTCTGGGGGCGCACAGGGCACAGACAAGGTTCGTCCCCCTGAAGCCGCCACCCGATGCGCCGCGGGCTGCCTTTCGCCGGACCTAAAACCCGCTAAACGCTACAGAGTAGGCCTAGCACGGCGTTACCCCGTATCCTTGGAGCCCGTCTGCCGTCGGCAATGATTTCAGGGCAGATTCACACATGCTCGTACAACCATATTATCGTAGTATATATTAAATAACAGTAGAGATACTCGGCTACGCATTTAAACCGGAGAATCTTCATTGCCCCAGCTTCTCCATCCAGGCGCCTAACGGCCCGACTCAAAGGGCGTTGAATTGTATTGCTTGAGCGCGTGCAGATTGCAATAGTCCGCCAACCGGAATGAGATGCCAGTATCGAAGGGCGACTGATGAGCACGGGTCAAATATTGCTACCCAAGGCCAAGTATGGAGGGCGTCCAATGCAGTCTAGAAGAATTGAGGAGCCCCTCTGGCCCTTTTTGTAGTATTTGCAGCAGTATTTGCAGTGAAATATTTGATCATGTTACGCAGCAGTTTGATGAAGCCTCCAACATCTCACTTGTCATTGACACATGCAGATCATCAGACTTTGCAGCGTCGCAGCACTACAATCGATCTCAATCAGGCGATCCCCCTTACTTCCAGCAAACGTGCTAGAGGTAGCAGTCTTGGGGTACCATTTGCCCTTTTTTTCAGTGTCTTTACACGCACGGTGTATTGAGAGTATCAACCGTGATGGAGCACATAATTCCGCCTGCATATAATGAGCTGATCTATATATTGCCTGGAATCAACTGCGTGCATGTGATACCTCCGCGTAACCATTGGATTCGGCCGGCTCCAGGCCCTCAAAGCAGCGGAGATGGAAATATTTTTGCAATCGAGTCCATGTAATTCTACCGTCTTCTTCATCCCGGCACGGTAGCATCAGTCGCGGTCGACAAGTTCCGAATGGTAGCACCGCATCACTAACAAGAGGGTGTGGTAATTTCCCGCCCGCCAACCGGCGAGCTCGGTTCGCGTCACGGTCCTTGGCTCATGGGATCTCTAGTGGAACTCTGGAGATCTGTAGTGGCGATATAATTTTGTTTTTACCTTCTCTCCTGCTTTTCCCCAGGAAATACAGGTCATAAACTCTCATTTCTCCGCTCCTCATCTTGCTGTGTAAGCTACATCTCATCACTCCACGTGAGCATAAACCTGTACCAATTTCCGACATTGCTTTTGGCACCGAGCACCGGGCACCCCTTGAGAATAAATTGAAGCTACGAAAGGCTTCACCTTCTTGTATAGGCCAAGATTCCGCCTGGACCTTTGTTATTGTAATCACCTTTGTTCGGCTCTGCCTCGGTGCCTTGGCTACCCCGAAGTCGCTGAGCTGCAATACGACGCTGCAGCCTATTAAATGTGCATAAACTATTTGTTTGTTGGTTGTCTGTGGAGAAATACTATCTGCGGCGTGATCAGATGCCATTCCCAACTTCTGCATCTGTGAATATACTTGAGAAGCGGCACCAGCTGCAAGCGAAGAGCAGCAGCAGTATAGCCAATTTTATTGATTTTTCATTAAAAAAAAAAAAAACAAGCACATTAATAAATTACTAATAGCAGTTCTCGTATCAACTATGCTCCGCAGCATGAAGTCGTCGACAGGCTTACACAGCTAGACACAAATTCACTTAACCTAGAGGCAGATGTACTCCGATTTGTGCTTTTGCTTCTCTTTTTGTTAGATATAACATTAGCGTTTTAGATGCAAATCTCATCATTACAGTATATACAAGGCAGTACCGTCGTCGTCGCCTTGGGCTGTGATGTTTAGGCAAATAATGCTTTACTGGCTACGACTTCATCTTAGTCACAATGTTCTTAGCTGGAGAATAAGCTTATTTCTTGCCGACAAACTTATTCCACTTGGTAGGGCAACAGTCTCTGCTCGCGCTCGCGAGTAACATTCCATGCCATTTAGACGACGTATAGGAAAAAAAAAACACCATTCATATGATAATGTCAGTTACTCAATTAGTCATCTCCTTTGTAGCTCTCTAGGAGCTGCTGGAAGCAACGGATTGGTGTTCGCCCTTCACAGCCAACATCAATCGCACGTGACAGACCTCTTTATCATTGCGATGCACGAGTTTCACCTGTATAATGGCGAGACGAAGGATAAACAACATTCATAATACACAATGTACAATGCATAAAACGCATGCACAGGCAAGAAAGCAAATCGACTTGATACGCTGGCAAGGCGACGAATTGCAACTCGCGTTTTGCCCACAGACCCCGCCATTGAACACCAAATGCTGCTGCACCGTGTCTGTAACTGCCCGCGAGCCAGCTGGCAGCCCCCTTGCGTGTCGCGCAACCCACCGGAGACAGGAGAACAGAAGCAAAAACAGAGAGGAAGAGCAGCAAGGAGGAGAATTCGCATTGGCCAAGCCCATTGAGCCTCGTGTTGCCTCTGCCACAAGTTCGTTCTGAAGCGCCCGCCCTTTTGAAATCAGGAGCAAGGACACACACCACGCACACACCACAGGGGGCTCAATGTACAGCGCCGCCACGATAAGCTGTCGCGGTACTTTGACCTTAGCGAGCCCGAAGAAGCCCCAACAATGGCGGCCGGAGCGCCAGAGCCTCAGATCTTCGCTAACAACCTCCACCAAGATCAAGCCACGCGCGACATGAACTTTGCGACTCCGCTCATCTTGGATCCCCTTCTCCAGCATCAGCAGCCACCGCTACAGACACAGGCACAGACGCAGCTCCAGGCGCAGATTCAGGCTCAGGCTCAGGCTCAGTTACAGGCTCAAGCTCAAGCGCAGGCGCAGATTCAGGCGCGGCATCAGCTTCAACAACAGCAACACCAAAACCAAAACCTCCAACAGCAGCAGCAACAGCAGCAACAGCTACAACAGCACTACCTCCAACAGCAGTACTTCCAGCAGCAGCAGCAGCAGCTCCAGCAGCAAGCCCTCTATCACCAGCAACAACAGCAACAGCACCAACAGCTGCAACAGCAACAGCAGCAGCAGTTCCCAATGAACGGCATGAATGGCGCCAACATGGGCGCCGTCATGCCCGCGCCCACGCCGGCCGGGCACCAGGCCGAGCTCAACTACATCTACGGAATGGTCGAGGAGCTGAGCCGGCAGCTCGCAGACAACCGAAAGGTCACCGAGGACATTGTCAGTGGGCTGGGGCGGGTGCGCAACAAGGCAAAGGCGCAGGGGCTGGGCAACGACGAGATGATTTCGTCTGCGGCCGACGACATCAACGGTGAGCTGCCTCCATCTGAAAGCCCCCTCCTTTTCTTCTCGGCATAATGCTGACCTGTCACAACTTCGCAGCCCAGGAATCAAATCTCGACACCATCATCTCCGAACTCTCAGAGTCCTTCGACAAGGCCAAGCACAGCCGCGACGCCAACGCCGCCCTCCTCTCGCAGTACGCAAACGCCATATCCCTCATGCTCAAGCAGTTCCACGAATACAAGTCCAAGCACGTCGCCGACGTCGCCTCCTGGCACCGCTCCTACCGCGCACAGCTCGACGAGGCCCGTCGCGAGAACAGTCGCCTGCGCGAGCAGATATGGGAGATGCAGACCCACGCCGGCCGTGCAAACGAGTCGCTGCGCAAGTTTCGACGCAAGTACGATGAGGATGAGGAGAGGTTTGCGAAGCGCGTGGACGATACCGCTCTGCGACAGGAGTTGCGCTTTTGGAAGCGCATGGCGATGCCGGAGCTGGAAGACGACGATCCGTATTGGAGCGGGGATGACGACATCATTGACGAGGCGGAGAAGGAGAGGCTGAGAGAGCTGGAATTGCGGGCGGCGCAGGAGCAACACATGGTTGACAGTCAAGGCGAAGATAGCGATGAACAGCATCACCTGTCGTCTATGGGCATGATGGGTGGGATTGCCATGCAGAGGGAAGACTCAAACGGCCAGACACTGCCAATACCGCCTCCTCGGCCTCTCAGTGCGGCGTCCAGTACGGGGTCAACGGGTAGATGAGACTCGGGATGGGAATCCACGATCCGATTTAGTCCGATATGAGAGGGTGAATGGGATTGTGGCATACGGGAAATGACATGAAGGAAGCTAGGAACGAAGATGAGGTATACCAGAACCATGGCGCTACAAATGATAGCAGAGGGCTTTTGATGGATTGTAAATACATGTAATGAATGGGAGGGGCAGGTCTAGGTGGTATAGCATGGCATTTGATCAACTGACAATTATCCTTTCGAGGTCAAGAGAAATTAGAACAAAACATGAATATTTCGTAAAAGGTACATTACGGGTATCCTGGACCCTTTCCTTTCTTTCTGCGTATAGATTAAGTGCTTTCCAATTCCCAATTCCCCATTACTCTGCAGTCTTTTGAGTAGGTATAATAGGTGTATAATAGTACATGGTGATCATAGTCAAAGTGCGTTGCAGTCACTTTGGACACCTGAGGATTTCCACAAGAGACAGTCTGACAGATACAGAGCTAATACCCGCTCTGCTCGCGTCGACCACCATCTTCTCCATCCCTGTTCTCCTTGGACGAAGCCGCAGCCTCGCCCGCCTCCTTGATGCCCTGTTCATCGCCGCGCAGCTTCGCAAAGTAAGCCTTGATGTCCTCTGCGCCTACGGCCTTGCCGCTCTCGGCAAACTGCTTGAAGAAGGGCGTGAGCTGCTCCTTGAGGTGGTTGTACGCCATGACGCCCTCAATGGCCTTGACGCGGTCCATGTTGCGCAGGGCGCTCTCGCCGCGGTCCAGCAGGCTGCCGCTTCCGTGGGTCGAGCCGCCGTGTTGGGAGGCGCCGTCGTCTGACAGAGGGGGCTCGTAGACTTCTTCTTCTTCGAGGAGCTGGGGGTGGGCGTTGAGTTTGCCGTAGCAGCCTGAGCAGTGGCAGAGTTTCTCGCGAAAGTCCTCTTTGAAGAAGAGAGAGAAACGGCATTTGGGTGCGACGGGTAGGTTGGGTAGCTTGCATGATGTTGGACTGCCACCCTTGGTTTCTCCCTCTGCGGCGCGCTCTCCTTGTAGTTTGGCAGCCTCCTCAGTGGGCTGTGCTGCAACATCTTCCATTGCAGCAGATTCAACAGTTGATGCCTGGTCCTCGCTCTTAATGCGCTTTGCGTCTGCTGTCTCTTCATCCTCATCGTCTTCGGCCTTGCGTTTCTTGGACGCAGCCGTTGCCGTACTCTCATTGGATGGCGACGCCGCAGAAGCCTCGGGCTGGTCCAGAAACAAAGGTGGTAGGAAGCCCGAGGTTCCTGCATACTGTTTGATCCATGGATTTGCTTCCACGCACTTGTAACACAAGAACCCTTCAAAGTCGTCTTCAGCTGGGAACCCGGGAGGCATTGGCGGCTCGTCATCGTCATCCTCCACTGCCACGTCGTCTGCGGCCTCTGTTGTGCCATTATTTGATTGGGCCTCGTCCTTTTCGGTAATTGTTGCAAGGGCACCCCCCTTCTTCTCAGTCTCCTTTTGTATAGCCTTTGCTTTGGTCTTGTTCATCTGCTCAAACCACTTGGGCCCCATGCCTACCAGGCAGCCGGGGTGGTACCAGTCCTCTCCGCAGCCCCCAGTCTCGGCGGTGCCCAGCCCCATGCATTGGAACATGGTTCCCTTTTGCTCAAACGGATCATAATCGCACTCGCAGCAGCAGAATCGGTTCTTGAAGTTGTGGTTGTACTTGTTGTTGGCATCCGGCTCCTCAGAGTGTACGTTGCCCTTGGTATTGGTCTCGCTATTGATGCGTAGTGTGCATGGGCTGCCGGACGGGAAGCGTGTGGTTCCACAATCGCATGTGAAGTTTCGCTTCTGGAAGATCTCGACTAGAGTATGCTCGCCATGGCATGAGACTGAGCAGGCGTAGCACATGCCCGCCGGCTTCCAGGCATCTTCAGGCTTTGTCGGTGCAGGGTTGCAGGTCAAACAAGCGAAAACACTCTGTCGAAGCGGGCCGAGGATCTTGGTGCATGTTTCGATGCTCTGTTGAGATAAGCAGTTAGCAATTGCTAAAGTCATGTGTATCGTGGGTGTCGACGTACATAAGGCAGAGCCTCGCGAGCATCGGCTTCGAGTATTTCCTGGTCGCGAAGAAAGCTACAGATTTGAACGTCAGTACGAATTATCCCACTGTGTTAGAGGCAGCCGAGGCCAAGTCGCAACCTACTCGGCGGCGGTTTGAGAGTCGTCGGATGCCCGCGACTGCTGGGAAAAGCTGTTGCTGCGGCCTGTAGCACGCTCTGTCTTTGTCTCTGCGGCGGAAAGCGATAACGATTCGATCGTTGGAGGTGGAGGAGGGTTGTCGGACATGGTCGCAAAGTAAATAATAGACCAAATAACTGATGAAGAGGCGATATACAAAGAGATGGGATGGATGTGCAGAATCCAAAAGAAAGAGACGAGAGCCAAATGCCACCAGAAGGGCTGTGGCTGTCCTGCAGCCTGCTTTACCGAGTACAGAGGTGCCCTGTAGACGGGCGATGGCGCTGTAAGATCTGATTTGCGACAAGCTCAGCTGACAATATAAGCCGCACGTGAAGTCGCGAACTCAACTCATATTTTGCTCAGCTAATTTTGTCACAATGACACGAAATGACGAACGCATGAATCAAGAGGCACAAAAACCACTTTACGCGTCGGCGCCAAACGGGCCTAGCGCAACTCAATTAACGCGTCTCCAGCGCGTTTAGCACGTTTAGCACACCTCGCAGCACAAAGCTCAGCCAATTGCTCCCTAATCTCGTTGCCCCCACCGACAAGGCACAAAGCAGCTGCATCGCCAGATTTCGCTTTTCTCTCCAAGCTGCAACCCCAACGCAGCCACCGACGACCAGCGCGAGCCGATTGATAGCCGTCGCTATGAGGTATGTCAATTGACTCTGATTCTGTCCTTCACAAATCCTTTCTAACCTTCACCAGTTCTCCGCTTCGCGATCACGCTGCATCTGGCAATCGTGGCTCTGCCCCGCGGTCAGGCCGCAAGCGCTCTCGTCCTGATGGCGACGATGTTACTACGCCCGGGGCCCTGAGCTCCAGCCCGCTGCCCTCGTCTCCGCCGGGGCCTCTCAACTTTGCGCATGGAGTCGAAGACGATGAGGATATCGAGGAAGAGGCAGAGATTCAGGACGACATCGACGACATTGACGAGATGGCGGACGATGATGTCGATCTGTTCCGCGAGGGTTTCGAGGCCGATTATAGAGACCGAGAGGACGATGTCTATGAAGGAGCGGGATTGGATGACGAAGGCGACTTTGATTCTATGGAACTAGGCGAAAGACGGCGGCTGGAGGCCCAGCTGAATCGACGAGACAAAGAAGTTGCCCGTCGGCAAAGAATCCCTGCCGCATTTCTCCCTGGCGATGACGACGACGGCGATATCGACCTGACGGCGCAGCCTCGCAGACGCAGACATCACTACGACGAAGACCCTGATGATGCCATGGATGCTGACATCATGGAAGAGGAGCTCTCCCTGGAAGCTCTGGGCGATGTCAAAGCCTCCAACCTGACAGACTGGGTGTCTCAGCCTCCAGTTCAGCGGACCATCAAGCGAGAATTCAAGGCATTCTTGACTTCCTACATTGACGCCTCTGGCTCTTCCGTCTATGGTAACCGCATTCGCACGCTGGGTGAGATCAATGCAGAGTCTTTGGAGGTCTCGTACGAGCACCTGGCCGAAAGCAAGGCCATCCTTGCCTACTTCCTGGCCAACGCCCCAGCAGAGATGCTCAAGCTGTTTGATGAAGTAGCCATGGATGTTGTGTTGCTACACTACCCTGATTATGAACGCATTCATTCCGAGATTCACGTCCGCATCTTCGACCTGCCTGTCCACTACACTCTTCGACAACTGCGTCAATCGCATCTCAACTGCCTTGTGCGAGTTAGCGGCGTTGTCACTCGTCGGAGTGGTGTCTTCCCTCAGCTCAAATATGTTAAATTTGACTGTGGCAAGTGTGGTGAGACTCTGGGTCCTTTCCAACAAGAGTCACATGTCGAAGTCAAGGTCACATTCTGCCAGAGCTGCCAGTCCCGCGGCCCTTTTACTTTGAACTCTGAAAAGACCGTCTATCGCAATTATCAACGACTCACACTGCAAGAGTCGCCGGGCACTGTTCCCGCCGGTCGTCTTCCCCGCCACAGAGAAGTGATTCTCTTGTGGGATCTTATTGACAAGGCCAAGCCTGGCGAGGAGATTGAGGTTACTGGTGTTTACCGAAATAACTACGACGCTCAGCTAAACAATCGTAACGGCTTCCCTGTTTTCGCCACCATTCTTGAGGCCAACAACGTTGTCAAAACCCACGATCAGCTTGCCGGGTTCCGCTTGACCGAACAGGATGAGCAGGAGATCCGAAAATTGGCTCGCGATCCCAACATTGTGGAACGAATTGTTAATTCAATCGCCCCCAGCATTTACGGACACACTGACATCAAGACGGCGGTTGCTCTATCTCTATTTGGCGGCGTTGCCAAGACTGGCCGAGGAGCACATCACGTCCGTGGTGATATCAACGTGCTCCTTCTTGGTGACCCCGGAACGGCCAAATCGCAAGTCCTCAAGTATGTCGAGAAGACTGCACACAGAGCTGTGTTTGCGACTGGTCAGGGTGCTAGCGCTGTTGGTCTGACGGCTAGTGTTCGTCGAGACCCCTTGACCAGCGAGTGGACGCTTGAAGGCGGTGCTCTTGTCTTGGCAGACAGGGGTACATGCCTCATCGACGAGTTTGACAAGATGAACGATCAAGACCGAACCTCGATTCACGAAGCCATGGAACAGCAGACCATTTCCATATCCAAAGCGGGTATTGTGACTACTTTACAGGCTCGCTGCGGCATCATTGCTGCTGCCAACCCGATAGGCGGACGATACAATTCAATGATTCCGTTTTCGGCCAACGTGGAGCTGACAGAACCTATCTTGTCCCGTTTCGACATCTTGTGTGTTGTGCGGGATTTGGTAGAGCCATCTGAAGATGAACGGTTGGCGAGGTTCATCGTTGGTTCTCACGGGCGAAGCCATCCTTTGTCACAGGCCCGTCCAGACGCAGATGGTACTGCTGCTACCACACAAGACAGTGCAATGGACACTCAGCAAACAAGCGCATCAAGAGGTCAGAGGGATGGCACAGAGATTCCGCAGGAGCTATTGCGCAAGTACATCTTGTATGCTCGCGAGCGCTGCAGCCCCAAGCTCTACCACATGGATGAAGACAAAGTAGCGCGACTTTTCGCCGACATGCGAAGGGAGTCTCTTGCCACAGGAGCTTATCCGATCACTGTAAGTTCAGATCCAATCAGTTGATAGACAGCCTCCTTTGTCTGGCATTGTGTTGATACTAACATCTATTGTTTTAGGTTCGTCATCTTGAAGCCATCATTCGAATCAGCGAAGCGTTCTGCCGAATGCGTCTCTCCGAATACTGCTCAGCACAAGACATTGACCGAGCAATTGCCGTTACAGTAGAGAGTTTTGTGGCCAGCCAAAAGGTCAGCTGCAAGAAGGCTCTGGCACGAGCCTTTGCCAAGTACACGCTGGCCCGGCCGGGTGCGAAGAAGGGAGCGAGCGGAGCCAGCCAGCGGCGGCCCGACGCTGTGATGGCGTGATGATTGTTTTTTGTAATCTGGTAATGGGGACAAGAGGATGGATGTATGGACATGTTTACCAAGATGATGAGGATTTGGACTAGAGTATTGAGGGCGTTTGGAACTGAATTAAATAGCAAAGGACTAAAAAGAATGGACACGGTTTACAATGTTTCTCATTCTTGAAGCTGTCTATGGTTGAGTTTTGTAGGCGACTTATCCCGTGAGAAAATGAGAGAAGATTCCCCCTAGGCTCGGCTAAGAAATGCTGTGAAATAGCCAACTGTAAAGGATGGAACGGACGAACCACAGTCTATACATACAACAGGCTAAAGCCCTTGTGGGGTATAGAACATGTAGGATTATAGCGAAGATTGCCTTGGGGGAGGTTAAAATTGCTGTGAAGAGGGCTTGACTCAGGAAGGGCTTTTCGCCTCCTAAGGTTGACTTCACATACAAATAGTTCGTGTGGGCATTCAGCTGCCTTCCTTTATTACTTTCCTTGAAAAGCGACAGCCTCCAGGGAAATTAAAATTGCTGTGAAACGACGTATTTGTTGCCAAAGTAGCAGGCGCCAGCGCTTATGCTCTATCCACGTATGCCTGCTAGCCTTGCAAGACTACTCTCTGGATGAGTCGCACATGCGATATTTTCTCACTATATACATTGCTACCAACTTATTCAAGATGATTACTGCAATGGAGGTTTCCCATAGACTGGATAATGATTCTCCCTTATTATATAGAGCAAGAGTAGTGCATGCCTACACCTTGTCGGAAAGCATGGCCCAATCAAGCAAAGTTGGGTAGTATCTTCACACATGGATCTATCTCTACTGAATAGAAAGCGATGAACTCTGCCATTTTGAAAACTGTTGAAAATATATCAATTATTAAAGCTTCTAATACATGAACATTCCATTGACTTTGCTTGATGTGAAACAAAGCGCCTGTCTCCAAAACCTCCACGCAAATATGAGATGTGTGACGACGTTCGGTCACTCCATCTTCATATCCACAAAATCTGCCTTTCAATCGTATAAGCGGACAGAGTATTGCGCCATGTTATAATATGTAGTAGAATATGTGCTCTAGTGTCAGAACTAAAGACCATACATGATTGCGGGTACTGCTGCAAGACCAACAACAAGGCCCATGATGGGGAGATTGTTGCCGGCAGCGCCAGTGTCTGTTGCAGCAACCGAATTAGACACTGTAGAATCAGGGCCCTGAGAATTGGAGGCAGTAGCAGGGGCTGACTCGGGAGAGGCCGAGTTGGGAGAGCCAGTGGAGGTTGCTGTGGTGTTGATGGTGATAGCAGCCGTGGTGCCGGCCAGGCTCGACTCACCAGAGGTTGAGTTGGATCCGGAGTCTGTGGCATCCGAGTCATCGGGATGTCCGGGGCGGCGCGGTTTGACGCCGGCTGCGTCCTCAATCTCTTTCACGTAATTCGAGTCGTGAACGTTGATCAAGGCCCTGCAGGAGCTCGTGTCGTCAAAGCAGGTGGTTTTGCCGCAGTCGTCGTTTGTACCGCCGATGCAGCAGTAGCCATTGTTGCTTTTAGCCTTCATGACGCCTGGGCAGCACACTGTGACTTGGTCTGGTTCGGCGCCGCTTATAATTTGCTGCTGGCCAATACCACAGCTGGAATCCTAATATGTTGAATATTTGCATGAGCATTCTTTGCTCTTGGGGGCTTTTATATGATATCTTGGGTAGTCGACAAGAGAGACTTACAGCAGAGGCAATGGCTGCGTAAAGAGCGATGAGCAGGATGTTGGACAGGTTCACCATGTTGAATGTACAAGTATAGATATAAGGGGAAAGTAGTGAAGAGGATGGTCGCGTTTGTTAAGTTGCTTTGATGAGTTTGGAACTCGTTGCTTGATGGGCAAGCAGTATATATATAGCAGTTCTAAGCCCATACATTTCTATTAATTGTTTCAGAGTCATCAGCTTGACATTGTAAATTATTACCAGTGACAGCCTTACACTAGGGTAACGCAGTATCTTTCCGAATCTAGGCATGGGCAGTGCTTCATACTCCGTACTGTATAAGTGATCGGCGCGGTAGGAACACCCCACAGCCTTACGAGGCCCGAAGAGCCCATGACATGTGAAGGAGCCGTGTTAATGAACATTAAATCCTGTGCCACTCTCGCTACATCTCATCCCTGTATGTTGGAAACTATTGGAGGGCTTACACAGCTGTCTCTGGCAACCAAAAAGAAGTCAAGAGCACAATTTCTAATGTGAGCCGGGAAGGGGGTTGTCGCAAATACTGAATGTAGAAAGTAGATGCCTAATAATATTTTCCTAGATTACTTGCATAAAGTGTATAACCTAACGTAGCTACTAGTACTAGTATAACACTTTCTGGCTACGACGCCTTTGCCGTGTTGATTTCCTGTAACTAGAGCAGCTAAGTAGACTGACAAAATTCGCCTCGTCCTGAGAGTGCATATGCAGTTGTGAGCACAAACTTCTCTAATGCCCCGCTGTCCTGTGGAAATCTCTTCTTGAACTTGTCAGACCATAGAATAAATTTTAGCAAGTAGGCTCTCTCGAGCCCATTTGCGCCTTCATATGCCAAAAATAGCGGTGGCTGAGCTGAAATGGCAGGCAGAATGCCTACTGTACCGAGATATGACACGCACATACAGATTTCCCGAGACAGCGTAACGTTCTCGCTGTCTAAAAGGGCGACTGGTTGACTCAAAAGAAGAGCCAAGGCGTGTAAGATTCTGTTTAGAACAACGGAGAGCATCTTGTATGTCATCCAACACTGTGCCGACCCCATGTTTGTGAAATGATAGCTCATGCCTAGAGGGGATTCGTCGTCTGGCATTCCCGTCATGTTACCCAATCTGCGCATCTTTGCAACTATGCTTTCACCAAGAGCCTTGAGATCTGGAATTGTATTAAGAACTCGAGCCTGAAGAGCTGCGGCGCTCTTTTTCATGGAGACTGTGCTGGCACTGTTGCGTACAAGCTTCAGTTCATGCACTAGCAATGGCCAATATCTACTGTGCAGATCTAGAGCATACGCATCCAGACGGTCGCTTGGAAGATCTAAACCGTTTCTTAGGGCTTCTTCCAACGTATTCTTCCATTGTGACGTAGATAGAAGGTTTGGGCCTCCCTCGACAAGCGAGTGTGCCAGCTAGATGCAGTCAGCCCTGTTTTCATCACTACCCATATGCAAAACACAGATATCTACCATTGATCCCATATTATCAAACGCCAAACAGGTGTCGAGCTCGTCACTGAGTCTCGGCGGTCCTCTCTTGAGCATCAGCCCGTGCATTCCTTGCCCATGGACTGCTCTATGGGGGGACCGCCTTGCATCGAATGCAATCTCGACTCGCTCCATGATGGTGACTGCGGCCAGCGTCTCAGCGCTAAGTTGTTGGCGTTCATCATTGAGAGCGATCTGCAGACTGCGAAGCGCCTTGCCATAGGTTTGGGAGTTGATGATCTGTTCTACTGGTAGAGCTCGTCGGAAGTTGGCCCATGAGGAACAAAGCATGGCCACACAGTCACGTAATGCAGGGCTTGCTCCAACACGAGCGGGCACAAACTTGATGTGGCCCAAGGTCAGCAGGAATGCACTATCCGAGCCGTGTTCAAGATGCCTGACAAGGGTTGCGGCCAGGCGATCTGCCACAGTTGTGAGGCTGCGACGTGGTTCTTGTGATAGACGAAGTACGCTGTAAGAGGACCCGCCGGGTACATCTCGAGAGTTGATGGCGACGATGGCATGAAATGGTGTGCTACATCGCAACTGTGGCTTTGTAGACTTGACTGGCACCTCGACGTCTGTTCCGTTGGTGGTGGCATGGACGCCATTGTGGACAAACTTGACCTCAGTCGATGGTCCAGAGCAGACGGCATCGACTCGAAAGCATGGCGTGCAAGTTGGCCATTTCTGGTCACACTACATGTACTGACTGTATGAGCAAACACATCCAGGGCCATTGGCTCGATGCAGGAATCCGACCTTGACTTTACGGCGTTTGCAGCGCTGACACCGTTTGGAAGTAGGAATGCGTGGCATGATGGCGCATGATGTTGGTCTTGAGCAAATGGGTTACAAATTGCGCTGTCCCTGTTGGATTTAAATTAGAACGGGAACACAAGGACATATCTTGCTCAACTACCATAAGGGAGTCTATTACAGGTAGATGACTGAGTTTTGAGTTATGACAGTTGATGGGAAGATCAATCTTATGCCTGTATGTGGCTGATGTTTCGTGGGGGTGCTAATGCAGCAGTCCAGCAAATGATGACTACGCGCGCGCCATATCTTACTCGATTAGGCAGTCTGGCGTGCATGTCCATAGTTGCAGACTTTTGAATGGAGTTGATGATTTGTCAATGGGTTTGCAGTTGGATGGATGACGGTAAGCTTCAATGGGTAAAGAGACGTCATGAGTGCACACATGAATACTTTGCATGCAAAAGTGATTCGAAAGTGTTTAGCATCAGTAAGACGCCTGACGAATTCTGGGTATAATATCCTTGAGACTCTACGACTATTTGCTACTCCATCATCATTGAATATACACAATGTGCGTATTAACTGGGATTATTGACTTGAGATTCGTCGTTTTGACAGCTAGGAGTATCGTTCTAAATTTCACTTGGGCTTTCAGATTGCCTTTTCGCGGCCCATAGTTGAGATGGATCTAGTTGACGTCCTAGTACTACTTCGTAGAGAGGACAGCGAGGCTAAGAAACCAGCACGTTATTACAGAATGCAATATCCTGATGTACTCAATTTTCCTCAATGAAACCAGTAAACCAGTTCATAGTTGAAATTGGCATTTATACTAATCATCTCTCCTCAGCAGATATTGATTTCGTCCTAGAAGCTGGCTTCCGCTTTATGCGTAATAGCCGTCCTTCCCGTTTTGACACTATTTCCGGTTTTAGTAATACCGCCCGCGCGGCATCATGACGCATTATGAATCCGTCGACTGTACCAGTTCCATGCCTCTTTCATTCCTTTTGATGAATCTTGGCCTCTTGCTTGCAAAGGGTAAGAAAACGAGATATTTCTCAATCCATAAGTAACAATCTTCTGCCTGCTGAGAGCGCCATGACTCGGCTAGAAGGGCGCAAACGCTCGAAGCTGGCCTGTCAGACCTGCCGCGACCTCAAGCGCAGGTGCGACGGCGCTCGTCCTTGCGGAACATGCGTTCGGTTTGAATATGACTGCACTTACAATGCCTACAGGAAGAGACGGGACATGGAACAGTACTTGGGGCCGGTCGGAGAACTGACGCCTTCTCGCTCCAGCGCAAAATCCTCCCACGATGAGTTTCCATCGACGGCGAGCCCGCATATCCAAGCCCGATCTGTCGAGGCAAACTCGTGTCCTGCGTTTGTGAGGACGCTGGCGCTGAGGCTGGATCCAAAAAGGAATCCGCGGATGCTAAGCTTTGCCTGGAATGCCTTTCTGGGATCGCGGCAGACCCATCCTGCGCCGTCCTTTCAGTCCATCACAGACGTGGTATCACAAAAGAGACTCGACGACTTGGCTGGCGTCTACTTCCAAAAGGTTGACCCCGTCTACGGCTTCGTCGATGGCGAAGAAATAGAAGACAACATACGCCATCGGTGGATGATTCGAGATGCCACACAGGCACAAGACGCCATACTATGCGGCATCGGCGCGCTGGGATGCCTCTTCTCACAAACACAGACCGATGCTACTGATCCCGTCGAATCTGCGCTGGTGGAGCTGGCAAAGAATCTACTCGAGAAGACACTGTCCGAGCCTCCGACGATTGAGAGCATCACCGCGTGGCTACTACGAGTCACTTACCTGCGAGTCGCGGGGAACCAGTACACGGCCTGGATGGCGAGCTGCACGCTGATGCATATGATCGATGCAGGTGGCTTCAATGCCGAATCGCCGGGGAAAGCCGTCCTCCCATCACCGCCTCAGGCAGTCAGCATGGAGATGAGGAAGCGGATCGTGGCCATTGCGCAGCATCTCAACGTCTGGATGTCGTTCGACATGGGCCTCACTCGCGTTGCGCTCCCAAACATCAGCACGGCAGTTTCTTCGGCGCGCGAAGGAGACTCTACGTGTGAAATCATAGAGCTGCTCCCGTTCTCAGTCGAGCTTGATCCGCAGCGAAAACCCACGGCGCTGGAGCTCGAGTGTGCTCTGCAAGTGGTGCTGAGCCGCGTGCACTCCAGCCCGCCGTCAATTCTTGCCCAGTGCAATCTGGCGCTCTGTCTCTGCCGTCGTCTACGATCGATGGAGGTTGCCCTGCCGGATTCTGTGCTCCAGCAAGTGCTTCTGCTGACGTCAAACGGCATCCAGGCTGCTCAAGCGGTGCTGGCCGCTCGGGCACCCTGGCACCAGATGGTCTACGTACCATTCCAGATCGTTTGTGTGCTGCTTGCCATAGACACTGTATCTTCTATCTCCCAGCTGCGGGGTGCGATGCAGTGTCTGAAAGACATTACGGCTGTCTATAACACCGAGGCAACACAAGACGCCTTGAAGACTGCTCGGTCCCTTGTTTTCCTGCATCAGAAAGGAAAGGAAATGTTTGCTTCGGCCTTGGGTGAGATACTGAGGAACGACCCGATGACTCCCGTTGGTGAAGCACCGGGAATCTCGCCGATGCTTTTGGAAGATACGTTTGGCACGGGCAACTTTACAGATCAGTTCTTTGGCCTCCCGTATAACGACATTGACCAGCTTGTGAACCCCGATTTCTTTTGGAATATCAACGGCTATGGGTTATGAGTACACGACAATAACCAGCACATTTTACGTAATCTATTAATACCCGGAATCTTTGTTTAGGACTATGCAATATTTGTACAAATAATTCGATTTACAATTAGAGAAATGCAGCCATGCAAAGTGGAAATGAGGGTTTCTGCCCTGGCGCGGTACATTGTCAAGACAGGTTACAGGCCTTGGCTAAACGACTTGTTGAACTCTGAATTGTTTAGCGTCGAAAAGCTAATCGCGTTGGATGCTTTATGTAAGAGCCGTAGGATGAAATGGCCCCTTGCTCTAATCTGTATCTAGTTGAGTAGGCTGAGCTCTCTCTTGATGCTATCCCGTAGCCCAGCCTTGTCCTTAATGCCCAGTAGCTCGCCGTCATTCGCCTCGAGGTCGACAGGACCCTCAACTCCATCGGCAAAAAAGACATGTTGAACAAAAGGACCGGTCGACTGCTTGTAGTCCCCGTTTGCGACGCATGCAGTTGCTGCTTCCAACAAGTCACTGCCCTTGACATGGCTGACGTGGTATTTAGAGCCAGACTCTTCTTCAAAGATTCTCAAAACCTCATTTTGAGTTGTTTTGAAAGAAAACACATTCAAGAATTTGTTTGCTGTTTCTTCTGGCTTTTTCAAAATGGCAGCAACGGTTTCACCGACAAAGTAGGTGTTTGTAGCTGCCCAGGGCTTGTTGCCAGAGTCGATGATTACCCCAGTCTTTGCTCTAGCGTTGATTCCGAGTATGAATTGAGTTTGAATGCCCTTATTTCCACCGATTAGCTCATTGTGTACATTTAGGCCAAAGTCGTGGATGATGACGGTCTCACCCAGTCAAAGAAGAAGCCACATGCGACCCCCGTCCAACTAAACCACTTGTGCTTCGCAGCAACTTCATCCAAGTATTCATTCAGCTTGGCTTTGTTGACTACCATCCAACCCATGTCTTTTTCCTCGGTGCGCCGATTGTCGACGCCATATTCGGATGGAATAAATCGTCGAACTTTGGCAGCAACGGCAGCGTCGACAATCGTCTTTTGGTCATCCAGGGCAGCTGAGGAGATTGCGGAAACCAGGGCATCGTGACCTTGTAGTACTTCTTGAACTGCTTCCTTGGAGGTTATATCGACCCTTTTCACGTCGACTCCATCCACAAAGGTGGCTTGTGACTCAAGTCGAGTAATAGCAGTAACCTCAAAGTTGGAGTTCAAAAGGGCTTTGATGATGGAAGGTCCAATATTCCCAGAGCCCTGCTCATTTATTAGCTTCGATTAAAATCCTGCCAGGTTATAAGCTCAACGAATAAACTCACACCCAACACTGCGACTTTCTTGATAGCAGCCATTTTGTTATCGTCGATGACGCCTTTTGAATCTTAGACGATAGTGATGATGTTGTTTTTGAGATTTGAGATGAGCACTCAGGGAATAACTGCCGCTTTAAATAATTCTCATGACATCTGGTATGCTCCAATGTAGCCATTTATTTCGCCAAGTTACATTACGAGCGAAAAGAAGAGATTGATTGCTGAGAAATCATAGCAAGCATGAGACGCTAAGATTTACTCCTGTAGCTTGATGTTTTAGGAAACTGCCTTGAAACTAATTGTAATAACAAAACCACGTCTTTCTTGAGGCCTATGTTTCTACCATTCCCCTACTAGAACGACCACAACGATAAATGGCGGGCTAGATGAGTAATCGATTATGAGAACCAGTCCACGAGTTGACATGAAATGGGCCTCTTTTGCATCTAGGCAGCTTCACTGACGAATTTCCAGCGTTAAATTCAGCCTTCCATGCAAAAATCCTGTAGCCACATCGAATGCCCCTGTGCCAAGCTGCGGTCTATTTAATTGGATCCCATCCTTGGTGGATTAGGACGCAACGACTAATCGTTGGCGAATTCCTAGCAAGTTGCTGGCGGGTTTCGGCGGTAATATCGGAATGTGGCGGCCAATGAATGAGAAATCACCGCAACCGCCGCACCATCCCGCACCTCACTCTTGTCTTCTCGTTTCACCGTCCGTCGTCTTTTCCAATGGATCTCATGAAAAGTGCTGGCCGCTATACGCGGACCGCCTGCTTCCCCTGCCGCCACAGCAAGAGACGCTGCGACAAGTCTCTACCGGCATGCCAGCTATGTATTCGGAAAGGGGTCGAATGCAGCTATCCAACTCGCCGAGCCCAGAAATATGTTGTGCTGCCGCAATCCAGCGAGACGGTCCAAACCACTGCGCCTACGAGAGATAACTCGACAACCAGTGGAGTAGCTCGCAGCAGTGAGTCGGCTTCACTGGAGCGACAAGGATCCTTGGAAGCCTCACATGCAACGGACATTGTCCAGTCGTTTGCTACGGCTACGGCTATCCAGTTTATTGCACCAAGGATCTTTCGCGACGCACACTTGGAGATTCCACGGATTAACATTGCCATTCCCAAGGATGTTGCTGCTCACGTTGGGGATTTGGGACAGCTTCATGATATTTACGCCACGTTTTCTTCGCAAGCTGTCATATGGACGCCGGTAATCTTCCGGAAGAGGTTTTTCAATATTGCGCTCAACCCACTATCTCCACGACGGACTGAAGGCGTCTTGATGTGCTTGTGTATGAAACTGTACTGCACACCCGCGCCCTCATACGAGGACGACGGGAAAAGGACGCTTTACAAGATAGTCAAGGAGTTCTACGCTGAAGTGGAAGCCACTGGAATCATGTCTGTTTGTATTTTGCAGTCGGCTCTGCTGATTGCTGTCTACGAGATTGGCAATGCAATCTACCCTGCCGCATATATGACCGTTGGAAACTGTGCTCGGTACGGTGTCGCTTTAGGTCTGGATAAGTTGATGGTCAGCTTGACAGGAGAAGGTAACTTGGGCAAGCCTTGGATGGAAATAGAAGAAATGAGACGAGTTTGGTGGGGAATACTCATATTAGATCGGTTTGTTCCTCCTTTATTATGGCATGGATACATGTATCGTTGTTTATAGGCGCTAACCTTGAACACAGGTTTCTCAACCTTGGAAACCCTTCGAGGTGCCTAACAACGAAAGATCCAGCGTATGATGATTACCTCCCAGTGGATGATTGGATATTTTTGGACGCCGTAAGCACTTTGATGATTATATCAACCATGGGGGGATAACGCCTTTAACCTATTACTTTTTAGACAGCAAGACCCCAAGACAACATCAAAATATCTGCCGCATTTACTCTCAGGATGGGCCCATTCGCCATATTAGCCCAAGCCACGTACTTGGTAAACCAGGCTCTCAATCTTGTATCGCCTCTTCCTACACAAGATCAGCAAGTGGATTCATTCGATGTTGGAAAGGAAAGTGCACAGCTACGCCGCACAATTGAGGCACTAGTCTATCTAACCAAGACGGAATTCGACTTTCGCGACTTGGTAACTTGCTGCCAAGCTGCAATTTCGTATTGGTAGGCCCCCTCTAATTGCGCAAGTATATGATTGGTGTTGACTCCTGAATAGTGCCATACTGTTGCTCCAAGAGCACCACTGGCAGCGAGTGCGCATTAGCTCAACCGAAGAGGCGTGCTTTCATCTGTTTGCAGAGTCTCGGCATACACTTGAGATCGTGACGAAGATGGCGACTTCTATGCGGAAGGATGCACAAGAGGGAAGAACCTTGGATGAGGAATTTCCAGTGTTTCTCACGCAAGTCATTTATCAGGCAGCGCTGGCGACCATTGAAATGGGCCAAGGAAATCCGGATGAGCAGCTCAGGGAAAGACTTGAAACATTCAAGTGGCTACTTGAACACATGCGGCCGAAGTGGCGGGTAGCAGGTGAGTCAATTGGCCCAAATCTTTGTGCACTTGACTCTAACATTGTTGGATAGGTATATATTTATCCATTCTGCAGTCCAAAGAGGTCATGCTTGCTGCTGCTCTTTAGTGGCATATGAGCCTATATATAAGACAACGCTTTTCTCAGAAAGCATGAGTTTTCGTTTTGCATCAGACCGCCAGAGGTCTAGTATATAACTGAAGAAGCGCGAATTCTACACGTGTAGAGTATCAATGGACTACAACATTTCCATGCTCTTACGTAAAATGGTAGCCTAGAAACAAGCCGAAGATCCTGCCTCACGTATGCAGTGCTAGCCATATTATCTTTATTATGAGTACTACTGCGCCTATACAAGCAGTGGTCAAACATGTAATCCAACAACAATCCGGGTGTTGAAGGCCATAACCTATTACCGAACTATCCGACGGCTTCCGCTGGCCATCCAAATGCGCGCATACCACTGGTGAAGATTCTCCATCCAGCCCGGCATAGGCCCGTTCTCGCCCTCGACCTTGCGATCGCTATGGAAGAGACAGCTCTTGAGCGTCAGGCGCGCAACCTGAGCCTCTTGGTCAATGGTGGCGCCAATAGCAAACAGGCCGTCAGAAGGCCGCGGGCCACCGTTGCGGGGAGAATCACCGCAGCGGACAATGACTTCGTTGGGCGTGCGGTCCACCACTTCAAAGTGGTCTGTCAGAACTGTGCCGGGTTCATAGCTGGAGGCGGCAAGCTGGTCTCGAGTCCAGAGCTGCGACGACGTCTCAGGGCTGTACCATTTGCGGTGCAGAAAACGTCGCTGTATTTCGTAACCTGCCAAGTGTTAGTGATGCGCTTTCAAGCACTTGATGAGATTCAGGGTCAATAGTCTCACCCCAGCCACTCCATACGCCACGACAAAACTCTAGAGCAAGATCGCCCTCCTTCTGGAGCAGCTCTGGGCGGATGCGGTTAAGAGGGATTGTCTTGACGCAAATATCGTTGGTGGCGGCGTTACGATGCGGATTATACTTTTTATATACGCCGGAGCTGTACAGCGCGTCGTTGAGAGGAATAGGCGCGATGATGCTCGTCGACAGGCGAAGGTAGCCGACTGCTGCAGCTGTGCCGGCAGTCACTCCGAGAACGGTCTTGCGAATGATGCCCATTGCGAGCTATAGTAGTTTACGTTGTGCAGTTTAGAGGCTAAAGTACCGAGCCCTGATGTCTAGATACGGCTGTGGCACACGATGGAGGTGAAGGTGAAGGTTGGGTTGGAGATGGAAACTCGACGTCAAGCTGAAGCTGCCGATATCTGCACCGCAGATCTTGGCGCTAACAGCACCTCATAACTGCCCCGCCGCGAATACATGAACGCCTCCACAGTTGAGTGTAAGCAGGCTGGCACTAGCAAACTTTGGAATGGCTGGCCGGACAATTCAGTGGTTTGAAGGCGTTGGGGAATACGATTCAACCTGCATGGGACTGCTATGCACGTCACTTGGTTTACAAGACAACTAAATAGATGATGGTTGGAAATCAAGTTTCAAGGTATCAAATGCCAAAATTTGAGCACTCAATCCTTAATGGCGGTAGTTGCCGTGGCAAACGCGGCCGTCTCTTGGTATTTTGAGTTTAAGACGCCAGTTTCTTCAAGCAGCCACTATCATCTTGCATATAGACACATTGCGGTACGAGATATGAAACTCTTCATTGCGCTTACTCATGTACATTAAATAAAGTGATTTATCGTGCATGCACCTGGACAGGTGTATCCTCACCGAGTCGATTCAAAGGTCAAAAGAACAGTGCCAAACGATATTATAAGCGGCGCTCGATAAGCTTTGTTCTCCCAAAGCCAATGCTTTTTCTCTCCCGTACAATATGTGATGTGGCTACAACATTCTCGCATTGGTATTCCTGACCCTTGACTGTATTCAAGTTATTATCTTACTAGATACATTTCAATTACGGCGGTGCGTATACATCGTATACCACAAGCTCCAGTTGGCTATTCACCAGCCTCCGTGGGTACTAAGAGATTATAACACGGCAACAAAAGTTTAACATTAAATTTCATTTCATTATTAGGTGCTGATATTTTCAACCGCATGAAGGGGTTTGTCTTTTAGAAAAGGTTAGGCCATTGGCAGTGTACAAGCACAACGGCCACCGTATATACACACCAACCACTCTACCTCCCGATATACTTCAGCTCAAGATATCTCGCCGGCGGGTACGTAACTGCCGTTACCACAAAGGTAAACTCGTTGGCAACATCACCACCATACGCGCCAATAAGCTTCGCGAGGGGTCCAACAAACCACGTTTCATCCATGCCCATGCACCAGCAAATGACACCAAGAAGAAACGCGACAGAGGCTCCAATGCCCACGGGCAGTCGTGCAGGGTCATTCCAGCCTTCCAGGTCATAGTTGGCAAAGTCACCCTTTCGGAAGATGAAGTGCTCCTGAAACAAGATGATGCCATAGCTCGTGCACCAGTATCCAAGAAGACTCAAGAAGTTCTGCAGGTAAGCATTCAACTGCTCTCTACCACCGAGAGCTAAAGCAAGAATGCAGAGAAAGCAGAAAATGGTCCAGATAAATCGGGGGACGAGGGCAAAAGGCCGTGATAGCTGCTGAAACGAAATAGCGGCGCTGTAAATGCTAATGACGTTGGTGTTGATGCCAGACAGCACGAGCAGGGTAAGCAGGAACTTGGCGAATCCTCGCGGGTAGAGCATCGTTTGGATCAGGTAGCCCAGTCCTTCCTCATAGGCAGCCGCCCAGTCAGGCTTGGAGCCGAGCGCCGAGGCAACGACACAGCCAGCAACCATGCCGATGGACGTGGGAATCGCAATGCCAAAGGTCGTCATGAGGAAGACCTTGAGCCGGCTGACGTTTGCCGGATAGTGAACGTAGTAGTCGCTGACCATGGTGCACCAGGAAGCGCTTGAGCCATAGACAATGGCCAACAAGCTGAGGACAGCACCGGTGAGCGTCGATCCAGTAGCAGTCGCAGGCGTGGAGTTGTCCGCGTATTTGCCAGTTTCGCCAAAGATGATAAGGAAGATGACGAAGAAGATGATCCAGGCATATCTCTCATAGACCAGAATGGCATTCAAGCCGATGAAGGAGATGACAAGCGCAACAACAGCCAGAATGACGATGCCGAGGATGAGTGAGACATGGCCGTCAGACACGGCCGTCAAGGCCAGGCCACCCGTGATGCACGAAACCGCCGCCCAGCCCATCTGCTGGATGCTGTTGAGCAGCGCAATGACCTTGTTCGGCCACCAGCCAAAGCTGTAGCGGCTCACGCTGATCTGCCGCAGCCCGGTCGCGGCTCCAAACGTCGCACAGTAGCCGGTGATGGCGCCACCCAGGATCGAGGCAAAGATGGTGACGACAATGGCCTGCTTGAGGCTCAGGCCAAACTGGGCGCCCAGGAAGCCCGTCGCAAAGCACGACGTGTTCATCGTTCCGCTGGCCCAGAGCAGGGCCATTGTCAGCTCCTCAAGCCATGGCACGGGCTTCTTGTCCTGCTCCAGCTTGCGGTTGATGGCTTCGGACTCGATCCCAAGCTTCTGGTCCATGTGCGCCTCGAGCCTGCGGAGACGGAACAGGAGCCCGCTCGACGGTCCAGTCGCCAGCTCCCCAGAAGTGTCGTCAGAAACGTTGGCCACGGGGTCTTTCTCGTCGACATGATGGCCGGCCGGCCTGTGGCCAATCTCTGGGTCGTACTCCATGCTGTGAAATTGTCCGGCCACAGCACTCTGGGGGGAAATAGTTGCAGGTGCACTTCTCGCCTGCTGAAGCCGTGGATTGGCGGGGAGCCGTACCTTTTCAACAAACTTTTTCCTCTCTCCAGATAAGAGACGGGCCGTGGGATCCAGTTTTTAGCGATGCCTTTTGCGCGCCACCTCACGCGACCTGCTGAAGATTGTATCCGTACAGAGCAGGCCAGCAGGCTTATCTTGATGCACTACCGAGTATGTCTCCAGCAAGCTAGTTGAGCCGAGCTGCCTCTCCCGTAGCGAGCTTCACGCCGACCCTTGCCACGTTACGGAGCAGATACTGGTATGAGTATGAGCCGTACGCTAGTCATTGGTATTGCGGGGTGGAGTACGAGGACCGCAGTGATTGTTGTCTTACTGGTACAGCGAGGGATCAAGGAATGCAAATGGTGTAAATACGACTCTATGTTGGGTGGTACATGCAACCAGGCTGCTCTGTACGACATGGTAGAGGCATTTGCTCTCTGCTCAGACACATGTACCCTGCTGCAGCTCATTGCCCTGTTTCATGCTTATTTCCAGCATCTCTCAAACCTGCCATCTCTCACAAGTCCACTTTATTTCAACTCCTGTCGATATCAAATTTGGCCGTGCACTAGTGGCCAAAACTCGAGGGCTAGCAGACGAATAGCACCGCACTACGGCACCGCTATCCGATATTCGGTGGGTAGGTCGCCTCCAGTTGGCTGGGAAAAAAGCTGCGTCGGTCAAGCTTCCGGGCACTAGAGCTGGTGGTGGCACTCTAGTCGAGATCTTTTGGATCTTTTGTAAGAGCGCGGAGTACTCCGCGTATCACTGGATCTGCTCGGGCAAACGAGGATTTCAGCGGCATCCGGCACTAACAACGTCTTGAACAAGAGCTGGAGCCAGCGTGCCATGTGTATTACGGTATCGAAGATAACTAGAGCATTGTCGGCCGGCTCCGTCTTTTTCCAGCAATGATTCTGTGTTGTCTACGCCTCGGCCCTCGTTCTACTAGTACATGTACACATGCAGTACATAACCGACAAGTATGGGAGAGATTTACACCGCCGTCTTCACAGTACAGACTTCATGGTACAGATACCGTATTCGTCGCTATTCTCCTTGGTTGACTACAGATCATTTTTGACAAGGCGAGACCCTTAAACTCCACTCGGATACGGAAATTCTGTTTTGCTCCGGAGCCTCGCGCTACTTTTGCATTCTGACAACGGCATCAGTCCGGGGTTGCGTTAGTCGATGCCGCCGTTGGTTCAAACCCACAAGCTGGACTATGGGATATTCTGTGGAACATGTTGTGTGCGCCATTACCTAATAGTAAAAGTGCAAATAATTACCGGTACAAGTTGCCATTGGATGGCCTCTATCGACTAGCTTGCAGCGTAAACATTCCTCGACCGCCAAATGACATGTTTATCGGAGTAGTTGTACCAAGGAGATTGGTATAGATCCATCTACCTTTTGCGATCCAGACCAAGCCTGCGATTATAGCTATTATTACTCTAACGTGGTCTTGATTCTTGAAGCTTTTATGACATTAATTTAAACAATTTTATGGGCGTGATAATTCTAGTATTGCGGGACCAAGGATACACCATTCAAATAAAGTTATATATACATATATATATATATATATATATATAAACTACAAATCTAGGAGTTATGCAGCATAAACGAGGAATGGTGGTTACAAATCACCAGCTTTCCTTCTATAGTGCGATGAGGCATTGGTAACCCTACATGTATCTTCAATTACAGCGTCATCTTACAATGGCAGTGCTATAGTTTTAAAAATCCATATCATTATTACGGGCTCTTTAGATAGCTAGAGCATTCTCTTCGCTGCGCCGTGCTTGCCATGATCTAATCGCTTAGTAGCTATCATACTGGTAAATACATGTAGCCAACTGTATTTTTAGTGTCACATGTGTACGCATTCCCGTAAATGCGCACAAGTTTCCATTCACAATTATCAAGCAGGAGGAATCACCAACACCCTGAGTAGCTTTAAAACTCATCAAACCACTCAGTCTGATATTTAAGAGCTAGCTGAGACACAGTTTATATCCAAAAGGCCGTCGTCCATGTTGGTACAGATCCACTGAGGCGTGTTGCCGCTGGGATTGGCTACCGAGATGTTTTGGGCTGCAATGTTTACACATTTCTTCAACATATCATGTTAGTTCTAGTTTAACCTTCTCTATACCATTTCAAAGATGACTTACTTCTGGAGATGAGCATGTCAGAGTTCCCACGTCGGGATCATATTTGGACGACGTTGTTCCCCACATGTTTTTAAACAAGACATCGCTGATGGTCACGTTGGAAGGATACTTGTCGCAAATCGTCTGGTTGCTTTGGCCATAGCACTGGTTGATCTCGATAGCCCAATCGTTGTTGTCGTTGTAAAAGGTGTCGTACGTGATGTTTTTCACGTATCCCGCTCCTCCTCCTCCAGACAGACCAGGCTGGAATGGAGTATCTGTACCGGGCCATACCTTGATACGGGCGCCGTCGCTGGCATTGGACATTGAGATGTTGTATACGTATACGTTCTCAACTATGTCGTATTCCGCGGGATATTGACCGAGGGAGCCGACTGAGATGCCGTGTGAGCCATTGCACTGCAAGCCTTGAACAATGATGTTGGTGCTGTTGGGCTTGAACGACACGCAGTCGTCACTGTTGTTAACATGGGAGTTTTGTATGACGACGCGATTACTTCTAAAGGTATCCCATCCGTCACCATTCTTGGCCGGATTGCTGCTCTCGCTGCGGACTGCAATATCAATATCGCTGACAAGGATGTCAGTGCTATTAGCGACGAGGTTAAACCACTGTATACAGTCAGTCATGTCTCTTACCCTGGATACGCAAACACGCTTACATCAGGGGAGTTTCGCATTTTGAGGCCCGTAACAGAACCAGCATTCAGTCCGTCTAGAACAAACAAAATGGGTCGCAAAAGAGTAGGGTTAGTCGCAAATGCATCATACCAAGCCTGGCCATTTCCGTCGAGTAACCCGTGTCCCCCTCCGTAGATGTTGACGTCTTTTCCTCCAAAACGCCAAAACGCAGATGAATTCTGAAAGGCATATTTGAATGAGTTCTGCACCCAATAGTCAATGTTGTCGGAGAATTTTATGGTGCCAGTGAGGACAACATCTACAGCCTCCAGGAATGTGAGATCCAAGGGAGAGGCAATGGTGTAAGTGCCATCCAAAACCACGCGACCACCTCTATTACATTGTTTGAAGGCTTTGAAGATCTCAGGAGCACTGTCGATATCTTTATGATTGTTAGAATGAGAAGAGCTGGGGACATGGCATGTCTTGTGGCGATGAGGTGAGTGTGGGAACGGTCGCCCTGGCGTCTTGGGTCCCCATTGAAGCTTAGGTCTTTCAAGTATCGTCTTATGAGCATCAATGGGGTATACCGAAAGCAATAGAGCCCCCCAAAGTACTAGCTTTCTGAAAATAGCCATTTTGTTAGCTGTACACTGGGACAAAGGAAGACGAGGACCAGCAGAAGCATATACAAGATCTTGTATGGTAAATATCGCCATGGTACCGTATACATATATAGAAGTGATATTGAATCACCAGTTTAAAGACCCGACTCGATTCATCCGGCTATTCAGCTTAGCCTCATGCTAGGTTTACTGGGCAATGAGGATCCGGTCTCCCACTTGACTGCGGAGAAGTGGACCTTTCTCTGCAAAGCGGCAGTAAAGACTGGCTTTGAGTGGAGCGGATATGGGACTGATGTGGCATCTATGCGAAATTGTTCATTGCATACATCATTGGGGAGTACCGCTGTCATTGCTGATGACTGAAGTTCTTTTGTAGCAATAGTGGAGAGAGTAGCGATCATAGGACTTACCGAAGCCGTTGGAAAACAGATAAATTGTCTTTGGCTAAATTCAAGAAAGCGATGAAACTGGTAGCTTGCAGGATCTTTCTCTGCGGAGAAATGAAAGAACAAGAGCACTGGTGGAAAAATTAAGAGCGTAGCAGTTTTCTCAATGAGGTCGGTAAATACAACCCCGAATACTCGGAATGCCTTTCCGAAGATGTCTCGGCGCCTCATGTCACCAGTTAATAATTATCAAGCATCCTTTCCCTCTTTAATTTGATGTACCACCGTCTTAATATCGGCGCGCTGTCGTACCAAGCGATACACTGCCTGTGATTCCTCCTGCGGCATATTCTTCACAGCATCAAAGAAGTATTGATATTCGTTACTCTTTTTCTTTTCTTCTAGAAGTTTTCGCATCCACATTTCTGCTTCCGTCTCAGCAGATGCATATTGGCAATGAGCGTCTTGCTGAGCACATGAGACGCATGTGGGCTGATCTCCACTGCACTGTAAAGATCAATCAGCCTGGCTGCGATCTGGAAGACGAGTGTGTACTGGAAGGATTACTTGTGTATTGCTCTTCCGACAGGCTTCACATGTGTCATTTACGCCATTGCGTCGGGACAGCGTAAGAGCCTGGCATACATTGTCGGTAGAAGTAGAGCTCAACTCAGAATTGGGCGCGGGCTGGCTCGGACCTGCGGCGCTTTCGTGGGAAGTGTCACGCTGCATCGCTGCTGTAGTGAAGCTATTCGTGTTGTAGTAGAAACAACTTGTGTCATATATCGATCGAAGCGGTACCGCTATTCAGGGCCAAAGTAAATAAAGTCGGACCGCGTGAGTTTTAAATCGAAGTCACACGTGTAACGGACCGGTGAAAGAAACGGAGACGGCTCTGAAATACCACCTCCGGGCACAGAATGGCTTGGTGCATGCTGTACAAAGTATAGCGCAGACATTTCTGCACATGGCCATTCTCGGAAATTGACTTGTTCAGCGCAACCATGCAGCCTTTGATTGGTGTACGGCAATAGTATGCATAAGGATTCCGATGATTTGAACTATTCTACGATTACCAGTCAATAAGTAGCTACAGCCATATCTTATCATGGCATATTCTTTGTTTAGACCAACAAATCACAGATGTGGTAACTCAGCGTCAAGAGTGAGAATATGCACCTTTTAGGTGATAATAAATTAACAGAAATCAGCTATAGAGCTCAATATGGTAACTCAACAGTCCAGTCTAATGGAGCTATTGCAATCTATATAAGCTAAATGTCTATATGCCATAACAGTCAAAGCCGACGATGTCATATCAATATAGAATGGGCAAAATACTGTCCTTGCATAAATCCAGTTGATCAGTCCTAGCCGTAGCCTTGTATCTGAAATAACATTTTGCTATATCTGTTTCGAGAGAAGGTAACGTAGGAATTACTCCGCGTGAATAATTTTTCATGGCTGGGAGTATAGCCGATATGAGGCGAGAGCAAGACCTCAATGAGTTGGCCCATTGGCTTACGCTTGCTGGACCGTCTCAAGAGGTCCCTTGAAATCCTTCTCCATTTCAATGAAACACATGTCTTCCGGCAAAGCCACACTGATGAATCGTTCGCGAGGAAATGGCGATGTCTCGCCCGTCTTTTGGTAGCCCTGGCGCATGTACCACTCAATAAGAGTCTTGCGTATCGAAAGTGCGTTGAGCGAGAACTTCTCAGCCCCCCAAACCCGGCGACAGTAAGCTTCAGCGTAAGCAAGGACAAGGCGCCCAACGCCACTGCGCTGATAGCGGTCGCTGACTGCAATCATGGAGAGGCGGCCACAGTTGCCATCGCGCTTGGCGACCTCGATGGATGCCACCAGGCTGTTGTCGTTGTCGAGAGCCATCAGGATGGTGTTTTCCGGGTTCGCAATCTTGGAGGCCACTTCCTCGACATCAATCCGGAAAGTGGATGCGAGCTCCGTATTGCCAGTCCAGTCGGGTCTGCTGTCCTCGGTGCGAAACGCAGCCTGGACCAGCTCTTGAATCTGGTTGGCATCTTCTGGAGTTGCGGTACGGAATTGAAGGTTGAGAGAAGCCATTTTGTGGAGAAGACGAATCGCGATTGGACGTTTGTTGAGTTTCTGAGAGGGTTGTGCTGAATAGAGTCGTTGTCGTTTGATATCTGGCTTCTTGAGTCTACATTTGGCCAATTATTTATACTTTTTCTTCTTCTCCTTCTCATGGCATACGAGGCATATCGTGCTACGAGTTGCTGAGCCCTTCAGCGTTTGCGTTCCTAGGTTGTTCATGTAAAGGCGCTAATGACTCCGCAGGGCTCAACCGCGAGTTTTCCTGGCCATCAGTTGACCGGCTAGGCTTCCATTTTTTGTAGCACTTCCCCTTAAAACATGGTCTGTCCAGGTCTATTAAATGCTGCCCAGCGTAAAAGGCGCGTAAAAGGCGCGCAAAAGGCGCAAAATAACGCTCAGCGCATGTGTTGCCAATCAAACTGCGCGCGCCTTTCTAGGCATCAAAGACAAATCTTGGCAGAATGGTTTTCTCTTATTATGCGTGAAATTGCCTCATGTCAACGAGCGTTATGAGTCTTGTTTTCAATGTCCATTATTGAGTTGCTGACTGTTAAGCGCAGCTGCATCGTCTGTGGTGTCCACTCAATTCGATCGCCGCAATCCCCGCAAGCGCAGTTCAAGACTGCTACTGCATTCAGATTCATCTGATAATGGAATACTGCTGCCCCCAAGATGGATTTAGCCAAAATATTCCAAACGGCGCACACACTGCGGCGCGACGAAGCCGGCTTGGCCATGAAGATTCCGTGCTGCGACGGGATCGATGCCACGTCTCGGGAGGGACTCTAACTCCCCGCATCCAAGAATGAAGCCGGCGAGATGGCTCAACGAGTAGAAGCTCTATATAGCGCTGGACTGCACTGAGTCGCACTGTTTTCTGCGCGTGTAAGTGTTTATATGACAAAAAGACTTTAATTCTCAAAATTGTGCTTTTCACCTGAATAAAAAAGAGAAAATACCAGAAGGGAAAAGACTATACATATTGCTCGTGCCCTCATATATTCATCATGTTTGGCAAGATTGCTCTCGAAGAATGCTGGACTATTCAGGAGGAATTGGCAAACAATGACCCGGGCAAATTTGTTGCCGCTGGGACTGGCTCTCGTTTGACAAACGAGCTGCTCGACATTCACGACATGCGTTTGAAGCAGATGGACGAGAATAACGTTGACTTTATGATTCTCTCATTCAACGCTCCTGGCGTCCAAGGCATCGCCGACAAGGCCAAAGCAGAAGCTCAGGCAACGCTGGCGAATGACCGCATGGAGGCCGAGGTGATGAAAGCGCCTCATCGCTTTGCAGCATTTGCCGCGCTGAGCATGCATGATCCTGCGCAGGCGGCAGCAGAGTTTCGCCGTTGCATGACGGAGAAGAAGGGCTTTGTTGGTGTGCTTCTCAACGACTACCAGAGCTATGGTGAGGATGGGAACGGCATGCTGTATTATGACCAGCCAGAGTACGATGTCTTCTGGCAGGCGGCAAATGACCTCGAAGCCCCGGTCTACATGCACCCACGGCCCTCCAATAAGCTAATCCACAAGCTTATGTGGGATGGGCGCCCGTGGCTCGATTTCTCTGCTCTAGGGTATGCGGACCGGCTCAATATGCATATCCTGGGAATCGTTACCAACGGCATCTTGGATCGCTTTCCCAAGGTGAAACTGATTTTTGGGCATATGGGCGAGCACATGTAAGTCCAATGGCTTCTTTTATCTTGCAGGTAGTCCAAAGCTAATGCAGCAGCAGCCCTTACGATATTTATCGTATTGATCATAAGCTTGACCGCAGCCGGTTCCCCAACATGCCTATGCGCAAGGATAAGCTTGTTCGTGATTATTTTGGCGAGCAGCTCTTCATTACGACTTCTGGACATTTCTCGACGCCGGCCTTGATGTGCGCCATGGGAGAAGTTGGGGTGCAGTCCATCATGTTTTCCATCGATTATCCTTTTGAGAGCATTCCCAACGCTTGTGGTATGTTTTTCTTCCCTGCACGCCCAACGTCCGTTTCTAACTAGAGTGTCTTTCATATAGCGTGGTGGGATGAGCATGTAGCTGCCAGTGTCAACCAACATGACTACACCAACATGGGGCGCAATAATGTTCTTAAAATTATTCCTAGGCTGACACAAGAGCCGCACAATCTAAAGGCCATGACTCCGCAAGAGTGCAGGGTGGGAAGGTTGGCGGCGGACGAAGGTGAGGTTTGCTATGGTTTATACAATAAGTCGTGGAATAAGCGGGAGATTAAAGTAGTGCCGTATAATTAGAGGTAACTGCGAGAGGTCCGAATTACAATCAATTGATGAAGATGCGATTTAGAATTCAATTGATGTGAAATGAAAAAGTGATTTGTTATTAAAAGGATATGTTTCGATATAATCGATCAAGGTATTATCACGTAACATCATTACGCATATAGCTCTCCCACATAATGTGATGAAAATGACTTTCACGCATGAACAGCATGCCCACCCATTAAACACAAAGGTATAAACGGCCACGCGCAATTATAAATCCTTGTGAAAGGTAGGATTACCAAGACGTTTCCGCCATTCCGCACCCTTGAAATAGAGCGGAATGAGAGGCAGGTAAAAGGCAAAAGCGACAAACGCCAGGGTGATCCAGGCATCCTGAATCCCTACCTTCTCTGAGAAAGGGATCGAGTAAAAGCCAATGGTGAAACTGTACACCTGTCTTCCAAAGTTAATCAACGAGCCAAGCTCGGGAGATTGAGGCTTGTAGCACTATAGCACACGAGAAATGTTAGCATGTAGTTGAGATTAGAAAGCGATGTGCACTTTGACTCACCTCTGCCGTATACGTATAAACGCCCGTGGTAACAACCTGCAATCCGAAGCTGGCAATGGCAATTCCAAACGCCACTCCAATCCAATGAGTCTTGTTTTCCAGGCAGACTCCTTCGATGATGATGCCGAGAGGCGTTAGCACCGCAGCGGGAATGATGCCTAGAAGACGATCCTCAGGGCTGCGCTCGCCTCCGCGACGTATGGCTCTCTTCTCACTGATCCAGTCGGATATGCCTCCAGCAAACAGCTCGCCAATAAGACTACCAACTGTGATGGGAATACCCAGCAGAAGCCCTGTTTGCTGGGGCTGAAAGTGGTAGATTCTACCAAAGAGGTTCGCGCTAGTTATGATGAAGAGGATGCTTCCATAGGCGAAAGAAATCGAGTAGCACCACGTTGGCAGCAACACACTCGGGTACATGATCATCTGAAACGGCCGGAAGAAATCCACAAGCTTGACTCGTCGTGTAGGATGTGCCCTTCGCTTCATAAGCATGTTCGACTTCCAAGACTGTGAGGGGCGTGCTACAGCCTCTGGCGTGCGAGAGTAGAGCGTTTCCGGGACAGTAAAGATGAAGATGACGAGGATTCCTCCCGTCAGTATGGCCGGAACATAGAAGCACCAGTGCCAGCTCAAGTTCTTTTCGATGTAGCCACCGATTAGAGGCGCGATGTGGCCACCGGTCAAGAAGCTGATGGTATAGACGCCCATGTACAGCCCTCGTTCGTGGGCAAAGAACATGTCACAGACGGTAGCGCTGCCCAAGCCTAGGGGCACGCCGCCAAAGAAGCCATTGAGACAGCGCAAGGCGATGAGGGTGCCGTAGTTCTTAGCCGCGCCGGAAGCACCGCAAAAGGCCACGGCAGCAGCCACGGTGCAGATGTAGACCGGCCGGCGGCCATAGACGTTTGCGATCGGGTTCCATACGATGGTTGAGACACCGGCCAGGAGAATAAAAGTGCTGGTCACGTAGGCAGTTGTGACGAGATCCTTGTGGAGGAAAATTGACAAAGGAACAAAAGCTGGCGTCTAGCCACGAGTCAAGGCGCAATTAGTACAACGAGATCGTGTTTAAGAACGCGCGATCGGTGGGGCTTCGGGATACACGTACGATCAACGAGGCACTAAACAAGGCCAGAAAGGAGAAGAGAGAGACCTCAGCCAGGACCATTAGCTTCAACCAGCGATTCCAGTTGAGCGGGTCTTTGGGGTCGTCGGTGGGCTGAGGCGACAATGGAAGGCCACGAGGGTCTAGCTTGAGCGGAGGAGCATCTTCCTCGTGTTCCCTCTCATGTTTGGCGCTGCCGCCGTTCTGTGAATGATCTTCACTGGCGGAGACTTCCGCCTTATCCATTGGCGCAGCCATTGGCAATTAGGGGTGGACAGCAAAGAGCAAAGGCGGGCAGTAGTAATAACGTTAAAGCAGATGGCGGAGTTGACAGTGGCGTGAGATCTGGTTATTCATCATTTAGACGAACCTTGTCCATTGTTCTTGTGCGGGAAGAGTTTTTCCATGCGCGGTTATTACGCGTGGTATTTATCAAATGTCGCCTGATTGCAGAGACCCCAGACAGATGCTGGGATCACGATAAGCGACGAACCACGCGCCTTCGGGGGGAGTTTAGGGTTCTCCCCCACAACTGCCAGACGCCACAAACGCCATTGGAACACCGTTTGCGTACAATGTTGTGCAGGTCTGGGGATGGAGGGCAGGAAACGCGGGGTACAAGGGCATCTTGACAGCTGTGCCGAGAGCTTTAAGCTATATTCCTATTTGTGATCATGGCCATGAGCCGTGTTTTGTGTTCCAGGCCCAGGAGGACTTCATCTGAAGAAGCCGTATAGCTACCAAGTAGCTCCAGAGCTGGTTCATTCCATGTATCTCGACATTGGTCAGCACATGTAGCTCGCTGAATCATCGTCTTTCGTGTTGCCAAACCAGTACGTTGACTACAAATACCATATAAGGCTGTCATCTCATGTGTTACGTCAAAAAATACATCAAAAGTTGTCCAAAAAGTTTCATCAGTTATTAAATATTCTATTCTCATGTCATTATCCAGGCACTACTCCGTTGAGAACTGGTGGAGATCGCATCAGCGACTCAGCAGCTCCGGGGTTCTCCACACCCCACGACCAAGTGGCCGAGCCTAGATTCGAATGGAGCTCTAACTGAGAGCCTAGATCCATGGTGAGATCCTGAGTAGTGTCCCACAGTGACCACAAATCGACGCCTCCGTCTTCCGTGGCCCCGTCCTCTGGTAGTGTCGTGCTGTTGCTATATGCCGTAGCCTCTCCGGCCCATCTATCACTCCCCGGCATGACAGTCGGAGGGGTGTTGTACCGCTCAACCGTCCTCCTCCGTTCATCGGGTATCGTCCTATTCAGGAAGCCAAGCAGCTGCTGTAAAAATGCATATGCCCGTTGCGCACAGAGATGGTTGCCAGACATTTGGCGGATCATAGTCACCGCCTGGTCTAGGTGCATCAGTGCGCTTCGGTCGTCTCGAAACTCTGGATCAACAACATGGGAGACGATGATGAGGATCGAAGTAAACACTTGGCAATTATGTTAGCAGGAACTGGAGTTTAGAAAGGGAATCAGTGGCCCTCGACTTACAGTAGTATAGATTGAACCAGCTGGGCCCCATTGCTTTTTTAGTCCGGTCATGGCGCTCAGCTACCAGACGAATGGTTTCCTCTGCTGTGCTGACACAAACTTGTCGGCTACGTTGCAGTACGCTTGCCCGTAGTCGACCTCCCTCCGGTTCATTGGTAGCTGGAGCCGAAGCAGAAGATGCTGATGAAAGTGCGCTGAGGCCCGATACGAGCGACTGTCTGTGGATCAATATGCAAACCATGTTGGCCCGAAGCGCAAGGATAAGTGTTGATTCTTTGTCTGGTGGTACGCCTTCGCGGATGCGAAGATTATCAGGCATTTCGGCCTGCCAAGTTTCAAACTCCTCGTCAAGTCTAACCAAGTCTGATAACGTTGGTTGGCCGCCCAGCATCATTGTGGCCTCTAAAAGACGGTATAATTTTGATACCTGTAGAAAAAATGACATGCTAGTTGTAGCCTGGACTGAGGGGAACAATAATTGATTCGGCCGAATGCAGTCATCATCTAGATCTTCTGGCAGAGGAGTTGAGAATGTGGCCGTCGAGGTAGCAGCAGGGCGGCCGTAAATCATGCTGAGAAGCTGATCCAGGCCAAAGCATGCATACCACACCCGCTTGCGGACTTCCTGGCCTATACAATCGAATTTCTCAGGATCAGGCGGCCGGTGTAACTCCAGATCGTAGGCTATGCGGATGGCAAGCCCCAGCACCGTCCAGCACTCGTCGCTGTAGCTGGAGCTTTGCAGGAAGCGAGCGCCGAGAAGCAAGGCTTGGACCTTTTCGATCCTCCATTCTGACATGAGACTTGGCTGCATAAGCTGCATGGCAGTGTCGTAGTACTTTCGAGATATAACGTCGGAGCCCTCTTGGCCCCGTCGACTGTGCGCCGCAGTCAGCGCGCATATCATGTTGAGGATGGCCAGTGTGTAGATATGATCCGTCGTTCGAGCCGCGTGGCGATTGCTCAACACTTGCTCAAACTGAGCCATGGTGGTAGGAACATGGAATATTGGAGTGAGTTCATGGTGGAAGTCGAAGTATGTTTTGAGCAATTCTTGGGCGTTGGGAGGCAGTGAGAATAGATCAGATGGGCTCCTCGACTCGACAGAATAGTCTCGAGGGGATGTAAAGGACCGAGCATCCAGCTTGGCAGATGGGTGATTCATGGCGTTGAGTATCAGCCGCGTAAAAGACTCGCCAGCCTTGCCGCTGAGGAATATGTCTGGGGTTGTTGGGAGGACATGGTGATGCTGTTGTTGGTGGTAGCTGCGGCCCGCTGGCCAACCCATTGACTGGTTGGGATGCTGCATTGGCGGCAGCCTCGAGGCCTCGTACTGGATAATCGACGGAACAGGAGAGTTGTGCTGGACCACGGGCAGAGCATGTGACGGCTGCGGTCGCTGCTGCTTGTCTCGATGAGTGTCCTCGAAGTTGCGTACACGGCGTTCCAAGGATCGGATATATCTAGATGGCAATTAGTGTTTCGGCCTGACGGGAAGCAATGCAAGGAGTCGTTACGCCTGCGCCGACTTAGTCATGCCCCGAAGCATCTCGTCCGACGCCTGTGCCGGCACAATGTGGTCGCATTTGGTCTTGCGCTGGCGACAGCTGCGGCAGGCCACCGTCGCCCGCCGCCGCTTTCTGGGGCCGTCTTTGCGCTCAGGGCCATCGCCGGCCTGGGCAGTCGACGGCATAGGGGACGTGCTCGCCATTCTGCGGCGGATAATGGCTCAAGAGAGAGATGGAAGGGTTCTGTGGCTTACGGCGACGTAGTGCGTGATCCGTCGTCGAGGCCGGGGCTCGGGATAGTGACGCCGTCGCCAGACTGTGCGCTAAACTGACCTGTGGCATCCAGGTCGCCGCAGCTCGTGGTGCATTGCTTTGCGGGTGCTGGACTGGCCCGGCGGCGAGACGATGGAATCGAGCTGATGATGCACGGGAGACGAAACGGTTCGCTTCCTGGATCGCGAAGGAGCTAGGCGGTGCTGAGAGATACAGGATGGCGCGTAGCAGCTTCTCCACCCCCAGCGCCACCGACCCCGGGCAAGCTTAGCTGGGAACTGATCTGGGGTTCATCGCCGGAGCGTTACGGGGCAGCAGGAATGCAGGTTCTGATCGATCCGTGGCCTGCGAGATTCACGATTTCGAGATGGGCGTGCCCCGGACTGCACTAGTTTGGCGCCTTGAGTTTGGATGGAGGCCATTAGCTGTTTTCCGCAAGTGCTTCATCTGTGCGTAGCTGTTAGAGATTGTGCCAACTGCTAGGCACGCTGCTCTCCAATTAAGAAAACATCGTGGTTTTGGGGGCCCTGCTGACTGGAGCTTGACGCCACATAAACGTCAAATAGAGTTATTTGGCCCCATCGCAGTCAGCAGGCGTCACAGCGGGGAAGCTGAAAGATCGGCATACATGGAGCCATGTGCTCGTATCGGTGCAAAAGTCAAGGAGAATTGTGCTTGTGAGTTGGCAAGACTTGGCGGCGTTGACGGTGCGCACTTCCCATTGTGTACGGGACTCATATCTCATATGTGATCACTGTAAATAGGATGTCTGCCTGCAAACACTGACTGATAAAAGCACGAAAAGAACCGTCATGGCTGGTGAATTCTCTATTTCTCGTGTATCTTATTAGCGACATTATTCTTGGCTGACTAGCACTTCTTGTTCATTAATAGAGTTTATCGTCCCATCCTTCAAAGCTCCCGTGGCTCATGAGTCCACCAGATGCTGCTTCTTTGCTGTATACTCCGCCTCAATATCCCCCGTCCAGATCCAACCCATGCGGTCTTTCAAACTATCCCGCACAAGAGGCAGGCAGTCGTCATAAGTCTTGCCCTTCATTTCAGGTGTCTGCATTTCATACACCTGTCCAGCTTGGCGAGCTGTAGCCTGCGCTTTCTGGGCACGAGGGAGGCGAACATCTTGGTACACCTGCATCCATTGTTCAAGGGTCTGGTTGCTTCCTCTTGAAGATGCGGCAAGATAGTCAGCTATGGCAAGGCCCAGGATATATCCATCTTCGATGGCCTGACCGGCACCGGCTCCTACTGTATGTTAGTTCAACTCTAGAAGACATTGTTTCATCTTGCGTATTCTCACCCTGATGTGGCAGCATCTATAATCATGAATCATTAAAAAAAAGCCCAAATAACATCTAACATGTGCCAATTACTTACCGCGTGCGCTGCATCTCCCATCAGTGCTATTTTGCCGTTTCCAAAAACCCATTGATCCAAGAGTTCGCGGTCATTCAGAATCCACTTGGATGGAAATTCGTTCATAAAAGATATGGTTTTGCGGACCGTAGGATCGAATCCCTCAAATTCCTTCTGTACCTCGCTCCTGTGGCCCGTGGCTGTCCAGCTCTCCAGAGCGCGTTCGTCATCAGAATATACAAACGCAACAATATTCAGCGTCTTGTTTTTGCTTATAGGAAACGCTAGAAAGTGCTTGTCTGGACCAAGCCAGCTTATCGAATAAGACTCGAACGGCCACCAAGCCTCGAGATCCTTGATAGGTACTAATCCTCTGTAGCACATACGGCCGCTGTATTTAGGATTGTCAGTGCGAAACTGAGATCGAATCTTGGAGTGAATTCCATCACATCCAACCACCAAATCTGCTGTCGCCGTTGTTCCATCAGCGAAATGAAGCTCAACAAAGCTACCTTGGTCCTGAAAACACGTTAACAACAGACAAGCCTGTTCTCTCAACCCCCAGCCAATCTTACCTTTAATTCGATGCACTGCTTATTGGTGTGAAGAGTAGCTGCGTTTCGCTCCTTGACATGGCTAAACAGTAATTCCAAGAACTCGGCTCGGTGAACGGGGCTTTGTCGTATCTCCTTTTGGTCATCCACAGGCACAGTCACAATCTCGTTGCCATTGTCATATCGACGGAACGAGATCCAAATGCCGTTACGATGGCCGGAGATGTCATTCAAGTCTTTTCCTATACCAATCTGATGGAGCAGCTTGGCAGCATTGACTCCAATCCCCAACCCAGCTCCAATCTCTTTATACACTGGCGCTTGCTCATACACATCGATGATGACACTGCCATCCTTGGGACAGTGGTGATGGATTGAAAGGGCTGCACAAAGACCACCAATGCCACCGCCAACAACAGCGATATGGAACGGGAGCTTCTGACTAGGCATATTTGATAGAGTTTGACTTTTTCCACCAGATCAACATCGCAGCCCTTTAGGCTTCTTTGGGCGCGCAAGACTTATATATTGGCGCGCTTTCGCTTCTCCATTGCTCAACACTCGGCCTTGAAGGCTGCTCTTTTCCCGAGACGCTCCGAATGTGGACAAGGCGGATGGGGGCTTAACTCCCCGCGTTGCTGCGCTTCCCCGTTCTTGTATGCGGATAAGGCGGTATTTCCGGAAATATGCGCGGGTCCGTCGCATCAACTTTGCAGTGAGAACCTTGAGAGCGTCTGCTGATCTATTTAAGCTATATGGATACATCACAATTGCTGCCGACGATCCGATCTATCGTGGCATCTATTACGGAGTATTATTTTGTATCCAAGATGCATCTCCGTAACTACCTAACAGAGACTGTGCTACTAGACAAATTAGCCTCGCCCAGCGCGCTGTGCCGTCCATAAACTTCTAGACCGCAGCCCTTGACCCGCCGTGAATTCAGTCCAGCATGACTGCCACTGATTGCTCATATAATTATCTGTAGGGTCTACACCTGGAAGATCAGGACAGGTATCTCTGCCTGCTGGGCAGTCTAGATCTGGTCCATTACTGGTCAATACAAGCAGATGCACAGGTGTGTCATCGACCTAGTGAGGCTGGTGTTATTACTTTTATCTGATATTCGGATAGCTAAACTTACAAAGTCATTGTCTCCATTCTGGCAAGTGTAGGGATAAGTACCATGCTCAATATAACTAATGTTAATTAGCAAGGAATAACATAATCGGCGTCATGTGATAGTGTCAAGCTGTGGGAAAACATACGTATGGAATAAACCAAACCAGTGGCCTACTTCATGACAAGCAAGACGGCCCGTGGTGTACCTTTCTGGATCTGTCTCAAAATGTGGACCAATACCGCCTGGAAGAGTATTGGCTTGTATAACCACGCCGTCCTGCAAGAAATCATCGGAGCCGTCGTAGTAGTCGCCAGGCGGTGTGCCGATCTGTAAGGTTGATACTCGTTAGCCAGCGTTATGCACATTGTGCTGCTTCCATCTGGATTGCAAACTGCCCAGATATTTTCCAGTTGGTAAGTAACGTACACCTAAAAGTCCGGATCCTTCTGTAAGTAGAGTGGTATAGAGATTCAAAGTGCCGTAGCCACCTTGGCGCAAAGCTCTCTTCATGTTAGGCCAGCCATCAAGGTTCGAGTTCGACCAAGTCGCATTCTGCGTATAGGTCGCGTTGACCAAGTTAAAGGAGAACCCATGTGGTTCCCAAGCATCGTTGAGCACCGTAATCTGGGCGTCGAGTTGGTTTCTCTGTTTGTTAAAGCATTAGCGTGCTTTCTGCATCGTCTGAGGCAGCATTTAATTACAGGTATATAGCCCCCTTCTTCAGTCTCATTGACGTAAACCACATGAAACCAAGTCGGTATGGTGACGAGATCTGTGCTTCGTACATCTAACGTCGTTGTTCTCTCCTTTACGTACATTGCCTGGGCTCTAGCAATTTCACCCTCGGATGGTGGTGGGTTGCCGCAGCCAGTAGCAGGTATAATTGCCTTTGCTGATGAACTCATCGCTAGACAACACAAAGAAAATGGCAACAGTACGGAGTGCATCATGGCTGCTGTTGTAACAAACAGTAATGTCAAGCTTGTCGGAGTGAATCACAACAGGCGAAGGCGATAAATCCAGGGTTGTTAGTTCATTGTGTTGTTCAAGGACTGAGATTAACCTTTTATAGATCTTCACTAAGTATACGATCGCCCAAAGAAAGCCTCCAATTGAAGTAGTCCAATACGCCAGTATACGAAGCACTAGACTAGGGGGAAAAGGGGCAATGCTTAAATACGAGTGTAGTGCATCCACTCACAGATCAGGGATCTTATTTATAGAGGTTGAATACCGTGACATGATCTGGGAATGTCCGAGTTACAGTCGGGGTCCAAAAGTCTCAGGCCACCCTTGCAAGAAATACTAGTCATTAGACATCGAGTCCAAAGCAAGCGCACCAATAACTAAGTAGTTTCCTAAACGCTTTTATAGATCTTGAATCCTACTAATAACTACGGATTATCGGTAATAGCAGATATTGGTAGCTTCAAATTATGCGAACGCGCCCCGTCATTTGCAAAATGTTCAGTTTAATCGAGCATAATTAGGTAGTCCTCGTAGGGACAGAAAAACGAAAAACCTGATTTGAAGATGCTGCAAGCGAAGATGTCTCGCTAGGCTATCAATACGCCATGACTTTTGCCACTGACTCTGTCCTGGGTTTTCATCCGCCCACCTGCAGAAATGACAGAATAATTGTGATCGTTTAGACTGCGGTACTGTTTCCACTGTTCAATCCGTTTGCTTTTGCTCCTCCGCGGCGGAAACCGTCCGAGAAACTGAAGCCACTATACCACGGCTGCTTGTCGTTCGGCGGCGGCAGGGACTCTCTCTACGCTTGCAGAACAGCGATATTGCTGTAACAAGCTTCATGTACAATGGATGAAGTTCTTTTCTATTTTTAATTTCTGCAGCATAGAAGAATAACTGTGCCACCCGGAATTCTTGATGCCGTTGAGCTGCCGATCAATCTCCTCGGCGTGGACTGAGCTGTGAAACTCTCGAATAGCACGCTCAAGACGTTGCGTCCTTAGTTTACTACTTGGTCTTTTCGCTTTCTTCATGTAACGGTCGTATTGCATCGCAAAAAGTTTCCCTCGGCAGTTGTCCTTGTGGAATCGGGTCCGCCTTCGGCGGCACCTTACAAGTTGCGGGACCTTGTTGAGCTCGTGTTTCTGCTTATCTATAAGGGTCGTTGGAGCATCACCATGGCGGAGGAGCTGGCCGGTTAGATGGATCAGGTCGTGTTGAGATACGCTCCCGAAACAGATAGACTGGCAATCTACATCGTTGAATTTGAACATATAATATTGGACATAACCGCTTGAGTCGCCTTGTCGGTGCCCCATAATCTTGTTTCGCTCCTCCAGGGTAAGAGCTTCTATCTCGACGGAATATTCATAGCGCTGCCTAATAAGAACGTACCATTCAGCTTCTTGCCCGACCCTCGGCGTAATTCATACCATTCGAGGGCCTTTGCTAACCCTATCGACCTAGCCGAATGAGGTGACAACATTTCTTCAAGTATACAAGGGCCTCATCCAAGGCCACTCCTATCCTTGCTCAGACTCCTTTACATTGCAGAAGACTAGGCGCTTACGCTACTCTTCAAGCCAGTAGAGACAAAGACAATCACTACCTACCGGGACAATAAGCTTATAGATATCTTTAGGGCCTGCGAAATTATTTAAGAACGCCCGGTCCGCAAAGGCCATTGCAATTCTAGAGATCAACGGATCATATAGCAGCATATTGTCTTTGCGAAATGCGAAATGCTTTAGATTAGACTTACTTCCCGATTATTTAATACACTCCAGATTTACTCTTAAAATAATACGCGGCTTTGAGAAATCGGCAAGGCGCGGAAAGATCTGGATTTGCAAATGTTTATAATATAAATGTCTTATAAGGGCACCTTATTCTTTTATTCTACGTGAAATTGTTTTATAACTTAATGAAAAGTAGCGCTGCTGTATTATCAACAGGGTATACCTTAAAGTGCTATAGCGCTTTGGTTTAACGTGATAGCGCAGGATTTATTCCTGTTTTTTTTTCTAGTAGTCCTAGTTGTGTATTGAAGTCTAGAGCAAGTCGGGTTCGGGTTCGGAGTCGGAGTCGGAATGGATACTCACTGGTTACTTATTGAAGTATTCCTTATCCACTTGTTTCATGGCAATCGAAAGGCTAGACAGCAAAGTGGCATTGCATCCAGGAAGTTGGACGCAAAAATGTATATAAACCTGTGTTTCTCAGCACAGATAGAAAGTATTTCAATTGTTTAAACCATATAATCACTATTCGTTCTTATTCTCAGCCAATAGCAATGGCGCAAATGTCGGATATTATCCTTACACTGAAAAAGAGCGTCATTCGACGGTATCGTGCATCAGATGCCGACGCAATTGTTCGCGGCGCAAATACACATCTCGTCTCTCAATACATGTCAGATGCATTTCCGAGCCCATACACGCTTGAAAGCGCTGAAAGATGGATCAAAATCGCCAGCGAAGAAGGAGCCCTTGAGTTCGCAATTTGCACTCTCGACAGTAACGCTGTTATTGGCAGTTGCGGATTTCAGCATCTGAAGGGCGTGGAATCAAGAACAAAACTTCTTGGATACTGGTTGTCGCCAGATTATTGGGGTCAAGGAATCATGACGGAAGCCATCGCCGAATTAAGTCGATGGGTATTCGAGCAGGCCCCTACACTACTAAGACTGCACGCCAGCGTTATCGAAGAAAATGAAGGAAGCATGAAAGTCTTGAAGCGAGTGGGTTATCAGTATGAGGGCACCAAACGTATGGCAGTTTATAAAGATGGGAAGATAAGCAATATTGCCATGTTTGGATTCACCAGAGACGATTACACCAAGATGGCTGGGAAGGAGAACAAAAACTGATAACTGACAGGATAAAAGAGACGCTTCACTGCGTCATAGAGGATATCCCAAAGGTGTATTGCTACAGTTGGGCTCATTTAAAGAGATATTCGTGATTTATAGTATAAGATAGTATATAGACTCGGAACAAGGGCTTAATGGTCAAAAGTGCAATCGCTGAATAGTTGATCATTGAAATTGCTTATTGAATACAACTATAAACAAGTGGTCTACCATTTAGATGATATGTGTGTGGCACGAATAATGATGTTGATTGAGTGAATCTCGAAGTACGATAGCCAATATATATACGTCTTAAACCTTTATTCAAGCCAATTGAACGTATCAATCTCGTTCAAATCGTAGGGATGGACGGTATGAGAAGACGATCGCCGGGATGTCGTGCCTTGAACTATGCCAGTAGCTGTATGAGGTGAAATATTGAGTACTTGGTCCAAAACTCGCATGATCAGACTGCTCGCCTTGGAACATCGACTCGTACAAGGCACCCGGAGCATCAGCCATTCCGTAAAAGCGTTGAGTAAGCTTAATTGTTGAATAATAGCTGAGGTGGGAGTTGACGATATAGATGAGCCTTGATCGTGCGCTAGAAGAAGGGTTTTGCATAAAGTGACAGCAGCTGGAATGGCGTAGCCTGTGATAAACCACTCGTAGTCTCCCTCCATACCCACGAGGCAATCATTCCGCGTCCAGAAGGCGACTGTAACTGATATGATATCCAAACAAACATTGATTAGATTCTGAGCAGCCTTGGGTTGCATATGGGTCAATAATCTTTCAATGAGGAAGACATTTTGCAGATGCTCTAGTCGAATGAAGAGTTTAGTGTATAAAACACGAGGATCCGGCGATTTGGACTTCTCATCGCCATCAGATAACTGAAGCCAGCTAGGAAGTTGACTATAAATATGGACTTGCTTCAGCTTTAATTCGCTGCATTTGGAACGACGTCAGCCTTAAGATACCAGGGTTAATCTGCAAGTGTACTTACATCAAATCAGGCAGGATTTTCCGTTTATTATTTAAGGCAATAATGAGGATTTCTTCTCGCAGGTGCGCTATCAAGCTTCTTGCCCGAAGAGTAGTTGTACAATAAATTTCACCACTAATATTCCAGCCATAGTTATCAATTTCTAGTGAAACAAGATCTGCAGTTCGAGCAGGCTTCCTTTGCAACATAATGGTATCGCAGATATCCAGTGGCAAAGCCGTAGAACAGTATTGCGAGGTGAGAAGAGGAATTTTGCCTGAAAAGATCGCAGCAGATTTATCAAGAATATATATTGCAGTGAAAAGACGGCGCTCAGATTGTTTTTTCGAATGACAGTCCTGTAGTGAAGAGTCAGGCATAGCATGAAGTCGTAAAGAACATGCCATAGACACCGTTTCTGAGTGAAGTTTCCAAAAGTTGGCATCTAAAATGATCTCATTAGCATTGTTGGCTCTATCAAGACAGCAATAAGGAGTTCTCACTATCAGGCCCATTCATAATAGACGAAACGATGCTTGTCCGGTATGAGAGGTAAAGAAGAAATAGATTGCTGGCTTTGGCCAAACGACAGAATCTGATACAGGTTACCATGATGTCGAAAAACTTGGCCACTAGTACTCTGGGTCGATATTGACTGATGTGCACTTTGTTATGAAGGGCGAATATAGCCCAGCTGCTGAAGAGTAGCCCGATTATCTCCCATCTTATCCTGGTGCCGGAGAATGACGTGTACCAGTCTTCTGATAGATAATCCTGGTCATTGGATAGTGCTTCTGCAGTATTTGAAAAGATGGTGAGTGCCAGTTCAGTTAAATGCTCTCTTTGCTGGTCTTGCCGGAATGCAGAAGGATAAGTACGTCTTAGTTCGGTTAAAGTCTGCGTCGTAGAGAACGGAAGCCACCCATTGAACACATTGATGTGAGATTTACCAAGTATATGCTCGGCCTCGAGACTTGGCAAGCAAGATAGGGCATCCAAAGCGGCTTGTAAGTCGTTGATGTCTACACCTAGTAAAAGCCTTTTCTCATCGGCTAGTGAGCTGGGGTTTGGCGGCACAATTTCGTAGTGACTGAGAACGTTGCTCTCATTCAGAGAATTTAGAGAATTTAGGGTCGGCATATTAGGTGTCAGTTCGATAGCTTCAAATACACGGCTTGATGGTAAAGAATCTGTCGTGGAATCATCTTGCGGGTATATGGAATGAGCGTTGCCAGAATCGTCGGAAGGGTGGCCGGAGCCCTGTGCCTGCTGGGGGCTCGCTGCAATATATCTGCAAGGCCGCTTCACCCGACTTCGCTGGCAGCGTAGACATGCTGGAAGAGAGCGATCACATGCATACTTTCGTTTCTGGCAGGGCTCACAAGCAGCTAAACGGCCATTTTTAGTTCGTGGGAAAGGAGTGTTGGGTGTTGTTTCATGCGGTCGATCCATTATGAGATGGAGGTTGAGTTTCGCTACGCCCTTGGAGAGTGGGCGATTTCAATTTTGTTTTACTGGACAATACGTGTACGCAGTGGCACGTGATAGCGCTACTGTTAACCACAGCGCATAGAAACACAATGCACAACGATGTGAAGATAAGAGAACGAAACGAGGTAAGCTTACATTTGAAGATATCGAGAACTATTCGTTTTTTATATTAAAATACCTAAGAATCGTTGCACATTGTTCAAAGGGTAAAGTAGAGCATTAACGATATTTACGAGGTAACTCCAGAAACCTTGATTTAGCTTTTTGGCGGGGCTTGATCCGCTACGGCAATTGCCTTGGAACGTTGGACATAGAAAGCCAGAAGAAGAGACATAGGACAACCATGGGAACTCAGCACAGCTTGAAAATATCTCGTAAGTAGAGCTATTGATCTAACGAGAAATTATATTCCAAGACATAACCCAAACAGGAGACTTCACTTCAAGGCGCAACTCAAAGAGGGGCACGGATGATGGCGGGAAGTCAGCATAGCCTGACGAAGCACCAGACGTATCAAGAGAAGCGTTAATGCAAGAGATAGATATGGTGCGAGAAACAAAGCAAGACATGCATTTCGAACTCGTGCTAGACTGCTTGTTCCCGAAACAAGACGAGTTTATGAGCAATCACGCTGCATTTCTGTGCCAACACGTGTCTTTTGGGTGAGGACCATGACGCCGGAGGACATTCTCGACCGTATTGAGAACAGTGGGATTAAAGCAAAGTTAACAGCTCTATGGAAAGATATTGATGGCGTATACCAGGTCACTATTGCCAAGAGAAAAGAAGGGTGCAATCTATCAGGCCACCGGCTGATTTAGGTACGTTTGTTCTAGGATTAATTTTAAAAACTATCTAGACAATTGAGTAAAGAAGACGTTAGTCCACCTATCAAATAACACAAAAGTTTTATCATGACCCAAAAGAAGCAAAACGCATCTCTATATGTAGATGCAGTCAATTGCAGTTAACAGCCTAATATACCCCTACGATTCTCACGTAATTGGTGCGCATGGAACCTCACAACAAAGGTCCACAATTCGGATATAACTCAATTATCCTCGATATTAACCTCTAACTTCTTCCCATCACCAACATATCCAACTGGCGCATTTAAATTCTAGCCTATAAGGATATATAGGATCTCGCTATGTTAAGCATATATTAGGCAATAGATGTCTACAGTTTAGATATACATACGGTGTTTAGATTGCGCCGAACATTGGCATATAAGAGCCATTCTTTTCCACCGATTAGAAATGACTACTACATTGACTTTCAACTGTGTCCACTGGCCGCTTTACACTGCGGTCATTGTATTCTTTTGCCATGAAGTACGCTTCTGCGCTTGCGCTCCTCCTCGGAGCTGCTATACCTGTACAGGCCGCATTTACGTGGAAGAATGTCAAATTTGGTGGCGGTGGTGGCTTCATTCCTGGAATCATCTTTCACCCCAAAACGAAAGGCGTAGCTTATGCCCGAGCAGATATCGGTGGTCTCTATCGTCTGAATTCTGATGATTCCTGGACCGCCATTACGGATGGCATTGCTACTGATGCCGGCTGGCACAATTGGGGCATCGACGCCGTGGCTCTTGATCCCCAGAATGATGAAAAGATATATGCTGCAGTTGGCATGTATACTAATAGTTGGTTCGTAAAATCCACTTAGGTCTAGCTTTGATAACTCTAACACATCTATAGGGATCCCAACAATGGTGCTATTATTAGGTCGTCAGACCGTGGTGCAACCTGGACTTTCAGCAACCTAACTTTTAAAGTCGGAGGCAACATGCCTGGACGTGGTAATGGAGAGCGCCTGGCTGTTGATCCAGCCAACTCTAATATCATCTATTTCGGGGCTCGGTCCGGGAATGGTCTGTGGAAATCTACAGATGGTGGTGTCACCTTTTCAAAGGTAGCATCATTTACAGACACGGGTCCATTTGTACCAGACCCGAGTGATACTACTGGCTATAATAGCGACAAGCAAGGACTGCTATGGGTAACATTTGACTCAACGAGCGGTACTACTGGTGGCGCAACGTCGCGGATATTTGTTGGTACTGCTGATAATATCACTGCTTCGGTATACGTGAGCACAAATGCCGGCTCTACGTGGAGTGCTGTCCCCGGACAACCAGGAAGATACTTTCCCCACAAAGCCAAACTGCAGCCAGCAGAAAAAGCATTGTATCTGACCTATTCCGATGGCACGGGACCATATGACGGCACATCTGGGTCGGTATGGAGATACGACATCACGGCTGGGACTTGGAAAGACATAACTCCCGTCAGCGGATCTGATCTCTACTTTGGCTTCGGCGGTCTCGGCCTTGATTTGCAAAAACCAGGAACGCTTGTCGTGGCTTCACTTAACTCTTGGTGGCCAGATGCCCAGCTATTCCGTTCCACTGATTCAGGCACGACTTGGAGTCCTCTATGGGCATGGGCCAGCTATCCTGACATGACGTATTATTACAGCATCTCGGTAAGCCAAATTGATGATATATCTTATTGTTACTCTTGTTGTTACCATTAACCACTGACGGATGTAAAGACTCCTCTAGCGCCATGGATTAAAAATGATTTCATCGATGTAACCAGCGAAACACCCCCTGGGTCACTCATCAAGCGTCTTGGCTGGATGATCGAGTCACTTGAAATCGATCCCCTGGACAGCAACCACTGGCTCTATGGTACTGGCATGACAATCTTCGGTGGCCATGACTTGACTAAGTGGGATACTATTCACAACGTGACAATACAGTCGCTCGCAGATGGCATCGAAGAAACTTCTGTTCAAGGCCTGGCCTCGGCGCCTGGTGGGAGCGAGCTGTTGGCAGCGGTTGGAGACGACAATGGCTACACTTTTACAAGCGCAAATAGCCTTGGTACTTCTCCGCAGAATGTCTGGTCGACTCCAACATGGGCGACCTCGTCAAGCGTTGACTTCGCGGGTAACTCCGTCAAGAATGTTGTCCGAGTCGGCAACACTGCTGGCACTCAACAGGTCGCGATTTCATCGGATGGCGGTGTCACATGGAACATTGACTACGGCGCTGACACAAACATGAATGGAGGCACTGTAGCCTATTCAGCCAACGCCGATACAATCTTGTGGTCGACAGGGTCAACAGGTGTGCAGCGATCTCAATACCAGGGCAGCTTCACGTCAGTCTCCAGCTTGCCCGCAACCGCTGTGATTGCTGCAGACAAGAAGACAAACAGTCTCTTCTACGCTGGATACGCATCAACATTCTACGTTAGCAATAACACCGGTAGTAGCTTTACAGCTGGGCCGAAGTTGGGTAGCACAACCTCTGTTCGGGACATCATCGCCCACCCAACAACCGCAGGCACTCTATATGTTTCCACTGATGCTGGCATCTTCCGTTCGACTGACTCGGGCACGACATTCACTCAGGTGTCCACAGCTCTTACTAACACCTACCAGATCGCTCTTGGTCTCGGATCTGGATCGAACTGGAACCTGTATGCCTTCGGCACCGGTTCAGCTGGCAACCGCCTTTATGCCAGTGCAGATAACGGCGCAACTTGGACGGACATCCAAGGCAGTGCCCAGGGCTTCGGCGCCATTGACGGTGCAAAGTTAGCGGGCAGTGGCAGCGTCGCTGGGCAAGTTTATGTCGGTACAAATGGCCGTGGCGTCTTCTATGCTCAGGGCACAGTTAGCGGTGGCACAGGTGGAAGCTCCTCCTCCTCGACCAAGGCCAGCAGCACTACCATCGCCAGAAGCAGCACCACACTGACATCTTCGAATGTATCAACTACCCGGACGTCGACTGTAACCTCGTCGACTCGAACCACCTCATCTTCTAGCCCTACGGGATCAGGGCTTGCACAGCATTATGCTCAGTGTGGTGGCGTTGGCTGGACAGGCCCGACGCAGTGTGTATCACCATACACTTGCCAAGCGCAAAATGATTGTAAGCAAACATCTCAACCTCTTCTGCGCCCTTATACTATTCTCATAGAAGAGATTACTAATTTGACGTGCATAGACTACTCCCAATGCGTCTAAACAAAATGAGTTGACATCCTTCTTGTGATACTAGAGACAATTGATCTTAGTGTTCAGCGCGAACAATGCTATTATATACCAATACTTAACCTTTGACGCGCGAGTAGCGTAACTGCAAAGGTATAAATGATCCCTGCAGTGTATAGAATTCTCATTCGCTCGAGTAAATGTCCGAAACGCCTCAGCGTGATCCGTTTCGCGGCTGTAAAGTATCCCAGCAACTTCCTGTTCCGGAAGGTACTCGGCTAGTTGTACGAGCTATTTATATAGAAGCAACATCGCTCGTAATTGTAAAGGATCATTTCTGGGGTGACAGATAAGCGAGGAGGTATCTCATCTAAATGTCACTTGGGCAACAGTAATGGCCAAAAGTGAAAGTATGCGTAGTTGACCAATATGATTCTTTTGTTATTCTTGGAAACTGCTAGCTAAGCTTTCATTGCATATTGTATAGCATAATACCTCGATATATCTTAAACATCTTGCTTCATCATAGCATTACATGCTACTTAGCTTTTGGGATTATATTACTTTGAATTTGACATATGGCGGTGGGAGTGCCATAAGGCTAGCCTTTTGATCTGATATCGCAAAACTCGTACACTGTTATGGATACATCACGCAGCGCGCGAATGTTCAATGATTGACTATATATCTGCATATATGTGCTTTATGTATACTAAGGCTTTGGATATGTACAAAAAATATATACATGTGATTTATGTACACTCAAGGCTTGCAATTTATACCTTGAACATGGAACTTAACATTGGTTGAACTTGCTGTCAGAGTAGAGCCAGCCAGTCATCCGATTGGCAATATCATTGACATATGACGCCGTGGCACCCTCGCCATCGTTCAAATTTCCGCTGTTAACTGAGCCCGAGTTGTAGCAGCGAGCAGCCTAATTATTAATGGTCAGTATCTGTATGGCTCGAGTTTCAGTAAATAACTCACTTCATAGATGTTTCCATATTGGTTTATGCACTGAACAAGGCCATCGCCAAGGGAAGTTCCCTGGGTTCCATCGATGACCATTTGAGTAATGCTAGACTGCTGAGATGAATCGCTGGCTGAATTTCCCACAAATGTTGCTCCGCCGTCAGACTGCATCAAGCCGGGGTTATCTGGCTGAGAAGGATCTGGGTTGGTGCTCGGGCAAACATTGACACAGCCAATAGACTGTGGGAGAGTTAGCTGATGGAAACATATATTAATGGGATATGAAAAGAAAAGTACCTCTTGCAAAATTGTTGCGAGAATGAATCGATGGTCAACCAAAGACGTCTGGGCAACTTGCTGAATGGCATTCCAGATTAAGCCAGTCTGCTCTCCACTGTTGCCAGGTCCAAAAGCACCGGCGCCATTTGAGCAAGATCCAATTCCCAAGTTGGCACACGACTGCGCCATGGCAGTCTTGGAGTTGTTCCACATCGCATCAAACTCGATCCATTCGGAGACGGGAGGGAAGCTTTGCCAGCCGCCATAGTAACACCCTATGAATTATTAGCATTCTTGCATTCGAGAGACTAAATGTGATAGAATATGAATTCTCGGGAGAAGAATTACTATAAGTGTCTGATCCGCCATTTCCAGTGCCATCAAAGATATTGGCATTGTTGTTGTTTCCTGCTCCACTGCTAAAAGCTGCCGAGCTGGTCACTTTCTGACCCGAAGGATTGGAAACAGCTAGCGCCAAGCCGGCGAAGCTCAAGGGCACAGCAAGTATAAAATGCATTTTGATACCTTTGTTTGACTTTAGACAACTATAAGATAATAATGTGAAGGTGGAGGATTGATGCATTAATTTTGAACGTGGAAATGATCAGCCTTTATATAATTCAGATTCCATAAACACTTTCACGATAGTGAACACCAAGCGGACCAACCTAAGTCAACCAAGGAAAGAGTAAATATGCTCTAAATCTGTAATTGTCTTTCTAATACTTTTCATACGATACTGCTCAGAGATGGCCGGAATAGGAAACTTAGCTGGAAGATACCTCTCGATAATTCGTCCATCATGGGATACATTTATTGGTGGGATAATAACAATTTGCCGTGTTTGCCGTATTTGGGGGAGTTTCAACCAATACTAGTATGAGAGAGCCCTAAAGTAGAAGGAGCTTGAAGCGCTTCGGCATTTCGGTCCTTTTACGGCGGACGCGGTGTCGTTATGTTTAAGATATTTAATATAAGCAGTCTATATACAGTTTATCCTCCTGCCTGAGAAGGAAACATTTCGTATAAGTATGTGTGTGGAATTGGGCTATTACTAACAAGGCGCTTGTTGATATCTAGAAGTAGGCAGTCAGCGCAAGGTGAAAAAGAGAGTTACTAACCCTAAATGTAGACATATTGTTCCAGGAATGCAACAGTAAGGGTGCAGTAATTCTTTGGCCCTGTGCAAGGCACAGCGGCTGTAATACAAGACGTATAAATATAACCACTGTGAGAGATGCATATTATAATAGAGGCTACATAAAAATTGAATTCGTTTAAGAATTTTCATATTAAATACCCAAAGCATTCAGCTTGCAGCAATCTGTAGTTTCATGATTCAGTACCTACCTATTTTAGCGGCGGAGGGTTTTTGCAATTTGCAGGCAATAACTCTGTCTTCACTATTTTCAGCCCAGCGGATTATTAATCTAATTCGTAGCTTCCTACCAAGTTGCGGAGGAAGCTGCATCTTGTCTTACAACTCTCCCATTTACATTACAGTATTTTTACTTCAGAGATTATTGATTACAATTCACTATTGGAAATCCTTTCTGTCTAAATCTCCGGCGCTAACAGTGGAATCTGATCAGCTACTGGAGAGCCCAGACTCACCAGTACAGACACATCTAGTAATGTTGCCTCCAATGCATTGCGCGCAAAATAATTAGAGCGCAAGAAGAATGACTGGACGAGTCCCAGTAATTGTTAAAATTATAGTTTTTCATCATCTAGAAATATATGGCAAGGCATATACAACTCTGATATCGTATCGTGCTCGATTTGCAAACGACTGCCCGCATTACTAACTTGTTTATCTACGGAAGAAAGCTGACGAAACAGAAAATTCTTTCAATATTGGCTTTTTCAGTCTTGCTACCCGTGAATTGGAAATCCAAGAAGGTTTACAATAAGTCCACGTATTAGGCTTCGCTTTCACATAGTGAAATCAGCAAGAAGCTCGAGTTTTGGTCAGGTTGCATCGCCCTTCATAAAATATGTGAACAGAAATCTACCAAGTTATATAGGGCTCGATTCCGAGTCAATAAGCGCTGCTGGATTATGGCCTCACATAGAGCTGCCCTTTTCATCTGTAAAAATTGCGGCTCAACTAATGTAGCGTGATATAAAGAGGACTATGGACGAATTTATGCGGAGGCAGAGGAGGAAGAGGATCTCTACGATGCACGTCTGGGTAGTCATCCTTTATCACTCTCAGTCAAGCAACCAATGGCCTGTCGACAAGAATGTAAAGACGAAGTCAAGCAAAGATGACGAAGCTGTCACACACAATTATCAAGAATTACAGATCAATATATAAAGTATGCGTTTATTTTTTTTTCTTGAGCTTTTTTGGACTTTTGGGACTTTCGAGCATTTTGGATTCTTGGACTATTTCGTAAGTCACTAGCAATTTTCGACAACTCAAAGGCAAAAAACATCATAGACGAGATGATGAGCAACATGCCCAGAAATGAGAATGATGTGAAAATAAAACTGAATTTTAAGCCTGATGCAATTGAAGATGCTAATTTACTTTAGTTTCATAAATGCTAAGCTGGTTAAGTGATTTTCACCACAACTTTGCCGACATGCTTTCTGGCTTCCTAAGAGATGCATTAGTACGTTTATCGCTCAAGACACGGTGTATACTAACCAGATATTCCAGGCCCTCTCTCAGTTCATCCAATTTGAACACCCTCTTATCCAAGACAGGCTGGATTCCATTGGCTTCTATTGCAGCCATCATCTCCTCCATCTGATCTTTAGAGCCGATGTGAATACCACGGAAAGTGCAAACATGCACCAGGGCATCCAAGATATTTGCTTTCCCAGCTTCCCCGCCAGTTAAAAGTCCAATTACAGTAATAATGCCCTCGTGTCTAACTGCCTGTACGCTGTGGGATAAAGTGTCAGTGCCGCCGACATCGATGACATGATCAAAACCTTCGTCATTGGGCGTAAAGTTTCTGGCTGTTTGTCCCCAGTGTTGGTCTTCATTATAATTAATAATATGATCAACGCCAAGGCTTTTGAGCAAGTCGTATTTCGCGGGAGAGGATGTTGTAGCGACGACTCGAGCACCTCCTGCTTTCGCAAACTGACATCCATGTTAGATATCTCTCCGGTTGAATGGTGTTATGAGCAGACTAAACAAACCTGAATGGCGAACAGGCTTACGCCGCCAGTGCCTTGAGTCAAGACCCATTCTCCTGGCTTCACGGCCTTCAACCCATAAAGTGCATTCCATGCGGTTACACCGCAATCAGAAAGCGATGCACCTTCGAGATAGGATAGATTGGATGCCAAGCGCACAAGCCAAGACTCTTCAAACACCCCATATTGCTGAAATGTGCCATCATAAGAGCCACCTATACTGCCATTGTGCAATGCAGCCACAGTCATCTGGCCGGACTGATGTCCTGGATTGAAAATGGCTGTGACTCGATCTCCTTTTTTCCACTTTGTAACTTTTGATCCAACTTCAACAACTTCGCCGGCTCCATCAGATCCGCCAACAACGGGCAAATTCAGATGGAATGGATAAGTGCCCTATGATTACGATTAGTAAGAGATGAATATTTGTAAACTCATTTCATTTTGAAACTTGCCTTTGGCTTCGGGATCAGATGATCACGGTAGTTCAACGAGGCCGCGTGTAGTTTGACCAAAACTCCGTGTTCACCCACTGCGGGGACTGGTCCATCGGTAAAGTTATACTCATCCAGGCCTCTCCCCTGTCCCATGATAACCCATTTCTTCTGTGTTGTAGGAAGAGTCATGGTAGTCCTGTTGGATAGAATAGCCAAAAATAGTGGGAAAGGTTGTAATGAATGGATGTAAACTGTACTTGATGCTTTATTGTTTTATCGACAGCTCAAGTGGCCTAAGCCCACGCTTTTATAGTCAAATATGTGGTGATATGCCCACAGGTAAGTTCATCATTACCATTTTTCTTATGACCCTAAATTACGACATGATACATGTCTTGCTGCATGCTTGATAAACAACACAGTGCGACGTAACACTAGCTGCATTTTGATGATATTGAAGTCCAATGGGATGCTTTTACTAAGCATTATTTGCTAAGCATACCGAATCAGGGTCGGGCAGGGAGCACACTTTTCGATTGATACCCGCATGGATCGACTTGTTGCAACGAAGTGTTTTCTGCTGTAACTAATTTTAGTCCCTAGAACTGCATATATCGAATCAAGTATTCCACGTTCTTCGCTTTCATAGTTATAGATGATATATTTTACCACATTCCTGGCTGACCTCGAAATAAGTCTAAATGTCTATAACCTGCATTTTCTTTTTTTCGAGCTCACATGTATATCTGTTCAAAGCCGTCTTCTGTTTGCAAACTGGCAGGAGGCATATCCGTTTTGAGGTTTTGTTTCATAGGATCTAATGTCCTAGATAGGAAATTTTCTCAGTAGCGAATTAGCTAGTTAAGGGCTAGTCTGGGGCGGTCTTTACAGGGCAGTGGTTGCGTAATTGTAACGATGGGTGCTATCAAACAAGAAATCCATTACAAAGACATTCCAAATCATATCGCGCTCAACGCCCTGGATTGACACCAAATGCGTTGTACTGCGTGATACACAGTTCATATACTGTGCGCTGCAAGAGCGGCCTCGCACTCTAGGCCCTCATGTATGGCTAAAACTGCCTCATCCATTTGAGTAACGTGTACCGAGTGCGGGTGAGAAAAGCAAAGCTTGTATACGAAGAATGGTTATTAATAAACAGCGATATGATACTTTGGCTGCACAGCCATAAAGGTCGAGCTTAGCATGCCGATAGACTGAGTGTATCTAGCTAGGAATGCTGCAATTCGCGCGAGATATACTAGACAGTAGCGGGATGCAAGCACTTGAGACCTTAATATTACGTGAAATCGCTAATTGATTACTTCCTACAATTACTGTATTCGGCATTTGTAGCTAAGAAAAGAGCATTGGATTTAGCTTTTTGGAACTGGAAACATAATATCCGTAAAGCTAAGCAACAATAAAACACTTCTGCTTGCCAGTAAGAATTAGATCAGCGCTAATAAATTAACAAACAGCTCAAAGATAGTGAGTGCTTCTTTGAGTTCCAGCCACTGAACCTAGATATGGCTGTTGCTAACGCTTTGATGCCATACAACTATTGCTTATCCTTAAAAAAAGTTGTTTTTATGCCATCTATAAGGTCAACAGGTCGCTATTCAGTCTTTTGCACGTCTTCTCAGTCGAAACGTAGCAGCCTTTGGACACATTACTTTATATTTTCAGAATGTCGGGACAAGGCTATCTCGACAACACTGCCTTGCACGCGCAGGCAAAATGGCGATCGGCCCTCCTTACATACCCGGGGAATCTGAAGGAAGCTCTACGAGAAGCGCAAAAAGATGCCAAGAAAACTATGTATGGCATTGCTCAAGGTATCCCTAGCTCTTTTTTAACCAAGGTATACGCTTCTGTGAGGCCAGATTTTGTTTGGATTGATGTTGAGCATGGAATGTTCGATCGGATAGTCCTTCATGAGTATGAGCACTCCTATCTATGATACGAAGTAAAAGCTAACTCAAACAGCGCTATCCATGCAGCTCAACATCATTCGGAAGGCAAAACAATGGCCTTGGTTAGGATTCCCAAGGAAGACGAGTGGGTTTTGACTACAGCTCTTGACGCCGGTGCAGCTGGCATTATTATTCCTCACAGTGAAAGCAAAGAAGAGGTTGAGGAGTTTATGAAGAAAATTTATTACCGTAAGTGTCTATACAACGAACACAGGATAACTAAGAGCCACGCCAGCTTACCTCATCTGAATTTATAAGCTCCTCTTGGCAATCGCTCATTTAGTCCATGGGTTTTTACTCCTGGCATCTCAGATGCTTCGTTATATCCAGATGATGCGTTCAACATGAAAACAGCAAACAACCATATCGCTGTAATACCCCAGATAGAGAGCGTCAAAGGAATTGCAAATGTCGAAGAGATTGCTTCGATACCTGGTGTCTCGGCACTCATGTTTGGACCTGGAGATTTCATGGCAGATGCAGGAGTGCCACTATCTCTAGGCGAGCCTCATCCTACCCTCGTTTCTGCAATGGAGAGTATGTCAAAAGCAAGCAAAAAATTCGACAAGCCACTCTGGGGGTAAGTAAATGTCTGGGAAGAGAAGCGCTCAGAAAGATGTTAACTCTGCCTAGTGCTGCTAGGAGCCTCGACATGGTTCCACAAATGATAGAATCAGGCTATCGTGCCATTATGTTTCTAGATGTATGGTCAATTGCCAATATGGTGAAATCTACAATTGAGAAAGCAAAGGGGTCAGTTGCGATTTAGATGACTTTAAAATAAATACTGATGTTAATCTTCATGTATGAAACTCCATTTCTCTTTCATTCACATATTTGAGTCCATACATCTTTGCATTTGTGGTACTGCACCACATGCACTTTGAGAGCTTTGAGACTCGACAAGTAAAAAGAGTCCATCAACGCACATCCTTGTCAGGTTTATCTGGAGGAAAGAAGAGTTAAGTAGTCAAAACATGAAATGATTCTATTCTATTGCTGCATATTATACATTAATTACCACGGTAGCGCATCGCCGTTCCAGCTGTAGAAGTTCTTCTTTCCGGGGGTAAAGGTTTGGATAACTTTGACCCTAAGCAGAAAGTTAATTACAATATTCTCATTGGTATGAGATGGCAACACTTACAATCCAGCGGCGCTTTCTGGGACTTCGATTTCGTAAAAAGGGTTCATATCGGTCTTCACCAGTCCCGGATGAAGTAAGAGAACAGGCAAACCCTGTCTGGCCAGAACAGTGTCAAGCTCTTTTCCTAGACGGTTCAAGGCAGTCTGATGTATGTTGTAAGTGAAAGTTCTCTTCACGGATATTGAATGAAGTTTTACCTTTGAAACGTTGTACATCCCTGTGGCGTCAAATCCCTTTGCGATTCCCTCTTCGTGAGCCGCAGCAATCTCGTCGGCCAGCTGCATGGAAGCAAACGACGAAGAAAGGAACACCAGAGATTTTCTCTCGTACTTAGACTTCAACAAGAGGGGCGCAAATGCAACAGCGGCATGATAGGCGCCATAAACATTCGTGGTCATGTTATCAATCAATGACTGAGCACCGACGTCAAGCATGTTTCCAAATCCATTCAAAACGCCAGAGTTGTAGATGACAACATCCAGAGACTCGAATTGCTGTCCGATCTTGGTAGCAGCCTGGTTGATAGAGTTTGAGTCATCTGCATCAAGAGCCAGAATTTGGAGCCTTCCTTTGTTTGAGTCGGAAAGAGCCTGAAGCTCAGTTGCCTTTTCGGGGTTTCTGGCAGTAGCAAAAACAGTGGCTTGGGGGTAATCAGACAGCTACAACTTGCATTAGACTATGGCGTGTCCTGTCAGATCTAAAGATATAGACGTACCGCCTGCTTTACTATACCCAAACCAATGCCACGTGAGCCACCAATAACAACAATTGACTTTGCTTGAGACATCTTGGCTAGATAGGCTGAAATGGTTTGCTCTTTTGTTTTCGTTCCGAATTTGCTTTAGGGTATGAGTCAATGCAGTGAGGTATCTGTTTTTGTATTTCCAGAGATGATTCAATGCTTTATGTATGAACCATTTTGTATTCTCGTGATTTCAAGAGATGACTATTACAAATGGCAGCATTAACTCAATTGGCAATGATCTAGAACACGAAAATGATAATTTATAATTAAATAAACTATATCTCAGCTAACAGGCGCTTAGTCTTCTGGAATAGGAAAAATATAGGCCTATTCCCTAGCTCTTTTCTCAGCTAGCTTTTACCTCAATCGCCCAGCAGCTGTCTGTGATTTGAAATTTTTTACTCAGCGGCATTCACGAGGTGGGGTTACGTGAACAGTTGCCAAAGGCGGAAAAAAAGGCCAAGGCATGATATGCCATAAGAGGAAATTCTCGTCTTGCTACAAGAAGGTAGCGGCGTTAGTAGTGCCTAGCATTTGATGTCACCGCTGCGCCGAGAATGAAATTTTGCATTGAGTGTTTAGAGCAGTGAAATCGATAACGAATGGTTCTGTAGAAGTATGGTTTCACGAATATCTCGTTTTAAGACGCAAAGCAAAGGATTTCATATATAAATATGCTATGTCGCATTACAATTGGTGTTGTAGTACAACCTTTTTCTCTCTACGCATCTATGGGTGAAGTACCTAGGTAAGTGCTGCTAGCAGTCTCATTCACAGAGAAGACATGCCAAGTATATCGTGTGGCTCGTATAACGCCAGTAGAATGTTCCATTATTAAAATAAACTGATTGACTTCATCTACTATGGTCACTGAGAGAGCAAAGAAAAAAAAGGTAATTGTCTCTATACTTTAGGGCACCAAATGTGAGGCCAGCATAGACAAAGCGTTTTCTGATGAATTATCACTAAGTGTTTTTAATACACCCAATGACAGCTAACTCCATGGCATAGATATCCAAATCAAGTCAGATATTAGTAGCATTTGGAATCAAATCCTAATGCCGTAAAGCTCCCGGGCCTTACGCCCTGTTGCTACTAGAATGTAGAGACTGGAATTGGCAAAGTTCATGATTGTGAGATATAGGCTTACAACAGCGCGCATCATATAAGCCACATACATCAGCACCAATGCTTACAAACCGCTAGTCGAGTCCATTAATGACCAAGGATAATTTCAATATCGAACATATTACTCCATGTATCATAATGGCGTTGGAACATGCAATGAGACAACAGGCTCATGGGATAACAAAGCACGTTGATATGCGCTAGCGGTGAAATGCGGCGAAATATGGTGAAAGCGGCTTTTTCCGCCTGGTGATTACTATCTATTCAGTCTCTGCTTCAGCCTAGCTGCTTAGAAATTAGTAGTCGGCGCGAATTTTGGTAGAATTATTTCGGAACAAAAAACCCCATTCGGCTTATTGACCGACTCTATGTTCCCGTTAGGCAAATGCTCCATCAGACGTTAGAAAGACATTTTCTTTTGACTCTTCGTCTCGTGGCCCCATGATATGATTGAATGCAAAAAACTCTGCACGCAGCATTGGGTGATTAAGTCTGAGACATGTTGAATGATATAGAGTAGATGTTTGCTTCGACATATGAACTCTCTCATATCGCTGCTACCCTAAATTACCTCCGCATTAAGCTATGTAAACTGTTAGCTGTCAAACGGTAAATAAAAACTTGATTTGCTGGACGATTTATCCCACTGTATATGTATATGATAAATTTTTCACTTAACTTCAATCACACCCTTTTTCAGCAAGGACTTTGTTCTAATGAGTTGGCGTGGTGGGCATCCAATGTTTCCAAACCGTGAATCAGGTTGCCGGTAGCGTTAAGCGGCTAATCATGACCAAGTGCCTTATACTTCCTACCAATCGATAGTGCTCCTAGAGTATGTAATTTGTATGACTGTCACCTTACAGTGAAACAAGATGGAAACCGAGTGGTATTTGCAGGATTATAAATAATAGTGCTATACAAGGTACAAAGCATATCGATCATTGAAAGATTAAAAGATTGAAAGACTAGAAACTGGATTGGCCTAATTCCACTATAGATCTAAAAGCGCATTACTGCTTGTCCGCCTCCGCCGCCGCCTTCATTCGCTTAACAGTGTCTTCTGTAGTCCAAATCGCGTTTGCAATGAAACGGAAATTCACCATTGCAGCTTGATAGGCATCTCCCTCATCATTTTGACCAGCGGCAATGGCATCACGTACCATCGCAACCTCGAAGCCGGCCTCGACAATGTCGCGCATATGATTCTCCAGACACAGATTTCCCACAGGGCCTGCCATGATAACCTTCTCAATCCGTCGCATACGCAGCTGCCTAATCAAATCATTTGAAAGACACGATAAGCCTTTATGAGGAGATGTGTTTGCTGTCTTTCCATCCATAAGGTATTTCTTCAGTCGCTCTGGGTAGTCGGCACCTGAGCCATGGAAGCCTTCCAAATCGACGGGGTCTTTCCGACCAACAAAGCCTGCGGGGAGCTTTACGAGGTAGTCTGTAATTGCATTGTTTGGAGCAACCCACTGAAGATCAGATGGATAATAGTAATGAGGCGAGTGAATAACATAATAATCGTTTTCTTTCGCGCACTTCAATAGGTCCTCGATATGATCAAAGACGTTGAGCTCTTTCAACTTGTCCGCAATCATTGGATAATAGCTTCCAGTTTCGACTAAAAATTCATTCTGGATGTCTGTAACAACAAGGGCCGTACGCTTTTTCTCCAGCTGCATTTCTGGATTGTGGTGTGTAAATATGAAAGACATCTTTGCAGTGTGGAGCGGATGCTTTGCCCCAAGGTGGAGTGGTTGTATTGAGGTAGTAAGGACTTGATAGAAACTGGCGAATGTTTGGAATATGTGATTTCAGAGAATTATAAGTAGAGATTTGTTGTATATGCTTAGATTCTGTATATTGAATAGCTTAATTGCATACCAGCGTTGTCATAAAATGGGAGACGAAGCGACACATATACGTATATACGCAGCTATAACCTTGGAGATAGGCTTGTGCCGGGCAAACGTCACTCAGCATTGCAGATTCGCAAGCCAGGTCTACGGAGTACAGAATAGCTTGTAGGTAGCACGTAGTAATCGGCAGATAGTCTCCTACATCTAACTAGCTATCGAGAAGGGCGGAATTTTAGCCATTAATCAGCCACTATTTTCGCCATGCTAGATCAGAAAGGGAGATTAGTTGGTCATCAAATTAGCTCTTCTGTGCACGCCGCTGCCGCTGGGCGTCAAACATTGTTTATTATCAATCCCCTATTGAAGCGAAAATCTGGATTGTCCACTTACATAGTATCGGACTTTCACAATATCGTTGGTCATGCCACTGTCACTAACTTGGAATCAGGAGGCCTACGATTATATAATTCCCTTGACTAATACAGACAACAAGGCTTCTAACCTCAGCCATTTTTAATACAATCTTGAAATTTTCAGCGCAGCGTTCCGAAACGGTAACAACGAAACCCGTACTAACGCTCATTGATCTCGGCACCTGTAGACGATTCAAATGATTGACTTAGCATTTTGTTTACTCTAAGTAAGCGGGCGTTACTATACTGTGAATAATTTAGCGTTTTCACTATTTACGAGCCGGTTCTTCGCTACATGGGTATATAGAACACTGTTAAGATCTGGAGTATACACAAGATGTCTATGGAATTATTCATCATCAATTAGTCACCGGCTGGCGTGATGGTATTTCTCAATCTTCAATTATGATGTCATGCTTGATGGAGGACTGGGGAATAGGTATATAAATGGGCTGGTTATTGGACTTTGACAAAACCGAAGATTAACAGGATAACTTCAAGTTTCAGCATTTACTTCACAATTTCTATTTTCAATCTTTGAATCACAATGGAGCGTACACTAACGGGCCGAAATATTGCCATTATCGGGGCCAGTGGCCAACTTGGCAAGCCAACTCTGAAGGCACTACTCTCCAAAGGTGTTCATACCATAACCGCAATTCAACGCAACGAGTCAACACGCGACTTTCCGTCGGAAGTGGTCGTGAAGAGAGGATCATTTGAGGATGAGTCTTTCCTTGTGGACGCTCTTCAAGGTCAGGACGCTGTCGTCGTAATAGTCCCAATTCCTAATATGGATCTTGGGGACATATTTGTACGCGCAGCTGCCAAGGCTGGGGTGCCATATATCTTACCAACAGAGTTTGGTGTTGATGCCCCAGAAGTTGAGAATGAACATTCTATGATGGCACCAAAAGTAGCGAGGCGCAGGCTGGTCGAAGAGCTCGGAGTGAGCAGCTGGATTGCTGTGATTGTCAACTTTTGGCTGGATGCGAACATCCAGATCGGCCTCTGGGGTATCGACGTTAAAGGCCGAAAGGTGGAAATGTTCAAGAACGCCGACGCCAAAGTTTCGACGACAACTGTCTCTCGTTCTGGAGAGGTAATTGCCGTACTTCTCAGCCTGCCGGAGACAGAGTTAGCCCAGTTCAAAAACAAGTCTTACTACTATTCATCTTTTGAGCTCTCACAGCGAGACATCTTTGAAGCTGTCAAGCGAGCCACAGGAACAAAAGACGCGGATTGGGATATCAGAGAGAGAGATGCTACACAGGTCATTGAAGAAACTGAGCCAAAAATACGAAAAGGTAATGGCTATGCAGAGTGGTATAGACTATTTGTCAAGTTCTTCCAAGGCATCCAAGGTGCAAACTACGAAGATAAGGCTATTGACCTGGAGGAATATGGCCTGCCGAAAGAAAACCTTGATGCGGTCGTCAAGCAAGCAATTGCTGGTTTGTAATTTAACTTTTGGTGTTTCATGGAGTGTAAATAGCCGGCTGCTCCGCTTAGATTTTCATATTTCGAGCTGAATTCAAGAGTCTTATACTATCATAGCCTTCAGTATGTGCTTTTAAGATATAATTGCGCTAGTTGTTGACCATGAGCACAATTCTTTCTAACAACGCATCCACACTAGATTTCTTATGTAATCTTGAAGAATTCTCGAAAGTAAAGTGGTAGGACATTGATTGCATCAGTTGCTGAAAACAGTAGAAACAGGCATAGATGACAGACTGTCGAACCCGTGTTTGATAGAGAAATGGCCCGTACATCATGCTATTCCGATTGTTAATTACCCAATGACTAATCAGTCGTCTGCCATGCAAACTCCAATCGAGCACGATATCGTCATCTCTTTAGCACCACAAGCTGTGTCCAATGTTCTGAGTGACGCCTCTTGGCCTCCTCGGCTCAGGCTAACCCGGGTCCGATTGCCGCACCCCGCAGCATCAACGCGAGCCTAAAAGTTCACTGCAACACCCCGCATTTCAACGCTACGGCCAAGCCAACCAACTGCGTCACCAGATTCTCTGCATTGCTGTCGGTGAGTTCACTTGAAGCCTGGCAACTTGATGCGTGATTTTCAACAGGCTGAAGAACGGCCTGCAGTTGGCAAAGTTCTGGAATGAGTGTATCTCTAAAACAGCCATTTGCTTCTTTGTTCCTGGGGTCGCTTTGTGCTCTATAAAGTTCATGCTGTTCTACTTTGCTGAAACCGTAATGCACGTACCGCATTCTGATACCACCCCAATTATGCCTGTTCGATGCCGATCATCCAGAATATGGTTGCCTGACTGCTAATTGGAAAAGCGGTATGGACAAGGGCACTGGGGTAGATACTTGGTCACAAGGCCCTATGCCAAGTGTTGATGGCATTTTAACTTTGGAGGTTACTTGATGTCATCTGCCACCATGCGATGCCGCTTTTCGGGCTCACCAACATCGCTTGAAGTTGTTATAAGGGCATGCCTTGTATTCGTTGGTTCGCCAAAACACCACATCTTTTCATCTTTGAAGTGCTGCCTACCTCTGAGAGATAAGCCGAAGGCTGTCTATACGGGCCGCCGGGGTACATCATGGGGCTTTCCTCATACATACAGGCTGCTGGTACGACTGGTGTGCTGTTGGCTCAGTTTGCAAAGGCATCATTCAATGTTTTGGATCTTTCAAAGCAGCAGTGGACTCTTACAAGCCCAAATTTCCCCAATATCTCCGTTCCTGGGAAGGTCCCATCACACGCCCACGTCGACCTCTACGCGGCGAACATTATTAGTGATCCGTACGTGGTGGCAGAGGCTTAGAACGCCAGAAAATAGTTTAACTGACCTGACAATCATCGCAGTTTAATCGGACTTAACGATTTCAATCTTCGCTGGGTTGGCTTTAGTAACTGGACATATACCAGTGAAATCAATGGACTGTACGATCAGCATACCGCGACCGATGTGCTGCAGGTACAGCATCTGACCAACCGCAGGCAAAACCCTGAGACCCTGACCAGCTACCTCGTCTTCAACGGGCTTGACACCTACGCTGCCATCGAATTCTGCGGACAACAGATTGCCAACGCTGACAACCAGTTTCGTCAGTGGGTTTTCAACATCTCCGATGTCCTGGCATCCTGTCAAGACCAGCAACCTCAGCTTGCTGTCAGATTTGGCGCTGCACCCAACATCTCGGCAACGATTGCGGCGGAACCCGGACAGGAGACATGGCCAAACGGCATTGATGAGGTCTATGAGATTCCCAACAGACAATTTATCCGGAAGGAGCAATCTGATTTTGGATGGTTCGTTGACTCTTCCATATACCGAGTTGTCAGACAGCTGACGCCATTTGCAGGGACTGGGGCCCAGCCTTTTCTCCTGCGGGCATTTGGCAGCCTGCGTACCTAGTCCAGCTTGATGGGCCGGAATCTGTATATGTTAAAAACTCGGCGTTCGATTTGTACCGACATGGTCAGCTGAACAATTTGCCACCAGATCAGATAGCAGACTGGGTTTTTAATGCGAGCGTCGATGTTGTCGGAAGCATCCCTCCTGAAGCTTATCTCAGATACTCCATTGTGGACTTGGACACACAAAAGCAGGTAAGTAGTGGAAATCTTAGTAACATTGTGAATGGAGGGGACGTCATCACCGGCATTGCGACTCTCGATGCTTCTGAATACGAGCTCTGGTGGCCGAATGGCCTTGGTGCGCAGAAGCTCTATAGCATGAACGTCGAAGTAATCTCAAATGAAAAGGCCATTGCTGCCGTCAGCAAGCGAATGGGCTTCAGGACTATAGTTCTCAACATGGAGCCTATTAGCAACCTACAGCTTTCCCAGGGAATCATTAATGGTAGCAATTGTAAGTCACCATCTGCTATGTTTTCCAAGCGCATCACATATGGCAGTTCAACTAACTTGGAGCGCAGTTCACTTCGAAATCAATGGGCACACTTTCTATGCTAAAGGCAGCAACTTTGTTCCTCCAGACCCTTTCTGGCCGCGTGTCACACCTGAACACATCCATGAGATTCTCTCCGATGTTGTCGATGCTAATCAGAATATGCTACGCGTCTGGTCCAGCGGTGCTTACTCACCTGACTTCATGTACGATCTTGCTGATGAGATGGGAATTTTGCTCTGGTGCGAATTCGAATTCAGCGTTTCTTTGTACCCAGTTGCACCAGCTTTTCTTGAGAATGTCCGCCAGGAGGCTGTCTATCAAGTGCGGCGCGCCAACCATCATCCGTCTTTGGCACTCTGGGCCGGTGGAAATGAAATGGAGAAGGATGAGCTACCTGCTGTGAAATCTCAAGCCCCGGCCCAGTACGAGCGCTACCTGAGCGAGTATCTAGAGCTGTTCCTCAACACGTTGCTGCCTGCCGTCTATGGTAACTCTCGGAGCATCAGCTACATGCCCTGCAGCACTAACAACGGCTACTTGGAACTCAACTTTAGTTTGCCGATCCCCTTTGTTGATCGCCTCTATAATACCACGCCTGGTTACTTGTACGGAGACAGCGACTTTTACGATTATAATGCGGCTGAGGCATGGGATATCAATCATTATGTTGCCGGTCGATTCGCCAACGAATTCGGCTTCCATTCTATGCCCAGTATCGAGACTTGGCGGGAGGCCATTCCGGACGACCAACTGACCTTTAATTCAACCATGACTGTCTTGCGGAACCACCACTACCCACCAGGCAGCCTCACTACCACGAACACGGCTGACCCTCTCAGAGGCATGGGCGAGATGACACTAGGTGTTCAGCTGTGGTATCCGCATCCCATGAAAACCGACCCCGTCGCCAACTTCTCTGCTTGGTGCCATGCTACCCAGATTTTCCAGGCCGATTTTTATCATACCAAGATTCAATATTATCGTGCTGGCTCTGGCATGCCTCATCGACAGCTGGGTTCGTTGTATTGGCAGCTCAACGATATCTGGCAAGCGCCGACATGGTCAAGCAGGGAGTACGACGGCCGCTGGAAGGTCAATTTTTATGCGACAAAAGACATATTCCAACCTGTTATCATTGCCCCAGTCTTCAATGTCACTACAGGTATATTGGATATATACGCGGTTTCCGATTTATGGAGCGATGTCTCGGGTGAGGCCAGCTGGGAATGGATTGGCTATGATGGCAAACCAGTTGGGTCGGCCAACTTATCTGTCGAGCGGCAGAAGTTCACAGTCGGGCCAGTCAACTCAACAATTTTGGCAAGCATGAATATACCTCAGCTCACAGGCAACGGCAGTCTGCCAGCTGCTAATGCCGTCTTGATCGCCAACATTACCGCCACCGGGACGCCTCCCAATACACAGGGCACCAAAACTTACACCCATTCCAATTACTACACTGCTACACCTCTCAGTAAGGCTAAATTGGTCGACCCAGAGTTGTCAATCCGCCAAGAGGAGAATAGCTTCACCGTCACTGCTGAGAAGGGCGTCAGTGCATTTACGTGGATCGCACTGGACCCGAGCGATTCGAGCGCCATCGTCACGTTTGAAGATAATGGTTTCTGGCTTCGGCAGGGCCAAAGTAAAACGGTTGGATATAGTGTTCGTGGATCAAGCCCTGGCTGGGAGGGCCGTGTTACAGTGAGCAGCATCTGGAACAATACCCTACCTTCGTGATAGAACATGTTCTGGCGTCGCTATATTACACGCACCTATAAGCTCCTTGAGAAAATACCTCTCCTGCCACCAAAGATTATCTCGTTACGGATGCAAATGTTAGCTTCTCAAGCATTTTCTTGCGCTGGTAGTAGAACACAGAAACTAGACTTAGTCAAATGCAAAAGTTCTCTCTGGTCAGCCTATTTATCCTCAAACTGAAAATGTGTCTACTATGCTGCACAAGTATTGATCGGATATAATTAGTACCTCCAATGTCATTGCGCCCAGGACTGTCTTAGCATCTGAGTGTTTATTAAGAGCGAGAATTCTGCCGTAGATAGCCTATTTATTAGTGTCATAGCTAAACGATCAAGTTCGACTTTTGCTCGGAACAGACGCCTGGAGAAACCCTTTCGAGACAGCCTCCTGAAAGCCTCTATGCCATATGCTAGCCATTTTTCGATATGCTGCATCATTTGGGTGCGTTCCGTCGACCAGCTCATCAGCGTTAGGCCCATCTGCGCCGTGCATATCTACGAGGACTATCCTTTTGCGCTGTTTGTATTTTTGCGAAGCCAACTCTTGAAACTGCGCATTTGCCTGTAATATTCGCTGCTCGGTCAAGGTATCCGAGTTCAAGAGGAGTGTGGACAAGATAATGGTAGAGCGTGGACATGTGCTCTAAATGTACTCTAGTAACCCGCTGATGCGATTTCCGATTTGCCCAATCTCGACATCCTGTAGACAATCGTTGGAGCCAGCGTTGATGGTTACGAGATTAGGCATTAGCAAAGGTATAGATATACGTGCTCTTCGGTCGATCTGGTCAATCGTGAATCCCCGCCATCCTTCATTCTGGTTATTAGGCATCGTACCAGATTTTCGCGACCCTACCATTTCGACGATATGACCGTCCGAAGTGAGCATGTCATAAAGGGATTTGCGGTAACCATTTTTGTCAGAAGAGCCAACGCCATATGTAATCGAGCCGCCGAGGGGCATTAGACGCAAGGGAGTAGGTGTTGTAACGCAATTACTATCTTGAACGGCAATAGAAAGCAAAATACCATTAGTGCATAGGAGACTTATAACTCGGAGCTTTGGCTATGCGGTGGTGACAGACGTACTTGTGGCAGGGCGATGAGAATCTCCTTCCGATGATGGAGATGATGACTCAGTACTATAGCTTGAATGCACTGCGCCCACGAATATGCGAAAAGGTTGGTAGCTGCCTCCAAGTATTGCGGAGCGAGCGCATAATGTGGGAATCAACATTGTATAGCTTCAAAAACGCGGTGGTAAGACCTGTCGCGTCGAATTTGAGAAGTTATGCCGAGAGATCTACTAAGGAGTTCAAAGAGACCAAGCTTCGGCGAATGCACAGGCCGCAGACAAGAGCAAAATGTACAGCAAGGGCGTCCATAACATTGGCGCAGAGCTAGCAGACAGTTCAGGCTAGACTCTCCCTGAGAACCATCGCTCTAGAGGTGCTCATGTGCAATATAGCGCCAAAGACGCTTCCTGTACAGGTATTTCCTCTGGCCATTTCTTTGGCGAGCCTTTTCATGCCCCATAAGGCTTACAGAGGCAGAAAATTATTTATCACTCTGCTACAAAGAGATGCGTCGTCATCAGAAAGCGGAATGGCGCATCAAGGTAGAAACCTGTATGTAGGTACTGCTTGTCTATATTTTACTGCTTGTCTATATTTGTACCGTACCTTACATATTCATACAGGCGCAAGATAAACATGGCAAGCAACACGGAACAAACAGACTGCGCATAGTTATATTTGATGTCTAAAGCATATGAGAGACATACTTCTCAGACTATTTTTATATATTAGACCTCATAACTCTGAAGTTGTTGAAAGCATTGAGAATAGCTCAGCAAGCTAAAATAGAAGAATGTGATTAAACATTCTGACTAGGCACGCAGAGGCTAGTGCCCTGTAGCCACCCTTTACACCACTGGCTGTGGAAATATTCCTAATCAATTGCCTCTTAGAGAATTGGATCACTCACTATTGCTGTAAAACGCGCCCCCCGCCATCTAAGAAATGTAATGCGGCATTCGTTAAGTCTTTGCTAGCATCTTCACATCTTCACATCCTTACGGTTCGAGTGCGACTGAATTATTAATGCACATTTTTTACTAGCATTTAGGCGGTATACTCTCAAGAGCCACCCAGATATATAGGTAGGCAAAGCCCAACCCAACCCTGCTTTCTTGAAATGATCAAGATCGCACATTCTGCTGAGAATAATTACAAACGATACTCTATCTACTATTCCCGACAATGTCCGCTACAGAGCCCGAGTCTCCCCTTCTAACCTCGCTCGGCCAACTTATTGATGGCCGTCACTCTGTCCGGCGATTCTTACCCCAAAAGATATCTTCTGAAATATTAGAAAAGTCGTTGGCGTTAGCTCAATTAACCGCATCAAACAACAATCTGCAGCCTTGGCGAGCGATAATCCTAACTGGCACACCGTTAGAAATTCTCAAAAAGGCTTTGGCAGATGCATGGCGCGAAGGGTGGCCTAATATTCCCGACACACCTCATGATTATATGCATCACAAAGAGAACTTTGGCGCGGAGCTATATGGGAAGCTTCTGGACATTGGTCGGGATGATCATGAGAAGAGGCAGGCTGCACTGGCAGAGAATTTCCAATTCTATGGAGCTCAAGCAGCAGCAATTGTGTATATGGATAATCGACTTTCCAAGTATGACTTGATAAGTTCTGGGTTCTGGATGCAAAATTTCACACTTGCCCTTCGAGCTCAAGGGGTTGAGGCCTGTTATATGGCCAGTGTTGCGGGATACCCAGAACTCCTACAGCGTGAATTGGGGCTTGAAGGAGATGTTAATTTCTTGAGCGCGATTGCGATAGGTTACGAAGACTTGAGTTACGTGGGTAACAGTCTGAGGATGCGCCGAGATCCGTGGACAAATAATGTCGAGATTCGATGAGGAAGAAGCGCCAATAGATATATCAAGATCAGTAAATTCTTGTCTAAAATCTGAAAGTACTGCGAGTGAATCTTTGTTTGAGCCAAATAGCAGGATAGACAATTTCTTTAATGACACGGCGAGCAAAGTGCAATATTCATAAGTAACTGTATCATCCTCAATACGTTTGCAACCTACACCAGCAGTCATATGTGTAAATTTGAGACGGCGTCTTGTATAAACATGCAGATATTACTGGAGGTTCGCTGCACTCTACTATCATGCCGTTGTATTCTCACCATTGTACAAGTGTATCGTCCACAGTCTTGACTTATCCAATAATGTGAATTGATATTGTACGTATCGTTGCTTAAATCTTACTCTAGTGGCTGTTCTCATTTGTTATCCACTAAAAGTTGCCACACCTGGTGCTCTAGCTTAAGGTGGGAATAGGATTCATAATCTCGACCGTAATGCTACATACGTAAACATGCCATTTCGATTTATTACGTCCTGCGCGAGTACAAGACGTAAACTGCTTCGAAATCAAGAACGCAATGCTTACAATTATTCCGAGCATTGCAACATTATTTGACCTCAGGACATTACATTAAAACAAGCTCTCCCTTCCATCATTAATAATTGGTAGCAACCAAAAGATATGATTTGGAAACAAATGCAATTTGATAAACCACTTAAACAACATACATATATACTCTCATACAAACTCCAACAGCAAAAAAACAAGAAATCAGCCTAGATCTCAAGGATTAACTACAAACATACAAAGATATCGGCTTACTTTCAAAATCTGGACAGTTCAGCTTCTGCAACCGCATTTTATCTTGTCCTATAACGGAACTCCGACATCTATACTGATAACAATAGAATATGCCTGTCACTAAGAATATCGAATTTCAAACTCGTGATGGCCTTACCTTGAGGGGACAACTCACCTTGATGGACAAGCCAAATGCGCCGCTGCTAATCATGCTTTCTCCAGTATGGCTGCATCTGGACCAACTAAAAAGATTGCCGTTACTAACAGCTAAATAGTTTGGCGTGACAAGTGCACACTTGATGAATACGCAATCGAAAGTTTTTAACGATGGTGGATTTGCCACATTAACTTATGATCCGCGAACATTCGGCAAAAGTGATGGACTGCCAAGGCAACACATAAATTTTGAAAAGCAGTCCGAGGATGTTTTCGATGCTGTTACGTACGCCACATCTTTAACGCCAGAAGTGGACGCAACCCGCATCGCTCTCCGTAAGTACCAATGTCTATGATGTCAAGAACAATGGAGATATTTGCGGTCGTGTATAAATGCTTACATACTGAAAGTCGGCGGTGGCCATGGCGGAGGAATTGCAATTCGAGAAGCGGCAGTTGATCCAAGAGTTAAGGCTCTAATTTTGCAGGTTCCAGGCATATCAGGAGCCATGGATGCGCAATTTTATCCTCCTGGATTGCTAGAGCGATCGAGAGCAGCGGTGACCGAGTTTTCAGAGAAATCTACAAGGAAACAGGAATACATACAAATATTCCCTGCTACTGCCGAAGAAGCTACCGCAAATCCGCCAAAAGTGCTGCTGCCAGGGCCCCCGCTGTTTGAGTTCTATAAATTTCTTCAGACAATCACTGACGGGGAAGATATTGATTGGGAAAATAAAGTGACCTTGGAAAGCGCCTACTACAACTTTATTAACGAATTCCAAGCATACTTACCAAGAGTTGCGCCAACTCCTCTCTTATACATAGTTCCTAGTGGGGGTCTCCCTGCTGAGCCCCATGAGGAAGCATACGCGGCAGCCAACGAGCCAAAGGAATTCTACAAGATTGAGCCTTTTGATTTCGCAGGTTACATGTATGGAACCGCAGACAAAACACAGAAGGATGTTGAAGTCAAGTTTTTGCAAAAGTATCTAATGTGATGGGTTTTGCCTTGAAAGGGAAAAGTACCAACATAGAATTACTTAGATAAGAAGACTAGATAAGAAGACTAGATAAGAAGACTAGATACATCTATTCATTACGCTTTCTGCTCTTTGATCAAATTTCTTGTTACAGTTATCTATAATAACGCATCTATCTTCTAATGTAAAATAATTCTAACAAATTTAGCATACAAATCGGTCTAATCAGATGTTCTGTAGCGCACAACATAACATTCTCCTTGTCATTACTGAGGTGCTACTAGAGTGCCACTTGGGGCCGATCTAATAAACTTCCCACATTTATGTCAACATCTGCTTCCAATGTACTCATAAGTGACTTGAAATCGGCGAATAGAGTGTTTGCTCGCCTATGATCAATAAGCGATGAGTTGTACAGCATCGAGACTTCGTATTGATTGCGTTGCCGTTTGACCATCAATATGACAGCCCAGTGGTAGTCAGTATTGAAATTATCCAGATCTGGCCTGGGGACAATCTTAGTGACATCTGAATCACTGGCATCTGTGCCGCACACATCCTTGGATTTGTTCAACTCGGATCTCAAATTGACAAAAGACTGCACCCAAGGCCGCCCGTCAGCGCTGGGGACCACACCAGGAGCAAACCCCTGCTCCCACTTGGTTGTGGTCGTAATGTCATCTTGGACTCGCTGTAGTAGCTCTGTTATAGGCTCCTGCTTGCTCTGTACAGAAATTCGAAATGGTACCGCATTAACCAAGGGCCCCATGACACGCCACACGTCGGCAAACGTATTCGAAGATCTTCCGTGGCGACAGAGGCCAAACGTGATGTCTCGGTGTCCTGATAGTTTTGCCAGGGCCATTGCCCATGCAGCGAGGATGACTTGTGTTGGGTTCCTTGGCGTATCGCCGTTGGGCTGGGGATTGCTAAAGGGAACTGGAAGCATGTCCTTTAAGACATTCTCGACGCTTCCGCTCACCACAGCTTGGTCAAGTGGATGGATATTGGCAACATTTGCGCCACGCAAATAATTTTCCCAAAATTTCATGACCTCTTCCTGCGGTGCAATGAGGTGCTGATGTTTGACAAAAGCGCCAAACCACGGGCGTTCGATATTCTCAGCTCCTGCATATTTGAACGGAGATTGCAGGATTTGCGATATTTCTTTGTCGATGAGGAAACGCGTGAAAGCATCGCAATGAGTGTGATATAAAGAGATTGCGAAAAAGTTACGGCCTTGGTGGGCTGCATCTCCAAGCACAAGAGCATATCGCGCGGCTGGAGCGCCCAGCTGAAGTTTCTGAGCAGTAGTGCTGTCAAGGAGAGATCGAAGGCTGGAAGGATAAGACCAATGTGACGCCGTTTCTTTAAGCAAAGCCAATGCAAACTTATTTTCGCCTGGACTGATGATGGTTGTACGGAAAATTGGATTCTTCATTTCCAGCAAGTGTGTAAATTGCTTCAAGCCTTGTTTCAGATTGGGCCCTTCAACTTCGTAGATGTAGTTTATACATCCTGTGCCGCCATTTTGTTGATGATGTAAAAAGAACTCTACAAGACACGGTGTTAGAGCCTTTTTTGACTATTATCCAATAATGACTCTGTATGATCATATCCTTGAGCGTGTATATCGTTCGATGGACGTACCTTGAATAGAGCTCACTGGCGCAACTTGCGTAACATCATCTTCTGCGACCCCAACTCGTTCCAGGGCTGAGGCAAGTTGGCCAGAGCTTATGCCAACCATGCTATCAGCAGCGATGCTGTCCATCGTTTCGATCGGCTCGATACGTGTACTTTTCTTCGCAGTCTCGCCATTTACGCTTTGCTGATACGCACTTATAGTGTCCCATATATTTTTAAATGTTGCATCTGATTCGTTCCAAACAATGGTTAGCATTCTCTGAGTGAAGCAATTCGTCTGTATTTAACACTGTCTTACTGTTAAGAAAAGTGGCCAAGTCGATTGTGTCGATGAAAGACGCGATTTCGCCTAAAAACTGAATAGCTTTGATCTGGGTCAAATTAGCAGCTGAATTTTATTTATTAGAGAAAGTTTCAGCTTACTGAATTACCTCCCACTTAATGTAGCCAGTTGTTAGCATTTAATCGAAGCTTTTAGGTTGGTAGGAGGCGGCTGGCTACCTCTAGCAGTACATACAGGTCATGAAATTATCGCTATCCGTAAATTTGTCATTTTCAATGCCGAGGACATCTGCCCATATCTGGCGCAAACTTTCGAGGGATGCCATCTCGATTTTACTGCTCTCTTGCAAATTGGCGAAGTTTAGTATCTCAAGATCTTTGCCGCTAGCAGAATACCTTACTCAAAGATTGTGGTTATACTCTTGCGTAGCTTTTATATAAAGGAATAATGGATGATTTATCGCCACTAAGATAACAGAAGAAGCTTCAAAATGAAGGTTATTGATTAGGCAAAGAAAAAGGAGTAGATTTAGCATTCACAGAACTAGCAAGGGGTGAGTAGCCGCACGCCAAGGGTTGCGACGTCAAGGTGCTGCGCCTGCGTCAGATATCTCGCTATGTCATGACCGATCTTACAAGGGATGGTAAAATTACATGTAATTCAGCTGTAGATGCTAGCGTAAGATGTGCTATATTCCAGTAAAGCAACCTAACCCTGCGTTGGTACGGAACAAGTTCGCCGATGGTGCCTCTATATTTTCTAACAAAGATTACGAAAGACGTTATACATGAAACAACTGCGCCAGGTAATTAGGTCACTAGCTATGCCGAGGCGGCTGGTAATTACATTGTACTGATATGGATAGACAGCCCGGATGAATCGGTCGGTTGAAAACCCTAGCAGGGCTCTCGATCCTTTTCCAGGGACATGGTAGATGTCAGATTTTGTTGCAACATAGGTGGGTATAGTTAGGATGTCTCCGCAAAAGTCCTTGTTAACTTGGATACACAAGGACTTTATCAATACAGCTATCTTATATCAGCCGCGAAGGAAGACTCCCTGTTTAAAAGATCCTTGTATATTCGCAACACCGCCACTATAACTATAACACTGGCTAAGCACTAGCATTTCGGCGTGTTAATGGAGTCTGCGCATATGTCATGAGCGTAAGTTGATATATACGACACTCATACAAAAGATCCCCTAAAAGACTGAAACAACAAGCAAAAGGGTTTTACCCCTTGTGCTGAACTACTAATCTCATATCAAGGCTTTTGGTAACAATTACTCAGGAGGTGCTTACCGTTAAAATTCCTTGCTGCTCGACTAGTAGACGAACGCCAAGCCTCGGGTACAACATAGCTATTCCCAATTTGAATGCTTTTCATGTAACGATTAAGAGTCTAGAAGCTTCTTTCCTAGAACCTGATTGTAGAACAGTAGCGCTGGTTATAATTCCTTGATACTCTTTTAATATTGAAGTATTACTTCATTCCAAAATGTAACATCCACCTGACTCTTACAAACTATCTCGAGAACTTATTGGTCACGCTCATGAAAGACGTATCCTTGAATGCACAGGGGTAATATTGAATTTAAATTAGAAACGCTCAAATAATGCTTAGCGGCCCGTGTAATCACTATATGACCTTTTATAGCTGGATTGTCAGCATTCGCCCGCGTCGATCTTTGTTCCACCAATGATCCCGTCTAAAGTCATTGTGCCATACAAGTTATAGCTTATTTGTCTACAGCATGTAGGAAAGTCTTTTTTGGACATGAAATTTAGAGCAGCCCTTTGGCAAACTGTTGGGATAGTTGAGTTCTCATCGGCTTCCCCGTTGGGTTATATGGGATAATGTCAACGAATACAATCTGCACCGTTTATGAATGAGTTCCAGTTCTGCATTATGGTATAATAGGATATGGTTTCGTGGAAATTTACCTCTCGAGGAACTTTGAATTGTGTTAAATGTTGACCAATGTGGTGCTTTAATTCCGACGCAACCAGCGGACTTCCCGCCTTGTGTGACATCAAAGATACGGCAAGTCCTTGTAGAAGAAAATACTTGTTAGCGCCAGATAACGGGAATCGACAGTATCTCGATATTTGCTCACCAATCTCATCGCCGTACATATTGTCAGCAATCCGAAAGCACGCGGCCCCTGAAACCAGCTCGTGAGACAAAGCTACGTGCTCAATCTCGGCAGGACCAATTTTCTCTCCGCCTTTATTGATGACCTCTTTCTTTCTCCCCACCAACTTTAGGTAGCCGCCGGGCTCAATGTTGCCAAGATCGCCGGTGCGAAAGTATCCGTTGGGAAGAAAAGCCTCACCATTGGCCTGAGGGTTTTCCACATATCCTTCCATAACATTTTGACCAAGCACACAAACCTCCCCTACAATACCAGGGGCTTTAGTTAGTGTATTAATCAAGGCATCCTCACCGTCGCTCCCTTGTCCCAGTGCAGTAGATGGCAGAATCATCACATCTACGGCATCAGGAATGGGAAAATGGCTTCTGCGTCTCATATTGCCCTCTTTCCAACGGTTGCAGAATATTGCGGGAGCCGTCTCAGTCATGCCGTAAACTTCCAGCAAAGGCGGGCCCAACGCGACCAAGCGCTCATATAAATCCGGAGAGATCTCGCTACCTCCACTTCTGATAAACCTCAGGTGTGGGGAGACACGGCCGCCAGGTCGCGAGAAGTTTAGGAGCAGTTGATGAAGAGTCGGTACGGCATGAAACCATGTGATGCCGTAATCAGCACATCGCTGCCAGAAAGCGCCCGGGAGCGAATATGGAATAACGGCGCAGCCTCCCGAGAACAGCGTAGCAAGTAAGGAGCCACAGAGACCAATGATATGATACAGCGGCGTAATTATCATGGTTCTATCACTGGACGAGAGCTGATGGTTGGCAATAATAATGCGCATAGCAGTGAGAAGATTAGTGTGACTGAGGAGGACCAACTTGGGTGCACCTGTGGTCCCGCTTGTCGAGAGCATGACAACTTTGTCTTCAGGCAGCACCTCATCTCTCGAGAAGATTGCGGCCCCAGTATCAACAGCGACAGGTGCGCAGTGGTTATTGGTGATTTCATGAGGCCTCAGGGCGAGCTCCAGAACCTGCCCATCTCCGTCTTGTAGCACACTCTTTTTGTAGCACAATGCTACGTGCAATCCCAACTGCTGTGCTGCTAGGAAAGCTGGATCGGTCATATATGAGCTATCACCTGGACCCCGAGCTTCCGGTAGCATCACCACCAAATCGAGTTTCATCTGGGAGAAGATATCCCGGAACTCGCTTTGCGTGTACTGTGGGTTCAGTGGGGCCGCAATACCACGCTGGCGTATGATTGCAAGAAGTATAACTGCAAATTCTAATCCGTTCGGCAATACAAGTGCAATTCTGCTGTCTTTTGTAATGCCAATACGAGCAAGATCGCGCTGCAGAGAACGTGTCATAATCGCCAACTGGGCATATGAGATTGCATCTTTGATCGATGTAGATCCAGCAGAAGGGGAGATAATCGCGGGTGAGCCGTTGCGTTCATAGTCGCTTGGAAAGACCAGGGTGTTTGTACAAGATGCCATTGCGTACTGGAGATTGCGGATAAAGTGTTATCTGTGTTTATTAAGTCAACTTGATTTCTTCATAGAAACCCTAAGCATTTATAAAAAAGAGTCTGCTCCTTTTCCATAACGATGTTCAGCGTAGCACTGGGCGTGTCTCTAACTACAAATCTATTCTATCTTGGCAGGCATGACAATATTAAGGGGGAGCTTAGCGTATCCGCTTCTGTAGAGAGTAAGATTTATACATTTCTAGTACACGTACAATCTAAACGAAACATGAAAACTTGATCAAATTTTCATTACGAGGCTTATTTATCTTGGCAGTGGCTATACATATCTCTTTGGCCGTTGTCTAGATGAGACATTCATCACCACTTTTCAGCTGACTAGGGTGCCTATTTGTCAACAGATGCTAGCAATTGACTTCCATCTTCAAATTTAGATTATTTCGTGATACGGAGCTACAAGCAGATGTCTAGGGCATATCCATGTATTATATATTTATGACAAGTAGCCACTTTACTCGAGAGCGTTTTTACATTACCAAGTTGCCTGAATATACTGTCGCGTTTCATTATTTTTTCCTTGGAGACTGTCAGTAGCTTCTTTATAGCCAACACCACCAAACGGTTCGCCCATGTGCAAAGTCTACCTCCCTTAGCTGTGTTTACGGTTGACGTTTCTGGGCGCCCTCAATAATTCTTTAGTAAACTGTAAGTTCATACATGTTTCCGATCCAAGGAGGAAGAAACAGTCACCCAACTTCAGCTACCACAAAGAATATGTCAAATCCAACCTTATTTTTTATTTTCGCCACCAATTCTGCTCTATTTATATTCTGTAGTAGGCTGCTTCTGACCTTGTGACCATTATTCTATGCAGTCTGCAACAATCCTTACCTCATACCTCTACCAATATCGAATAGTCTGATTGCCGTATTGGCGTTAGTTCAGTGGTACGGTAGCGACAGGCGCGGTGTTACTGGAAAACCTAACAAAACTTGTGAGGTGGTTGTTTACCTAAATGCCAATAATGACGTAAAAGATCTCTTCAAAGTATAATTATCGGTGGTTTCTCTTCAATTGCTTGTTTGCCGTTGACTATTACGATTGTCAATTGTTAGTGCGTCTAATCATCGTTGAAGCTATTCACAGTACAGCCTTTTCTCTGGTACTAAATATGCTCTTACACAGGTCTAAGTAGATAAGCTGTTTTGTTCCTCAAGATGATACTAGAAGCCTTGAAAAACTCGCACTAGCAGTGGTCAAAATTCCAATAGCCCAAACGAATACTTCGTGGCGGCCGTACGCTTCTCTCCTATATTTTTATAGCACATGCACTGTTGGCATTCGTATTCCGGACTCCGAATTACAAGCCCCTTATGTTCACGTATTGTTTACCTTCGAGATGAGATATTACTAAGGTATTTGTAAGTCGTAGGAAAGTCTTTGTCAGTGAAGATAAAAGATTTGTAAGTCGAGGTATACACCACCCAATGTGAGAGACATGCTGCTGAATATGGAACTAGATGTGGCGCATAACGTTGCCACCATCAGAAAACATATGCTGAGGACTGTTGGATGAGCCCTTAATACACCCGCCATCTGTTCTTGTCTAGTAAGATATCATGAAATCATGTTTTTCTAGCTTTTTCAGCGCAATTTCTGCTTAAATCGCCTGTGAGTACTTTTCTTATCCGTAGGTAAACTCTGAGATCGAGTGTGCGGGCGCTCTTGCTTGTCATCTTCAACCAATATATTGGTTATAAGCGGGGTATTGGCGGGGATGAGGGGTCTTGTCTGGAATCAAATACTCACGGATTTCCATACTTGGTTCATGGTCCTCGATGACTGGCATACGGCCCATATGATATCGAAAAAAGTTCCAGGAATTGTTACCAAATCGGTTCAACACGACAGATGAAGGACGGTTCAGGGAGTTTTATGACGCATTCTTGTACTTAATCGCCCTAGATTGTGTCGAGAACGACAGGGGAGTAGATACTAGGATACCTAGATCATGCGGTCGGTAGCAGTGAATGGATATTCAAAGATAGTGTATAGATAGAAAAGGTATAAAAGGCAGATGATGTTTCCATTCCAAAAATGAATAAATCAACAGACTACAGTCCAATACAGCATTCATACAAAGCCTCGCCAACATGCGTGTTATTACATTTATTTCTATTGTCTTCCTAGGCAGTGCTGTCACAGCTCTGCCACTCACCACAAGTATGCCTTTGCGACCCATTATCTACGGTTATCCTGCTGATATATGTCATGTAGCGGAAGCAGATGCAGCCATCGTTAAACGCCAATGCGGGCCACCACCGTTGGGCTCGCACTTTGATGAACGCTGCATTCCGGTCGCAAATCCTTGAAGACAAGCATCTAGGAAACGCTTAGGAGTGAAGGCTATGCTTGAGTTTGGGAAATCTCAAATGGCGATAAAACTTGAGATATACGAGTTACGAGCGAGTAAATAAATATTATAAGTCAATCTCACGAGACCCAAAATGCGTTTGTAAGGTTCGCTCTTCTCTTGCCGCATTGCTTTCACAAGAGATCCAGTATACGGTGAAGTCACTTCATTATATATATATATATATATGCCATTGATCACTAAGTCCCAAGGTGTATAGCGTATACACAACGAGCAAAAGAACGATTAAACTTGTACCTATGCCAAGTGACTCTTCATGGAGTGCAGCACACGTCCAGGTGTAGCGTGATGATGACGGAACGTATTTGGTCTGTCCGCTAGCTACTTTGGGCCATTGTTGTTCCATGTAGCTCGAGTCAACGTGCCTTTGAAAAGGGCAAATTAGTATATACAATTCGGCTTAGATGGCTATCGTATAAGATTAACTTTCATCGTGCCAGCTACAATAATACTACTATATGTGACAGACGTCAACGAGAGATCTAGGAGAACGTTACCCAGAGAGTCCGCGGAGCTAGCTTCTATTGACTTTTATATTCTTCGGGAAAAAAAGTAACAAAGGACATCGAGCAAGGTTTGAAGCTTACCTAGTATGCGATGGCGCTGTGAGACCATATCCTAAGACCACCTTCGAGTCATAATAAAGCTGTTTTTCGCCGCTTACGCACTGTTATTTATGCCGATATTGATTGATACGCAATATCGCAAACCAGAACCAAAGCTGTTAGATGCTAGCGAGACATTTTTAATGGCGATTAGTGTTCACAGAGAAATCGAAGTTTCAAGTCGCTGATGGATATCCTGGTCGAGTGGTAAAGTGGAAATGGTCGAACACTTTTAGCCCAGCACTGTTATAAGCAGTAAGCTGGTTGTTAGAGTACATGTACGTAAACTATAAAGTATAGCTTCCAGCAAGAATCATTGCACTTAAAATGATAATGCCAGTCATTATAATCTGCTAGATCCATCTTATGAAAATGTACAAGTATTGTATTCACTGAGAAATAAAGCCTTGCGCGAGAGATGAATCTAGTTGGTGACAATACCATAACTTGTACTCATCTTACGAAGGTCGATTTTTTAATAAGGCATCCACCGAACAATGGCTTTTAGCGCTTGCAAAAAGCCACCCTCTCACCTTTCAAAAGTAGGAAATTATATTAGCTATCTGAATAGCTTTCGTGGGAAGTCGTGGGCACAATTGTTTGGCTGCGCGTTCGGGGGCTTTGGACCTGTACTGTATTGAATCAGCGCTAAGCTTCTCAATGTGAGCGCTATAACGCTGTATAAGCGCTATAATTTAAGATTTAACGATCCATTCCATGTAAGAGGGCTTGAACACTTGATTGGGCAAAGGAAGGATATATGTATATTCTACAGAATCGCTGCTTATGGTGTCCAGATTAACATTTCGTCAAATATATATATATATGTTTTTTTCAAACATATATATCTATTCTTACATCATCTATAAAGCTTTTACGTCTTAAATATTTATCCATGACTTACGGTTAATCAGCTTAACCAACGTGATACAACGTTCCATGAAAAAGCCAACGCCATGGATTCGGTAACGCCACATCCGCCTCCTCCCGACATTATCAAAGGTAGCCTCGCTTCGGGTGAAGGAATCCTGTGTCTTGGCCTCCCCAGAAGCGGCACTTTATCTATTGTCACTGCACTTCGGCAGCTGGGCTTCACATATGCCCATCACGGCGCGGAACAAGTTTTCAACTCTGCAAACTGGGCAGCCTCTATACGTGCCTCACAGGCTTGCTTTCCTGTATGGCAAGGGGCTAGCAAACGTGAATCTCCGCCTTTTACCAAAGCCGACTGGGACGCATTTTTAGGACATTACCAAGTCGTCAGTGATTTTGCTGGCTTCTACGGAGAACATATATCAAGAGTGTACCCAGGGGCTAAGGTTATTCTTGTTCAGCGCCCATTTGACTCTTGGTATCCTTCTTTCGACGCGGCGATTCTGCAGGCGCTCTTTCAGCCAGTTCGTGCGTTTCTTTTTCAGCGAATCATCGCGCCTATCACAGGAATCACTGCTTTCGCGGCGCATCCTTATATCGTGTTTGGAAGCTTTAATGCGCGCAATGTACGGGAGACGAGAAACAACGCTCGAGCGGTATACGAAGAACACTACACCACCATAAGAAAGATTGTTCCGCCGGAGAATTTACTCGAGTTTAATCTTGAAGATGGTTGGGCTCCCCTGTGCGCCTTTCTTGATAAAGAGGTTCCCGACATTCCATTTCCATACGTAAATGATCGAAACGTTATTTTGGATATGGTCAACACGCTGTGTTTTAAGCTTACTATCAAATCTGTATGGATTGTCCTAAAGCGCCTATCTCCCGTCCTAGGTATAATTCTTGGGTACTGGCTCGCACGCCAAGATATAACAGCGTTCAAAACAGTTCTCTTAATTAAGGACAGCTTACCTTATTTTTAGAAGCAATGATGAGAATTGGAATTTAACTCTCTTCTATGTATGATTCTGAATTATCTCTAAACATTGATTCATGATGCATATGCCCGGCGGGTTGGCTAGTTAGCAGGGCCAACTAAGTCCCCCGTCTCTAATAGAGAGGCGGGGCTAATGCATTCACCTTCTCAGCCTGCCGAGTAATGATCATAGATTTACGGACACTTGTCTCGGGCTCTTCAAAAATTTTAACAAAATTAATTTGCTCATTGCGGCATGTGCTTCAGCTATTTGCGTAGAATAAGTAAAGGATTGAGGATTCTCATGCTATATCGTCTGTTTTTGGGAATATCAGTGAAAGGTCTTATAGCTCGCTGTTCGGTGCCCTCTAATATGCGCCTTTGCAGTTACATGTCTATGCTTGGCCTTTCTTAGACACTACCTCAGCTCCATAAATGCCGCACTCGTGTTGACCCAGTATAAAAACACGGCTGGAAATGGCTGCTGGTTCAAGACCAGCGTCAACTTGCTCAGCGGCAGGTTGGAACGTATCATCGAGATGGTTAACTGCAGAGGCTAAGGCTGGAGCCGAAACAGTGACCCTTTACAGTCGGTATCAGTCTTCCGTCCGCAAGCTCGATGGTACAGGCGGGGAAACCAGGCGGATAGGAGCGCTAGAAAGGAAATCATTTTCGGAAGCATCTAATTATATCAGGGCTGAATGAAAGCCACGAAATGTTTTGATACACATGGCATTCCTTTAATTTTGAGGTCTACTGATGAACATACTCCCCTAAAAGAAAGACAAAGTGTTCAGCTTACTATATTCTAATATATTGGTTCCAGTTTTATTTTCCTAGTGAAATTGATGTACACGCTGGCAACATGGAGTGGTCTTATATCATCGTTGACTTTCTTCGAAAATATCACTTTGAAGCGTAGTTGTAATAGGCAATGCGTTTCATAAACAATCTAAGCTATTTGGCGTCTATCCTGGTAAATTTAATAATGTAGTCCGCTAATATCACAATAAGCTTTTCCCCAGTCAAATGAACAATTCTTGTAGTCACCGCTGATTGAACAGAGAAGCTATATTGTAGGAGAAGGAGAAGCAGGAATGCGGTTAATGAAATGTCAGTTTGGGAAGCTTAAAAGGGCCTCTTGTTCCGGGAAAGTATTCTGCTTGCTACTTTACCCTCTAAGCATGTTCACCACAATATCAAGTTGTATAGAAGAAGTCTATCATCATGGTTAGCTGAATGGTGTGTAAAGGGCATGCGATGCGTACCTGGATGAAGATCCCCGACCTCTTCTAAGCTTTGTTGCCGTGTGTCAGAGCTGTCCGCCGAAGCCTGTGCTTCTTTTTTCTTGCTGTTCAAATGCCCAAGGTACCAGCGAAGAATTAAAGAAATCAAGACCACTGCTACTGACATTCCCAGCGAAGCAGCGTTGCCTTTTTTATCTAGAGAGCGTGTCAGATATCTGAGCTAAATTAACTGTCAATCAATTTGCTGCTTACAGTAGGGTGGATCGTTGTAGAGCTGATTGCCTGCGATTGAAAAGGCTTGTGCGCACATATTAAACAGAGCCAAAGCAGCACCTCTATAATTGTCAAGTTAGATGATTTGTTTCCTCAACGTAGCAGTCGATCGAACAAATCTTACCTCCTAGTATAGCCGACAAAGTTCATAGCTGCCCAAGATATAACCAAGACAACTTTTGGATACATGCAAAAAGCTATTATGCAGGTCGCAGCAAACCTGGCATCGCGATTTTCGAGCCCTATTAGCATTGCATAGCCCGCAATGCCCCCAATTGTGGATAGGGCAACGGTCAACCCGCGAGCATTTGTTTTGTCTGCAATTCTAGAGAATAGTAGTATGCCTAAACAGGCACATCCATAGACAATGACAGTAAATAACTGAGCTCCGATTGAGCTGTATCCGAAACCCTACCGATCGTCAGTTTTCTGGAATACTTTCTGGCTTCAAAAGGTCGGTGAGAGCTTACACGGATGAGTGCCGGTAGGAAGTTAGATAGAGAAGATATTGTGAAAAGTGCTGTGCAGTATAAGATCGTGAAGAGCCAGAAATGAATGCTCAAGAGCAGTTCCAGTATTTTCTTCGGTTGTACGCGGACTTCAGATGAGTTGTGTGACCGCTTACTTCTCTTTACCAGTTCATCTTTCTCTGCTTCAGAGAAGCCGTAGCGGACTTCTGAGGGTGAGGCTGGGAGGAAGGCCAAAACAATGAAGGCAAATCCAATGGGTAAGACACCTTCGATCAAAAAGATCCACTTCCAAGCTCTCCAACCGTTTACGCCATCCAAGTTTTTGCTAATCCCGTATGATAGCAGCCCATTGAAGGCACCGGCGAGAGTTGACGTCGAGAAGAAAATGGCAGCTCGAGTCGCGAGCTCGTGATATTCATACCAAAAAGAAAGATCTGTAAGGCAGATATGTGTTAATAATTTTTCTTTGAATTCGCAAAAGATTGGTACTCGGTGGGAGACACGTACAGAATGCGCCGCCTTGAACGAAGGCCTCGGCGGCACCAATGAGAAATCGCATGGCTATCAATTGACCACTGGACTTAACCAGTATTGTGAGCACTGTAAGAACACCCCACTGCACATAATGAATGGAACGGTTAGGCAGAGCTCTTTCTGAGGCTTTGGAAAGGTGTCACATTACTGTTAACATGGCACCAAAAAATTGCACCGGCGCGCGGATTTTTTTAATGAGCAATGTTCCTGGCAGTTGAAATAAGACGTAAGAAACTAAGAACATGGAGGAAGCATTGGCATAATCTTTTGGCGAGAGATGCAGCTCGTCTTCGAGGCCAGCAATTTGAGCATTCGCCAAATCGGAGCGATCCTAGTAACATATAATAAGCCTTTGAAACACACACTGCAGTATTGTTGAGAATTCTCATCTACCATTGAACCAAAGAAATAGACGCTCGAAATTAGTGGAAGAACAAACAAGTCAAGCTTCAATTTGAGCTTCTTTCGTTCCTTCTCGTTAATTGTTGAGTCAATTGGTCCCTCGATATGCGAAATCAGTGTCTCGTCTTTAGCCTCCGTACGAGAATCCTCTGGCGTGTTATTAGACATAGTCACTATTGTTTAATTGCTTCAAATTATGATAGATTTTGAGGTGAATGAGTAGTTATTGATTGAATGGTGGTGGAAGTGATTAATTTTGACATTTGTCGTCTTTGCTAGCTACTATTTGTATTATTTACCAAAGACTCGACAACTGTACAGAATTCTATTGTATACAGATCTATAATCGGAGATATAATTGAGATCAGCGATGTCAAAGTGAAGCGAAACTCGGTATAGCAGGCGAAAGAAATCCGATTGGATTGGCTTGCGCTGCTGGAGTGGCTTGGTCTCTTCCTCGCCAACCTTATTGCACACCTTCTTTTCAGCCGAGGACTTTAGGGGGGTTCGGATCCTACCTGACAGCATACGCGGCCCTTGCTCAGCCTCTACTATGCCATATGCATCCTAAGGCGAGCATCCGTTATACTAGTCTTGAGCAGTAGTAATAATGTTTGTTTTGAGAAGATGTATTCGATCACTCATGTGGTTAGATGAATCTCAGAATATGTTCTGGCTGCGTGTGGTCTTTACTCTAGACTTTGGTCAACCTTTTCTCAAGGGTAATCTCGATTCCAACTTCTTAGAATCATCAATTTCCATAAGTATACCTTCATCAATAAGCCATTCGCATAGAGTCTTCTTCACTCGAACTAAGAATAGTATAATCACATGCAACACGAACTTGTAGCGAGTTTCGCTTCCAATGTTATCACAGCCTCAGGAATAGGAAAGCGAGTTTCGCTTCTCACATATAAATTATGACTGCTGTTTAAAGAGATGAATCCGCTGATCATCATTACTCAAACTGGCAAACCAGGTTGTTATTGGATTATTTTACTGGCATAAGTCGTACTCAACATGGAGAAACTTCTCAGCACTGCCCAAATACCTCCAGAGTTTTGGAAACCCACATACATGACAGGGAAAATTCCTCGAAAAGCTCTTATATCGGAACCTCGAGTGTCTTACAGCCTTTATATTCCGCCAGAGCATTACAAAGGTACCTTGCGCGGTCAAGCAAACGGCGCGTCACAAGCCTCATCGCCCAAGCTCCCCTTACTAGTCTTTATTCATGGCACTCTGCGTGATGATTCTTATGCCGAACGAGGTCTTATCCCATTCGCTGAGTCCACGCCTTGTGCCATTATGGCACCGCTCTTCCCTGCCGGACTCGATAGCCCTACCGACTTAGACTCATACAAATTACTTCGATCTCCGACGCTGCGATCCGATCTAGCCTTTTTGGATATGCTAAACGAGGTAGCCCATCGCTGGCCTGGAATAGACACATCAAAGATTTTCTTAATGGGTTATTCAGGCGGTGCTCAGTTTGCACATCGGTTCCTCTACCTCTACCCTGAAAGGCTAGCAGCCGTGAGTATTGGAGCGCCGGGAACCGTGACCATGCTGGACCATTCAGCTTCCTGGCCGACGGGCATAGCAGACGCGGAAGAGCTTTTCGGGATACGTGTCGACAAGAATTTGATCAAACAAGTTAAAATCCAACTTGTTGTAGGCGATGCTGATGTTGAAGTCCATGGAGGGGCTGAATTTTGGACGTGGCTACAAAAGTTCAAGGCTGCAGCAGGCACTGACTTATTAAGCAGCGCACAGCCAGAGGCGGCTTTGAACAAATTCCCAAATAAAGATATTGTTCAAAATAGGCTGGGAACTTTGAAGAAATTGCAAGCATTATGGAGGGAAGACGGCATAGATGCGCAGCTGGACATTGTGGAAGGGGCGAAGCATGAGAGCCTGAAATGTCAACCCTATTCTCTAAACTTCTTGCAGTTGCTGATTAGAGAACGATAATGCTACTAGAGCATGAATTAACGTCCTTGTGTATGTCGAGTTTATAGTGGCGCTGCATATGGCCCTGTTTTTATTAATTAATATTTCTCGTACTGTTATCCTCCCTACTTAGCCGCTAAGTAGTGCTATATCCATTGCTCGTCAAAGTAATTATTTGAAGGTGAGGCTAGAAACGCAAAAAGGTCGTCATATGTATTCGGAAGCCAGTCATTCCAATCGGATGATAGAGTGTCGGGTCGGGGAAGCCTTGGCTGGCCTTCTGTGTCATCTAAATTTGCTGTTAACGGAACGGCTTTGAATCAGACTGTAGAAACTTACCAGCAATCGCGGGAGTGGCAGCTGTGCGCTCACGTATTTTCCTCGCAATTCTTAGGCTATCGTCAACTACGGTAGCACTTGGATCTCCGCTATCGTTCGTAAAGTATTCTGACGAGACCTTGTCCTCTGCATGCCGAGATAACAGTCGGATCATCCTTGCAGTTCGAAAGGGCTCGTCTAATTCTTCTTTTGACCAGGCCAAAAAGGTCTCGTACACTTCTTTTATCTTGTTGCGGGCCAAGGTTCGCTCATGAGGCTGAATATCACGGCCAACAGCGAGAAATTTCGCCAAATACATCCCAGCGATGCATAAAACTCGAAAAAAGTGTTTTGGGTAATGTGCTGTTTCAGCTTCGCGCTTTTGGAGCTCATGGGGTAGTAGTTCATCTGTTGGAGGCTGTGGAAAGCATGAACGTAAAGATGTATAAATGGTTGTAAGCTGTATGGCCGCATGAAAGCCTCTGTACCAAGTTGCCCACTCTTGTGTATTTGTTGTTTTCCCTAAGTCTTTTGAACTGGATGTCAATGAAGGGATGGAACACAGGCGCAGCCTTGCGGCTAAAAAGTCGATATGATATCGCTGGGAAACACGGGTTTTGATATCGGCTCCTAGCAGATCTAAATCGCGTTCAAGAAGGCCCAACAGAGACAACTGCACCTGGCTCGAAGAATGAATGCCATGAAGAGTCGTGAAGACTCTCATAGAATGCTGCTGTAGCTCACATCGCGCCCAAAACTCGTCAGAAAAATGCGACTGTAAATGTGATTTGACAATTGGGAGCCGCCCAGCGACGAGACTCATTGGTGGTGGAAAGCCATGATCCGTTGCAACCCTAAACAGCTGACATGTCAGCAGGTAGTCCCAATTCATGCTGCAGTGAAGGGGAATTGATGGGCAAGTCATACTCGGTACTGACGACGAAACAGCCCAACCAAGATTTCAGGTAAGCTATTGAATGAGCGGGTCTACTGTCTTCGACATGAGCAGGTTCATGGATGCCAATTTGCTGCACAGCTGAGACGGCAAGGCTGCAGTAATTCCAACTTGGGTCATCGTTCTGACTTGCGACGGGCATCGGCCAGGTGCATAGCAGTAACAGTGTTTGAACTGTATACGGGCAGCGGATTGCCCTAACTACATGTTCGGATAGTAATTTGTGGAAAGCGGATCGCAGCTTTGAAAATTGTTGATTGTAAAGAGGATGATTCCGCGCCGATACTAACAAAAGTGCCCAGAAAAGGATTTCGCTAGTTTGATGAATAGATTCTGCGGAACTTTCAATGTCTATAAATGGAACATGATCAAAATAATGTCGATGAAAGCTGTACTGAGTTAGCGGAAATGTCTTTCTTATTGTGACATGTAAACTTGCTGCTCCAGAAGCTCATTAACGTTATGAGAGCCAAGTTTCACACCGCCAAGCTCATATGTCAAAGGCGTGGTAGCGGGCATGCGATTGTCGGTAGGCAATGGAGTATGATGTATTGTATTTTTGGCGCTATCTGTCTCCAGGCCTGGGAACGCAATCGTTGAGCCAGCACCAACAGTCGCAGAAGAACTCTTGTATGAATGGACGAGCCTCTCAAGCTCCTCTTTTTCTTCGATCGCCTTTTCTAAAGCACTAAGGCGGTAAAAAGGATGGAGTGGTTATTATAAAAGGTCTATACGTAAAGAGAATGAGACTACCATTGCTTACCCTCTAACGATTTGTCTCTTGAATCTTGGATCAAAAATGCATGCTTTAGCTTGCTTCTCACATCTAGAACAAGGAGCTGGAAATCGTTGTTGCGCATCACATCGTAGCTTAATCAAGCAGTTAGTCACAAATAATTGTGGTTCCCCGATATATTACAGTCGCACCTGGAGAGGCATACCTTAACCTGCCGGCACGTTGTGCACGCCATAGAAGTACGCGAAGCTCGCTTGTTGTCTGGCATCGTCGGACTTGTAGATGAATGTTCCGATTCCATCTATCATAAGGTGCAATGAAGAAGTCAGCCGAATCGCCTGTATGCGCTGTAGCTAGAAGAAGGCGGCATGTGCTGCCGATTTTCGCTTGTCGGGCCGAGTGTCAAATCCGGTAAGCCCGAGCGGAATTCGCTTCAGTGTCATATCCACAGAGCCAGGCTGCTGAATGTTAGTAAGTGAGATGTTATATAATTGACATCAAAGAGCCAAGTGATGAGATATGTTACCACGTTTACTAATATTGTTCTATCCATCGTCTTGTGTTGATTTCAATAAAATACTGAAGCATGGTATCCAACGCCACTGTCGGTGCTGGGCTTGAGCCCCTTTGCCGCATCATTACTCCCATTGGCATGCTAGGGTACGGCTTCAACGAAGCTGAAATTAAAGATGCACTGGAATCTTCAGTTCAAAGCGGCATACCAACCGCGATTATCTTGGATTCTGGCTCTACTGACTCTGGGCCTGCCAAATTGGCGCTTGGAACTATGACTTGTCCCCGTGCATCTTACGAAAGAGATTTGCGAAAGCTTATCGCCATTATAACAAAATATCGCTTTCCTGTGCTCATTGGATCAGGAGGAGGGGATGGGAGTGATGCCCACGTCAAAGAACTGGTGAATATCGTCGAAGAAATATTAGCGTCGTCCGATAACAAGTAAGGACTCCTTCTAAATGAAGTTTTTACTTCTCTAAGTAGCGCCTACTAATTGTTATCACCTGTCCCGTGCTAGCTCTACTCAATTAAAAGTCATAGCAATATATAGTGACATCGACAGCGACCTTGTCTTGGAGCGCCTTGAAGCGGGAGCAATCTCCGGCTGCGGTCCCTGTGTGCCTACTTTGACGGTTGAAGATGTAAAGGCCTCGAAGACTATTGTTGGGCAAATGGGCCCAGAGCCGTATATACGAGCCATGACTACTCATCCGGATTTCGACATCATTATCGGCGGCCGATCTTACGACCCGGCGCCGTACGTTGCTTTCAGCGCCTATCACGCATTTGATCAACGCTACAGTCAAGTGCTTGCTCTGGATAGGCACATACTGGGAGGATTCACTCATATGGGCAAGATAATGGAATGCGGTGGCCTATGTGCCACGCCAAAAAGCCCTTCATGCCAGGCGACCGTCTACCGAGATGGCACCTTTGACGTGAAACCCCTTATGCCCGGCGCTGTCTGCACTCCTACTACAGTCGCAGCACACACACTATATGAAAAGTCTCGCCCCGATCAACTTCATGGGCCTGGCGGATACATTGACCTGTCCGCTTCCACGTATTCGACGCTATCCGATAATTGCTCAGTGAGAGTCAGTGGAACTACCTTTCACTCGTCAAAAGAAAGCGGCGACTCTTACACGGTGAAATTGGAAAGTGCCAAGGTTATTGGATATCGCACCATCTTTATTGGCTCTTTCATAGATCCTATTCTTATTTCGCAGCTCCAGTCACTTTTACATAGAGTGAAGGCGTATGTGACTCAGCAACATTCCCACACCTCAGAAAAATGGGAGCTGGGATTCCATACGTACGGATACGACGAGACAAACAAAACCGCTCATATGGGCAATGTTTTCGTAGTTGCCGAAGCACTCGCTGAGACACAGGCAACAGCTACCAGTATTGCTTCCACTGCGAGGGTAGGATGCATTCATGGGCCGTATGAAGGTCAGAAAGCAACAAGCGGCAACTTTGGTTTTGGGTTGGGGGGTAAGGGAGAGATTGAGACAGGGCCATGTGCAGAATTCTCCATTTACCATTTAATGGAATTGAAGGAAGCCGAAGAAGACGCTGTTGAGATTGACCAACTGAATAAGGCAGCAAAGAAAAGTCTATTCTCTTTTGAGGCTTTGCTTATCGGGAAAGGAGATCGTCTCCAGCGCTGCTCTCCACGGCTACATAATGACCTTGCTTCAAGCCTTGGAGATTTATTTCCGAAACTTACCATAGGCGCTGGGACTTCAAACACAGCTGAGGTTCCTTTCATCCTTCCCCAGACAGTCGGCGAAGCAGCAAAAGTCATAAGGTCCAAAAACGCGGGCCCATACGAAATTACATTTGACATCATCTTTAACGATACAAAGACCTACGATCATGTGAAAAACACCGGTATCCTCAGAACCGAATTAATTGCGAAGATATACAACCTCTGTGTTGACGATATCGTGTATTGCGGGTTTTTCGACCAAGCTCTGGCATTCAAGGCTACAATTCCACGCATGCGCAGCGGAAAACCCGTTGCATCGGGCGGCTTCATGGAAGATGACGTTCATGGATCACAAAAATATCTGCCTCTTATGAGCTTGAAACTAGATACTATTTGATAAGTAATAAGTACTCAAAACTAATTGAACATATTAAGAGCATAGAATGTAATCTACAGTGTTTGTTTCTGTGAAAGCTTTTTCTCCAATCTTCTAGACTAATAGTACATAGAAATGGACTAGTAGAGACAGAGGAGCTATGCTAAGCATTAGGTAGTCAATAAAAGGCTGAGAGGAAGGGCAATATACTCCAGTTCCTCTGTTGTTTTGGCGTTGCAATTATCTCACTATCGGCCATTCTGCTTCAAGTTGTACAGAACTGCTCTTTGTCTTGGTTCATCATCCAAGGCTCCTCTGCTTGTGTCTCCCAAAGACGCGTCGTCGCCTCTATTTATTCTTCTTCATAATTTTGCATCCTTTGACAGACTCTTTTTTTATTTTACAAATGACATCAAATGGCTTCCCATCCGGTGTAAGTTGAAAAGATAGACCGGTCTGGTAGGTAGATATAGGCTGTTGGAGGGGCAAGAGGTTTTGACGAAGTGCGGATGTAGGTTATAATGAGTACAACTGATGCCTCGCCAGTGGCTTCTTATAGTCTGTCAAAGCTCAAGCTGGCCACTGTTGTCCCAAGAGCACTCGTGAAGCATCTTTGCGCTAGTAACTGCATTAAATGTCGAAGTAAGGAATATATTGAGATGCGCTTTTAATTATGAACATGTCTTGCAGACAGCTAAGGGCAACGATGCATCACCCATATATTATTCCAAGTAAAATACAACGACCTATCCCCTTGTATCAAGGATTCCTTGTGAATCCCTTTTTCAATTACAATAATTGCCACAATAGCGACCATTGGTGTAATTTTTTGCCCTGCCTAGCTGAATGGCATCAGATCGCTCCATCAACCGCAAACGTGGCACTGGATGTAAGGCACTCCATTGCCGCTGGTATAAGCGCATCCTCCAGAGCCATCAAATGGGTCGCTAACTGGACGGCTGCAGGCAGCATCTGCATAAGATTGGCAGCAAACGTTACTTCCACTCCAATTGTCTGCAACATTCAAATACCATGCATTCGGTACATTCCAAGATGTGCAAGGTGTCCAAATGTTCCAATCGTCAAGGTCGATTGAGCCAACGTATCCATTGCCACAGCCATTTGCATAAGCATTAACTTGGAACCCGCCAGTAGCAACAACTGAGGTTGCAAAGGAGATTGCAATAGCAATAACAGAAGATGACCACATTTTGTGAATAATCCAAGAGATGTATCTATAAGAACAATTCCAAATTAACATCCTGCATTTAAAAGTCACGAGTAAAAGTCACGAGTTGGTTACTCACTGTCGCGAAAATAAATCTTCGATCTATTGACCTTGAAGCCAGGATATGGAGGTTGGATAGATTGATAGCTTGATAGTAAGAAAGCAAACAAATCTAGGGAAAAGCCGAGTATATATAGGAATTGTATATATAAAAAGCACGTTAGCTTTAAGCGAGGTTATCACGATAGTGGACTATTGGTTTCCTATTTTTTATTACTATTCAGATATATACCTTCTTAATACAGACACCTATTCGCTGAAATAAGCGTTAAAATCTGATATGAGAATTTAGAACAATAAGGCTGTCAAATAATCGCCTGATAATATAATCACCTGGCCTGATTCCGAGAAATAAATATTAATTTTCTATTTTATTCTTGAAAGATAGTAGAAGCTACTATAGCATAGAATTAACCCTAAAAATACCTTCTGACAAGCATTATGTCTTTTGGCACTACTTTGTATCTCTGCAAACCCTCAACTACACTTCTTATGCATGGTTTCTTTCCTGCGCAGGTACGTAACTTCAAATACAAAAGCAATCTCCACCAACATGGCCCCAAAGGACGCATCTAAGTTCATGTCTAGAGAGTCCATAGAAAGGCCGTACTCCCTCTGCCAGGGGAGACGGGTTTCCGGTAGAAAAATGCAACGCTTGATCCGAGAGCCGGTCCAATCTTCGGAATTACTTGCTAGTCTTATAAACTTGACAACTTACAAGTAATATCAGGGCCCTAAAAAAATACGGGATCCAGCTGTGCCGCCTGCATAAGCTTGATACCGGAGTGTTTAACATCCACCAATAGGGCTAGGTTCGTCTACACATACCTATTTCGACTAATAATGGAGCGACAACTACTGGGAATTTGTAGGACTAGTACTTATCTAGCAAAGTGGCATACGGCCTTGTCGGTGAAAGGATGTCTCGATAGCCTCACATTGTGTAAGGAGATACCTTGCCTAGTCATGCGATCTGAAAATGGGAGTTCGGCAGTTTTCTCAGACACCCTACTAGTCTGTGATCCCTGCGCTATGCTGGGATACGTGGCGGATAGGACCAGGTGCGCTAATACATACTAGCTTCAGTGCAAGCTAGATCCAGCTGATTTTCTGCTCGAGTTTTGCTGCGGATAGTAGTAGCAAACTGTTATCTCCGGATTGCTGGTCAAAGACTCAGGCAGTGGAGTATGCTCGCCTATCCACAGTCGCGACGCGAATGCCATCTTTTTGCCTACAATATCCATTAATAACTCGTGGCAGCGAGGGAGGTAAGCAGAGAAACGGGAATAGGGCCCATTTGGAGACAAACTTCTACAGCAAAGAAATGCGGCAATTTGAGCAAAGACTCGCTATTAGGCAAGAGTAAAATCTCGTTTGATCATACTTTAAAGTTTTAGTTAAACTCCCACCAATTAACGTCAAAAAGAAAATCACTGCCACTGCCAGTATAAACAAGGAATAGGTCCCGAACTCCTGTCGCATTGCTTACGGAGCAAGTGACTGTATCCATGTTTACCAGCCACCGGTATTGCGAACAGCACATGTACCAACTAGTGCTCCATTCAAACTGTCTAAATGCAACTCGACTTTGCCACCGGTAGTTGCAGAAGCGACACGAGCGGAGAAAGACTTAGCACCAGTGGTAAAGTTGACGCGTTCGACTTTAATGTAGTCACTATTGTTAATGCTGCAGACGTCTAGGCCTCCCTCACTGCACACTTCAGTGGAAACACCAGTTGACCAAGCGGTCAACTCCGCCTCTTGACGTTGATAGGGATTCAGCGCATCTATTCTCGGAGCTCCGGCAGTTGTCGTGTTCATCTGGGGGATGGAGCCATCTGCATTATAGACAAATCGCCCAACAGCCACAGATCGATCGTAGCCACCACCTCTGGGTAAGGCACCATTATGATAAAGGAAGTACGAATTTCCCTTATAGTCAATAACACCTAGGTGATTTGTGAAGCTTGAGCCCTAGGTTTGCATTACAATGCCTCTGTATATCCACGGGCCCAGGGCACCTGGACTTCTTGAATAGCGAATGTCTTCTGAGCAGCAATCTGCAGCAAAAACATTATAGTAAAGGCTATTTCGCTTGTAGACCCAGGGACCCTCCTCGAACGAAGTTGTGAGATTCTCGCTACCTGAACGAGCTCCAAAGCCAGCGACGGTAAGCTGGATCTTTGCGGGGCTGCCAATATATGAAAACATATCTTGGTTCAGCTGCGCATACCATAGATCTGGGTTACCATCATCATCGATATGGACTGTAGGGTCAATTTCGTTGTTTTCTAGCAGGGGATGACCAAGCGCATCGACGTATGGACCAGTAATTGTGTCGCTTACGCCAACGCCAATAGCCATAGCCCCTGTCGCGCAGTGAACCATTGGAGCATAGTAGTAGAACTTATTATTTCGGCCGACACCTTGGCCGGCCCAGGCATTGACACTAGCCCAAGTAAAGCTTTTGAGACTCATAACTGTGCCGTGGTCCAGCCAGTTCGCCATATCAGAAGTCGAAAATAGCCGCCAGTTTGTCATGTTGAAGAAAGTCGAGCCTGTCAGATCATGATCGGTGAAGCAGTAGAGGCGATTGTTATATACAATTGGTGCTGGGTCTGCAGTGTATATAGTCTGTACTGTAGGATTATCCGCTCTAGCTGTGCCGTTGTCGTTTAGAGACAGCAACAAGAAGAACACAGACAAAGACGCCTTGAGGGTCCACCTCTGGGGATCCTGGTGATAATACAAAGAATTAATGCGAACTAGTAGTATTGTGTTGCCGGTTGTAGTATATGTAATATCCAACGCTACAATTTGTACAAATTTTCAGGAGAGGTTATTTTGCCATTGAATTTGATCTCTGTGTACAAAATTGTATTTTACTTCTCGTATGGAAAAGGAGCAGAAATATCTAATCACAGTTAGTAAATATAAGATTTAGATTAGAGTTTAATTTATAGGACGTTGGAAAGTATTATATAGTGTGTCGAAAACGCATATAAAAGGGAATGATATATTGAAAATACAATTATAGGGTATTGAAAGGGAGAATATTCTAGTTTTGATACCGCGTCCTATCAAATCCACAAAAGTTGACACGGATGTTGGACGGTGTATTCAGAGTATGCCTATGGGCTACTCATGCTGCTGCTAATATAGCTTTTGAGTGATTCTTATAAAAATTTCCGGAACTTGATGCAAGATAACATCCGTAAGTTTAGAAACGAAGGAAAGGATGAGGTAGCCACCCCGATTAGATACAGCCTTCTAAACAACATGGTACTCTTGTACAATATGCTACATGATGAGCAGAAATAGCCTTATCTTTATGGAACGTTAGATATGTAATAATTGGGTCTACTCTTGGTTGTGGGAGTGGAATCTTGTATCCATTGTAATAAGGTACAATTATCTCTTGGACTATTTGGCTTTACTTAACAGTAAGACAATATTTCAAGCTCACATTGGAACGCCGTTCAATACCACTTTCAATAGCATTGATCCTTCAATCTCCTTGGAATGAGCTTTCAGTTCATTCACATCCCAATTGACCCATACAAACTTTCCTTTCAGAAACTCGGCTTCAGGGGATACAAGCCAAACGTGGAAACAGCCAGGAAGTGCAACTAGTGAAGGAGTCAGCTTTTGTAATAAAAGAAGAAAACAAGACAGAAATAATCTCCATAAAGATAGAAAACAATGAAATAATAAAGTGCAATTGGTTTACCTTCATCTTGGCCTGGAATTCCGGATATTTCATTGATATCAGTGGCAACAACGCCAGGCTGAACGTTAAAAACACTAAGGTCTGGATGTTCAACCTGCAGGAAATCGAACATCTTGACGATTGCGAGTTTGAAGGCTGCATATGGCCAAAAGCCGGGAAGCGGATTGATGTGCGCGATTCCCGAGGAGATATTCAAAACTTTGGCTTTGGGCGCCAACAAGGGCACCATTGCCTGGATCGCGTTGAACGAACCAATTATGTTTCCCTCGATACTCTCGCGCGTTTCTTTCTCGCCGTAGTTCGCGAGAGGGGCGCGTGGCTTGAGGAAGCCAGCGTTACTGACAAAGATGTCAATCTTGCCGCCGCCAGCCTTGTTGATGGCACTGGTGAAGGCTGCCTCTAAAGCGTGACGCTGGCTAACATCGGCACTCTCAACAACCACGGTAGTGGTTCCTTTGGGGTTGGCCCTAGAGATCTCTTCAGCAGCCAACTGCAGTCTCTCAATTCGACGCCCGAAAATGGCGATGACTCTGGCACCGGCCTCCGCGAAGGCGATAGCAGTGGCTTTACCAATACCGCTACCACCGCCCGTAATGAAGACAATCTTTCCAGAAGCACTAAGCTCGGGCCGAGAAGGCAGGATTTCGGGGTATGGCTTGGTATGCCAAGTCTTGGTGAAGGATTTGAACATCTCGGTGCCTTGATAAGGTCCATCGTAGCTAGCCATCTTTGCGTCTGTATACTGGAAATGCCTGAGTGAGGTTTGCAAGTTGTCTATTGCAGTGAAAACAAAACGGATGGAAATGATGAAGGCTTGTGATATGGCTCAATAGTTCATGTCGTTTGTGCTGTCTTGCCGTTTGGTTACTTCCTCTCTTTCTCTCTCTATATATATACTGAAATACAGCGTCTAGCGAAGGTCATCTCTTGCTACGTGGTATTCATAAGCAACAGAGCAATTGAAGAAAAGTTCAGCGTATACCTCTGGCAATTGTACCATTTTGTGGTTCCGCGGATGATTGTAAAGCTTCCGAATGCTCTATAATAGACATGGTTCCAAATAGCGGCTTATAAAGCATAGGAGAAATCCTCGCAGCTTGATAACCTAATCCGGATAGATGGTACTGGGAGAGCTTCCGCGGCCTTTTGCTTATGTAGCCATAGCTCTCTGCATATCTTTGACGCCGTAACGCTGTTGGAAGAGTTTGCAAGTATTAGAAAAGTGGTTTAAATCGTTGTCGCATCTTAAATTCTTTCACCGTCTCTATTAATCAAGCCCATGTCTATTCCCTAAATATGGCCACTTCCCTCTGATTCGTTTTGTGTGGCAAGAAATGACGATGAATATTCGACGGTGTTCGCTCTTATGGCTGCCTCGACGCATCGTCGTTGAGTGTGCTGATGCAGCTCAGCACAAGTAGCCCGAAAGGACTTTAACATTTCATTCCCTGTCTCCTGCACCATCTGATCAACTGTTTGCAAACCAACTTCAATGAGTTGGCTATCTAATGCTAGGTTATTGTGTTGCGGCTTATGCATGCTATTGGCTGTTAAGATCACCATAGCTGTCATATAAGTGCACCCTGTTGTCCTAAAATATATCGTTGCGAGTCAGCTTCATCAACAGCAATCAATATGATTCGCGCGAGTAAGAACACCTGAGGATTGTGGCCGTCTATCGAAGATGCAGCCTTGGGCATCTTACCAGAAGTTCCAGCAGTCCGTCACACCCAATACTCCAAGAAGGACTAGCAAATCACGCGCCTCATCTACCACTGCCTCCCATTGTGGTGGCAGCCGTGGTACTATACCTTGTCTACCATACCTGCGTAAACTGGCCACCCACTCGGCATCCCATGCATGGGCTTGGTTTATGATCGTTGTACAAGCTAGAGTAGTGGAGTGCAATGCTCCGAGGAATTGTAGCATACCCGAAGGCACTCTCATTATTCCCGCAGAGGCGCTGAATTCCGACGGAATGGAAGCTTTCCACTGCTGAAGGGCACAAGCTACGCTCCGCAGCGCATGGGACCGCTCGTTTGGACTACGTTTTTGAGAGCGCGTGGAATACAAATAATCATATACGCCGCCTTCAATTACGGCCAGCTGGATGCGAGTTACAAAGTAATTCATCTTGGCGGTTCCGTCAGCGGTGGTGATGATACCCGACTCGATGCCGGAATCGTTAGCACCACTCCAGTCTCCAATCTGATGTTCAATAGCTGTTGGCGAGGGTAGTTCAAGATTTATGTCATCATCAATCTGGATCGATGGCTGTTTCGTCCGCAAGCTAAGGTCTTTGTCGAGAATATACGCCAGCCAGAACACATGAGCGCGCTGTCTTGCCTGGACAATATCCAAATGCGCCGAGTAGGTACGATCATGTAAACCGATCGCATGCGCTAGACGCATCACTGTGGCAATCAAGATCAGCGAAGGCTGGAGATCGTGCGAGGCCTGGAGTAGCATCACCATGCCGACCAAGACCTGGACGTTGAGCAGCTGGATATCGCCCAGCATAACTGTCGAGAGTACAGATTCTGCTCTATTGATACACTCAGCCGAGGAGGGAACATTATGACTGTTCACAGGAGTGTGCCGTTGTGCGAGAGCTAAAACAACGTTTATGGCAGCCCATGCCGCCGGATCTCGTTGTAGGGGTCCAACATTATAACAATTATGGACCAATTGCAGAAGAGCTTTGGCATCAAATAGGGGTAATACTGCATTGAAATCCTTGAGGTAGATTTGTATGATAGGTAAAACGTGTTCTCGAGGGGGAAGAGCCATCGATTTTGTAGAATTGTTGCCGTTTGCGCTTGGTATTATCGCTGACAGCGTTGTTGTGGTGGTCTCAGTCCCCCGCTCGGATTGAGGTAGAGCCTGAACACCAGTCCCCTCCTCAGCAACTTCTAAATCGTCAGTGAGCTGCTGCATCATAGCTTCCAGTTGTCGCATATGACCTTGTATATTGTTGGCACCCTCGATGTTTGAACAATTCCGTCGTTTCTTCGGCCTAGCCTTGCGGCTGGGTGCTGTAAAAGTACAATCTATATTGTACGTGATGCAATGTGAGCAGCAAGGCTTCCGCCTATCGCACTTGATCTTGCGCCGGTAACAGAAGTCACAGGACTTTCGCTATATTAGCTTATCGCTTCTGTTGTAACGAGGAGGAAATCGCGGCCTGTACCTTTCTAATAGTCTTTGAATCCTCCATTGTCATTAAAATAATACTGATAGAGCTCAATGAGAATGAATATGCCGCTTTCACTCGTTGTAAAGCAGAGTCTATGTTCGTTTCAGAGCCACAACTTGTCGACCAGATCGAGATCGTTTATAGAGCCTCCGCGGAAGCACATCGCTGACAAATGATTTCCGTTCAACTTGAAGGTTGAGTGGGGTGAATTAATTCCCCTAGCGTTTTGAAGCATCCGCGGAGCCGGTGGAGCATATCAAACCTGGAAATTATTGGGGGGGACTAATGCTTTAGTGCTCTCTGGATGTTTTAGAGCATCCGCGGATGCGCTTGGCACTCGCTGGCTGCTGACAGAGTTGAAGGGATCGACCTTGAGTGTGTCAAGGGCATATTTCCACTCTATTGGTATAGCTGAGTCAAGTTCGACTTTCACACGACATATGACATTCCACATGGGTGGCCGCCTTTGCATCAATTTGACCATCGCTTCAGCCAGCCTTGGGTTTTCAATGGGTTCCGTATGCTTCTCCGATAATGCAAAGGCTACACACATGCTTATCCATCGGATGATAAATACACTCATTCGTTAGCCACAATTACCAGGTCAGAGAACTTTTCTTTTTAGTATATTTTGTTCCATTCTTGCTGCAAGACGCATGTCCGACTGGTATATCATGCCTTCAATGTTCTCTTTCCACAGTTTATCAGTCTTCATTAGCTGCCAACACCATGCCCTATGAGCCCGCCATTCTGTCCCAAGAGCAAAGGGCTCAGTCTGCTGAAACAAAACACGACGTCGACACCACCGAAGTCTCATCGAATAAGAATAGCGCCGACCCTAAGCTAGAGGCCAATGGCCGACAGATCCATGGTCTTCGCTGGCTGGTTATCTGTGTCGCTCTCTACATCAGCTGTATCCTCTATGGTCTTGATACCACCATCGCTGCAGACGTACAAGGATCTATTATTGAACAGTTTGGCCATGTTGAACAGTTGACGTGGGTTGGAGCAGGCTTTCCTTTGGGCTCTGTGTGCGTCATTCTTCCACTCGGAAATCTGTACAGCACTTTCAACATCAAATGGATCTTCTTCACAACTGTAGTGCTCTTTGAGGTTGGCTCAGCTCTTTGTGGTGCCGCTCCAACGATGAGTGCTTTGATTGTTGGTCGTGTTATCGCCGGCGCCGGAGGTAGTGGCATTTACCTTGGCTCGTTGAATTACTTCTTAGCCATGACAGCGTCGGAGGAACGTGGCTTGTACATGGCACTCATTGGAAGCTGCTGGGGTGTTGGTGCTATCCTAGGTCCTGTTATTGGCGGAGCATTTGCAACATCGTCAGCCACCTGGCGTTGGGCATTCTACATCAATCTTGTCATCTTTGCCATTTCGGCACCCGCATATATCTTCTGTCTCCCTTCGATCCGCCCGTCCCAAGGCGTCAGTATACGGGCACGGGTCGCCCGTTTGGACTTTGTGGGGTTTATCCTTGGCGCTGGCGTTTGGGTTGCTTTTCTGTTAGCACTCTCGATGGCAGGTGGCCAATGGGGCTGGGGCGATGGAAGAACTATTGCGACTTTGGTGGTTTTTGGAGTCACTTTGGTTGCGTATTGCCTCCAGCAGTACTTCGCCCTCTTTACATCCAAAGCTCACCGTGCATTTCCTATCCATCTATTACGCGAACGCACACAAGTCCTACTTTATATAGCAACCGCAGCCGGCATTACAACACTCTACGTTGCAATGTACTTTATTCCGATTTACTTTCAGTTTACCAACGGGGACAGTGCCCTAAAGGCAGCCGTTCGATTGCTTCCCTTTGTTATCGTTGCAATTTCGGTAAACTTAGCCTCTGGATATTTCCTAAGTGCTATTAAGATATACATGTTGATCTACGTCATTGGCGGCATTTTCTTGACGGTTGGCGGTGCACTCCTTACTGTTTACCTGGACCCACGCACGTCAGCCGGTACTATCTACGGCCTGTGTGTAGTCACAGCTATCGGCAGTGGCCTGGCCATGTTGTCTGGCTATTCTATTGCGACGCTTACCACGAAACCAGAAAATGCTGGGGCAGCACTCAGCCTACAGAATGTGTCGCAACTCGGAGGCCAAGTCATCGCTCTTGCTGTTGCGGGGCAGATTTACCACTCAACAGCTGTCAGAAATCTACGATCCGTCCTGTCAGGCCAGGACTTTTCAGAACAAGATATAGAGAGCGCTGTTGCAGGCGCGCAGAGCAAAATACTAGAAAAAGTACATGGCGCTTTGCAACAGGAGGTTATCTTGGCTCTCGTCCACGCAATGCAGCAAGTGTTCGTACTAATTCCTGTGGCAGGGGGGATTATGATCCTTGCAGCACTGTGTATGAAGCGAGAAAAGCTTCTTGGGGTCGCTAATGTTGCCGCCGTATAGGATGGCGACATATATGTCGGTGTAACAATCCACGTGTTCAGTATGCCATTCTAAGACTTTGTGTCTATAGCGCAAGGGCCGCGAGACTCACTTTGTGTAATACAGGGGGTTTAGGCACTGCTGAATAGAACTATTTAATTATATAGAAAATATTTAGCAAAACGGCCTTCAATATATATAAAATCGTATGCGTCTTTGACCTAATGCTTGGCAACAAGAGAGGTAGCAAATTTATATAACAGTAATCTATTGGGGGGGGGGGGGGGGGGGCGGGGGCTAATGCGTAACCCTTCTCCTATTAGCCCATCAGTTTGCAATATTTTCGCGGGCTCATGTCTTAGGAGGTTGGGTGGTAATTATTTTTGCTTGGAATAATGTATTTCCTTTTGCTCCTTCTACTAGCTGCAAGATATGTTACAAACTCTATCAAACTAAACTACGCTACCCACACAAAAGACTTCTAGTGTTTTAGCATTTAAACCTACGAGGTTCAGACGGGTGACGCCGGCGTTGAGACACTTAAAGGTTCTTCGGTCAAGCCCCTTTCAGCGGCAAAGGACTCATGTATCTCCGGAACTGGCGGCGGTTGAAAAGCTGCAAGTGACCTATTGACAGGGGGCGCGTATCACGGCCCGAGCCAGATGTAGGTGAGAGAGAAGGAAGAGGCCAGTCTTAAGGGATGTTGGCGCCATCATAATTAATGATGCTTGGTTTAAGGACAGTTGGACAATTTAGAGTAACTTAAAAAGTGGCAAGAGTGATACTAAAGGCAACTGTTAAGAAGAAGATATAATGCCTTGTTTCGTTAAGTTAAAAGGACGCAATGGCCGGCCTTTTGTACCTAGATAATCTAGGCATTATTGAGACTGGAAATCGACTCCATCGCTGTGTGCAGCATACTATTTTATGGCATGAATCCTACAGAACGGAATATATACCGCGCGTATTAGAGGCTCGGGAAGAAAAAAGGACCAAGGGGTGGGGGTAGTCCGAAGCGATGTGTTGGGGTCTCATTGGGTCTAAAGAGTGAAGCGCCTCGCGATAGGGCCTTTCTCCTGAGTCAAGCCACGGAGGTATCCATCTTGTCGGCCGCATCTGCGATTAAATTCACAGTTAGCTGCTGTTGGTTGAGCAAGAAAACCACAGTTTCGACGTTACATACCACATTCGGGTTATTGCTTCGGCTCTCTTGCCACTTGTGGTAAGTAAACTTCGCAACCAGGGTCGCCTTTCTCTTCGTAAGTCGCCGAATTCACTTGAAACAGCAAACCTTCATCACATGTTTCTATAATGTAAAGTCATTAGATCCATTTTGGGGGGGGAATAAAAGAACATTGAGGAACCAATAGACGTTGGATAGTCTGTTAGCTGGTACCTGCAGTACAACATTTGTGGGAGCCCAACGCAAAGCGAAAACTTCACCACCGTCTTCACTGTTAGCTAGTCCGGACGGGCAGTCGATCTTGAAGCGGCTACATCGTCTGACATTTGCGATGCCACGGAGGCTCAAGCATTCAACATAACCTCTCCTTTCGGATGCGATATGCTGGGCCCTAGTCTAACTACCAACCCATGCGCGGCGACCGTCGATTCTGCAGCTGCATCCAGTCTATCCGCCCTAGCCAAAGCCACGGGCTCCATCTGCACCTCTTGGAGTTCCAATCTTACCTGCCTGAATCCGAGCTCGCCTCCCGATCAACCTTCAGCAGTCAACCCTTGCGTAGTAGCGGCGTCGACATGGCTTACGCTGCTGGCTGCATTGGCTGCGGTGATCCATCTTATATGAGGCGGATGCATGCACTTTACATCTTTAATTGAAAGACAGGCATGGGTCTTTTTTGTTCTCTACAAGCAGCACTTAGTTGGCCTTAATAATGATATATGTAATACCTTCTTCTCCACTCCTTTCTTCGTATTCAAGTTGTTGCAACAGCTACGCAATACGAAATCCGCGTTTTCAACGTTTATACTATTTACTTGTATTGCGCCTCCATTGTAAGAACCTAAGCGTTAAGCATCAATAGACTTAAGATTAGTAGTATGGATAGATTAAGATAGAGCCGATTAGGAAAGATTTTCGTCAATTGACTACAGTATATAGATCTCCGACAAGGTCTACCGTAGATCCGTGGATCCAGTCGAACAGCTGATAGGCCGCGATGCTTTCCTTGCCTTCCTATATATCACTCTTGCTTTATTGTCATTCTTCTTTGGCACATCTTCCTCCATAACGACGCTCCTACGGCTCCCCGCGAGCCCGGGTTATTAAGGTAAGCCCGAACACTTACAACATCTTTCGTGACGGCGTCACTGCCGTCAATCCTTTAACCACGGCAGCCAATATTGCCGATTTCATCAAGAATAATGCCCTCGACCGCGTCAACATTGACTGGGGGTATTTGGTATCAAATCGGACAGGTGAATGTAGTCTTCAAGTGAAACAATGCGAGTGGAATCAAATTCCATAGCTTAGACTTTTTTTAGGAGATGATGACATGTTTGGTTGCCTTCACTATCTTCTGAGTCGGATCAGACAATTTATATAGATTTAGTAACAGTATCGAGAAAAATGAGATGCGATGGAATGAGAGGCATCTTATATCTTCGTCGGCTGATCGTGACCCAGATATCTGTCATGTTTGTCGTCATGCACCAACTGCCAGTTGGCCATGTGCCGGCAAGAAAAGTAATGGCAATTGCTCTCTCCGGTCGATACTAGACTAATAGAAAGATCATTGCGATTCTATGAAGCCTATTCTAACAAGTGCGGTCGTAGACGTACCACAATCCCTTCTGCGTAGGACAATCGGGTATCTCGGGTGTGACTGTAGAAGTCTTGTTTATTGCATGCAATAGATCAGTATGCTTTATCTATCCATACTCTTAAAACATAGAAATGCTCATGTGGAAAAAGGCATAGTGGAGTTTTCCCCTAGATCTTAGTTGATAAGTGAACCTTGATGCCAAAAGAAATCGGAATACATACTACTGGATAATTTAAATGCCAGAAAATATAGAGGATGCGCTTTGCTGAGTGCCAAAACACCTTCCGCAATGGATGGAATGCACTAAGAGAATTAATAAATATTCACAATAGATTACTTAGAATATAGTATTCGTTAAGGAGTCTAAACAACGGAATTACAAGAACATGGCGCCACGACCCGACGTACACTACCTCCCAGTGGCACCACAAATGTTCATGGGCCAATCCACCATGATAGGTCTGCATCTAAATATCCAGCTGAATACATTGAGCATAAACCGTCCAATGGATTGAAGGCATGAAGCACGTCGCTACTCAGCGTTTCATCCCCCGATTGCTGACCCCCGTCTCCATCGCATGTTGGCAAATGTGGTATGCTACTAGAACCGAGACTGCTGCCAATTTCTTTCAACTCTAACACATAGCGAGCAATAACTTGTATCTCTTGCACGTTCTTTCTTATTCTAGGCCATGTTTGGCCCAAAGTTCTTAAACGTCCAATGGTCATGCGAATTTGATCTCTTGCTATTACCATCTCGCTTCCGTTCAGCATAAATTTACAAGCTGAGAGAAGTGCAAGCGTGCCCTCGCTAAGCATGCAGGCTATGAATGGTGTGTGATGGAATGATCGAGCTGGCAGCCCTAGCAGGTAAATCTGTGCCTCTACAGATCGCATGACACGTAGTGTATGCACATTGGCAACCTCTGATATTGGAGTGTCAAAAGAGGGCTGCCTAGCGCAGCTAGAGATTGCTTCCATAGTGTTAAATCTCAGATCTGAGAAGGGTCTATGCAGACAAATCGTTGCCCTAAAAAAGGTAATTTGCTAGTTAGTGAATGACAATCCTCTCTACCGGGCGGGAAAAAATAACTTATTGCGTACACATGAATAACCAACGTGGCCTGGAACATTAGCTCATCTATTTCTCCGGATTTATCAATAATTTGTTTGATGTCTGTCGGTAGTAAGAATAGCCATCCATCAATAACTGAGTCAGCGGTACAAATCACTTGCTGCGAGACATCTTTCGTTGTAATGTTCAGTATCAAGGGGGCTATAGCTGCCGTACATCTGATAGCTCCGATGAGATATGCAAAAGATGAGAACGAAGTGTTGCCGAAGGCAAACTCGCGGCAGTCAAACTCTTCTAATGTTTTGGGCTCGGGTATTTTCTACCACCAGTATCAACGTTGAAGCTCGATAATTGAGATGTAGAGAGATCTGTTCATCCGACGCTGTACTTACGCCCATTTCATACTCCGCCTCTTCACAGGGCAACTCTACAGTGGCCTCGACATCCAAAACTGCAAAGTCCATAGTACCCAGTGTGCCAGCAAAATAACCACAAACAATATATAGCGTCCACCACGTCCGCCTCCAGCACTCTCTTAGTACAGTGTCTGTGCCTCCGTGTTTTGCGGCGAATTCGCGTCGAAACATGCCGAGGTCGACGGCGAGACGGGTAGCCTCTAAAATTTCGTGACATGCTTTCGCTTTGTAGTTGTGCCAGAATAAAGCTATTGAGTACAGAATCCGACACTGTACCATGAAAGGGTCTGTTTGTGAAGATTGCAGAAAGCAGACCTCTATGACATTCTGTAGTGTAGTGGGCCACTCTTGGGAGCGATAGAGATGACCGATGAGGCGCAAGACAGCGGCAAGAGGTACTAACCTAGGCTGAATACTGGGGTCTTGCCAGAGTCTGAAGAAATATTTTTGAGGTGGTGTTAATGGGTGGAATTTGTGGAATCGTTTGTAGTACAAATCGATGAAAACATCGCCTTCGACGTTTTGGACGTGACCTACACCTGGTTCTGGCAGTGACAAACTAGGCTGTTCTGATCCTGAGCTTTGAGAGGCATCGGTAATGCCATTCATAGAGGCAAATGCGGCTATAATAGGCGGGTCTGTTAGGGAGCCTCCGACGGCCAGGCTGCTCTTCTCAACAAAGCGTCTGCGCCTCTCCGCGAGTGCTGCGCGATCAAGCCCACCTCGACGCGATCTAGTATAGTCGCATTGAGTTTCGGAGACTGCGCAGCGGCTACATCGAGGCCGTTTACCGTCGCATTTGACATGTCGGGCACGGCATGGCAGGCATGCCAGGGAGGAGCGCGTAACCGTACGCTTCCGTAATGCCGAAGGATTGATATAGTCCATGAAGCCAATAGTTAGGACTGCAATGGCTAATGGGAGGAGAAATGGATTTCCGCAGTCTTTCGAAACAAGGCCTCCGAAGAGTTTATGAGCGGGTAGCCACTGAATACCCGGGTCGCCGAAAGCTGCGAGCAGGCTAGGATAGTAGCATCAGACGCTCTGGCTGATCGGGCAATTAATAGCAAGGCAAAGAATCCGACTCGCTGCTTTACACGCACAGTGATGTTTTCGTTGTAATAACTACAATGCCATAGCAATAAAGGTTTAAATTTAAAGATCGTTTTTATGTACCCGGACCCGAACAGCCGGAGCAAAATATTGTTCCTTTCAGCTGTCTACGCTGCCCGATGGAGCCGGTTACACAAGTGCATATAGCTACAACAGTGGCAACTGGTGTATTGCAGCTCTCGGAAATCCGGGTCGGGTAATTGTTGCATAACTACTGGGTAGGTGCCCATTTTCTTTGACCAACCACGCTGGAATCACCGATCAGCGAGTACTGTATATTGCTGTCGGTTACTTAGGATAGATAGATGACCTAATGTGACTGATGGTGAATGAGAATTCGTGCTTATTTTATATATTGAAGATTGAGAGCAACAGATCCAAGATGATTTGACTACCAATTGTGATATAATTCAACTCCGATCTAACTCTAGTCCGACCCGAACGCCACCCGAACACCACCCGGTGCCATCTAGGCACCACCCGAACGGTACTCCTTGTAAGCAAAAGAAACTCCTTACCTCGCTTTGTAAGTATAGGTCACAACGTATTAGAGCTTCGGAAAGAAACCCCTTGACGGCAGGTTGTCTCACTTATGCATATTTTTCACCAACCTCAAAGGTATGAACGGCGTGTTTTAGCCGTCAGTCATTCTTAGCAACATTCATTGGTTTTGAGACATGGATTCGCAATTGTCCGCGCTGGAAAAAACATGATACGAGGGGCGTTACATCGGCTCTGTCTACCTGGTCAGAGTCAGATTGTAGCAACTAATATAAAGCTGTTGAACATCAGGATCTGGACAGAGCCACACACCGCATCTCCATTATGAACTTGAATCGTCGGCGAATAAAGCAACTCGTTCACAGAACATGTATAAGTCGACAAAAAAAATCCCTCAAGCGACTGGCTACTCGATCGTGCTGATACTTATGGCTCGGGTCAAGCCGCTCTATAAATAATTCAGCATTTCGCATTTGCTTTATGTGCTGTCGTGAACTTCTGCAGCTGCATCTTGTCTTTTACAATCTTTGTTTCCATAAGAGACATTAAGACAACCAGCGAACTCCTCCACTTGTTTTAATCCAATAACAATCATCTCCAAATAAGCAATCGTTTGAGAAAACTTTAACACAGCCCGCACAATATCAACATCGAGTTGGCGCATTAATTGAACCCTGTGGCTAGCCTGAGCAACAGCTCCGGGATCTAAGTTTCTATTTATTTATACCGTGAGACGTCAATTCTCGGCTACCACGATGAGAATAGTGTCACCAGTGCTTTCATTTATGGAAGCATCCAGCGATGCTGAGGGTCCAACGCGGTAAACAAGGCACAACATTGTTAGCCCATTCTTGATAGCACCTCATGATCTCTGGCAGCTTTCTGTGCTTCAGCATTTTATCTAAAGATAGGGACGGACACGATACCAAACGACGTAGAGAGGAAATTGAAATGAAAGAAAGCAGTGCGGAATTGCATATGCAGCATAATGTAGTTGCTTTCAAAAAGTAGAAACCAAGTCTGTGAAGTCATGCTCGAATCCCCTCATTAGCAGTAGCGACTAGTGAGAAGACGATAAGTTAGCCCAGTATATAAGGGCCTCGTTCGACTGTCCCTAGTGCATCCCAAGGCTTCTTAGAATTTTCACTTGCGAAAAAAGCAGTATCGCATCTTGCCTATCTTTTTGTTCAAGTACCAATAGCTCATATTCCACAAACAAACATATTGCGCCACTAAAACGCAGCCTAGGTTCACTATCTCCCCGTTTGAGCAGAGGGTGCTATCCATACCGCGGCAATGAATTCTGTCAGCATTTGCTGCTCTGTCTGTTTGTTAAAGCTTTTGTGCAGAAATTACTAGGGATAATGAGATTTGTATTATATCAGAAGTATGCTAGTACAGTTTGGAATGATTCTCCCGAGGTTTCGTCTTCAATCAGCCACCAGTCTTTCACCAGCCCCCATTATTTTCAAAGCTTAATAAATTGCACCCTTCGTCATTTTCTTGCCACGGCTTACAAGAGGCTGCGCAGAAAGTACCATTTCGAGGAACAACGCCAAACTCGAAGTAGTCCCGCAGGATCTGGTTGGTGCAGCCACTCCAGCCTGCCGGGATAGCACAATGACCTACGGAATCTTGAATCACTACTGCCGAGCCAGGATGTCCTGCAGACATGGCATTTGCATTGACGGAAGGCGTAACTGGGTCCATCCGGTTTGACAAAAACAGAAGTGGTGCTGCCGGTACGCCAGACTTGAGACTGGAGTCCGCAGGAGGTGTAACCCACGGTCCACGAAACTGATACATGGGCGCAAGAAGATAACCCGAACACTGGAACGGAATAGTAGCCCATTTTGCCCCAAAAGTGATGGATTGACTCATGAACCTTTTTACTTCGTCAGAGTAATAGGTAAGATCGTGTTTGGTTTGGCTACCAGCAGCATCGCTGCAAACGATACCATAGGCAGCTTCTCCGCTGAAGATTTGACTACCGGTGGCACAGTCGGTTTGGATATCGTCGGGGGTGACTGTGTTCGTAAGCAAGGTAAAGTTACCTTCTAAGGCATCTGTAATCAACTGGGCCAGCGGCGGAAAGCTCAGAATGGGCCTGTAAAGGGCTTGCGATATGCTGTCGCGAATATCACGACCAGTCAGGGCTGTAATACTTGTGCCCTCAGCATTGTATGCTGGCAGTACATCCATGTCTGCGATGAATTGATCCACGCGCCTTCTAATGCTAGTACCATTCACGTCTTCGGGAATACGGAGCGGACAAATGTCGCCCGCCTCGTAACATGTGTCGTAGAAGTAGTCGACAACAGCCTCCGTATCGACTAAGTTATGATGCCATAGCTAGGTACGTGTAAGTCAGTAGGATGGCCATAAAAAATGGAATTCAGTCGGCCTTACCCCTTGCATATAGTCCTCAGCGTAGATAACACCATCGAGGACCATTCGGCCAACACGCCCTGGGAACATAGACGCGAAAGTATTCCCGAGATAGGTGCCATATGAGAAGCCCAAATACTGAAGTCGAGGAACTTGATTCTCTTGCGTCGTAATTCCTTGCTCACCTCTGCGATGCTTGAGCAATGCAACTTCCTTTTTCCGGAGCTCATCCACGCGATCCACCATCTCGACCATGTCGCGGCAGACAGCAGCGGTAGTGACATGCTCAATAATACTAGACTTGCCAAGCGTGTTCTCGCAGAGAGCACCTAACCCTTTAGAAATTGCCAGGAAGCGTCGTAAGGCGTCTTCACTGGAGTCAACGGTTCCAAGCCCGCGAAGCACTTGTTGGTAGGCGTTCCTCGCGAGTGTGTCGCCCCCGAAACAGTCCAATTGAGGGGTTGTGTTTCCTAAGCCGCGGGGGTCGAATCCCAGATAATCGTACTTTTTGTTGTTGTCAATCACTTTCTGCAGGTGCCGGCCGGAGAGGCGCACGAGGTTGACTCCAGAATCACCTGGACCACCTGGGTTTAAGATAATGGTGCCGCCGTAATCGGGGTGGTCGACCGGCACTGAGGCCGGAAGCGTGGCAATGGCGATGGCGATGGTGCTGTTGTCTTTGGGGTTGTTCCAATCTAGTGGCACCTTGAGGCGCGCACAACGGAGCCCATTGAAGCAATCACAGTAGCGCAAATCCTCAGTTGGTTCAATTGCTGTCCAGTCAAACTCAGTGTTAGTTGCAAACAAAGCACCCGCAGTTGTTGCGACTAGACCGGCGAGTAAGATTGCGGTGGACGGCGGCAGCATGACTTAGGTTGAGCTCTTACGGAACTAGCTGGTTGAGGACCAGTTTGGTATCGTTAAGCTATTTTTCTAAAGATATCTTAGAGCATGATGGGTTCCAGATATTTATATCCAATGCTGACGACATTGAGGGGGCTATTTTCAAGCACGGGAAGCAACGCTCGAGTCCGCTTAACTGCAATTTGCATGGCCGTAATATGCACGGTTTCTACCCCTTTAGCCCTTGTGTTGGACTTTTGGGCATGAAGAACTCCATTCTAACAAGAAGCTGACAGATCAGGGGCTATTGTTTTTTTCAAGCTTTGGCCTTCCAAAAGAGGTAAATCAGCACTTTTTCAAGTCAAATACCCCTGTTAAGTTGACAACATTGTCCAAATAGTTCTCAACAACATTGACGTCGGGCTAATAATATAGGGCGTACGATTGTCATATTTTACTCTGGTGGCAATAGTAGTAGTTTTGCTGCTGCTATATCACCCCGCGCATAAAACCGTGTAACCACGCCATTTTGTATTTATATGTAAAGTATTGTAAATCCGAGCAATAATTACATAACTTTGTGTTTAAAAACATCACTTACCATTTCCACTTCATATGTCCTCTTTCAATAGTAGTAATAATACAAGCAAATTGTCTGTTCATTGTATCGACTTTCAAAGATACCTCTTCGGTATAGAGTGCTAAGCCTTTTGTCTTACTCTCGTGATCCTGGATACAGCAGAATTACAGCCACCTCTGTGCCCGCCGCAGCCATAGGATTGGAGAATAAGCCACAGTTTTGAGATGGCCTTTGTATGTTCACGTATTGCCACAACGCAATGCTAGACATCTAATGGGAAGAATATTTAGTAGTAGTTTTCCGTTACCTGTACCTGGGAAGAAAGGATATCCCTGTGCTAGACGTAAGATCGATGGTGAGGTCTTGTTCGAAGTTAAGTGTTATCGCTTCGCCTAGTGTGCTTTCTATATAGTGTAAAAAGGTAATCCATACTATGGACAGAATTATCATGGGGGTTCCTGGGAGGGGGGGAAGAGGTGGCCAATGTTTCTATATGCCGACTTAGATACACTACTGTAAATCTGTGTATAGAACGCATATCCAAATAGCCTTTGTTGTTCCGTCTCACAATTCAAGGCTAGCGCTAACACTAAAGATTGGCTAAGCACAAAGTCCAAAATTTCCTCTTATGGGGGTGAATGTACCCGATACATCAGCTCAAGTGCCGATTAATGTACTTGGGGTAGGATGTGCATAGCATTCCTAGACCGCTGAAAACATCGCCTGGAGTTTGACTTATCCAAAAATCCCCGAGGTTCTCCACCTCTATCTCCAGCAACTTCACTTATGCACACAGTCAGTCTCTAGTTGAACTTGGTGGTGAGAGAATAATGCATGCTAAGGGGACTTTAGCCAGGGATGATTACCACCCAGCATTGGGGCTGTGAACGCAACGACGAATGCAAACTGATTCCTCTGAAATACGGGGGAGAAGAAGGTCTCTTTAGCCGCATAGCCTTCTTGAAACATGGTGGCTCATTTCCCTAGCTTATTGATGAAAGTACCGAATTACCACTTCAAGCGGCAAGCCATACAATTTGCATTTGCTCGGATGTTTCAGGGACAATCAGTGCATCTGGGGCTGAGAGAACGTACTGATCGCATCGCCAGACCAAAACGGCAGTTTAGAACACTATAAAAGTCTCATTCTGGTCACTGAAATAGGACTTCCTCTCTTCATCCAGTACTTTCTTATTCTACAAGAGCAGGTTGAAGTCATCAGAATGCATTTCAATCTTATTTCTTCCAAGACGGCAGTTTCTAGCTTGCTGTTTGCATGGCTGGTCTCTCAGAGAGTCCAGGCTGGCCTTAATGGACTCTGTCCACCAATGGGACCTGTCTTTCCGCCGGCCACAAGGCCCCGTACAGACCCAGGATTTGACTCAGCAGCAATTACACTGACAAAGAAACTTCAAGGATTAACATCCGGATTCAACTACTCAGCCGTGTCGCTGGGTGTCATGTCTATTCACGAAGCAACTCCAATGTTCGAATTTCACCACTCTCCGCAAATTTTCAATCCCAGGGGTGTCTCGGAGGTTAACTCAGATACTGTTTACCGACTAGCGAGTATGACAAAGCTTTTCACCATCTTGGGCCTGTTGAGGACTGAGAAGGTCAGCCTCGAGGATCCCATCACTAAGTATCTTCCCGAACTTCGCGATATTCATAAGGAAGCAGCAGCACAGGACGCAATTCGCGTTGTTGACTGGGATAGCATTACACTAGAAGCCTTGGCTGCGCATCAAAGCGGAATAGGTGCCGACTGTAAGGCATTACCTCCAAGGAACTAAAAGTTGTTCCTAAGCCAACAATAGCCAGTGACAGTAGATCTTGCAAACTTCCCAGGTGATTGGACGGCAAAAGGCTTTCTACCAGCTGATAACAAGACACGGCTTCAATGCTCGGGCTTCTTCGGACAAAGGCCTTGTAACAGAAAAGGTACTACCTGGCTTGACCGCCAAATCATAGGTAGCTACAAAGGAATGTCTAATGCTAAGATTCAATGTAGATTTTTTTGAACACTTTGGCAAACGCCCGCCAGTCCACGCGCCATTTGAAACCCCGATTTATTCGAATATCGGGACGACTCTGCTAGGACTTGTCATCGAAACTGTCACTAACCAGACATACGAGGACTGGATCCAACATACTATCATCGATCCAATTAAAATGAATCGAACTTTTCTGTCAAACCCAGCAGATTCATTGGGTTTCATTCCTATCAACGCCACCGATTGGCCCGTCGAGCTTGGTGTTGAGGCACCGTATGTTGCATCTTATTTTCACTTACAGTTCGTCAAACTGAATGTTATCTTAGCACCGGAGCGATATACTCTACTACATCAGATCTCATGGCATTTGGCAAAGCAATTCTAAGCTACGAAATGCTTTCCCCCATAAGAACTCGGAAGTGGATGAAACCTCTAGCGTCGACTTCTTCCATTAGCACCCTCATCGGAGCTCCATGGGAAGTTTACCGGTCCAATAAAGTGACCAAAGACGGCCGTTTGATAGAGTTTTATACGAAAGCTGGAGATCTTTTCACGTATCATTCTGTTATCGCTCTCATTCCAGATTACGACTTGGTGATGGTCGCTCTTATGGGTGGACCTGAAGTTTCTGGCGACACAACCTACCATGTGATTGGAGATGCATCGACCGCTTTGCTTCCCGTCATAGAACAAGCTGGTAAGGCCAAAGCGCAGGCCCAGTATGTGGGGACATATACCGATGCCTTGACCAACTCGACTCTTACACTATCCCTCGATGACAGCCCTGGTTTCAGAGTCACAAAATGGCAAGTTCGTGGAGTGGATGTTATTGGAACATCTTTGCTCGGCGACTCTCCAGCCGTACCGCCACGGGTTCGCTTGTACCCCTCGGATCTGTCTACCAGCAACCAAACAGCTTGGAGGGCTGTGTTTGGCGGCAGTGCTAATGATGTCGCTGCGGAAGACGCGCTGTATCCCTGGGATCAGTTTAGTTGTAGCTCATGGGCATCACTCGACAAACTCATCTACCAGTTCCAGGGTCAAGATCTCTTTGTTTTTGATATGATAGAGGAAGAGGGGGGTGATACCAGAGCCAACAACATAAATCTTCCGGCTTACCAGGTGAAATTGGCCCGCATAGCCGAGTAAGATTATTGAGATGATCGGCTTCTGTTAAAGTTAACTGGAACAGAGCGTACAGCTATCAGGGTGTTGAGCACCAGGTGTCTTGGTATAACTGCTGCTAAGCCTGGGATTGGCTAATTGTATTGAATTGGAATAGACAGCATCATAATATATATTATCAAAGCCAACTATATGTACTTTTATAGTACAATTCGCAAAGGGTTACCACTCGAGCCAATATAAGCACTAAGCATATTATTGAAACAGTAAATTTAACTTTTATTGTATAGAAATTAGCGTTGCCGGATCGAAAATCCCCGAAGGAATAAATAGCGTAATCAGCTCTTATCCCCTGCAAGGGGGCGCAGTAAACTCTTAAGTTGCGGAGTACATTCGGGGGATTTCCGACCGGTAGTTTTTCTCCTCCATCTACTTTACAACTCTATTACAGAGAAATATCATGCCTAGCCACGGCAATTGTCAAATACAACTACCCCTTCGTAGCCAAGGGGCTACTGGCCTAGCATCAAAGGAGTGTGCTACCTTGGCTTCGGAAGGGCCGTTCGTGAATCGCCCGCGCGTAACAGAGATAAAGGGTTGGAGAGAATATGAATCGCTAGGTGCATTTCAATGGGAAAGACATAGAGCAACCATAAAAGAGTTATATCTCGATGAAGGAAAAAGACTTAAGGATGTTGCAGATATCATGAGACAAGACTACGCTTTCAATGCCACGTACGTTTTCGCCATCCCTAACCTGGTTCCCTGTTACTAATTTAATATGTGTTAGCATTAAGATGTATAAGATACGATTGAACAAATGGGGATACTTCAAAAACAATCGAAAGCTCGATACAAAGTCGGTATCGCGAACAAGCAACGGAAGACAAGCGAGAAGCAACCTCATAAACACCGTCGACCTTGCTACTACACTTCAGCCTATCACACTCCGCGACCCAGATGTATACAATATACCGGGCCACATTTTCTCTTCCATCAGCACCTACATGTGGGGTTCTTGTGAGGATCAAAGATACACAGCCACTGACCTCGCGTGCGCTACTTTCTACGAAAATGCCTATTTCCGGCCCTCCGCAGAGCTGTTACAGTCAATCGGATCGCTTACAGACCTTCTCCAGGAACAAAAGTACCAACAAGCGGGACCAGTGATGCGACGAGCGGCTATACAGATGGAAACTGTTTTGCGGGATCAGCCTGTGGATCTCCTCGCTTGTCTCTTAGAAATCGCACTCCGACTGCACTCGAGGACTCCCGACTTGGCGGCCTTGCTTATGCGGCATTCAGCAGATATAGCGAAAATCCATTTCTCATCACCCAAACACCCTGTACGAATTTTCACACAGCGACTAGCCAGCCTTGATGGTGTCGAGATCGGCGCATTGGCGGTAGAAGCATACGCATGCCAACTAAAAATCTGGCAAGACATCTGGGACAGCAACACACAGAACGCCGGCGACGGCAACGAAGCAGGACTTGTGTGGATAACAGGCTTGGCTCTAGCAGGCGGTCTCGATCAGCTACCGTTAAGCCTAGTCCCGCGTTTGGACGGCATCATGCTGAGATTAGTCGAGGCTGTAAAAGGCTCAGAGTGGTGTACACAGCTACTTCAGTCCACCGCAGAGAATGGTCAATTTCAATTCTTTGTAGGCCAGTCGGAGGGAAAGCTTACACAGGTAACTATGCAGCCGATCGGCACGCCGACTAAGGTAGCCAGTGCTCAGCCTGTCGCTCGCTACAGTCTATCCCATCTGAATGCCCGTTACCGGCATTTTGCGATCGAAGATCGGTCTGCGCGCGAAGCTATGGAAATACAACGGCTGCTCCAGACGGAAATGGGGACCTTCTTTATGGGGATGGCCAGCGCCCTTGAGGGATGGCTGGGTGAAGTCGGAGAGTACAACAAAGCGGCGGCGGTCACACAATATCGCGAAAGGTTTTTGGCTGCTGGATTAGCCGATGTCATCCAAGTCACATAAGCGTCTTTAAGCTGGAGAATCATCTATCAATAAGAGGAACCCAATGGGGATTCCTATCGCATCAACTTATCAGATTCTGGCCCGTCGTTATTCATTGCTTAGCGACGAATTCGGTCTTAGGCTTTACTTGTTTAGCCAATGCATAAGACTATCCAAGACACAACACAAAAAATAGACCAAATTAAGCAAAGAGTCATGATCCGAATATTTATGCAATCGATGACAATATACCTGGGTTCAATCTCAAAGCCGGAGAAGCACCCATATTATAGTAGATTTCCACATGCCCATCTCAGACGAGAGCAACGTGTATCCTGGAGCAACTGAAACTATCGAATTGTGAGCCGTAGTCTGAAGTTGGTCGATACCAATCTCAAGTTGGCGCGGAAATAAGAGAAATGGAGTTCTATTGGCGATCAAGCAATTCGGGTTAATAGCAATACAAACTCAGATACTTCGACCTTCCTTCAGCAAGAGGCATAAAGACATAATAACCCTGATAGAATTTCTGCATGTTTGTCTACCAGAGAGAAAACGTGTTTTTACTACTGTAGATTATTTGGGTAGCACTAGGCATATATAAAATCTTCTACTTAAATCTCTAGCAATGAAGATCAACTCCAGTAGAGGAAACAACAAAAGCTGTAATTGCTATATGATCAAATTTGTTCATCTCATTAATCCCTGATTTTAATCGAGACGATTTCCGAGCTTCCTTATCAATTCGAATGCAAAGTCTGGCGATTTATCTACTAAATCCTTGAAGCCCTCATTCTCCAGCATGTCTTCAAGTATACAGGTACAGTAGTCGACTAACAAAGTGCGTAGCCTATCCCCTGTAATCGTGTTCTCAAAGGAGTAGCTAACTAGCTTAACAACATCTCCAATGCGGTTCGGGTATAGTGTAAACTCCTTCAAGCTGACATAGATCTTATGCAAAGAAAGTTTTCGTAACTCGGGTATGTCGTATTTATCCGCTAAGGTGTAGAGGCGAGCGTGAGAGAGGAAGACTTCGCTATATTCTTCGTAGCTCTCTGTGTTCTTTCGGGGCGTATGAAGTATCGTTGGAGATGAAAACCCCTTATTATCATTGAATGCCTGAATCATAGATTGCTTCTTCGACACTTTTTGGGGAGTCTTTCGACATTGTAAGCAGATATTCTCTTGATAGTTATGGCAATTATTGCAATAGTGAGTAGAGAAGTTTTTGCAGCATGAATCACATTGTCTAATTCTGCTCGAACGCAGAGCTGCTCCGCAGTGGTCGCATTGGTCTTTTTTTTCATCCTCGATCACAATATTGAATGAAGCGAGAGACCTAGCAGTATTATCCACTGAGGCCTTCGGCGTCGAACTCAGTTTAAGGCTTGCGAGCTGAGCCGAAGCAGTAATGAGATCTGGCTCTGCAGGAGAATATTCTCCAGTATAAGCCCATTGAGCGAAACGGAGGAATGTTTTCTCATCAACATCTTCCCAATAAACGCAATGTTCATTTGCTTCTTTCATACTTCCATTCAGGAGATCATTCAAGCTTTTCGAGAGCCTTGACACGGCATTTTCATGAATTGTGAACAGCTTCTTCTGATGTCCAATGATAAATTTGAAGGGTTGTGAAAGCAGGATGCTGGTGAAATACAATTAGTGTCGATTGCAATTTCTTTTAAGTACGCCCAAAGCTAATAACATTCACAAACCTCTCATACTTTGCTTCCATTTCTTTTCTTCCAGACGGTATCTTTGTAGTAAGAGTCACGCCAAGCAACTAGAAGAGCTAGTCAAAATTTTCGGAAAGGTAAGACTTGACTGCTCAAATAATAAAAGAGTTACTACAACAGAGGAAGAAGGGGATTTCAACAACTGGTATATATATATGATTTATCTGTGTAACACTGGAGGGCTGTTTGGGCGGCCTACACACACGCTAATCAGGTTGGGTTGTAAAGGCTGCTTATTGGATAGCAACCCTATATTACTTCATACCAAATCTGCGGGAGGCCTTTAAGTTTACTTTAGATAGTTGTATTAAAGCCTTGGGGTGATTTTTCTTTAAGTGACGTGTAATGTATTACCCCGCAATCCCTTTCTTTTGCCTAAACATAACACACGCATTTATATGAGCAATTCGACCTCGTCTTATAATTTTCAATTGATTCAATGATACATAGGCGGGGCAGCCCGGGTAGGAAGAGGAAGCAGCTGCCTAATATCATCTGGAGGTAATATACTAATTGCTCCACAGCAAACACCACTCTCAGGAGTCGAAGGTGTACATTGCAGCAAGGATCATACATTGGCTGGAATCTTGCGCTTGGTCATTGCCTACATACCTCTTTATCTCTCTCGACAACATCAAAGCATTCTGTGCATGTGCTTCGTGCTATCCCTTGTAATAGAGATACATGGCTTTTATATCCGAGATAAACGCAAGTAGGCCTGTCATATAATGCAAGTTTCGCTGGTTCTAGCCTATTGAGTACTAGATGTCGCTAAAACCTTCTCAACTAGGATTTCGCAACAAGTAGCGAAGGAATTCTTCTTCCAGCTTATCTAAGAACTAAAGTTATTGGAGTGGAGCAGCAGAGGGGCTATGTAACATTTGTGGCGAAGCATATGCCTATATAACACAAATGGGTTTGCAACTGACTCCTAGTTGTTCATACGACATACTTTCGCTTATTGTATATTTTACCCTCACAAGATTGATTACACACTTGAGACTCAAGATATCTCCTTTGGCCTCTGCTGGTACAACATGGAGCCAGATAACAACGTCGACGATTTACAAAGCATTAACAACAAAACACTTGGTACAAATGCAAACACATTTCCAATTATAACGCTTCCAAATGGGCAGAAAGTTCCAACAGGAACTGTGGGAGCGTTGCTTGTGAATATTAAAACCTATGACGCCAGCGAAGAAAGCCAGAGAAGGCAAATAGAGCCAGCATTACGAGCAGCGATACCTATTTTACAACAAGTTGGCATGTTCGATCTCTTTCGACCGGAGGAGTGGGTTAAGGGAGGAAGTCCCGGAAGGGCCTTTGTTGGAAAAGTAGCAATGGAAATGCATGTGGATAGCAAGACAGAGGCTTGAAGAAATTAAAGATACTCTCATCAAATACATGATTCGTCAGCTGGCTAACTTTGCCCATGTTATTTTTGGCCTCTAAACCAATATGAACTACGTTGCTACATATGTAAGAGAAACCTTTCCTGAGGATTGTATCGACTTCATGACAGAACTCGCAGCTGTGAAACCTATCGAATTTGTGCCTCATCTTGCAAAGCTTTGGCTCAAGTCAAACATTGCAACGCACAAATTATTTTTGGCTTGGAGAATTATTTCTCAGTCTGTAGTAAGCAGTTTCCTTGTGAGAAAGGTTGCTAAATAAAGAGCTAAATCCTCCTTGTACGTAACCGGGATCGACTTTGCATGCCGTCCACTTTTTGCGGCACGCCCTCGCTCACTTCGTTAAAAAGGTTGGCGCAATTGCCGCATAGTCAGAGTCTAGACAAAATAGCAAAGTATACGTTCATTCACAATGACAATTACCAATCTTGCTGTTTGACCTAAACCGTGCTGCCCAATCACCTACAAATTTGAACGTGCTACTATACGAGATCGAACAATTGAGCTGGGTGACTGCGCGGCTATAGCTTACCCTGCAACTTATTGTTTACTAGTCAAGGCAACTAAACTGGGGTTTCTGGAACGGTAATCATGATCTATCCGCAATGTATCCGCAGGCCCAATGACATGTGGTGCCGAAGAACTGTGGAGACATACTAAGAACCTAATAACATAAATGATGGAGCTATCTAGTTCCGACCGACTGTCAATGCATCGCTTCCCGACACTTGCGACAGTCCAACATGAAGCTACAGACGGTATTTCTGGAATATGGAAGATCGGTCTCTCAGTAATACCAGGTATGGGTAGTTGCTCTCTTCGCTACAATAAGACATTCTTTCTGCCCCATAGTCATTCCTGCGCTCTAACTTCGCAGTGCTGTGTATAAATTACCGATCTTGATTAAGTGTCAAGGTTCTCTTCATGGTCCTTTCTTAGTAGTTCAACGCTTTGATCTTCTTGCCCATTATGAAGTCTGTTATCGTTAAAGCACGTCCTCTACGATGTGAAATTATCGATGTTCCCATCCCAGAGCCAGGACCAGATGAAGTCCTCATCAAAGTCATATACTGCGCCAGTAATCCACGCGACTGGAAGGCTCCCGATCACCTTGTCCCTGGTGTTGAAATAAATCAAGGCAATGAAATGTCTGGAGTTATTGAGATCGTTGGGAGCAATGTCTACGAATTCCGGAAAGGCGATCGAGTTGCAGCAGCGCATCCTATGCAGACAGAGAATGGCACGTATGCAGAGTACTCGACTGCTCCTGTGAATACGTGCTTTTTGCTACCTCCAAATATCTCATTTGAAGGTCAGTTTCTAATAGTCGATTCCACATGTTGGCAATGCCTTGCTCATAGACGATACAGAGGCTTGTACCATACCGTTTGCCTTATGTACGGCAGCCATTGGGTTTTACCAACGTCTCAAAATACCGTTTCCGACATCCCCGGAGAGCTCACGTGTTCAAACTCCGCTCATTATCTATGGAGGAAGTTCTTCCATTGGAGCATTTACACTGAAATTGGCAAAGATGGGACGCTTCGAGAAAATCATTGTAGTATGTGGATCCGGAAGACCATATATAGAATCCTTTGGCGTTATTACAGATTTTGTCGACTATCGGGATTGCAACGTCGTTCATGATCTAAAAGCAGCCCTTGGAGGGAAAAGGTGCTTTCATGCTGTTGATGCCATCATGGATGGTAATAGCTTTGGACATCTATCGGAAGTTTTGGCGCCAGAAGGAGCTCGGATAGCTGTATATCTACCCCGTCTAGATTACAGCTGCATTCCTGCATCGATATCTGTTGCCATCACTTTCTTCGGCACCGTCCACGGTCAAGCGACTCCAATTAGCAATGAGGTATTCGAAGAAGATGTAGATTTTGCGTACGCTTTCTTTCGGCTTGTCGGTCGATGGATTGCTGAGGGCAAAATGAGTGGGCACCCATATGAGGTTCTGCCGCGCGGGCTGCTGTCTGTTGAGGATGGTTTACGGATGTTGAAGGAGGGAAAAGTGAGCGCCAAGAAACTCATCTATAGAGTGGCAGATACGCCTACCCTTGAGCCTGAATATTTTTTTTGAAGTAGAATAACAGATATGATGAGCTATAACTGTATATTTAGTCCCTTGACGCAAACAGATGCACGCTGCATTTGCCAACTCACAAAGTACTCTCGCTGTTGATAGTATAGCTGTCGCAGGTTGTATTGAACATTACTCTTTTCGGTTGTTCGTTTCATTAAACAGAGGTATATGCGCTTCAAGTTTCTTTCCCTGTAGAATGCTTTGTTGCTCATGCGGTGCGCCGCAGCTATGGCTGTTGTGCTCTTCTTTCCGATCCGTATCCGACGCACTAGAACCAAATTTGGCGATCCAAAGCAGATCGTGAAATTATTGAGACATCTGTAGATACACCATCGCCGCCTTATATGCAGTGAGCATTACATCTATAAAGGCATCCTAGCTTCCAATCCAAAACCCTTTAATGCATCACCCTCCGACCAGCAGCGGCAACCAGGTTCAGTTTCTCCAACATGGACTCAGCCCCCGCCGTCCATCCCAATCACCAGAAGCTCATCGATCGCGCCCGACAATTTTTTGCTGAAGTCGAAGACTTGTAAGTAAAGAGTCTTCTCTAAAGAAAACCACGTTTCTATTGCGTCAGCTGAATATCGCTTCTTGCAGAACTCCAGGCAAAGACCTCGAAACTAAACTGAACCGAGATTATAGCATCGGAAACACTTACTATGACGATTTCTGCCATTTGATTCGACAGGCTCTAGCAAATAACGAGGGCTGGGTTGCAACCGACGAGATAGACGGGCCAAAGTACCGCCGCACCAGGATATGCGCTCCGTCTGAGTCGAACCGCTTCTTCAGCATTACGACTGTTTACATGGAAAGCGATACAGAATACCGTGGCCAATACCACCTCCATCCTTATGGCGAAATCAATTGCGTCATCCAAATAGATCCATCAGCCGAGCTGAAGGGAATGTCAGGGTGGCAAGGCGCTGGCTGGACATCTCCGGGGCCCGGCACTCATCATTATCCTGAAGTCCGTGGAGGGGCGCTGGTGGCGCTTTTCTTCCTACCGGCCGGCCGAATATCGTACAAGCTCGCGAAACCGGGAGATCCGCAGCCGATAGCTATCTGATATTTAGAAAACGCCCTATGTAGAAATGGGTTGTCTAGTGAATCTTGGGCTTACACATGGAAGCCCCGCATTTAGATGGCTGATCAATGGTCCAACAGTCCTTGAATCTTAGTTCAACCCTATAACTTGGTCGAAATTCTTGTGACTTTATCTTTTATGCTATTCTTGTATCTTTACTCTCGTCGTCGCTATGCCTCGTGCGAGAGTGTCGGATGGGCGAAGACGCGTTGCGAAAGCTTGCACGCTTTGCCAAACGGACAAGAAAAAATGCGATGGTCTCTGTCCCTGCGGGCAATGCGTCAAGCGCGAGCGGTCTGGCTCGTGTGCCTATTCATCCCATAAACGCGTATACGGACGTCAGCGCCGATTGGCAAAGGACGTGGACATGGCCATCGCTGTACCTACCCAGAACGATGCTAGAGAGACCGAAAACTCACCAGTTGGACATACGAACCCGCATAGCCAGCGGCCTTTGTGTTATGACCATAGGGAGCAGAATAGTCCATTGGGCAAACATATCGCGATCCCAAAACTTCCCAACATCATGCGTGACACAAAAGGACGAGCAAGTAAGTGATCATTAATATGCGAAGAGCCTACATATGGTCTTGGGTGACGTGGCTAAACATGTTTCATAATGCTGTAGTGTACCTTGGAGATTGCGCAGCGCTTTCTTTTTTACAAAACATACAAGAACTTATCCAAAATGAACAAGAGCTCGCGGATGCGGCAAAAGATCTCTCTTCTCTCTCAGTATTAGAAGAGGCTGAATCGAGAGACAGTGAAAGCGTCCTAGCTTATAGTAATGCTAATCTCGGCGACTTGGAAGCTCTGGTTAAAGCGTTCTTCATTGCGGTACGAATTCTCTTCCTCCCTGCAGTTTCTACTTTACATGAATTGGTTGAGTGTAAAATGTGAAGTGTTGCTAACAAAGAAACTGGGTTCAGACATGTGGCATCCTAGATATTGTGGACCGGTCTACAATTGACAACTTGCTCAGCCGCTGGATTAGTGGAAATATTTCAGTTACAAGCAGTAGCGCCGCTCTACTGTATCTGGTGCTTGCGTATGCGGCACAAGTACGTAGTGAATCCGCGCAAGACACTTATCGATCACAATCATTCTTCTATCATGGTCGACGAATTGCGCTCATGGAATTAACGGAGTGTCCCACCATGGAGACTGCCCAGGCTTTCACGCTGATAAGCTTGTATATGCTTGGTAGTTGTCGGCGCGATGGGGCGTATTTGAACCTCGGGATTGCGATTAGCGCAGCAAAATCTCTAGGTTATCATCGATCTGAAGCCGCTTTCTCTCAGCGCGAAGAAGACAAATTGCTCAGGTATGATTACGCCTTCATATGTAAAACGTGCGGCATGTGAAGCGCTGCTAATAAGGAAATGGCAACATAGGCAGCGAATATGGCGTACTTTATGCTATCACGACTTATTTTTTTGCGCCATGATGGGCCGCGCCCCTTTGACATCTGCTACAGATTCATCAGAGGAAGGGGACAAGGAGCGACCTGACCCGAACCACCCCGATAAGTGTCAGCAACTTGGGCTCTACGAATCTGCGCGAGCTTTTTCCATCCTGAAACAAACAGTACTCGAAATATACACAAAGCATTCGGCGCCGCTAGAGTTGCTTAACAATCTTTCTCAGCAGCTTCGTGAAATGGGAACAGAGCTACCTGTTGAGCTTCGCAATATCAGCCCTCTGGCATTTCCAGAGCATAAATGTCCCAAGACGAAGCAGCTTATCATAAGAAATGCCAGTGTCGCGTGCAATTATTACTTTAGCATGATGCTTCTGACAAGACCGTTTCTCATCGCCTGCCTCAAGGCAAAATATAACAAATCGCCAAAGACGACTCGAAGCCAGAGGCATCGTGCCGATCTTGAAGAATCCCTGGAGATTGATAACAGCGTTATATTTGGCGCCATGACTTCATATGACACAGCTCTTAAAACGATTCAGCTTCTACATGAGCTGTACGTCTCGGGAATACTCTACAACAATATGCCCCTTGTCGTGTAAGTGGCCGCCTTGAGTCGTGGACCACAGAAAATGTTTTGGATGATAGACTTACTGATATTGTATGAGTAGCGCATGGACATTTGTGTCGGCGTTAACTGTCTGTGCCGCCTACTTTGGCCAGCTGGGCGATGCAAGAGAATGCGAACTTGCAAGTTACAGGGCAAGTCAAATATTACAGCATTTCATCGCACATAGCCCACAGGCAAAGCAATACGATCTTATCTTGACGAAACTGTCCCGAGTTGCGCTGAACTACATAAATGCACCAATAAATCAGTTTGGTAGCACTGAGGATTTATTCTGGTCCGATATATTTAGGCTAACTCCGGCACACCTTCATAGTTTAAAGGAAGAAGAAGAATCCTTCAAGTTGAGTATCGGCATGTCAAATCGGTTAGCTACATCAGAAGGGATCAACAATGTTCCATTAAATGTTGACCTACTGCAATGCACTGTAGACCTAAACCCTGCTTTCGATAATATTTTCCATATTCCAGATGGGGCTTATAAGGAATTTCTCAATTATGTATTAATGCCTGATGATCTACTTTTTTAATCAGATAGCTCTTTCATAAATAGTCAACTAGAAATTTAATAACAAGTTTATTGTTTAATACGTTAGTCTTGATTGGAACTTCAGATTGAAATAGAGTTATGTGTATTTTTTTTTTAAACTTGTACTACAAATCCTTCTCTTGTACAATTGCCCATTACTTGACATGGAGCTTTTTTCCTTTAAACATGTTGCAAGGTTCATACTGTAAGAACATTCTAGACTAAAAAATAGTACCTTTCAATGCCAATTCTACCCAAGAGTACCGATTGCGTGGATTTAGGCTAACCCCGTGATTTATTGTTGACTTTCGGGCTTAAGCTCAAAATCGAAAACTATCTAGGTAGTAACCAAAAGCCAACATATATTAATGCTACACATATATACTGCACGATTAGCCCCGAAGAAATACAAGCTGTAACAACTTGTTGCAGTAACAACTACAATCCAAACCAGCAGGACTACTATTTTTCTTTGCACGGCTTGCATGTTCAATGGTTTCAAGAATGTCAGACTCCTTCAAATACGATGTCAAAAGTTCAGCTCGCTCTCTACAGGTAGCAGTGAGTACGGAACCGGCCACTAAAGGCCTGTATCAATACTTGGGCAGGTCTGGCCTTAAAGTGTCAAGAGTCATTCTGTATGCTATCCTATTCGGTCTTGTCTTTGCTCCTTACTAACGTCAACAGTGGTGCAATGAGTTTTGGAGCACCAGAATGGCAAGGTTGGGTTCTTGATGAAGAAGAGTCACTTCCGCTTCTAGAACATGCTTTCAAAGCCGGAATTCGAACTTGGGATACTGCCGATCTCTATTCGCACGGCCGATCCGAAGAGATTATTGGTAAAGCCATCAAGAAGTTCAACCTTCCTCGAGAAAAGCTTGTCATCCTCACCAAAATCTATTTTGGCGTCACTCCCGATACTTTATCCAATCAGCCAGGCTCGACTATAACCAATGATGGCGAGCTTCTGAATCAAACGGGACTGAGCCGCAAGCATATTCTCGATGCTGTTGACAAATGCACTGAGAGACTTGGAACCTATATCGATGTGTTACAGATACATCGCCTGGACCGTTCAATCCCATTCGAGGAGAGTATGCGAGCTCTAAATGATGTGGTGGTGTCTGGAAAAGTAAGATATCTTGGAGCTTCTAGTATGGCCGCGTGGGAATTCCAACAGCTCCAAAATATTGCTGACCGGCACGGCTGGCATAAATTCATCTCGATGCAAAACTACCATAACTTGATCTACAGAGAAGAAGAACACGAAATGATTCCGTACTGCAACAACACTGGCGTGGGCTTGATTCCCTGGTCACCTGTTGCTCGTGGTGCCTTGGCCCGTCCATGGGGTACTCGAAACACTCTTCGAGAGGAGAAAGACCAGGGCCTCCAACTGCTAGTTCGGGGAAGTGACAATCAGGTCGATGAAGCGATTGTCAATCGTGTTGAAGAGGTTGCAGGGAAGATTGGCAAAACCATGGCCCAAGTTGCAATTGCATGGACACTGAGCAAGAACATGTGTCCTATTGTTGGTCTGAACAAGAAAGAAAGGATCGATGAGGCTGTTGAAGCAACGAAATTTCAGCTAAGCCAAAAGGACATTGATTACCTCGAAGAACTATATTTACCCAAGGCACGAGTAGTTTTATAATGACTGTTTCTTGATTCTACTTTTTATTACTGCGAGGTATAATACGAACTGCAAACCAATACTTAGGTCACTAATTTAGCTACGACATTGATAATTTTCTTGTTTTGTTGCGTCTTGTATTCTTTGATCAAATGTCCATTGCTCTGACTAGCCGGAGCAGCCTTCTGTTTTTGCGAGGGATCAACTATAGGGTTCTCATAGTTCTAGTAATCAGTGACGCTGAAAACATCTGATGCTCCTTTAAAAACAGCCTTCAGAAACATAGGGTCGTCGAATTATTAACGGCCATCTTCACACCTTTCGCGATTGATGCAGTGGATTTGGTCGATGATATACCCCTGGTAGCACCACGAAGCATACCACAGACCCGCCTATAGTACCAGTGGCACTGAGGCGTAACTCAGGACATGGTGGTATATTGTAACTGAATGCAGTAAGTAGCATCATAAATTCTGAGACCATGAACATATTAGCGCCTTATATACTTCCGTGGGTCCTAAACCTAGTTTATGAAATTCTTCTCGTTCCGCATGCTGAGTTGCATCTCTTCATCAATTACAAATGCTTGCGTACTATGTTGTTTAGTAGCGCAAAGCTCCCAACCGAGTTTAAGTCCCCTTGGTTTGATTCATGTGTCTCCCATTATGACCAATTGCAATCAGAGTGAGAAAAACATCCCCAGAAAAGTCTGGACTTGTCATGTCGAGGCCTTGTGCAAATTCATGCAAGGAGCTTAGCTGCTCCCCAACCTCCTTGCCGAGCTTAGCTCCTGCGGTAGCAATCCATGCCTGGGGCGATTCGGCCAATCATAAACCCAGCCTTCTATCAAGTGGGAGTGACTCCATGAAAAGACAGTTTGAGCAAAATCCGTACTTTAAGCTGAAAAATAACAGAACCACTCCATGAGACATGAGTATAGTCCTTCGAACGCTTTCACCAAAGAGCCATGTTTGCCATGGAGATAAAGCTGCAGGTAGCTTGGGCTTCGCTTCTATCAACAAGGTCTCAGTCCATACAGAGAGTATATCAATGAATCTTTCAGCATTTGCTTGTTCCATTGAATCCGAGCTGAATAGGGATATTGTCATGTGGATTAGAAGGGCTTGAACCGCAGTGAGAGCTTCTAGTATTGGTACAGCTTTAATATCGACTTCAAGCAGATGTTTGAAACACGGGTGGTTGACACTCCCAGCTTGGTTCTTAGTCAACATTGCATAATGGTTATGGTTGCCCCGTATATGTAACCCCGGATGGATGAATAGAGCCGGTTTGCCTTTGCGAAAAAGATCGTGAACTGATTGAACAGCTATACGCATTGTGTCCAATATAAATGTCTCTTCATGTTTGCAGATTCCTGGGTTACTAGAAGGGAGAGATGCCAACGTTTTCATGATGCAATAACCGAACTCAATATCATTGAATGCACTAGAGGCGGCTTTAGAGTCTTTCTTTATATCGACTGCCGATGCGCTGAGAGGCTCGAGATCGTATACGCATTGAAGTCCCTTCTTTGAGCAGCGGTTGCACTGCGGAACTTGGACTGTGCATTTGCGTTTAGAGGCTGTGCAGTTTCGACAAGCTTTCCGAATAGTTGCCATGCTGAAGTCGGGCCACAGCTTGTATAACTTTGAAGGTGAGATCTCCGAGGCCGAGACACTGGGGTAAAGAAGTTTTAAGTTGTGGAAGGGCCATTTGTAAAACAAGGCTTCGCTAGGCTAATTGAGTTTAGCTCCCGCAGGTATAGCAACAATGTGGAGAGCAACTCCACCTTCTAGACAACAGAGCTGTGCGGTATAGATGGGTAGTAATTTCATTTGTTTACGCTAGTATAGGTTGTGGTAGAACAAATAATTGGTTTACCTAGCAATAAATTCATCTCGAACAAGGCAATTGTGTAGCAGAATTGGGATTGGAGCGCCTGTATTTTCTCCACCACCCACATCTTAGCCCAGCATGCCAAGTATAGGTTTAGAGTCTCGGGTCAATTACAATCCGCCCTCTGACTTCTATTATTAATTCATATGAACTTGGGTGATAAAGGAGCCTTATATAGCTACGATTCTCGCCATGTAATTTCCAGATGGACTTCTTAGCCATCAGTATTTGACATTAAAAATGACACCGTCGACTCAGTCCCCCAAATCAGTACTTATTACCGGCTGCTCCGCCGGCGGCCTTGGCGCATCGCTCGCGTTAGCCTTCCGGAAACATGGATATGTTGTATTTGCAACAGCTCGATCCCCTGAAAAGATCCCAGCGACTCTGACGAGTCTTCCAAATGTCCACACCCTTTCGCTGGACGTGACATCTGATGAATCTGTCTATGCTGCTGCGAAGTCTGTTAAGGCAACACTTACAGGCAAGGGGCTCGATGTGTTGTTCAACAACAGCGGGATAGGCTATAGCTCAAGTCTACTGGATTTGGACATAGAGCGAGCTAAGCAGCTCTACGAGGTCAATTTTTGGGGAGTCATCCGCACGACACAAGCATTCGCTGATCTTGTAATCGAGGCAAAAGGGGCCATTGTCAACCAAGGTTCGATTTCCGGTGAGAGTTACGAACCGTTCAATTGTAGGTACTGTTCAGAAATTCGTAATACACCATGGCCGTGAACTAATCATGGATGACTAGCAATCTACGGTAGCTCCAAGACGGCGTTAGCTATTGCAGGTGAGGCATGGAGACTTGAGCTGCAGCCACTGGGCGTGCGGGTTATAACTGTGCAAACGGGTGTTGTTGAATCGGAATTTTTTGAAGGCCTAAAGGGCTTCAATCTTCCTGAAACCTCGTACTATCGCCCCATCGAAGACCAGTTGCGGCGGAGAGCTGAAGGAGAGGCTGGATATAAGGCGATGAGGGCAGACCTATACGCCGAGCAAGTGGCAAGGGATGTGGTTAGTGGCAAGAATGGGAAGATTTGGCGGGGAACCATGGCAGCTCCTGTCAAATATCTAATGTGGTGGCTTCCGACATGGCTGGCTGTAAGTGGCTTAAAACACTCTCGACCCGTGCTACATCACTCGCTAGGCACTATATAAGCCTCGCTGCTTTAACATCGCTAACAAGTAAACTTTTTATAGGATTATCTTCTTACAGGCCTTAGTCCAGGACTTGCAGAGTTGTCCCCAGATCGAAGGCAGGTATAACTTGGAGATTGCATACTAGTTTAGTTATTTTTTAATTTCACAAGAAGTTGTAGTAGACAGGACCCCCCCCACCCCAATATCGCCATTGGTGGGGTTGACAGTCTCGGAACTTGTTGGCAAAAGACATATTTGCGGAATGTATGCTAGTTTTAGTCTCTGAAATAAGAAAGAGCTGAATAATTCCAAAAGAAAGAAAATATCACGAGGGTTCTTGAACGTTGAAACCGTCGATATAATTGCCTGTGATTTGAGATGCCTATATTATATGAAACATATGGAATGGTGATATTGAGCACTCTTTATACGTGACGTAATAGACGCAAGCATCCGAGGATAAAGAGAGACAGAGTTGCTCCAGTAAGTCTTTTGGGAGGTTCTTGAGTAGCTTTTGAGTTCAACCCATGAGACTTTCAAGGCATATTGTATGGAATAAAGACCATTTGGAGTGCGGAAGGGTACTGACTAAAGTGAACTTCAGACTGGTTGAGGAGGCTGCGTGGCATTAAACCATGTCCTGATCTCAAACCGGCCGAAGAACAACACATGGCACTGGGTACTGCCGCATACACGTACAAATAGTTTGTCCTAGCTTGAGCCTGTCGATACCAGGATATGAAAGAGGCCCCAGGGCTATTGATTGCTGACGAGTACTTCGGAATATTGCAAAAAGCTTATAATTCTATTTAAAATAGCTTTTCACTTGCTCCAGCGTTCTTCCAAGCTTTAGCTATTAATACTCTTACCCTCTCAGTCCCTAAACTGTCCAAAAACTCTACGATCCGACAAATCTTTCCTTCTTCGTCCACATCCAAAAGAAACATATACTCTCCAACATAGTCCCACTCCTTCCCATCGTCGCCTTCTTTCAGACCTTTCAGTTCCTCCCTGAAATTTAAAACAGCGCTGGCCCAGATAATAACCTGGCGTTTTGGAAAGTTGACATGGATCTCTTTTGCTGTAACTGGAAAGCCAGTTGCGATTGTATGAAGCTTGATTAAGTGGGCAGCGAAGTCTTCATTTGTCATAGGCTGTGGTGGTTTTATGGATGATGGGGCGAAGATGTGAGTGCAGTTGGCGGCGCGGAGGGAAATGTGACTATTAGCTTCGAGGGTTGCGAAAGCGTTGATGAATGCTATAGCAGTGTCATAAAGTGCTTGTTCAGTTGCCATGGTTGCTAAGTAAGATTACAATAGTCAATTGAAAGACGGCTTGGATTTGACATTGGGCCGATAGCTAGAGATATAGATGTTTATATCCTTTATACATCAGGTATACTGTAGTTTGGTCGGATAATGGAGTTAGCCTTCTTAAAGCCTAAACTGCTTGATCGGAGATAACGCATAAGATGTAAAGGAGCTAAGCTCGGTAATACTTTTTGTCAAACAGTCAGCTGTTGAAGATATTTTAGCGTATAGTACTAGCATGTCCACAACCGGCCGTCAGGCCATGAGACAAAGCAATTAAGAAACGTGGGCCTTCGATAATAACACTCGTATCTTCCATGCACTAACAACACAGTAGCGCTAGTTGCCAGTTGCATCAGCTTGAATTATTGCATCATCTCAAGAAATTTCAAGCATAAGGCTACTGACCTCAAATTGCTCCTCTAATTTAGTTTCATTCGTGACCGTCCAGTAAAATCAAGGCAATTGATTTCCTTGTTGGCCTATTACCACTTTTGCGCTAAGCGCGGCGAAGACTCTATTGACAGTGTAAATGCATAACCTCTTGTAGCTGCCTATTTCATAGCGTTGGTTACATGATCTTGTAATATTAATATAGCTTTAAATGGTCTGTAATCTCTTGGAAATTGGCGCATATTTCCATCTCAGCTTATTGCAACACTCGAGGTTGAAATGTTCAGACAATAACATATTTAGGACTCTTTGCTGTCAAAGAGGTAAACTATGGTTAATTTTAGAGTTGGCATACGTCACAAGTCGCCATATACAAGGCACATACGCAGAAACAAGATAAACACATAGTACAGGCGGCGAAAAACAAGAGCATTATAACAATACCCATGGAAGATATTTGGTCCAGTTTTAAAATTGATTCTTGGAGTTGAGGGGTTGTGTTGGCGAAACCAGGATATTATAAGTACCAGTACTTATTTTAGCAAGAGAAGCAGTTACCTTCACTTTTCCCAAGTGATCTGTTTAGCATGTATACTTCATGCACATTATTACCAGTAGCATCCTTCGGCACAGTCTAGGCCATGATTGTGTATAGTCCAACACATTTAATTGTGATAAGCCTGGTAATGATCCTTTGGATTGCCGGATCAGGAATGTTTTCCAGCCCGCCTCCCACATAGCACGGGGTTGACTACTGTTTTGGGACGGCAGCTCTGGTAAACTGTCACACTCGTCCTTCTTAACTGTTCAACCCTAATGACAAGATCGATGACGATATTATGTACAGTTAAAATACATATAAAGACGCTAAAATACCGTAACCAACATCAGTGTCTCTTGTGTCTGCAGGCGATTCTATATTATTCTCTGCGAAGAACTCAAGCCAGGCTCCCCGCAATAGGGTGTTATTGAAGACCATCGAAAGTCGGGTTTATAGCAAAAGCATGGCAACAAGTACCGGAGCGCCGAGCTACAGGATCAAAACATCAAACAAAAGTAGCCCGACAATGACGGGTGAGGAACGAATTGAAGAAAAACGCAAGAAAAGAGCCGGCTCTCTACTATGGAAGTTTGAAATCCTTTGCTGGCTAGGCAGCGTCTGTTTCTTCGTTGGGGTGGTGGTGGCACTGTTACAATTTAAAGATCGCCCGCTTCCTGAGCTGCGGCTGCATATCACGCCGAATGCTATTATTGTGCTTCTCGCGACTTTTTGCCAGGCGTTCATGATGGCGTCGGTGAGTGCAAGTATTGGCCAACTCAAGTGGGCAAGGGTGCTCCGTACGCGGCCTTTGTTCGAGATGAATGTGCTGGATCACGCTTCCCGAGGACCTTGGGGAAGTTTTCTACTTCTACTCCGGCGTACAGGCGGGTGAGACTCATCGGCTCGCGCTCGAAGACAAGCACACAAGATTACTGACAACAATACCAGCGGCCTTGCAGCCCTTGGGGCAATCATCACCATCACCTCTCTCGCGATGAGTACATTCTTCCAGCAGGCACTCGACTACCACACGCAATGGACCTCATCGGGGGAAGCCACAGTTCCAATCGCGCAGAACATGCTCGGCAAAGGCGAAGGGACATTGTTCTACGACAACGAGCAAGTGTGGACGGACAACTTCGACACCGCACTCCAATTTGCACCGTACAAAGCAATCTACAGTCCCCCGCGCACAAATTTCACAGCGACAGCCACCTGTGACACGAGCAATTGCACATGGCAGTCGTTCGAGACGCTCGCCGTATGCAACACCTGCGTGAACCTATCTTCACGACTGGACAAGACCAGGATTGAGGTTACCGCGCCGATCAAGGCCTATGATGTCTACACGAATCATTACACCCTGCCCAACGGATTCGGCCTAACCGGCATCCAGCCGCAATTCGTAGGGACTGAAGCCATGTACGACGGAGTTCTGAACATGACCACCTCCCGCACAGCAAACTACTCGGTCCCAGGCGAGGCAGTTGTCTATTGGGACAGCGTCGCCTTCAAGGACAGTGGCTCCAAGCTAATAAGCTTTTTTGTCATCGGGCCGGCCCCTAACTCCATCCCAGAACAACCAGATGCGGCGTTCCTTCCCCAGCACAGCTTAGACATGAGCGGGTCACCTCAATTTGCCCCCCCCCTACAGCGTTTGAGTGTCTACTCCAGTTCTGTATCCAAACACGTCGCGGCGTCTTTACGAACGGGACATATACGGAGACCGTCCTATCACGCCATATTGACGACTCGGTACTTACTAATGCGGATAATGACGGTCCAAATGTTACGCTTACCTCGCCCACAGCAGGGACAAAGTTCACGATCAACAGAAAAGCGGTGGTGATCACAAGGCAATGGATAGGCACTATACTAGTAGGAAACGTGACGCTCTCTACCCCAAGAGGGGGGACTTTCTCAACGACTTCAGGGCGCTTCTATAGCTCGGATCGTATTATACCTTTCTCGGCTGCTATGAACTCTTCTACTCAAGGATTCGAAGACTTGATTAATAATATTGCAGACAGCTTGACAAATAGTCTAAGAGGTATTAGCTACCAGCCTTCTGCAAAAGGACAGGCGTTTCGCCTTATTAGTATTGCCGTTGTTAATTGGTATTGGCTTATTTTGCCTGCTTTTGAACTAGTTGCTAGTGCAATACTCTTGGGCTGTATAGTGTGGGGGACAGGGAGGGACGGGTTAGTGCCATGGACAAATAATTTATTAGCGATGGTCTTTCATGGGTTCGATTTCAGACCTCGAGGTAGTAGTATATTGGATTTAGGAGATGATATGAATATCGAGGCAAAAAGGTTGCTTGTACAACTTCAAATGGATGAAGAAGGTAGTAGAATGGTTAGCATGGTGGATTAGTTTGATAGGAATGTATAAAGAATAAGTAAGTAGGTAAACGAGTAAGTGAGTGAGTTTACAGATTTTAGGGGCAAACATATCTAATACTATACAAAAATTGATCTAGCTACTATACGCATACCTAGGCAGTCGGCATTGCTTGTTAACCAATGGTGCAGAGGCAGGCACTCTATTGGCTAGACTTGCTCTACGCCGATTAGACCGGACTACGAATCGAAGGAGCCGACCGATAGCAGTCGGATGGTTTGTAAGTAGCCAATCGGGATCAACATGCTAAGCTTCCTTGCATGTATATATAACTACCCCCTGGAGCAAGAAGCTCAGGGGCTTTGAACTTATTAGTACAAGTATATTAGATGAATCTTAATATAATTTACTACTATAGATCGTATTTATTGTTAAGCTTTAGTTTAGTAAACCTAGTATACCTGTATCTAATGACTTTGTAACCCATGTATTTATTTTACACGAGTCCCATAAAACACTCATAACCACAACACCGAATCTATCAATTTCAGTTGCCAGTGCTGTTTCGACAAGCCGGTCTGTTTGATCAGACTGCAAAAATAGAGGGTTTTGGCGATTTACAAGCAAGTACCATGCTGCAGCCGAAGGTGCCTCCCAGAGACCACTTCGTAAAGTGAATGGGGTGTGTCCAGGCAGACTGTCTGACCATCGTGAAAGATAGAATAAATGCTTTGTACATAGTTACCCACTATCCAAGTTCTTCGTATGCTCTCTGACTGGATCCAGTCTTGCCAACATCTAGCTGTGGTCTGACGGTCAATGTCAAGTTCTTGAGCCAGCGAATTGCTATTGTAAAGCATGCTCTCAGAGGTCCCTTCTAGGTTACCCGCCTGCCCAAGCTGTAATATCCATTCCTTCAATATTATAATATGGCGCTCAGCCTGTGCGCGCTGTCTGATGTCCCCATCAAAAAGGCGAATAAGTTGGTATATAAGTAAGGCTTGTACTCTAGCAAGCTGCTCAAGTGTACTGAGTATCGGTATCGGGATAGAGAAATTGCATACACTTCCTGGATATAACAGCTGATGTTCATTCACGAGCGCGTTGGCGCGGTCTTCGACTAGCTGCAACCCTACTCTCTGGTTCTTTGTATTCTTAGCCGCGTAGGTTGTCAAGCTCGCGTAGGCATCCTGCAGGTATGCTGGCAGGCCCATTTCAGCGAAGAGTTCCCGGTGAATGAAAGCGCAGTGGGTTTCCTCAACCCACTGATACATCCATTTTCTCACGAATTTTACGAAAGTCTCCAACTTGGACTGGTGAATACTGGGGTGAGCGGGACCGGCGGAAGGACTGTTAACCAAGGTCTCATTCTGCGAAGATAAAAAAGACCCTCTGCTCGGTTGAAATGTATCGATCACATTGAATTGTGTATCGGCTAGGCCAAGTGTAGACGGAGACAGTGGGATATCTGCATTACTGCCCCAAATCTTAACTCCGACGGCGTTCTGGCTGCTAAAATCCGTCGATGTAGAAGTGTGCAACCCATCTGCAGACGTGGCAGATGAGTTGTCTAAAACGGTGTACCCAAGTCGCCGAGCTTTCAGGCGAGAGTAAGGACGTTTCGCTGAATATTGGCAATATAATTCCCGGTCCAAGCAACGCTGGCATGAGGGGAAGTTCTTGTCGCACTGTCGCTTCGCACGTGTGCAGGAAATGCAAGCCTTCACTCGACGTGAAGCCATTTGCCAAGGTGGCTCTAGTTGCGGATCCATGACTGTGCAGCGGGATATGGTAGGTGCAGTTGCGGATTGAATACGGAAGGTTACCAAATTATGTGGTTTTGCTCGCCTCGAGACCTGCAGATGACGGCTGTTTTGAGTTTAATAGAGCGGCAACGATGTTGTTATGAGGCGGAAACCTAGCGGGACTTTGGTGGAACTTAACGCGGCACTTTGCGGATAGTTGCGACAATAGGTGGGGTAAGATATACGATTGATCGATATACAGGGACAGTGGTGTCACTACTCGGATATTCCAGATAAATCCGGCATGCCCAGTCCAATTCGACAATCTACAGGTACCACAGTTGAATTCTTGTTGAGGCAGGTGTGCACTGTTACTAGCAAAATGGCGTCTTCTCTAAGTCGGAATGTTACTGTTGCTGCTGTTAACCATGACGGCAAAGGATATTTCGAACCAGACCTTAGCTGCGACACTACTATTTTACCAGGTGGTGGTAACCTAAGATCGATATTTGAAGTTTCCCGGATTCCCATCCCTGGTTTGCAATATAATGCAAAAGATGAATACAGCGGTCTGTCGAACAATACTGGCGTACGCTTTATCGAATCCGAGATGGCTCCAGGCGAGAGGAGCCCAATGCAGGCAACACCTTCAGTTGACCTAGGGGTAATAATTACGGGAACCATTACTTTAATGCTTGACTCAGGCGGTGAGAGGACGTTAGAGTAAGTTACCATGTCTTTCTAATAAATTGACTTTGTTATCCTTTTGACTAATACTAGTAATCAGAGCCGGCGAACTTTACATTTTGAAAGCAGCAGGTCATGCTTGGGAAAATAGAACTTCGAAGCCAGCAAAAATAGTAACTATATTACTTGCAGCAAAAGTATAAAATACTAAGCCTTTAGAAATAAAAGTAAAAGAGGTAGTTATGATATTATTATAATTTCTCTTTATATTTTTATTATTTATTCCCTAGACAGCTATAATATAGCTTTAAGAGAAATACTTAGGTTACTTGGCTTACTAAAAAAATATAGTATTAAAATTCAAGTACAATAATCTAGTTTTGAGATTCTAATATATTAATATAAGGTAAAGGGCAATGGGATAACTTGAGAGGACTTTGCTGCTCTCTCGGCCGCCCGCAAGTACATTGACAACACCAGATGGGAAAAAGTTACCAATAATCTCCATCAGTCGGAAGGCGTATAGCGGTGCCTGCTCCGAGGCCTTGATCATAACCGTGTTACCTATTACCAGTGGTGTTACCATTTTGATAACCATGCCCAAGAAGGGGTGATTATTTGGGATTATGCGCGCTATCACGCCCAGAGGTTCTCGGATCGTGTAATGGAACATGTCGTCTGTCAGGCGGTTGGTTCCCCCCCGTCACAGCCGGAGCCAGACCGGTGAATAAGTCAAGGTTCATGGCGGAGTGCTCGACCTCGGCCCGCATGATGGAAATGGGACTACCTATGTTCCAAGAATCTAACGCGGCAAGCGCCTCGGCATGATCACCCACGATCTGTGCCATCGCTAATGATTTGCATACACCGTTCCTCATCATGCGTTCTCTTCAAAAACTCTTCCTTTTTAAATCGCTATTTGATTGAACCTCGTTTGATCTTGCGAAATATCTTGTGAAGTTTTTTTGGGAGAAAGATCATTGACTAATTTTTGCAACAGCGACTGAGTTTCGCGAATGGCGTCGGCGAGTTGGCGAGTGTGCTTAAGCTTGGCATTGTTAGGGTGCTGCACATCTCTTCGACGCTCTTGACGACGATTTGGAGATTTGCGACTAGCTGCCTCAGTTGATCGGTCTCCGTTGCCGCATTCTTCACATTCTTGCAGAGCAACAGGAGTTCTTTGCACAGATCGGCGGTAGTGCTGGCACTTGAAAAGATACCTAGAGGCTCCATCACAAGTGTCTCAAAAGAAAGACATGGCGAGTATAAAGGCGCAGAACAAGGCCATCTTATGTTTTTGTTGGACTTTGCATATTGTGAGCGGTTTTTAGTTGCAAGGCAGATTCGTGTCTCGCGTTCATTGGTAGTATTGCGCGTGATCACGCTGCAGCCGTTCTCGCGTTGTTGCACAGCCTGCCTGGTTCGGAGTCAAGGCCAAATGAAGCCATCAATGAGAGCGGAAACATTCTGGTTTGAGGATGTAGGCAACTAAGATTCTTTACTGATTAGCGATCGATTGGTCTTTTGCAGATAAAGGAGCAAAAGGGATGAGTAACCCAAGATACACAAGGTAGGTTTAAACTCAGTCGACACTTGACTGGACAACTGCTGCCTTCAACATCTGGCATCCGCGTTTTCGCTCTGTAAGCGACGATCAACAGGATAGAACTGGGACATGACTGAAATGTGTCCCAATAAAGGGCAGTCTGCCGAGATGCCTGGCAGTATATGAAGCCTCGGAATGGGAAATCGAATAGAACGAGTTTGATAGCGCAGTGACGGTTCGAGGAAATTTCTGTCGCTTGGGATAGTTCATCAGCAATTCGCATCGCCAAGTCGATAGAAGGAAAAAAACTGTACGTTCTGTACGTTCTGCTCCAGAGGATTTTTGGCAGCGTCAACGGTTTCTGGTGTGGACATGATTGTCGTTTGCGACGTGAAGAAGTTGAACAAAGGTGCTGATGGCAAGTGGAAAGAGAAGCAGGGGGAGATGCCGAGCTGCGAGTTGAGCCACGTGAACAAGTACCTGCCTGTGGCCTGGCTGCCAGATGGTACAAAGCCTTTGGGGAGAATCTCAGATGAACAGCCAGACAGAGCCCCAAGCATAGGAACTAACTGAATAATATTGTGCAGCTGATACTAGAGGAAAGAAAGTTGAGTGCAAGGGCATTCTAGACAATGGGCATTTATCCGCGTGTAATGCAGAACCTCTCTGTGTTGGTAGTCAAGGTCGATGGGGACGGACAGCCACATGTTGGATGACTTGCCCGGCACCAGCATCTCTCTTTTAACCAACCTGCATGAACAGCTGATGGGTTTAAAAGCTATGAGCTACAGCAAGTTTGACAAAACTTTAGAAGACATTCGCTGGCATTCAGCGCTCTTAGCTTTACCCTACTACAGATCGCCAGAATGCCCAAAGAATCTTACTCTGCAGCCTTGTCTATTATATTGCAGAATTGGCGAAACTCAATACGTATAAGGTCCTGGTTATTATAAGTATCTTATCGATGACCAAAATGTTACAGTGTAGTTTTATTTGGAGAACCCATTCGCATTTTTATAATCACAAACATTGGGCTAGGTTGCACTGTGTCGGCTAGGAAATACCATTACAGCATTAGTAGTGACTACCACATTCACTGAAACTTGTAGAATCACATCTGGGGCCCAACCAACATCTTCTATCGACAGGCCGCCAACTACATTATTGATCTTACTGATGTTCCGCCTGTCAACGACTAAGGCTCTGGTCCAACTGGAATCCACTGGCCAACGGCTCAAGTATGCGCTTCATGATTGTTCCCGCGATCATACAAATCATTTCTAATGCGCATGATTTATGCTACGAGCATTTAAAACGTTCGCATCGTGATGAGCAACGCATTAAACACCGCCCACTGGGGTATCTTTATGGAAGATAGTGTGCGCCCACACTATCATTTCTGAGCGTGGTCTATGACTTGCTAACTCTTTTATTTCATCACAGGTTCCGGCGGTTTCTTAACCGACATCACCTTCATTAGCGGTAAATTCGGTGCTCAATTCGAAAGCCAGCAGTTTCCCATGCGCAACCTCACTTTCCACAACGCTCAGACAGCCATTCGCCAGGGCTTCGACTGGGGCTGGACATACGCCGGCATCACCATCAACAACTGCTTCGTCGGCCTTGACATGAGCGCTGTCGACGGCAACGAAGCTCTGAGCGTCGTCGGCATCACCATGATTGATTTCAGCATTTCCGACACCGACATCTTCATCAAGACGGCCAAGACGGCCACGTCCAGGCCCGTGGGAGCAGGAAACCTGAACGTCGAAAACATTCAGCTTTCAAAAAAGTTTTAATAAATAACAAAACTACCTAACTAACCAATACACAAATCAAAGTACTATATTTAATATACTCCCAGAAGCAGCATGCCCCTTTAAAGGAACTGGCAGTAAAGTACAAGTACCCCCAAACAACATGTTCAGTCTCGAGTATAGAAAAATCAATTAACCAGATGTCTCCTCTGGGCTTTGAGGTTGAGACGCCCTAGAACCTCCAAACGGCCCAGTGTGTTTCACTGGCGGCCGTCTGCCTTGCCCATAATCTACCAATCTCAGTTCATCAACAGACCAGCTCTTATAACAACCATGAAATATAATGTTTGGGTAGGAGAGTATCTGGTTCGAGAGGGGATCAGGGTCCTGCTCAGCATAATCCTGATATACAATGAGATTTGTATTGGGAGGATCGTAAGTGGAATATCTCCCAAATAAGCCGCGGCTCGGAGGGTTGGGTGCAGCAGAAGAACCAAATCCGCTACCAGCCGCAGGTCTTGATGAGGAAATAGAACCGAATGCTAGCGCACTAACGGCAGGTATCGTGTTAGAACCAAAACCCGACTGTGTAGTACTGGCGGCTGTTATGGTTGTTGAGCCGAAGGCAGGGGTTACAGTTGTTGAGCCGGAGCTTGATGGTGTTATAGAGGTATTAGCTGGCTTTGGACCAAAGAAAGAACTTATCTGAGCAGGGGCTGCAGAGCTCGTCGTTGACGTTGTAGAGGTGGTGGCCGGCTTTGAATCAAAGAAAGAGCTTGTCTGAGCGGGGGCTGTAGAGGCTGTCGTTGAGCTCAAAACTGACGGCGTAGAAGTATTGGTTGCTGTTGAACCGAAGGCTGATGGTATAGAAGTGGTCGCTGCCATCGAACCAAAAGCTGACGGCTTAGAAGTACTGGTCGCCGTTGAACCAAAAGGTGATGATGTAGAAGTAGTCGCCGCAGACGTTGTTGAACCAAAAACCGGTAGTTTAGCAGCTGAAGACTGTGCTGCTTCAACAGACCCAAATGCCGAAAGGGGAGACTTTAATGCAGAAACTGAGCCAAATACAGGAGTTGTCGTCGTTGCCGTCGATGTCTTGTTGGAACCAAAAGCAGGAGATTCTGTACCAAGAGTCGTTGATGCCGATGTCGTTGTGGAACCAAAGATGGACGACCTAGGAGCAGCTGCCGTAGACTCCATTCTCAAACCAAACGGAAGCGCCGTAGGAGCAGGAGCCGCAGAAGTTTGTCCAGCGCTGCTCGAACTCATGGCAGCAGTTTGGCCTTGCTTGCCCGACTCAGCCGCCGTCGATTGCCCGCTGTTGGTTGAAGACATAGATGATATTGCAGGCTCAACACTCGCGGGAAATTTGCTGTTCAGACTTGCTATTTTTCTTTCTGGCAGAGAAACAGGAGGCAGCTTGACTCGAATCTTTCTCTTTGGAACATCTGTATCAGGAACATCTGTCTTGGGTGCCATCTCGACAAATGCTTCTGGGAAATCTATCTAATTACATTAGAAATCGTGCGTCCCCATCTCATTGTCAGACGGTTCTTCTAGTAGGGTACCTGAAAAGCCTCTGGGCCGAGAGCGTTGGCAACTTTGCAAGCCCGTCTTCAATTTCTCAATCTCGTCCGCCAGTTGGCTCCTTTCTACCTTGATTTCGTCTGACTCTTCAGCCAGTCTCTTCAAAATCTCGTCGCTCATTTGGGTGACGACTCTTGGGTTGAAGATGTCGGGGAGCTTCGAGATCAGACAATTCTCAACAACTAGGTGGACGACGTTGTCCGTGAATGTTCGCCGGCTCATCTATGTTCATCAAATTTGTTTCAGAAACTTACTCACTACATAGCACTTATATAGCAGTAGCGGGAAGAATGCCAACTTACTTGGTAATGTGTCAACATCATGTCAACGGCAATGTCAATACCGAAGTAGCTATAAGCGCTGGTATCGGTTTGCATCAGGACATTTAAGACATCTTCAGGCTTTAGCACCCGGTACTCCGTTGTGTTGTAAGCAACAGAATGTTGATCAAGGAAATCAACAGAATTTGACTTCATGCGCCCAAGTTTGCGCCTCCACACTCCCGCTCGGAATTCTATCTCGAGCGGGATTCCATGTCCGGATGTATAAGGACGCATAATCTCGTCGAGCTTGTCCTTGAGCGCATTGGTCATGGAATCGAAGAACGGATCCACACACTCGGCCAAGATTGCGTCCCTTGTTCTCTCGTCGTCTTCCAAGATGTAGTCGAATATCTGATAAATAAACAGCCTTGTTCTTTCTACAATATTATCTACGTGGCATTGAGCTATGCGCCGCCATGGCTCAGACTGATCTCGGAAAAGCTGCATGATGAAATCGTTGCTCGGTAGCCCAGAGAACTCCGCGCCTTGGCTATCCGATGCAAGTAGCTCTATCCTGGTAAAGGCCACACCTTTTTCTTCAACCACTGGATCCGGAAAATCGTAGAGATCGATATATGGATCGAGATTGCCAGGAATATTTTCCAAGGCATCGGCCAGCATTTCCTCGTCAGTTAAGCCTTGCAACGGGTTCTCTCTGGGTTGAGGTTCGTCCCAGTTCATCTTGTACTTGGCTCCTTTTTCTCTCATCGTGAGGTCAAATACATAATTCAAGTTTCGAAGCAATGCTCTCAACTTCCGAAACTTGACCTTGTTTCTTGCTTCTGGGTCTGAGGGGGTAGCGAAGAATGGATCATTATATCTTCCCTCGACTGCATGCTCTGCCAATTTGTGAAAAGCCGTTGATATGCTGAGAAGATAATCACGCATTTCGTCGGAAGTGGTCCTTGTTGTTCCCAGCTTTGCGAGACGTCTTTGGCGATTCTGCAGATTGCCATCAATGTCTCTAATGAGCGCGGGCAGACTGCTCTTAATTTGCTTCAGCAATGCTGTCCCAAGACTCTTCCGAAGACTGTCCACCCCTTGGTTGCTCAGAGGTAACGCAGACCAGGCTCCTGTTTTGAGGAATTTTTCCTCTTCGACGTCTCTCTGATCAAAGTCTAGCTCTAGTTCTTTGGGTCCTCGGTTGCGTAGGACATGCCAACCTAGGCGAAGCTGGTGACTGGGCTCTTGTCCTCTCGCGAGACGCAGATATTCATCTTCTAGATTTAACCCCGGACACAGATCGACTTTAGTGATAACTCCAATCGTGCGCTCCCTTACTGTGTCATGCTGGAGGGCCATGTCGAGAATGGCATGCTTGGACAGGGAGATATCTGCTGACACAACCATAAGAATGATGCTATTTTTCTGTTTCATGTAGCCCTCAACTATTTCGTTAACGACTGGCTTCCATTCTTGAGGCTGTGAGGATGACCCAGAATGGAAAATTCCTGGCAGGTCAACTAGAGTCAGCGAGGGAATGTCTGGCCCGGAAATTTCCACTCGTAAAACATGTTTGGAGAAGCTAGTTGCCTTTCCATCGACAAGGCCCATGTGCTCCTTTGCTCTATTAATGACGTCGGGCAGTTCTGATCTTTGGAAACCGCTCTCGTGAAATGGCGTGCGCGTGAACGATAATGCCGCTGTATTAGCATCAGCAGCAGCATCAGTCGCGTATCGAATTCTCAAGTCTGTGCTGTCCATAAGCGCCCTCCGAAGCACCAGCTCTGTAGGAAACCGAGTGCAGATGCCGTCGCTAACAGGGAAATGAACCCGAGATATCGCTTCTAGCACGGAGCTTTTACCGGAGCATTGGTTACCTACCACGATGATCTGCGGCAGGTCGATGCCGGTAATGCTCAAATCTCGAAGGCCATCGATGGTGTCGAGAAGTCGTCTTGTTTCACTATTGTTGAGCTGCTCAGCTGTCGCTGGGTCGAGGACTGCAGCGTCGCCCATGATGGGATGATTGTGATTTGGAGGAGAGCAAATAGTCCCGCACGTAGCTGAAAGGTTCATGTAGCTGGGACTATTCAGCTCGGAGGGCAAGACCGGGGTCTCGGCCACTTAAGCGCCGAATCCCTTTGGAACAAAGCTAAGGTAGTGTGAACAACAGCGACTTATGTAGGGTAAAAGCTATTTTTATTTTATTTTATTTTCTACTGATATTTGTAGATCATATAGATGCTGCCTATTAACATGAAAATTGCGCTCTTTAATATCCTACTATCTACTACCTAGTAGTAGCTAGGCAATATAAAATATATTCCTTTGACTTAAGCTGCTGCCTAGTTCACTTACCTTGTTGAGAATATTAGCATATTATACCCCAGGGGCCCAACTCATTAAGGTAGGGTTAGGTGCTTATATTCTATCTCCGGAGACAAATGCATTAGCCATATTTAGGCTATTTATACTAAAAGTTCTCTATCTCTAGAGATAAATCTATTAGCTAAATGTAAAATAGCTATACAAGTTCTTTATCTCTAGAGATAAACCTACTAGCTATATATAAAATAGCTATGCTAGCTCTCTATCTCCAAAGACAGATCTATTAGCTGCATATAAAATAGTATGCTAGCTTTTTATCTTTAAAGACAAATATATTAGCTGCATATAAAATAGTATACTAGCTTTCTGTCTCTAGAGATAAATACCTTAGTTATATTTAATATAGCTATATTAACTTTTTATCTCTAGAGATAAATCTATTAGCTATATATAAAATAGTATATTAGCTTTTTATCTTTAAAAATAAATATATTAGCTGTATATAAAATAGTATACTAGCTTTCTATCTCTAGAGATAAATGCCTTAGTTATATTTAATATGGCTGTGTTAGCTCTCTGTCTCTAAAAACAGACCTATTAGCTATATATAAAATAGTATATTAGTAATTTATCTCTGGAGATAAATATACTAGCTGCATATAAATAGCTGCGCTATCTTTTTATCTCTAGAGATAAATACATAAGCTAGTAATTATAAAGCCTGCTCCACTTTATTTAAGGAGTTAAATACAACTTCCTTTTCTTTATAATTTCTTAAGTATATAATTAGCTATATAGCTATAGATTTAAGCGTAGTATTTATAAATAAAAGCTAATAAGATTTCTTATTAACTACTATAAAGCAATTATTAATAAGCAGTTGCATTAATAATAAAATAAGGCTGCTAAAGAAGTATTAAAAAGGCAGTAATAAAAGCTATACTAATACATCTATAAATACATTAGACTCTTGTAAACATATTATAATTAAAGAGCTCTTATCCGCCTAGATATTAGCAAGCTCACATTTGCTTATAGTTACAAAGCTGCCGCTGGATGTCTTATTTACATATTAAAGCAAAGGGAAAAACCAACTGGTGGACAAGGACCATATAAATAAGCTGCGCTAAAGTTTTATTAATAGGGGCTTTAGCAGGCTAGACTAAGAAAATTACATAAAGGTTACCTGTAGCACAAAGGCTATTAATATAATTAAGGCCCATTTTTACAAAAGCATGCACTTAGCAGGGGACCCTGTTATTAGCCTAAGAGGAGGTTAGGCTACTAGCTAGAAATAAAGCTCTAAGCCCCTTAACTTTTATACATGGGCTAAGGTTACTAATAAGCTTGCTAAGTTACTTAATAGCTAGTATTACCTAAAGGCAGTTTATTAAACCCTAGGTAGTAACAGCAGTAAAAAATAGTAAACTTGCAAGATATATAATAAAAGTATAAAGCTATTAAATACTCCCTAGTTATACCTTACTTTATATAGTAGTTTATATAATAATAAGCCTTTAGATATTTTTATAAATATATTACCAAGTTATATATAGCTTTAGCTATATATAAATAAGCAAGAGTTAAAGCTAGCTAATTAAGATAGCTAAATATAAATATAATTAATAGTAATTTATAGTAACCTAAGAAGTAATATTATAAATAAGGAAAATATATATAATATTATTAAAAAGCTTAGGGCTACCCTTTAGCTAAATAAGAAGAATATAACTAGGCTACCTTACTATTTATTAGTTATTATAAGAAATAAACTATAAAGCCCTTTTACTATATTATAATATAAGACAGCTATTAGCAAAAAGACTTTTAATACCTTAAAATAAATTAATATTATAAGCCAACAGCTTGACTATATAAGTCAAGGCCCTCTAACTAAGTATTATTCTCTGCTTAAAACCAAAAGCATAAACTCTTTGCAGAATATATATTTTATAACAGTTTTAATACTAACTTATTTTACAGTTTTAAATATTACAGTTTTAACAAATGCTTAATACACTAGCTTACTTTAACTAGGAGGCTAATATATACTATAGTAACTAAGTGCTATTAGATGTTATTCTTTTAAATAACTAGGAGGCGCTTGCAAACCTCTTACCTTATAGCTATATTAAGAATAAAGTTAATTGTATCCTCTCCTAGCAAGAGGGGGAAGTTCCTATAGCTAAAGCTAGGGTGCTAAAAAAGCTTAGGGTTAGGGTTAGGGTTAGGGTTAGGGTTAGGGTTAGGGTTAGGGTTAGGGTTAGGGTTAGGGTTAGGGTTAGGGTTAGG